TAAAATTTATTTTTAATCTTATATAAATTATTAAAAAAAATAAATAAAAAATAATTATTAAAATATTATATAATTATTTCAAATATTTAATAATATTATTTAAATTTATAAATATATTAATTATCTTTTAATAAATAATCTAGAATATTTTATAATAATTCTTTAAAAAAAATATTTTTATATATTTAAACAATATTTTGATCTATTTAAAAATCAAAAAATAATATAAAAAAAATATATATAAAATATTTAAAACCTTAAAAAAAATTAAACTTCTCATAGATCTAAATAAAAGTAACTTTTTTATCCAAAAATTTAATTATTTTGGATATATAATTTCTCTAAGAAAAATTAAGATTTAAAAATTTAAAATATTTATGATTAAAAAATAATTAATTTTAAAAACCATTATAAAAATATAAGCTTTTTATAATTTCTATAATTATAATAAAACCTTAATTAAGGATTTTAAGAAAATTATAAAATTAATAATAATTATAATATATATTAAAAATCTAAAAGATTTTAAATAAATATAAAAAATAAAAAAGATTATAATAAAAGATTTAATAATAAAGTTATTTAATTTAAATAAAAGGAAATAATTATATATTAATGTTTTAAATGGAATAATGGGAATAATATTAGAATAATTAAAAGATAATGGAAAATAATATTTAATTATCTATTTTTTTAAAACTTTTAAAAAATTAAAAATAAAATATAAAATATATAATCAAGAATTTATAATTATTTATTAAATATTAAAAAAATAGAAATTACAAATATTAAAAATTATTAAATCTTTAAAAATTTATTTAAATTATTATAATTTTAAATCTTTTATAATTATTAAGGTTTTTAATAATAGATAATTATAATAGATAAATAATTTTATACATTTTAATTTCAAAATCTATTATATTAAAGAAAAAAAGAATATTTAAATAAATATTCTTAATAAATTAAAAGATTTTAATATTAAAAAAATTAAAAAAAAAATAATATTTTAAGAAATATCCAATAATATATTTAATTAAATTATAATATAAATAAGAATAAAGGATTAAAAAAAAGACCTTATAAATTAAAAATATTCTATTAATATAAGATTTTATTATTAAAGATATAATATTATATAATAAGAAAATCTATATATTATTAATATTATAAAAAAAGTTTATATAAAAGATATATAAATATCTTTTATATAAATATTTAAAAATCTTTAAAATAATTATATAATTATAGGAGATATATAATTTCTTAGGAATCAAAGGGATAGTTAAGAAGATTATCTTAAATTATAATATTTATAATAAAATTAAGAAAGTTAGATATAAATCATATAAATTTTTATAATTTATTAAGGTTCTAGATAAATTATAGGATATTATTATATAAGATTTTATTATTAAATTATCTAAATCATAATATTTAATAATTAAGGAAAAATATGATAATATATGGATTATTATTGATAAACTTATAAAATATAGGTATTTTATATTATTTAAAGAAATTTATATAGTTAAAGATTTGGTTTTTAAATTTATCAAAAAAGTCTTTAACAAATATAGATTATTAAAAAAGATTATTTTAAATAGGGATAAGTTCTTTACCTTAAAATTTTAGATTAGCTTAATAAAAAAACTAAGGATCAAATAAAAGCTTTCTATAATAACTTATTTTTAAACTAATGGCCAAATAAAACAACTAAATTAAACATTAGAACAATACTTATGGAATTATATTAATTATAAATAAGATAATTAGGTAAAATTCCTATTATTTATTATATCCTTATATAATATTTTAATTAATAATATCACTGGGATATTACCATAAAAAATACTATATAAATAATAAATAAATATAAAATAAGAACCATTAATAAACAAGGTTATCCCAGAATTAGAAATAATACCATCTCAAACAGAAACATTTATTATTAGGATTTTAATATTATAAATTAAATTTAGAAAATGTCTTAAATTCTTATAAAGACAAATAATAACATATTATAATAAAAAGAAAATTAAAAGATTAATTTTATATAAGGGAGATAAGGTCTATTTCTTATAAAATAAATAATATTTTATATTAAAAACATTTCAAATTTAAATTAAAAGACTAAATAAGAAGTTAGATTTTAAGAAACTAAGACCCTTCTTAATTAAAAAAATCCTTTTAAGAATAAACTATTAATTATAATTATTAATAAATATAAAATTAAAAATTAATATATTTTATATCATTATATTTAAATTAATATCTAAAAATATTAAATTTAAAAGAAATATTGAATTAAAAGAAGACCTAGAAGAATATAATATTAAAATCATTTAGGATTCTAAAATTATTAATAATTAAATTAAATATTTTATTAAATAATTTAATTATTTAAAAGAAAATAATATTTAAGAATTATAAGAATATTTTATAAATAAAAAAATCTAAAAGTTAATTAAGGATTTCCATTATTAGAACCTAGATTGATTAATGGTAACAAATTAAAATTTATATCCTTAAGGGAAAAATTGGAGAAGGGGTTAATTATAGAAACTGTATTAATTTATACCTTAATGTTATATTACTGTTCCTTTGTTAGATATTACTCCTTTTCTAATTATTCCTATTCTTCCAGCTTCTTCAGGTTTTGGAAATTATATTAAAATATTTTTAAACCTTTTTCTTTTAATAATTCCTTTTATTACTTAAGTTATTTAATATAAATTAAGATTTTAACTATTTTAATATAAAGATATTTAAGGGTTTTTTTAGTTTAATACTCTTAAATAAATAACTATTTTTCTTTATTTTTAAACCAGGAAAAAGAACTAATAGGGATGTCCATTCCATTATATTAATAATAATATAAAACATATTTATTATATTTTTTAAATATCCTAATTATTATTATATATTTAAGATTATGATTAAAACAATATAAATATAATATAATATCTATATTAAAATCAATCCTGTTAATCCATTCTAAAAACTCTATATATTCCTATTCTTAATTAATATATTTATATTTTATAAATAGATTAATAAATATAATAAAAACTGAATTAAAAGGGACTTATTAAGAAAAAAAATCTTTAAAGATAAAAGAATTAAGGAAAGGAAAAATAATATCATAAATCATATAGGCCTACAGGGATATAAAACCCCAGAGGAAATCTTTTTCTTTATTAAAATAGGATAGGAATATATAACATATAATATAGATGAATATAGATAAGGATATCTAATCTTATCTAATAAATATAATATAGATAAATATGGATAAATATATCTAATTTTATTTAATAGATATAATAAGGGATGAATATAGATAAAGGGATCTAACTTCATCTATAAAAAAAGCAATAATAAGGAATATCTATATAATTACCATAATTTTCCTATATATTTAATTATTTTTTTATAATTCTTTAATTATTAATTTAAGACTATTTTTTCAAATATAATAAGAAGATTTTAAGCTTTTCTAATAAATAAAACCAATTTAATTATTTAACCTATTATTAATATTATTATCTTCAAATTAAGAAACCCCGGATTAGCCAATCCAGCAATGACTATACCTCTTTGAGGGATAGGTTCGTCACATTAAGTTTTTATTCTGGAATTCCTTTTTATTTAATTCTTCTTTACTTTCTAAGTTAGGATCTATTAGTTTATTTTATGTTTAATTATAATACTTTTTAAAAAATAATTCTTAAAAGATATAAAGATTTTTTATTTTATTTTTAAAGATTAATAAAATAAAAGAAGGTTTGATTAATAATGGTAAAAGGATATCTTATAAATGATTTATATCACTTTTTAATCTAATATTAATATTAATTAAAAAATTATTAAAATATAATAAACTTATGCCTTAATGAAATATATTCATTATTAAATTAATTAATTTAAAATGTTTTAATTTAAAAGTAATAATATTAATAATAAGTTAAATAATTAAATATATTTTATTTATTAAAAAGGCTTAAAATATTTTTATTATATTTAAAAGAATAATCTTAAATTGATAATTAAAGAGTTTTAAAAAGAATGGTTAAATATATAAAAAAATGTAATAATTATATAAATATTTTTTATTATTATTTTTTTTATAAATGAAGTTAAATACTTTTATTTATACTTATCCTTATTATATTTTTTAAATAAGATTAAATATACTTATTTATATTTATCCATATCATATTCCTTAAATGAGATTAAATGTCCTTATTTATATTTATTTATGTTATATGTTATGTATTCTTATTATCATTGTTTTACTTCGGCGAAGAAAAAGGTTTCCTCCGAGGTCTTACATCCTTGTAAGCCTGTATGGTTTATGATACTTATATTCCACCTTTTATGGTTTTAATAAAGGTTTTTCACAGTTAATTTATAATAAAATTATAAAAAATGAAATATTAATAACTTATTATAATTAAATTTTAATTTAATATATTAAAGTAATTTTAATATAAAAAAAGAAAAAAAGAATAATTATATAATTATAAATATTTTTATATATTTAATCATTTTTTTTATAATTTTTTAATTATTAATTTAAGATTATTTTTTTAAATATAATAAAAAGATTTTAAGTTTTTTTAATAAATAAAATTTATTTAATTATTTAATTTATTATTAATATTATTATTTTTAAATTTAAATATCTTAAATTAATTAATTTAATAATAATTATACCTTTTTAAGGCATAGGTTTATCATATATGGGCTTCTTACCTAAACGATTCTCACATAAATTAATTTTTCATTAGATCTTACCATTTTAGGTAGTCGACCTGTAAGGGAACCATTTAGATTTCTTTGTTCTTCGGTGAACTCTTAGCAAATACCTACCTAGGTACTGTACCTAACTGGATGGGTGTACCTAGGTATGTTTAACAAGTCCCAACCAACCCTTCAGAGCCTGCCTAACGTCGTAATGCACGCAGATTGTGTAACACACACCAGACCTTAGGTACCAAGGGTCATTGCATTCGGTAGGCTTTCAATTTACCTGTTAAGCTGAAAGCTCCTCCCCCATTAAATTTATCCAACTGTTCTGCTGCTAATTCCTTTTGCCAACCTCTTCTGTTTGACCTTCCTTAGCTGAAAGCTTTCCGACCAATATGGCAACTTCTTCTACTGATACTGAAGACTATGACCAATCCAAATACTGGGTAGCTCCGGCTAGAAATTTCAGATCTTCTGCACGCCTGCATCTCCAGCATTTCCTTATCCAGAACACGCTCGGCTACCTTCTAGAACCGGCCGTCGAAAAGGCCGTCGCCGGGTCATCACAACTCAAGGTTGCGGACCTTGCTTGCGGCAATGGCATATGGTTAACTGAACTACACTCTAACCTTGCTAAGAACGGCATAGCTGCCCAGCTAGATGGGTTTGATATCAATCCCATCAACTTCCCGGACCCGGCTTATCTCCCGGCTTCTGTATCTCTCAAGGAGCTCGATATCCTTGCGAAACCGCTCCCCGCTGAGTTGATTGGCGTATACGACATTGTCCACATCAGAGCCTTTGTTAGCGTTATACCCAACGCGGATCTCACACCCGTCCTCTCCGTCGCATCTGAGCTTCTGAAGCCTGGTGGATATCTACAGTGGGAGGAATCCCGGGGTGACAGATTCATCGTGGAGTCGCCTTCACCTCAGATATCCAAAGCCGCCTGTGATACCATCGTGCAGGTGCTCAAGGGTGGTCTACAAGCGAGAGGTATCCGAAATGATTGGGTTGATGTTTTAGACACCCATCTTGAGAAGTACGGCCTCCAGAACGTTCATATGAACGTACATGAGAAGAGAAAGCAGGACTTTAAGGGCTGGACTGAAGACTACTTGATGGTCTGGGAGGAGCTTGCAGTATTCTTTCCACCCAAGTCAAAGGAACCAAATGCACCATTGTCCCGTGAGGCCTGGTTTGATTTGTTTGCAAATGGCGTCAAGGAGACGGAGCAAGGCGTTGTGATCCATCAAGGAAAAGTCATAACTGCTGTTGGCCAGAAGGCACTATGATGTGATACTGTTCTATTAGGGGCAAAGATTTGCTGGTATTTGTTCTTCGGCGCTCTTTATTGCCAGGCAAGCAATGTTAAATTTACATAGGTTTTAAGGACAAATGGATGTAGAACGTGTTTCAATACACTACGTGCTTTCTAATCATGCGATGTTTAGCGTTCAGCAATCTGGATATTCTATAGATAACCAGCTTTGGAAATTCTAGCACTACCTAGGTAATTACCAGAAGCTTACTCGTCACATTACAGGTACTGTTGTTTGATCAGTGAGTAGGGGTAATCAGGTACCCAGGTAACTAATGGAGTACATATGGAATCGTAAGAGCTTCTAAATTAAAACAGGTACCTTTTCACACCTACTCCTATGACATCTTACGGAGCCTTTGAATATCATGTTGAACCTTGATTAGTTGAGTGGCGTTTGGTGGTCTCACCGTTTGTCAATTACTCCTATATGATAGTTGTCAACTCGTTTATACTTAGTATCAATGACGGATATAATATCATGGCTTGCAAATAGAGGTCCTGTTCCCGCGCACTACCTATTCTACAAACGTCTCATTCGAAAAAGCAAATTTAAGCGGAGTTCCAGCCTTTACTTTTTTTTTTTTTTTTCAATTGTCTATATCATTATAGAGGTCTCCAGCTGGCAATTAATTTATGCATTTCGGACGCACCGACAGGGTTATCCTACTATGATTCGTCATATTTCAGTCTTTTAAGGCTCTCTATGCCGCTCATCAAGCTATCCGTTACCATTTATATCTCTTCCGGGCTCTAATGGCACGCCGAAGGAATGCCGTGGGCGTCTACAACTGTATGGAGTCTGACAAATGCACCACGCTGCCAAGGTATTGCGAAGTTCTCGGCCTATAGGTCTTCAGTTGCTGACGATCGACAGTTGGATTGCACGTCTCATATTAGAGTGTTGGCTTGCGCCTACATGGGATACTACATACTCATGTTACACCATTCACACCCGCTTATGGTGTAACACCTGCCTAACATGATATATCCGCACCCTATGGGCGTATGTTGGGATTGGCCCCTATTGTGTAACCGTGTTGGGTCTCAGTTATCAAATATTAGGATGTCATCTATATAGGTAGGTAGTATCTATTGTCGCACCAATTCATGTCACATCTAACAGCTTTATATTATACTATGACTCCATCTATCCCACCAATCATTCTCACGCGTGTGTAGGACAAGTAAACGATCGGCATTGGTTCCTCGGAAGGACACTGTGAAAAGTTTAGCATTCAGTTTAGAGCCGAGGTCTCACTCTCCGAGGAGGCACATCCTACCCTTTTGGTCGCACGAGGCTTAATTGTTGTGGTCTGGCAATAGAAGCTTGAATTTCAAATAGGCACAGAGGACGGAGATCGTGAAGAGCCTTCGTAATACATTAGCGCTGTCGAGCTGCAGGAAATGAGTTCATACATTGTTCCTCCAGCGTAACGAGTAGATAGACTGACTCTTCTCCACAATCCTGAATGTACGGCAACGGTGAACAATAAAAACGAAGCTATACAGTAGATATTGATAGCACTGTTCATGGTATTCTCCATAGCTGTGGTCAAATCAGGGGTTTTTCTAAATATTGCCTGGGTACGGTACCTGAGTAAATATCTAGGTCGCTTAAAGTATCATAAAAGGCAGTAGAAACGCTCGAGTGATAGGGAAACAAGAAGAACGGAGTATATTATAATTCACAAGTCATGGATGAAGGCAGCAATAACCGCAATAGGAGATTCTTAACATGGTACTAGGTGGACTGCGAACTCCATCAGTTCTATTCTAGGATCCTCAGAGCCTCACACAACTGGGTGGCCTGAAATCTATTTCTAGCGATTTTGAAAACTGGGTGGTAATAGAGAAAGACATAAGATCATCATATGCCCGGAAAGAAGCCGGACGCGAGACGAGTTCTAGATGTCTGTAAGATTTGGGGTCTCTAAGGTGTGGTGTGGTGTTGATGATGGTATGGTATTCGAATGTATAATACGTTTAGAAGTACAATACGGAGATTTTGAAATACAACGTAAAAAAAAAGGATAATTAAGGCTACGGTTTAAGCTTATCGTAGCCGCGGGATCTACGATTCCATACCTAAGTGCTTACCTATGTAGGTACATACTAGGTACTTATAAACAATACATCATAGGAGTTACCTAGGAATGTACCGAGTATCTGGTAGCACGTTGCGCTCTCATATTATTAGAATTCATCAGAAATGATTATCAATTATGTACTTGCAGGCCTGTAAAAGTTATTAATAACGAAACCCTCAATAGAGGCTAGAACGCGATGAGAGTTGATGTATACCTAGGTACTTAGGTCTTTAGGTACCTAAGTAGATACATATGTATAGGTTAGCTTCGGCATTATGTGGGATAATGATACTTACTTAGGTACTTAGCTACGTACCGTACTTATATACATACATATGTATATCTACTCCCTTTAACTGCTAAGCATTCAGATACCTAGGTAATTCGTTCGGTCCCTATCTAGGTAGATATTTAATCATTCTAATTCGTATTTACTTCGATCTCAAGAAGGATAACCCAAATGTAAAGGACACGCCCGCACACGTAGATGGTTTAGCTCCATTATACCCAGGTAGGCAGAAAAGTAGGTAAAAGCAGAGAATCGGATTTACTGTCTGATATAGAATCAGCCGAATTTTCTAGCAGCAGATCGTCCAATCGACATATTTAGGTGTCATATGGAAAGGCCCTCTAGATTCAGGTGTTTGAGTACTTCTAGTATGACCCTACCTTAGGAAAGCGATGTGTTCGACGGTGGCTGCTGTTCACCGCAAGGTGCTGCGAAAGTGGCAGTGTAATTCTGACAGGGCGTTAGGCGTGGATACAACAAGTCAAAGTATCAAAAGGATTGAGGCCATACACTTGTTCAACCAGATTAAAACTTTGATATTACAGCCTACTTTCTAAGCAGGTACCCTTCCGTTCTATCCAGCCATGCCGTCCCATCTGTACAGTGAATGCTATGCTACACCGTACCTCCTGACGCGCAAACGCTCGCTTGCTCCGCGTCGACCAGTCATTCGAAAAGCTCACGAGAAAAATATCGTGGCGATTAAAAAAACCAAACTTTCCAATCAACGCCCCTCCCCATATGTGCTAGAGTCCGTTTATATACTAGTAGCCCGTTACAAAACCCGGGGCCGATGCAACCGTTCATTAACCATTTTCCTTGTTCAGCTATCTCGCTTGCTTGATTCAAGCTCCTGGGTCGGACTCGGGTATCTCGATCTTATCCTCCGGGTTGGCTTCAACTGGAAGTTCGACGTCCTTCACTGGGTGAAGCAACATAGGCGGCAAGCACATCCTACCCTCACCACCACGCATTAGGCTTACAGTAGAGCCGTTCTTGCTCTCATCCACATTCAATTCGAACTCCTCGCCGCCGTCGTTGTTCACTTTCAACCCGAGCCACCTACGGTATAGATTGGGTGCGAATCCCGAGTTGTAAAACCATGTAAGACCTATGAGATTGTGCTCACGCTGGCCGAAGACTGAAGTACGCGAGCCTCCAGTAGCTCCGTTCTTTCCGTTATTAAGGGTGCGTGCAAATACCTCTGTAGGCCATTCACGGTCCACATATAAGGGATGCGGTACGAATACAGCCTTGTAACCATGCTGCAGAGCAACAGTGCCCGGCCACATCTCTGGGAAAGCGTGATGCTTGAAGAAGGCAGTCTCTCGGTGCATCTTCATGAGCAAGCGACGAGACATACGTGATGCTGTGATGATTTGGGCCCTACGTGGTGGCATTCCGTTGCCATCTGTCGTGTTGTAGCCGGTAATGTCATCCGCTAACCCCCAAGTGGTACCTTCTGGATCGAACATGGGGTTGAATGTAATATAATCCGCTTCTTCGCCAACTCCCCACACGTATTTATCCTTTTCGTAGGAAGTTTCTGGAACGGGATCATCATCAGGTTCGAACCAGTCATTGGGGTCCTTGGGTCTTTCAGGACCCCAGATAGGCCTATCGCCACGGCTAGACTGCGTTTTCTTATCGGATCCAATTCCATCCCAAATATTGTCGGCGCCGGTGATGCCTATTTCACTCTGCACTCGAGCCATTTGCTTGAAATCTTCCCAGGTTCCATGTACGGAAGGCAGGTAGAATCGCCCGTTTCGTTCCCAAAGACCCTTTCTTGGCTGCTGTTTGGTCCAGTTTTCTACTTTCGTAAACAAATCGTAGTAGTGGCCGATGTAGCGAATGTCCATTTCCCATTGCCAATAATAGTCGTACTCGGGATGTTGGTAGGCAAAATATTGCATAGCCATCTGTAAGCCACGATAGACACCATGAACTGGCAAGTCTGGGCCACGGGCGAATAAGTCAAAGATTCCCTGGTAGAGTGATAGCATCTGGGTTTCTGTCCAGAAAGTAACGAGACCTCGGAATTCCTCGGGTATGGTTTCCTCGATTCTTCGTTGATATGTAGCTGCATCTGCCCAAATTGGGTGCGCAGCATCATTCTTAACTTGAACAAGCAAATGAACATCGTAACGACCACCGGATGCTAGGGCTAATTCACTGATTAGGGAACGGATGTTCATAACATCCTCTTCTCTCCAGAAATATTCGTCCCAACATCGGATAACAACGGCTGTCCTCGGCAATTGTTTCTTGTCAGACTCTCCTTTAGATGCTGGCGCCGGAGTCTTCTCTTTCGTAGCCTTATCCGTGGAAGACTTAAGCGACTCGTCGAGTAAAGCATCGCGGGTGTTAAGCTTCATCGCGGCAGTACCTTCGTCAACATAGAAGCCGTTGGGATTGGCTTGTCTGGGAGGTATTGCTCCAAAGCGAACAGAATTGGCTTGATAACATCGCCTTTGTACGTCCGCCCAGTTCGTTCCCTTCCAGTCAACTTGGGCTACCTTGTCCCAGGTAGACTCGAAGCCTTCTTTTTCACCGTGCTCCCCGGTGCCCAGACCGCCAGACCTAACAGAATATCCAAAGCCGTACGGGGCATATCGGCCGTAACGTTCAAAGCAGATATCCTCAGGAAGTCCGAGAAGTTCATAAGACCCAAGTACAGCCTCAGGGAAACCGTTAGGACGTCCTTCGTAGTAGCGAATAGGAGGTACCCGCACTTTGTTCGCTTTGTCGATAAAGCATTCTTGAAATTGCTCAGGCGCATCTTGGAACACGCTCTGGGGATATTGGTTGAATTCCTTACTAGCAGGCAAACTCCGTTCTTCCACATCAGGCTTCCATTTACTACTGTTGGCGTATGACATCTTATCTACCGGTGCCTCACCAGCAGTACGAGGATACTCGGGGATATTCCGGGAAAAAGAGACCAGATTTCTAATGCCACCGTAGTATCTTGTAATGAATGGGTAGGAATCCCACGGCGGAGGAGCAGACGCCGGTCTATCGATTCTGCCCTCGGCCAGGGCCTTGTTTTCATTGTGACTCGCTCGAATGAGAGAGAGGATCATAATAATAATGAAGGAGGTCAAGCCAAAACAAAGGTAGCGGATGACTTTATTTGGTAAGCGGTAGCCAAGGGGCTGGCGTGGTTTACGAGGGAGTACGAAGTTCCTTTTCGACATGATGGGTGCTGCAGTCGATGTGGAGGCGCTCGTAACTCGCGAGTTGCTAGTACCTGGGGATGAGGACGTGATAGAATATCCGTCATCGTCGGAGGAGTCGTATGAGTCGTTTGAATCTCGTTCCTTGTTTATGTTTTCGTAAAGGGGTAATTTGGATTGTCGAGCGTCGCGGGAACGCAAAGGGTTCCATGAGGAAGCTCCCATCTTGGATGGGGCGTAGGAATGCTGGTGGCCGTATTAGTATTGTAATGACTTAGGCATGTTTGCCAGATTGTCCACTACTGGGGGGAGGCTACATACTTGTACACCAACTTGATTTATTAGTTAATTTATATTTTTGCGCCCAGCTTGGGAAGAAGTAAATAGCGACAAATTCGCAGGTAAGTTTTGGTAGATTTTGTGTAAATTATTGCCTTCTTCAACAAAGTTGATGAAGTTTTACGGTTGAGACATAAGGATGTAGACTCTAAAATCTAAGCACGATCGTAATCGATACGTGAATTCTGGTGGTGGTTGTTTTGGATTGACTAGGATACGCCCCTTTCAGCCAACAGTTACTGGCCCCTATCCCTGCTTATACCCCTGTCATGTTTGCCGACCTGGCAACCGCAAGTATTCACTACGTAATTGCTGGCAATGGACCAATCAAATCCTTTTTGCACGATTGGTCTGCAGCAGCCCAATCAACATGGGGGTAAGTAATATTAGCTAATCGATTGTTACACCCGACATTGCGCTAGTTAATCCCTTGCGGACGGCGAACCTTTTAACTTCCAAGGTTGCTTCTTCAACTTTTCAACTTCTCCAACTTTCCAGTATCAGCAGAGTTTAACAACATCTATAGATATTGCCATACGTCGATTTACAGCTCGCAACTATGATTTGAAAAGTTGTTTTTGGTGTTAAAGTCAACACCTCTGAAATACCGTCCTTTATATATCTTTCTCTTTGGATATTTATATGGACCTCATACGCAATGCTCGCAAGCTCACAGTAGAGCAAGCGTTAGGAATGGCCTCCTCTATCGGGCCAAGCATTCCTATTTCTTGACAGCAAATCGTCTACGTGGTCACGAGAGCTCCAAATTTGAAGGATTTTCGAGAAACACTATTGCCGGTGGGCTCATGTTCCACAGGTGAATGGTCGAATGAATGCTGTTACACCTACGGTGCCCCTACCTAGGTGCGCATCCGGCATTGATAGCTACGCGCCGATTTGCAGTTACTTGCAGTTCCGGAACATCAACACTCACTCCGCTATGCATTAGCACCCCCAACTGGGCCACTACACGATACCTTGACGTACATATGTGCCCGTTGAGGCCTCACCTTAATAGTTTTGGGTCATATTGTAACCTCCGAGTGCGGGCGTTATGCAGCCGCACCGACAAAAAAAAAGTTACTCTGGAACCCGTATATATCACATACACATACGGCTAGCAGTGTGCATATTTCATCTGCAGGTCCGATCACACAGAAAATTTTGTTGTTCTTGTGAAGTCGCATGGAATTTTCGCCTTCTGTTGCTGTCTATGAAATGGTAGTCCATTTCTCAGTTGATTCTCAGCCGATTTATGGTCGTACGTGAGATCCACTACATCACTTTGTCGTAAACGTATGGGCATGTTTATGTCAGTTTTTCATCCTCCAATCCACTTAGTGGGGATCAATTCCTATAAATGTGTGGGCAGACGTTGGTCTTTTACACGACGTGCGAAAGTCCCAGTGGCCACTTCCGTCTATAGTGTCTGTCTTGGTTTCCCCCAGGTTCACTTCAATCAAGGTTTACCTACCTAGGTACCGATCCCGCTGGATTAGCTGTGGCTAACCGCTACATGACCCTACATATGTGCCTATTTAGCTTGTTTTCTCCATCACTTGACCTCGAACAAGCCGATTTTGAGTTCTACCATGCGTCCTCTCCTCCTTGGTCAGGTATAAAGTAACCCTCTTAGTCTCACTTTTTTTTTAAGCCCAAGTTGTACATGTATCTCTAGGTGACCAATGGGTTAGGAATTTTATTTATGTTTTTAGGCTTTTGGTTTGTTTTTAACGACAGGACTCTTTCCTCCCAGCTTCCCCTTTTACTCTACTCAAGCACACCATCTTACAATAGACAAGCCTCATCATCTCACCCTACTCTTTATGGTTTAATTGACTATCCATGCCCTCTGACATCATGTCTGGTACTCTCACACGGACACAGACATTAACACATTCCTGTTCTATCGATGCCTGTTCGAACCGCGACAGCGACCCCCTAGGCATCAATGTAACTATTAGACAGGATCCTCTGTCGTTAACATTGGATGGGCCTGCTATTTTTGCCATTTCTGTCCTTCTCATCTTCGGCATACACCTATTACAACCATCTGCCGTTGCTCTACTCATCGGTATAACTACCGGTCTTATTTTCATCCACAATGATTATCAAAACTATTTGAAGCTTGGTCCTGGGGGTACACCAGCAACCTTTGCCGGCTACGTCCGTATCAATTGGCTTAAACTCTGGGCTTGTCGAGATCCCTTCAACCCTCTCCCAGCAGATCCAGATGTACAACCTGCCTGTGGTATCTTCCGCAAGAAGCCTCTCCCCTACCGCTGTGGACTACGCCCGAAAGTCGTGGGAATAGCACCACAACGGCAGGTCAACCAATTCGGCTCTCGAGAATGCTATCTCGCTCTACGGCGCATTCTAGAAAACCACGGCAGTAGAAACCCCGAGGAAGTGGGTCTTGGTACTTCTTGTTTCGAGAAGCACGGTTTGGGACTATTCGCTCGATACCCTTTCAATAAGACTTGCCAGGGAGAGATCTGCCATGTCCACAACACCGATTATTCAATGCACCTGAATCTCCACCCAGATGATGTGAAAGAGGTTATCGAGAAAGGTTGGGGACAACGCCATCCATTAACTAGCCAATGTCTACTGAAGATGCCCGTCCCGAAGCAATTTACGATGGTTTATGCACCTCGAACAATGGATGAACTGAAGATTGTATGCCAGATTATCGAGGCAGCTGCGTGGTGGGTTACTGCAAAGGAGATGGTGTTGGACGTGACGGCGGATTTGTGAATTGCTCTATAACATGGCGGGTGTACTGAGTGCCCAGACGATAGTTCCTACGAGATCAAGTAAAGGAATGGCCTTGTGTATTACGGTGCTAATAGAGCTGAGGAAAACTATAGAATAGTTGCTATTGCCGTCGATTACCTACTAGAAGTACACCAAAAACATAGTAAAACTTCTAAATCAACATCCACATTGGTAAAGACAAGTAAGAAACGATGTCTGCTTATTTGCAGTATGAACGGGAATTTCATTTTCTTGGTTCAGTTAATTTTGCTTCCCCGATGCATGAATACGAACTTGGGTAGGTTGGGTACAACTTTGAACCCCCCCCCCCAAATGATATCCAAATGCAATTTTTTTGGGACTTGCAATCGAATTAACTATCGAGAGGCCCCCGAAATATCACTATTAGGCACATGTGTTATAGGAAGTTTTTCTTTCTGATCTCTCCCTTTCGCGGACCAATAGCATTGAAAACTTGCTTGTGAATCATATCCAGCCTCAAATAATCATACATCGTCACTTCCTTCCACCTTTCCAGTCCTCGAAGGTGATTGTCGGCGGGCGTAAAATACATAATACACTAGTAAGATCCAGCAGCTGACCATTGCTCATAATCCTAAGCAGGATACTCTTGAGTCCAAGAAACATCGACTGATTCCTCCCTTTCTTGTTATCTTCACTAAGACCCTCAACTATCACTATCCTCCGCCTCATCCGCATCTTCACCTTGTTTCCTACCAGACCTACAATACTTCTCGCGCCCCGTCGCAATCGTAGCACGTACCGTACGACCATCAAACGCCCTCCCATCCATAAGCTCCACACACGCCTGCGCAGCCTCCGGCGTACGAAATTTAACACTCGCAATGCCCTCCTCTTCAAGATCATACAGCACAACATTCGTCACCGGTCCCAACTTCGAGCACTCATCGCGGATATCCTCCTTGATATCAAGCAGAGCCGCAGGATCCTCATCTAACTCGCGCAGCGTGAACATGTGGCGTAGGACTACAAGTCGATCGCGCTTTGCACCCATATCCAGTTGTCCACCGTACAGATCATCATCGTCCCAATCCGCGAGCTTGGCGTCGAGTTTTTGCGTGCGCTTGATGATTTTCTGCTTATCCTGCTCGCGCGTACGGTCGCGCGGTTTACCCGCTCCTGTGATCTGATTACTACGTTCGCTTTCCTCCGCTCCGTTATCCCCCCCTTGTTTATTCCCGTTCTCCCCCTCTTCGTTCTCGTAGTGTGTTTTCTTGTAGCTGGAGTCCGCGGCTTGCACGCGCATGCGTCCGGTAGATAATCCCGAGGCGGAAAAGCGGAAATCGGTGTCGTCGAGAAGCATGATGGCCATTTCGACGCTTTGCGGCTTGAAGAATACGACTAGGGCGTCGCCTTTGAAATTTCCCTTCTCATCGGTGTAGAGCTTGATGCGCGGACGTCCGCTGTCGATTTCTTCGGCGATGACTCCGCATTTGCGCGAAAATACCTCGTGTACTTCGTCGACTGTCGCGTCTAATGGCAAGCCCGTAACGTAGATGGCCGTGTTCTGGCGAGGCTGTGGTGGTTGTTTTTGTCTCTTCTGCGGGCGACCTTGTGATGGAACGCCTCGGCTTGGCTCTCCTGACCCATTTGCATAACCCTTCTTGCGCTTCTTATTATGATGGCTGTTATTGTTGTTACTGTCATCTTCAGGGGTCGCGCTGCCGCCGCCGTAAGCCGATTGTTGTTGGGCAAGAAGTTCTTCGTCTACAACTGGGATCCATCGTTTTAGTTGTGCGTCCCATTCAAATTCGCTCCCGTCATCTTGCACGGCGATGTACTTGTTGTCGAGTTTCGAGAAGGAAATGCGTTCGTCGAGCTCGAATTCTTGAGGATCAGTCGGAAAGGAAAGGCCTGGGGCGCCTTGGGGATCTGTCATTGTATTTTATTTGTATCAATTCAATCTTTGGCGGGGCATGAAGCAGGAGGAGTGAGCGCGATTTCAATTTAGTTAGACTGTAATGTTGTTCGTTGTTGTAGGAGGAAGAATGGATGTTTGGTAGCTTCCCTTAACGAGCAAACTACCCCCAGGCTACCTTCCGTCCTTAACCTTTACGCACGACCTACAGCCTGCAGGTATATGTACTTCATACGTCAGAATGTGAGATGCACTAAATTCACTCGCGGTACTTGTTAGATACCAGCCACATCGGACCCTGTACTACCATTTTAGTATTAGCGTGTTTAGGGTAGCTCTAGTTTTAGTTAGACTATTTACATCATTCAAGCCGCGAGAATCAAATCATATAGCGCTGATAGTGTTCGTCACCAGGTGTTACCCGCGAATAATGGCAAACGGGCTTTAATCCGTCTTCAAAGTTCAAGATCAATCATATACACAGCGCCAATGCCTAGAAATAGTACACCCCGCATCAAGTTCCCAGCCAGTAAGGAATTATGTTTTGAAAAAAGTCATGGGCAACATTAGCCACGCGGTGCCTAATACATCAAGACCTAGCCTCCGAGATGCTCACATAATTCCGTACGTATCGATTATATACTTAGACACTATGCGGCCCAACGTATCTACCCGCGAAGGTGAATGCGATGTGCACCCGCGCAATACCCCTAAACCCGAATGCCCGAACGCCGGAGATGAATGCGAATATCCCATCAACTAGTCGTAGAGGTACAAGGTGGCTTAACAACCCTAAAGATTTTCTCGCTCATCTAGTCTCGCCCAGCACACATTCATTTCTTGCCCTTCTTCTTTTTGGAAGCTCCGCTTGGTGTAGCTGCAGGTGTACCCGAATCAACTAACACTCCGTCGTCGTCACTAGCGCCTTTCGTAGAGTCCTTAGTCGATGAGTCTTCCTCTAGCTCTTTCATGAAGTCCTTCTTGATTGTTTCGCGTCGCTTCTCCCACCACTCCTTGTCAGTAGTCGCTCGGTTCTCGATCTCATCCAGTCGTGTGCGTAGCATGGTGTTTGCGGCGATCTCGTTTGCGGATTGGAAAATAGTTTGACCCCAGCCGGGCGCGAGAGCATTTGCCTAGATAAAAATGAGTATGTTTGCCCTAAGTATTGTATAGCATAAAGTGTTCTCACCTCTGTGACTACATCTCTCAACTCTTCCTCAATCTCCTTCTCGGCCCTTATGAATCTCTGGTTTAGATCATCGCCCACACTGCCTCGTTGTAATAAAGTATTGAGTGCTTGCTTCGAGGTACGGATCTGGATGATGCGACGGATATCTTCGACGGCTCTTCGTAGAAGCGCAGCTCGAACGACGCTATCTGGGACTTTAGGTGCCTTCTCTTGGCCGGCTTCGGGCTCCATGTGAAGGAGTGTCAGGTATATGTTTCGTTGGAGGTGCGGTGGGAACCATGGTTCTAGGTTGGCATTTTGTGCTAAAATCTTATCAGTTTCGGTGTGGTATCTTGTGGTTGACGGAAAATCATACAAGCCTTCCTTTTTCGATAAATCGTAGAAAAGGTGTACAGAGAACCACCAAGGACAGTAATGTACGCGAATGGGAGCGCAAGGCTCATCCAGTCTATATCGAACATCTTGTTGATTGACTGATATAGACCAGAAATATGGAAAAAAGAATGTGGGAGGAATTATGTAGTTGACAAAAACGTCAAAAGCAGCGTAGGTACCTAAGATATTATTATTATAACGTGCCTTTTTTTGGAAGTCGGGATCTTGACACTTTTCACGTAGCTCGACCCACAATGAATCGGAGTCGGACCCAGTACATGCATGTACCCATGTACTTCCGCGCTAAGACAATCTAATAAACAAGCTACATTCGTACTAAATTTGGTACTTATCTTCACCGCCTTTGCCTAGCTAATTTTTTTCCAGGCCATCAGTACGGCAGAATTTCTTCTATTTTCCAACCATTCAAATAGGCGGGTACTTTGACCTTTTACGCAGTTACACCCCCAATCTAACCCACGATGTCGACTCCGAGGCCAGAGTTCCTCAAATTTACAGGCCATAAATCATTTACACAACGCCTAGTACTTGCGACATTAACAGGTAGACCTATACATATCTCCAAAATCCGTCCAAATTCCCCCACCAATCCCGGTCTCGCCCCACATGAAGTCTCATTCCTCCGTCTCATCGAAGCCGTCACCAATGGCAGCTCGATGCAAATATCCTACACCGGTACAACGATAACATATCAACCCGGTTTAATAACAGGAGCTATACCGGGCTTTGGCGCCTCAGATGGCGATATCCTCGAACACTCTCTCCCCGCAACCTGCACACGAGGCGTCACCTACTTCCTCCTCCCTCTCTGTCTCCTCGCCCCATTTTCAAAATCACACATGAACGTCCGGTTCACAGGGCCAGGCGTCATAACATCAGCTACCGAGACAGGCGATCTCTCAGTTGATTCCTTCCGAACCGCTATCCTCCCACTATACAACCTCTTCGGTATCCCCGCGGCGCGGATCGAGCTGCGAGTAATCCAAAGATCATGCGCCGGGCCACATGGTAGCGGAGGCGCGGGTGTTGTTGAACTCAGATTCGCTAGTCAAGTCCGGTTACCCAAGACATTACATTTAAACAGAAGTCCGGGTAGGATAAAAAGGATACGTGGTGTTGCGTATGCGACAGGTGTCTCGGCGTCGAATAATGCTCGTATGATACATTCTGCACGTGAGGTACTGAATCCTCTTGTGTCGGACATACACATTGCAGCGCAGTACGACCAAGCTCCCTTAGTTCCCGACGCAGCAGAAAAGTCCGGAAGTAAGAAAAGAATGGGGATCGGATTTGGACTGAGTTTAGTCGCGGAATCAAGTGCTGTGGGCGTGCTATATTCGGCGGACGTCGTGGTGCCACCTAAAGGAGGCATAATACCCGAAGATATCGGAAAGAGATGCGCATATCAACTCCTAGAGACCATAAATCAAGGGGGTTGTATCAGTGGAGCGGCAACAGGAACTGTTCTAACACTGATGGCCATGGGATCGGAAGATGTTGGGCGCTTACGCCTTGGAAAGGATGTTATGGGCACAGAACAAGTGATAGGGCTTGCACGGGATCTTAGAAAGTTCGGGGCTAGTAGTTGGGGTTTGCGAGATGTAGAAGACGACGACACAGCTGACATTATAATCTCGGTAAAGGGAACAGGAGTCGGCAATGTGGGAAGGAAGATTGCGTAGTAATTATTATATCCATTAAATCTGTACAGTGATTTTCGTGGCTATTTACGATTGTCTTGGTTGTGTTGCAGCGGCTAGTCTTGCTCTCCTCTGCGCTGCTAAAGCCGCAAGCGTCGCATTGTATCCGACATTTTGTATAGCGTAAGCCGCCGCACTTTCCGGTGAACTCGCCGGTGTCTGCCAGGCTGTCCGAACCGATTGTCGAACGTTATAGGTGGCTAGTACAGCGTTCCCAGATCGTAACGTGTCGGCTAGACCCTCGAGATCAGCTGTCGAGACAGTCGTCCGCCTCAATAAGCCGGACCTCTCTTCTCCGTCATGACGACCACTACTACCATTCACATCTCCTAATGATTGCATTTCGATATCGTGAGTCTCGTCCACCACAGGCGCATCCCGCAAAACTCCACGCTCTTCCGCATCATGATCCTGACCTGTTGTGGCTTCTGTTGTAATACCCTCGGGGCTATCGGCTAACCTCCTAGGCTTTACTACCTTACGCACTCTCTCTTTCTCCATATTCACAGTTAACATAAAGCATTGTAGGCCAAATATCAGGAAATCCAATATGAGGAGAGAAAGTCTGGACGTCGGCGCTTTCTGTCCAATGAAGTCGAAGAGTATGCCACCGTGGAGATAGCCTCGACTAGCTTCGCCAGCTTGGGGTAACGATGTAAGGAGGTGCATCAAGATGCATAGAGCATTCGGGCCGATAATCGCAGAGACGTGATAGTTGGGTATAATGAGAATGGTGTCTTCGGCTTTGGGGCTTATGAACAAGGCTTGGGATACCCATCGTATCATTAATCGGAAGAATGAACAACTAGTAAATACTATGTCAGCATTTGTATGCGATGCGCAGATATGTGTTCGTATGTATAGTGGCGTGGATGGATAGGAAAGGGCTTGTCATACTCCATATAGTACAGCGCACACAGCTCAGCATACACCACAGTATCCAAGCTGACACTCAGGTGTATCATGAGTTGCAGCTTCTTGGTAAGACCATCCTTCGCCGCCTTGGAGAGCGAGGGGTTCTGAGTAGTGGCGTGGTCGTCATCGTCATCGCCATCATGGCTCTGCTCGGACACGGCGGACAGTGCCGGGCCGTCGGGGTCGTCCTCTTGATGATCGCGGGAAGTACGATGAGGGTCCGCCGGCGTGGTCGGGGTGGAAACATTGTTCATAGCTCCACCTCAATCGACGTGAGAAGCCAACCGGATGATGGGTTGTTTTTACATGCTGTGAGGCCGTCATAAATATACAAAAATGAAAGCTTTTCGCCTTATTGCGTAGTCGCTCAAGGGTGGGAAAGTGAGCGACAAGGCAGGGGGCAGCGCGTTGTTGCTTTGCGGCGTTGGTTGTTCGATTACTATCGACCAAGAACGGAAGCTGAACGGTGGAATTTAGGGCCAAGCTGAGGTGGGTTAAGCACAGTACGTCATTAATTTAATACCGTATTTAACACAGTACATATCTCCAATTAGCTGACTAATGATGTCCCTCCTTCTCCTTTTCACCATTCACAACCTTAGAACCGATCAATCATCTCAACTTTAAAAATACCTACTTTGACGGATATGCATAGCGCTTTGTTTAGACACAACTACATACATATATACATGCCTTCTTTTATACATGAAGCTATACCTATTGTTTTGCAGCCTTTGCAGCTTCCAGAGCTCCCACAACAGCAAAGGATACTATAGGAGTTATGATATACGAAATCTAGGATGGTAAGTTTGGCTTCTACTCAGTGTACAAAGGTATTTATGCTTACCGTAAGAAATCTTGCGATCGACATCCGTGTCGTCTGGTTTGTTCCACTCACATCTGCCAATGCGAGAACTTTCATGGCGGTAGGGCCAACAGGCATCATCATCAAAGCCCACCACAACATAGGATCATCAGGAAGGATATTAGTATAAGCTGCTAATGCCCATATTATGGGAATACTTATGCTATCGTGTGGATATTAGTATAGCGAAAGACTTGGTGCTAGAACTCGAACTTACGCCGGCCAAAGAATGAATCTAACAAAAGTCACACGGAGAACTATGCCCAAGGGTAGTGTACCAGCCTCCTCCTCACCTTCCTTCATAAGTCTGAGGCTCAGACTCAGTTTGACGCCGACTATGACAACTTGAAGTGAGACAAAAAGTTCTCCAATGTTTTTCAAGCTGGAGGTGAGCCACTAAAAACAATTGTCAACGTTCAATTCAACGGCTCTTAAAGTAACGAAAGAGGGACCCTAAGAAAAAGTAGGGCGATTTTGATCGAGCAACAACAGGGGTTTGGCAGCAGCAAGCGACGGGCACTATTCGAGTTTTCCATACGTACCGCATTAAAATAACCACCCTTATCCATGTCATTGAAGAAAATCCGATGCAGAGGCGGCGAAAGACCTATTATCAAGCCGATGGCTGCACCAATAAATGGTGGATTGAGAAACATCCCAATGCCCGCAAGGATCGCCCTCATAGGCTTCGGAGTGGCGTAGAAGTATCTCCGAAATCGCGAGGAAAGATCGTTCCCTACCCTTCGCTCCCAGTACTGAACTTTGCCAGGGAGGAGGGATGTTCGTTCATTCGCATCAGTCGATTCTTCGCAGTCTTGAGGTGAATGAGCATTTCCGTTCCTTTCTCGCTCACTAGGGTTTTCGTCTCCCCGTCCGTCCTGCTGACTTTCAGGATCCATTGAGTCGTCCTGTCCAGATGATTCCCCCATAGTAATCCATTTTGCGCCTTGGCCGAATGTTATAGTATTGTTGATTACCGAACAGGCGAGAAAATAGGTACGTGCTCGCTCAACCCCGTCAGATGCCTTTTCCGCACTAGTTAAAGATTCCAGTACTCCGGTCGTTTGTAAGGATTGTAACAGCAACAGGGGAAGCGACTCGGTATTATTGAAAGCTATAGCAGGTACTACCCAGTTCGGGAGACGGAAAAAAGCCACTGCCGCTTTCCCAATGGCAATAGATGTAACGGTGAAAATAGTAGCCCAGACTTAAGAAAGTGAGTTAAGGAGTGAATGGTTTTTGGATGCTAAGATTTGAACATACTGACTATAGGAACGTAATTTGCCGTCGTATCAAGATACAACTCTGAACCCAGCTTCGTGATCATCAGGCAGGGTAGAAGCACTTTGACACAAAGGCGTGATACTTCTTCAGCGGCATGTGTCGTAACTAGACCAAATTGAGCAGCGACAACGCCACAACCAATAGTCAATAGCACCGATAAAGACGCCTGTACGGCTCCCAGGAAAGAAACGAGAACTTCCGACGCCATATTACCTCCAAAAAATTTAACAATTCAACCCCAGATTTCTATCCCAGCGAGGAAAAAAAAAATACATAATTACCTAGATATTCATATACGTATGTAAAATTGGCTAAGCTAATTCGCGGACGTCATTACCGCCAAACTATTCCGTAATGGACGGATAGTACGGTACCTGGACCTTGCTGAAAATGGAAGTAAAGTACGCATGCCCGCACTGAACCAGATAAGCTTTAAAGTACCGTACTCCGTCGGGTCGGGTACGCCAAGAGATGGACGGCTTCCTGCTTCCGCAAATCGACTGCGATTTTTGGTACTTGGGTACAGATTAAGGCTCCCAAATTCACGCCGCTTTTAGCTTCATCGCAGCCCTAATTATGCAGTCAACTTTATGCATCACTGTACTAAAGTATAAATCTGGGTTGGGTTGAGCGCAACTTGGATTTTGCTACCTATAAGAATTACCTAGGTGCCTCGGTAGCCCAATGGTAGAACAAAACCTCAACTCTTATTCTCTCGGTAGATGACTGTATTATAATGGATATAAAAATAAAATAAAAATTGGCTGAAAAGGGAAAACTATTCTCTAAGGCATCACGAAAGTGGCAGCAAGGGCGGTATCTACCTTCAGAGTCCAGATTTATAGCCCGACTTCCTAGGAAGTCGTACATGTAAGGGAAATCCCAGGTACCTAGGTAGTGAGACACAGCGGTATACTGTTAAAAACAGCCCCTAATTTTGCTGGCAAACCCCCCTATCTTCCATATCCTTCCCTTCTAACTCAGCAACCCTACACACATAAAGGGCGACTAAATTTAACGGCCCCTATTATCTAGCACTTCTAAGATAATACATCAATGTTTAAATGAGATAACTCGAAAATGGTCGTTGATTTTTAGCTTGATCATTCACCAAACTTCACCTCCATGCTACCCAACTAGTCAGTAAGCCGGTATAACGCCGAGCGCTTACTGTATAAAGCAAGTCAAAGAGATTTCTTTCATCAAATCCCGATTGGTCCCATAGCTCAGTTGGTTAGAGCGTCGTACTAATACCATTCTATCCTGAATAGTATGAAGTCAATGCGAAGGCCGGCGGTTCGAGCCCGCCTGGGACCATATTTTGGTATTTTTTCTATATTATTTTTATTGATTTTCACACAGCGGTTCTTCTGTTGACTCACGCAAGGCCGCCCTAGACAGCAATGAGATTGTAAAGCTAGGAATTTATATTGAAATATTAGACTCTAACTCATCTGAGCGAGTCGAATTTTTGGGGGGGGGGGAAGGGTGTTTGGGGGGTTTCCCTTTTCTGGCTTCTTAGGATCTCAGTCGTATTTAGTCAATGATTTTCTCACACAGTCTGCCATAATTCGCCAGAGCTAATGAGTGTTGAATAGGATGGGAAATTTAGGTGCCATATCCCCCCCTTTATTTGCTCCTCGTTTCCGCCCCGCCCTTTCCTGATCTTCTATTCCGTCGTCTACTAATTTTTAAGAGAGATATGTGTGACATACTCCAGAATCCTATTATGTAAAAACTTCAATTTTATCTTCATCAGTGGCCTAGTTCGTAGCACTGCTGGTAGTCGCTTCGCTGGCCAGCACTGGTATTTGCCTCCCAAAACCTAGTAGATTGCTCGTCCTACGTTCTGGGCCGCACTGATCGAGAAATCCTCTTGTTCTTCTGTTACCTACCCTATGGTGATAACAACTTCATGTACTATAACTACTGAGAATGTGAAGTCAAGGATAGGTATCGATCCCATTCCGAAGAGGACGATATTTGAGGTCCTGCTAACGCCCTTAAAGATCTAGACTTACATAAATGATCCTTAAGCAGCGATGTTAATGTTTAGGAGGAAACTGATTTTCCTCGCCCCAGCTTCATTAGGGGTGCGTGCATAAAGGACTAGCCCAAGCCACCTAGACCAGCGTTATGATAGTGCTAATAAAATCTGTGTACAATAATTTTGAAGCGTTATTGGGCTTAACATATTGTCCATGCGATTATTATTGTAGCCAATTTTCTTGTTCACTAGCGGCGGTATATAGTAATGGAAGCTCGCTCCTAGACCCTAATGGGCCCAATGAGCATCAGTTTGGTCGGTGATATGCTCCGCTACTGGAATATGAACATTATCTCTTGATTGTACGAGGAGGGAAACCATGCGTTCGCTGAAGGAAGAGTCAGGGCCCGCAATCTCGTGGAATCACCAATTCGTGCCTCTCATGACGAAGAAAATACCTTGGGTGAACTTACCTAGTGTGGAAATCTTGCATGATATTACATTTACTTTAATTTTCACTAGAAATGACACTACAGCTCATATGTTCATTGATTCACTTTTGCCATATATTTCCCGGTGGCGCATCCAGGTGTCCCGGACTGGCTAGCAGAAGAGAATCGCGATGCCGCGGAATATAGTTGCGGGACTACCGATTTGATTTCCCATCTCCGGAGCACTACTTGTCCACGGTATACAAGGCATATTGTCTTTATACGACCATGCCGCTCATATGATAGACTTGTAGCCAAACGTGACCACACATCATTAGCGGGAGCACGATAATTCTCCCCTCTGATAGCTAAGTTACAGCTCTGCGCAGACGGAGCCTTTACCGTGAGTTAAACTTTCTACCAGCATTGCGTTGAAGTCAGGTGAGGAAGACCTTAAGATGTACGTTCGCACGCAGTGCTCTTCTCGTATTGGCGGGTAGATCCGGTGGTACCCGAAAGGGAGACCCTTGGCGCCGCATGGTAAAGAGTCGAGCGTCTTGTTAGGATGGATACTGGCTCTCATTTGTTCTTACAAATGTAACATCTTGAGCGTGCGTCCCTGGCATGTAAAATGCATTAAATGAGTCATGCTTAGAGCTTCTATGCTGATTAGATCAGAATCTTGAATTTTTTATCTTTTATCTTGGAATAGGGGAGTAAGTCGGCATTAACTAAATTTAAAATGACTTAAGTTTTCCTCGAGATTGGGATAAAAATAAGACAAGGTCGTCGATTCAATGTTCGTTTAGAATCGCTTTAATAGAAGGTAAAATGGGAGGGGAAGGCGGCCCCAAAGTAATTGCCCCTCCATCCTGTTATTTGGGGTAAAAGAACAAAGATAGATAGACCCTTCCTTCATCACCACCAAGTAGAAAAAAAGCAAAAACAAATGGTCCCAGGCGGGCTCGAACCGCCGGCCTTCGCATTTACTTGATATAAACCCTCATCGGATTAATATTAGTACGACGCTCTAACCAACTGAGCTATGGGACCTATTGGTTGAATTCGTGTTAGATTGAGGGATTATTTAATTCTATGTACTTTTTCTGATGGTGTGAGAGAGGATGGAGAGTCGAATCCGACTAATTGGGGGGTGTTTTTTTTTTTTTTCACTTTTCCCCCCACTACGGCCGGTACCGGGATTGACTAAATGTGAGTGGGTCTTCACAAAAAAATACAAGGTGACAAGGGTGAGTAAGGACAGCAAGGGAACTAATCCCGATTCGGTGATTCGGCATGCCCTACGATCTGAGGGGAAACCCTGGTGCATTTATTTTTTTTTAATTTCTTATCAGCTTATCTACGCTTCAGTAGTCGCATGCTGTTGGAAATTTATCTAGCTAGACACCGATCCGGCCCTTCTTCAAGACTCATTCCATTCTGACTCTGATTCTACTTAAGACTCGAGAACGTTAAAGTTCCTTCTTTTAGGAGCTCAATTGACTTCAATTGGGAGTAGGGAGCTCCAATCTTTGGTCTCGTGAGACCTCTTCCCTTCTAAACCTCCCCATATTCTAGCTCCCAGCTTGTCATGGCTCTCCCCACCAAGATAGCAGGTCGAGCGCCTGTATTATTGCGAAATGTTCGACGATTACCCGTCACTCGAAGGCAACTTACTACAAAGAGTTTCCGAGCTCCTACTCAGCTCCTCGCTTCGTACCGAAAATCTAATTTCATACAAGAGAGAAACTTCTCAGCCACCGCTCTTTGCTCGGCGGGTGTAGCTACCACACAAGAGGCGCCGAACCCGAAGGCATACTTGGAGAGTGGCGTGATAAAGCCTAGAGATGTTGTGAATGTTAAAAAGGTATTGGTAATTGGTAGTGGTGGCCTAGCAATTGGACAAGCTGGAGAATTTGACTACTCAGGTTGGTGTTGCAATTTTGCCCTCGACAACCCTAGCGGTCAAGAGTGACTCACAACTTGATCGAGTTTATGAACACACACTAACATTCATAAATGGGTAGGCTCACAAGCACTCAAGGCTCTTAAGGAGGCCGGTGTAGCCTCTGTGCTCATAAATCCAAACATTGCTACTGTTCAAACAAACCATGTCCTCGCTGACGAGATTTACTACCTTCCTGTCACTCCCGAATACGTGTCCTATGTTATCGAAAGGGAACGACCTGATGGCATCTTCTTGTCCTTTGGTGGACAAACCGCGTTGAACTTGGGTGTACAAATGCAGCGCATGGGAATATTAGAGAGATATGGTGTTAAGGTCCTTGGTACAAGTGTTCATACTTTGGAGCTGAGTGAAGACAGAGATCTATTCGCCAAGGCTCTCAACGAGATTGACATCCCAATTGCCAAGTCAATTGCTGTCGGAACTGTTGACGATGCCCTCGATGCTGCTTCAAAGGTCGGATATCCTATCATCGTCCGTGCTGCCTACGCGCTGGGAGGTCTAGGTTCTGGCTTTGCCAACAATGAGGAGGAATTGCGCAATATGGCCGCCCGGTCCCTAACTTTGTCGCCCCAAATCCTCGTCGAGAAATCACTGAAGGGATGGAAGGAAGTCGAGTATGAAGTCGTCCGCGACGCAAACAACAATTGCATCACTGTTTGCAATATGGAAAACTTCGATCCCCTAGGGACCCACACCGGTGACTCAATCGTCGTTGCGCCTAGTCAAACTCTTAGCGACGAGGAGTACCATATGCTTCGGTCCGCTGCTATCAAAATCGTTCGCCACTTGGGAGTTGTCGGCGAGTGTAACGTCCAATATGCCCTTCAACCGGATGGTCTCGACTATAGGGTTATTGAGGTCAATGCTCGTCTTTCCCGGTCGTCGGCTCTTGCTTCGAAAGCTACTGGGTACCCTCTAGCTTACACCGCGGCAAAGATTGGTCTTGGTCACAGTCTGCCTGAGCTTCCAAATGCCGTTACGAAAACTACTACCGCGAACTTCGAGCCTTCTCTTGACTATATTGTGACGAAGATACCTCGATGGGATTTGTCAAAATTCCAGCACGTGAAGCGTGACATCGGCAGTGCTATGAAATCTGTGGGTGAGGTAATGGCTATTGGACGTACTTTCGAAGAATCATTTCAAAAGGCTATTCGTCAAGTCGATCCTAAGTTCCTTGGTTTTCAAGGTGACAAATTCGAGGATCTTGACTATGAGCTCTCCCATCCGACGGACCGTCGATGGCTAGCTGTTGGCCAGGCAATGCTTCACGAAGGTTATTCGGTCGATAGAGTCCACGAATTGAGTAAGATCGACAAGTGGTTCTTGCACAAGCTTCAAAACCTCGTCAACTGCACAAGAGAAATGGAGGCGGTTGGTAGCCTGGATGGTCTGAAACGGGATCTACTCCTCAAAGCCAAGAAAATGGGGTTTTCCGACAAGCAAATTGCGAATGCCGTCAAGAGCAATGAAGACTCTGTTCGCGCTCTCCGACTAAGCATGGGAATTAGACCTTGGGTTAAGAAGATTGATACCCTGGCCGCCGAATTCCCAGCAGACACCAACTACCTATACACCACCTACAATGCCAGTTCTCATGATGTTACATTCGAGGATAAGGGTACTGTTGTCCTCGGTAGTGGTGTGTACAGAATTGGTAGCTCAGTTGAATTCGACTGGTGTGCTGTTAGCGCTGCTTTTGCCCTAAGGGATATGGGCGAGAAAACTGTCATGATCAACGTAAGTAAAACAGTTCACTTTTACCACTTTTACTCATTTATACCCCTTAATTGCTGTTGGGGCATATAATCCCTTATGTGCATATTGTACCCACTTCTACCTAACTTTATTGCTTTGATGCATCTCAACCCCTTTCCCACCTCACGATCCCTCCCACACACATTAGATTCTTCCTCGAGTATTTTACTCATCTACTCATCTAAATGCCCTTCTAACTTGCCAAAAAGTTCAATCCCGAGACGCTATCCACTGATTTCGACTCTGCCGATAAATTATACTTCGAAGAGCTAAGTTATGAGAGGGTCATGGATATCTACGAATTAGAGAATGCTTCTGGTGTAGTTGTGTCTGTTGGTGGCCAGCTTCCCCAAAACATCGCTCTCCGACTTCAAGAAACGGGTAAGGCAAATGTCCTAGGAACGGATCCCAAAGATATCGATAAGGCCGAAGACCGACAGAAATTCTCCGAAATCTTGGACAGCATTGGAGTTGACCAACCTGCCTGGAAGGAACTGACTTCTGTTACCGAAGCTGAGAAATTTGCCAACCAGGTTGGCTACCCTGTCTTGGTCCGTCCAAGTTATGTTCTTTCCGGCGCTGCTATGACTGTTATTCGAAGCCAAGAAGATCTCAAGGATAAGCTCGAGGCTGCCAGTAACGTTTCTCCTGACCACCCGGTGGTTATCACTAAATTCATTGAGGGCGCGCAGGAGATTGATGTCGATGGTGTGGCTCATCAAGGTAACTTGATCCTTCACGCTGTAAGTGAGCATGTCGAACATGCTGGTGTTCACTCTGGCGATGCTACCCTAGTACTTCCTCCGGTAAACTTGGATGATAGCATCATGGAACGGCTCAAGGAAATCGCCAAAAAGGTTGCGAAAGCTTGGAACATCACTGGACCGTTCAATATGCAGATTATCAAGGCTGATGACCCTGAAGGTGGAGAATCAGCACTCAAAGTTATTGAGTGTAATCTTCGCGCGTCTCGGTCATTCCCCTTCGTCAGCAAGGTACTTGGCACCAACTTCATTGATGTTGCCACCAAAGCTCTTCTCGGAAAAGATGTTCCTGGCCCTACTGATGTTATGGCTGTCAAGAGAGACTATCTTGCCACCAAGGTCCCCCAATTCTCATGGACTCGTCTAGCTGGAGCCGACCCATTCTTGGGTGTTGAAATGGCTAGCACTGGAGAGATGGCCTGCTTTGGTAAGGACCTTGTTGAAGCGTACTGGACATCCCTTCAATCGGCTATGAACTTCCGCGTGCCCGAGCCCGGCGAGGGTATCCTCTTCGGCGGTGAGATCTCTAAGCCTTGGCTCACAAAGGTTGCCGATTACCTCTCTCCTCTTGACTACAAATTTTACGCTGCTGGAAACGACGTCAAGCAATTCCTTGAGTCGACTACTAAGGACAAGGTTACCGTGGATGTAATTGAGTTCCCTAAGGAAGACAAACGGGCTCTCCGAGAAGTCTTCGAGAAGTACCAAATCCGCGGAGTATTCAACCTGGCTCTAGCTCGAGCCAAGACAGTTACGGATGTTGACTATGTAATGCGCCGAAATGCTGTCGACTTCGGTGTCCCATTGTTCATGGAGCCACAGGTAAGAATTACTTCATGTTGGTTACCTAATGTACGCATATGCTAACTGTCCCTTTTCTAGACCGCGATGCTATTCGCTCAGTGTATGAGTGAGAAACTGCCTAGGAAAGAAGGCATACCTTCCGAGGTCCGTCGGTGGTCCGACTTCCTCGGCGGAAAGCCGTTGTAGAGTAACTTATTATATACCCGGTTCCCTATTTCCTCACAGAATTTTGCGGAGCTAAATAAAAAGGGAAAAAATTCTACTATCGCAACGTCTTCGCGATTTATTCGAGGAAAATTTTGATTGGCGTTCACTTTACTTTTTTGCTCGATGACTTTATATGAGACGGATGGGTGGGTGGGGCGTGGAAAAGGGTGACGAACGATATGTTATTTGCTTTTTCTTCCGTCCTCTATCCGAGAGGGAAGATCCGAAATGGAGGTAAAATCACCTGTGGCGTACCTCATGACCGGGGTCAGTTTCGCTAGATACTTGGGTCTATAGTGAGGATGGTGTGGACGTAGATTAGGTAGATAGCATATGCTGGATCTACGTGTTATACGCCTTCGAATTGATAACAAAAGTTCAAAATAACTATGCTATCGTACTTGGTGATTTCAATGAATATTATAATGCTTACTAGATCTACCTTAATATTTAACGCATCTAGCAGAAGAGAAAACTTGTAAAATCTTGGCAGCGCAAGTCGCAAAAGCAAATGTACCTAGGCATGTACTGCCAGCTCATGCATGCGGTTATATGATTCGAAGCGGGCTGCCATTTATCAGTTGAGCAAAGATCGACGGTGAAAATAAGGAGTTATTGTATCACCGTCCTGCAGCCAGCTATATGCCCACCCTCTTTTTTCCCCTCTCCTCCTTTACACACGCACGAGAAATGCGTATTTCTCTTCTCTCTTCCTCTACGTCGGCAAAAGCCGAACGTCAAAAATAACTCCGGAGGCTTATCTTCTGGCTCAATACGTAGTATGTATGGTAAAGCACCTATGTATCCGACGGAAAAAAGTGAAGAGAAATCCTTTTTTTATCCCTCTATCGCCCACCTGCTGCGTTGGTAGGCTGTTGGCTAGCATTCGCGTCGAATCGAATGAATACATGAACCTATTGCCTATCTCATCTATAGGTATAAAATTCCGTCCGTGAAACACAAACCCCACCTTCTCGTGTAACCTGCCTTTCTCATTTCCGTCTCATCCGTGTTGCTTGATATTTTTTCGAGTTTTCCATTCCAAATCATATATCCTCGAACTTGGCGCGGTTGAAGGTGGGTCGGTTCTCGTTTCGCTCGTTTAGCCTAACGGCAGCAAGACGCTTAGTAAGCGGTTCACCGGATTTTTGGGAGCGGGCGGCGGCAGCAGTATCAACAGCGGCAGCAGAAGCGGACGAGGATGATTTTGCCGTTGAGGACGCTCCGCCGTTCGCTTGGCCCCCCTCGCCACTTGAACGACGAGGGCGCTTTCTTGTAGGGAGTTTCTCACCAGTTTCAGTTAAGATGGCTTCTAAAGTTTGCCAACCCGGCATCGAGAAAAGCTGATACGTATCTGCAAGGTCGTGTGTGGTTGCTGCTCGACAGAGCAGGGCTTCCTCTTCCTATTCACTGGTTACCTTACTGTAACTAACGAAAAGGGGTTATAGATCACGTGATAGAATAAGAGGGACTTACCTTGGATAGTATGCTTGTTCCATGTATGAAGTTGAGAAGATGGAAATCGGAAAGGGATCCAAGTTGATTGCCACCACTGGTGTCGAGTGCTTTTGCAACTGACTTGAATTGCTGATTCTCGCCCATAGCCTCACGGTTCTCGATGGGGAAGTTGGGGGTGTTGAAGATAGGTTTCGGCTCAGCAGGGAAACCGTGTGTTAATGTGACGAAGAGATACTCAACCGGGAAAGATGGCTTAGCATTTTCCTGTACGTTCGCGCCGTACTCATTGATTTTTCGATAGAACACCTCGGGAATATATCGTGTCCGACTCGTAGAGCCATCGTCTTCCTCCTCTTCCCGTACGAGCATGACGTTGGGATCAGCTGATGGCTCAACAAGGTCCGCTCGTACCATTTCTACAGCGTCATTCGAGACTTGGTAAGATGAAATCGCGATCTGGCCTGTTTCGTCACCCGAAATGATACATGTGACGAAGTTAGAGCCGAACCTCCCTGTATCGCTCCACTTGGTAGGCTTAGGGTGTTGAGCCTGTAACCGGGCGGCGAAGCAAACCTCAAGAGAGCTAAGGTAGTATGAGTCGGCATGTCGCTTGCAAACGACCTTTCCATCGCCGGTACCTGCATCAAGTAAATCGGTAAATATAACCCCAACTTGCTGCAGTCCACATAACTTGGCCACGTCATTCACAGCCGCCTCATCTCCCCAGGAGTTTAATGACACTCCATCAACTTCATCTACTTGAGGTACCTCGTATATAGCCTCGACGATCGCTTTAACGCCCAGCGGTACTTCGGAGTATTCTGCGTAGCGACCATACAGGTAACCAATTCGTTGCGCACCGGTTCTTCGCCACGCGTCAATGAAGGAGTTAACGAGCTCGAATGAGGCGAACTCGACATGATCGACCATACGGAAGGTCTGCGGCTGTAGGGTGATAGCGCTAGGTTGGCATTTTGTACAAATACCCTCAGGCCACTGAGGATGTCCTGACGGGCAGTCCCTCTTCACTCTGAAAAACGGTTCCTTAAGCGGCGGAATGAAAGAACTTCCCAACTCGGGTTTATTGGTGGCCGAATTAATCTTTCGAAGATAAGAGTGGAAGGATAGGTACTTGATCTTCTTATCGGTGAGGTATTGGGGGTTAAAAGGGTCGAGGGGCATGCAGTAGTCGCACATGCCTTTGGGACCGTGCTTGCACATTCGATCTCGACCTCGAGGAATCTTTCCATCCTGCTTGTCTAACCGATCATCTAGTGCGGACTGTCTTACTGTCTCCCAAGGGTTCTTGATGATTTGCGTAGGAGATGTTAACGACGGCGGGTCGACCGGAAGATCTTCTGTGGGTAATATAGGTTTGCCATTTAATCTATTCGTCGATGAGATGGTGGTGGATGGTGCGGGCGCGCCGTTAGCGTGGCCGTTGGCAGCGTTTTGGTGTTGGTAGGCGATGAAGATTAAGTCCCCGTGACTATATGTACATTAGTATATTGAGCTCCAGGATGAGATAACGGTAGAGTTATAGTACTTTAAACCTATCTGGGACAGTTTGTATTTCGCGATATCTACTAGTTTCTTGGAGTCTTTGGCTTGGGGGTCTGGGGACATGGAGATACTATTGGGGTCGACGGTTGGTGGCAATTGCGGCACGAGCTGTGATAATTAGTTAGAGACGGTTATGGTATTACGGGAGGGAGAAAAAAGCCTACTCTATTACCAAGCTCTGCGAAGGTATCGGTCTTCTCGATATTGATCCGGATCATGCCATCCGGCCCTCGTAGTCGTAACAACATCGTGAAAGATATGGGGTCAGATGATGATAGAGAAGCGTTATAATGGGAAGAAAATGAGGGGTGGAGAGATGTCGCTCATGGGGAATAAAATTTATATGGTAGCCCCCTGAATTTTGGTTTGAGAAATCAGGTGGGATTTGGTATGAGTAAGAGTAAGGGAATAATTAAAGTGTATGTGGCGGAGAATAGCGAGGAAGGAACCGGAGTTGTGTAGATGATTAGATTCGTGACTGCGTGAAGGAGAGGAAGTTACAACTTAGAAATGTTCGAACCTGTTCAGGCACTGACCGCTGATGACGCGCGCCGCTAGAGCTTTGTCAGAATGGCTAAGGGTGGGGTGGCCCTTGCAGCTACCTTACCCATACCATTTCGGGCCAGGTATTTAGTCACCTTACTAACGAGCTAGAGTACATCCCCATAAATGGCCCGAGCTCCATTTTCTGTAGCTGGCACGGACCATCGTACCGAAGAAACATCCATGCACTGAGCGAGGTATGATGTATGAAATATGCACGTATTCGGCAACCGCGGTAATGCGTGTCGACATCACAGATCGCGACATACACAGTATACCTCACATGAAGATACACACAAGCATAGACACACATACATATGTAGGTATCATCGACCAACAATGGCGACAGTAGCTACGTCGATTCTATAGAAATGCAATGACTTTTTTTATTGCAAACGTCCCTAGAAAATCATGACAACCCTCCAATAAAAAAGCTGGGAAACAAGGCAATAACTACCTGGGTACGTAGGACATCCTGTGTCTGTCTGTTTGTCTGACTAGCATCTTGACCAGTCGACGAACTAATTAGGAGTGCCGCCTTGAATATTGCAGTACAACTCGTGCCAGGCCATAATTTTCACTTTTTCGCATCCCTCCCCTTGCCAAAGGCCCTTTCCTGACCAAACATCGACTGCTCCAGTGCCACACATAATCGGATCTGAAAAAACAAAGTACTGCCTAGTTTACACAGCCTAAACACAACCACTGAGCCTGGGTACTCGGATGCCAGCGTAGGCATCATATTCCAGTAGCATCCATGGGCTACCATCAAACAAACGGTAGACATGCCTATAGCAAATGTTGTGCCAAACTTATACCCCCGTAAACGCCCCTAGTTGCCAACAACTTTTCAACAAGAATTTCTCGTTGTCTTGTCGATTTCTGCATCTGTTGCTCTTTACGCCGTGGAGTCGACTTCTACTGCTGTCTCGTCGGAAGCCTTTACATTCTGTGATATATTAGTATCCTAGCTTCGATCGTCTTGTAATGTAGAATCAAAGTTTCATTCATGGGCCGTGTCGCAAGCGTGTTAAAGTATTCGACATACCTTCGCGGAATCTAGCTTCTCATCAGCGGCCTCTTCCTTAGTCTCTGCATCCTCCTTCTCGACATCAGCTTTGTCATCCTCCTTCTCAGGGTCCGCTTTGTGGTCAGCCGATGACTCCTTAACGCCATTGGCAGCTCCCTTTCCGGACTTCACGGCGTCACCGGTAGAACCGTTAACTCCGTTAGCAGCTGAGGGTGCGCCGTCGGCAAGTAGAAGCTTATTCCACTTGTCTAGAAGGGTCTGGGATCGCGGCTTGAACTGGAACTCATCCTCTTTCGGGATGTTCTCTAGCTTCAAGATAGCCTTAAGAACCTTGTTGATCTTGGTAGCCTTAATGATGCTGACCTCGAGGTCGGGGAAGGTCTCTAGCTTTGCAAGAAACTCCGACATCGACTTCATCTCCTCTTCCTTCGGCTCTTGGTCTCGGAGAAGCAATCCCTTCTGGAGTCGGTGTCGCAAGAAAAATATCTCCTTCTGCAAACTAGTTAGCGCTGATCAAAATAACTATGAACTAAAAGACCTTACCTCCTTGCGGACATGTCTCTCCTCGGGGGTGAGCTCGGGCTCCTTGGGTGCAACCGCCTCTTTCTCTTTCTTGCTCTCACCCTTGTCTTTGCCACCCTTAGTCTTGGCCTTGACCTTAACAGGCTTGGAAGATTCCTTTGTAGACGGAGATTGAACGCCGTTAGCGCTCTTGGGAGTAGAAGAGTTCGTCAGCTTGATCTTAGGCTTCTTGACAGATTCGGCGCGTTGAGGAGTCTAGGCAAATATCAGTAATCAGTAAGTAGTAATTAGTAGGAGGGGGTTTCCTTACGCTGTTGTCATCATCAGCCTTGCGCTTCTTGGACTTAGGCTTCTTCTCAACGGGCTCCGCATCGGCGGTGTCGTCAATGTCTGCCATCTCGATATCCTCGTCCTCATCAACGGCGGGAGTTTCAGCTGCTTTGGCAGCCTTCTTCGGAGTCTTAGCAGACTTGGCCTTCTTAGCCTCGAGCTTGGCGAGGCGCTGCTCTTCGAATTCGCGAAGGACGTTCTTGTAGTAGTCCAAAGAGTTCTGCTCAGCAGCCAACAGGTGGGCATTCTGCAAATCCTTGCGCATCTTGGTTGTGATCATGGATGCGACAGTCGAGGGATCAAGCTCGCTAAGATCAGAATTGGTTGTCCACGAGCTAGAATTGGGAGTCAGCTTCAAAGATACCACATAAGGAGTTTGAATTGGGGCAACCTTACAATTCATTAGTATGCAAGTACATGACCGGGAATGTGCGGTCTGCAATTCTCTTACCACCATCGGCGAAGTCTTCTCGATAAGTGCCGTCAGGACGCGCAGCTGTGACAGGTCTTGTGCTCAACATGCTCTGGGGTAGCATGTCCTCTTCGGCGATGATGACAGGCCAGGGAGGGAAACCCTTTAGCTTGGCGAAGTAGTGTTCACCAGGTTGAGCATCGACGTGTAGAATCTTAGCTTTAGATTGCTTCTTGTTCAGCTTCTTGCCCTTCGTATCGCCTGAAGACTTGCGACGCGCTTTAGACTTGTCGACAGGTGTTGCCGACTCTGTCTCAGCCGGGGCAGCCTCAGCGGCGCCTGCAGTAGCTTCGTTCTCAACATCTTCTTGCTCAGCAGCCTTCTCCGAGTCAACATTGGCATCAGCATCGCGCTTGCTGGCCTCTCCGACGGTTCTATCAGCCATCTCGATATCGGTATCGGCGGACTTCTTGTCGGTAGATGCGGCGGCAGAAGCTGTAGGAGCCGAGTCTAGAATTGGATGCGATGTTAGCGTGGTGTTCGTGTCAATGTATAGACAGTTAAGTAGAAAGAATTGTAGAAAAAAAAAAAATAATGAACAGATTATATGACGCTTGCTGCGCGGGAGGAGTGATGTATAGTTATTATGCGTGAAAAGCGCGACTCGAATCGTGATGTTGGGAAGTTTCGGCGGGAATAATTGTCTCTTCATTATTTTGTTTTAATTAGGCGTGACGTACCTTCGGTGTCGGCTTGCTTTTCAGCTGAGTCCTCCTTAGCCTGGTCGGCGTCGAGGGAAGGTGCGGCGTCCTTCTTGTCAATTGATTTCGCGTCGGTAGGCGCGACGGATTCTGACGTAGTATCCTCTACTGTAGTATTGGGAGCAGCGTCGGCGGACTGCGCGACGGCAGATTGCGCGGTCTCGTCAGACATGATGATATTCCCACGCTAGTGGTGTCTGCAATAGAGGAAAAAAGATGGACGCGGCGCGGATATGGTACAAGACGATGATGGTAAGTCGCGAAGGGAGAGAGAAGAAAGAGAAATTCAAATAATAGTAGAAGGGAAGAAAATGGTTGGTGGTGTGTGGTGAGTGGTAGCTACGGCGAAAAGTTGTTGACCAACGGTTGGTGGAAGGAAGGGTGGAAAGATAGAAAAAACGCGTCCGATCAACTTCGTTAAAACTGGAGAAGTTGACGGAGCTAACAGGCAACCACTGTTATCGATGGACCACTTCAATTGAATGGCGCGATCCGATGGGGTTGTGTTGTTGGAAGATTAGATTCGCGGAAGGGAAAATAGAGAGGAAAGAGAAAGAAAAAAAAAGGTGACGGCGGAAAGTTGGTGGATAGATGAGGTAGTTCAAAAAATTCCCAGGATCGAGATGGAAAGCCTGTGCTCATTCGACTACAAGCAACTACGCCGGGATGTACCTGACGAATTGAAAAGTACACGGATACCGTGCGGTACGCCCGTAGAAATGGCAGAAATGGCAGGAAAGACCAGAAAAAAAGGTACAAATGCACGTGACTTTAAGTCGATGGCGTCGTCCCTCTTGTCGTTGCCGTATGTGTACTACCTTTCTCTCAGTGACTTATTATTTTTTTATTAGGTAGGCAGGTAGGTAGAACGGGTAGGTGTGGATTATTTCCCTTACGTAGTTCCCGGGGTGTCGTGGTTCTTGGTTCTCTTTGGTCCGGCCGAGGTAGCCCTTGGTTACCTTCTAAGTACCTATGGACTTTAGGACCTCAGATTACGCTGGTACTTCCTACGTGGGTCTCCTTTTTCTTACTGTTTACAGTACATGCCTGCCCTACCCTGCCTGTGCGTAGGAGTAGGCTGCGGCCGAGAATGAGGTACAACACGGAGATACCTACGTAGCAGCAGCAAGTAGCAGTAGAGGTACTTAGGTAAGGAGGCAAGATGGCCCCCTAACGCCAGCCCACACCCGCCGTGAGAACCAATCCACCTGGTGATCATCGAACATTCATCAACGTAGCCCTCCTATATTCAATTTTTCCCGCACAAGCCTTCTTCTTCCTTCCTCCTCCATCCACCCCCATTTGCATCCACGCCCACCGACGACAAGCCCACTAAGCTTTCCGATGAGATACGCCACCGAGATCGGTCCACATCGATAGCTCGCTTCGCACAACCCAGCATTCGGATAACTCACGCCGCAACATGAAAATAGAGAAAAGCAAAATAAGAAGCGCCGCTTCGACTAGTTGAGACAATGTGTAGAATTAGCAATAAACGTTTTTTTTTCACCTAACCCTTTTTCCTAAATAATTCGCCGGGCAAGCCTTATCGCCCTCTAAAACGATTTTCTATATGTACAGTAAGCTTTTCATACATAAGATGAATTGTAATCACACCTGTGGAGGGCCCCGCGAGGAACACCTTGAAGGATTCTACTCATCATCTTCTTCGTCCTCGTCTTCATCATCATCCACATCCATTCCCTCTGCGACCGTAACGGAAAACGTTGGTTCTTGATCCACACCGACGTAGCTGTCACTCATTAAGAATAACTTCAAATCATGCTTGCCGGGTGTTGGGACTGTGTACTCCAACTTAACCTTGTGTTGCCGGCCAATCGTAACCCGCTTGATTGCCAGCAGTGTCTTTGTGCTCTCCTCTCCAACAACCAGCCACCAGTTCTCCACCTTCTTGGCGGGGTAGAACGGAGCATGAACTGTCGTGTCAACCTCTCCGTCCTCCTCTTCAACTTCGCGCTCGATCCGGACGTTTATGTATGCAGGTTCTCCAGCACGGATGTTGTCCTCGTCTAAAAGCTCAAATTCTAGAGAGATATCGGGGTACTTATTGTTCGTGAAAGACGCTGCCTGGGCCAACTGAGATTGGGACAAGCCAAGGCGTTTGACAAGGGTACCGTAATTCGCGTTCTCCTCAGGATTCATCGCCTCCATGAAATCGAAGATATCGTTGATACTAGAGCGTAAGGAATTAGCATCTTCACCGCTGATATCATTATGTAGAAGTACATACCCAAACTCATTTGCCACCTTCACTACCTCAGGTGTGAAATGAGGGATCTGCTTCAAGGGGCTGTCACGGTCCCACATGGCTTGGACCACCATCTGCGACATTTCCATGGCGTTCATTGCATTTAGGTGTCCATCAGAGGAAAGAACATCGACGGTCGCACTCAGAAGGCTTAACACCTTCGACACAACCAATTCTTGATCCTTGGCCAAATCGATAGGAAGCTGCATGCGCGAGAAGTGCGCTTGAAGCAATACGAAGGCTTTGAAGTGTGGCGAGTCATATGCCGGCTCAGACATCTTAACTGGAACTCTGTCATATATACGTCGAAGTAAATTGTCTTCATGGCGGCGAATTTGGATCGACTCAAATTCTGTAGCTGATGTTACAATTTCCAGAATTCCCTTCAGCTTTGTCCTTGCCGATAACGACAGCAAGAATGTCTGCATTGTGATGTAAGAAATATTGTAATAGGCTGCAATCATAGCCGCATTCTGAGGTGTAACTGTGCCATCATCTTCATCGAAATCAATGATCTTTGACTCTGTAAGCTCCTTTAAGGTTGTTTCAACCAAATCGGAAAGGTAATTGCTCAGACCATCGTGTGTCGGACTTGTCAAACTGTAGTAGCTTGGGTTTGCCAGAAGTCGGCGATAGAAGTATGTGAACGTCGTCCAATTAATGGCATCATCTGCAGACTCGATCATCTTTGTGCTAACTTCAGTAACAAAAGCGTCATGCACAAAATTGTGAAGATGCGACTCGACCGGAAGGGCTTCATTCAAGAATTTCTTGAAGTATTCTCTCCTGACAGCTGGCACCATCAGAACCCCGCGACTACGACCATCCTGGGACGAGCGCAAAGCTTTGCCGAACATTTGTAGTACTTCACTCAGCTGGTAGTCGACGTAACGATGTTCACGACCTTCAAAGTACTGGGTACCCATTACCACTACTAAATGTGCGGTGCAATCCAGCTCCCAGCATACATCGCGAGACGCAACCAACACTTGAATCGCGCCTTGGTTATATAAGTGAAGGACGAGACGCTTGTCGCTCTGACTGAGAGCTTCGTGATAGTAACCGACACCATGTGAAAGTGCTTCAGCTAAAGCTTCCTCATGGATACGTTCTAGGAGGGGGCGAAGCTGGTCAACTTCGACATGCAAAAACCTGTCTTCGTCATCTTCAGCCAAACATGCTGCAAGAATATCGCGAGCGCTTGACCTGGTTTGTTTTCTGCTTGGAACAAAGATGAGAGATGGCTGGTCAGCTGATAATTCAGTGACGGCGAGATAAGCTGGTTTAGCCATGGCAAGCATCAGCGATGGGAAGTGAGGAATAGAGAATGACTGGATGCGAAGTTCCAAGGGTACTGGCCGGACGTGGGGGCTAAAGTTATAGACATCCTTCTTTTTAGCATCAATCCATTCCCCAATATCTCGAGCGTTTGCAAGCGAAACACTCAACCCAACAATCCTCATTGGCAAGCTAGCGGTAGTACGGATGTAATGCATACGGGATACTACAATTTCGTAGATGTATCCTAACGGGCCACCAAGAAGGTGTAGTTCGTCAGCAATAAAAAGCTCGACTGTGAGAATATTCTTGCGTCTTTGCCATTGGCGGGAGAGGACGTCCCATTGCGTCGGTGTAGCCAAGATAAGGTCTCCCTTCTCGAGTAGCTTGAGGTCTACTGCGGTTTCACCAGTGAGTTTAACTATCTCCTTACCGCCACGTAAATGGCTAAGACGTTTCTTCCAGTCTTGATATTTGATGTCAACAAGTTCTTGGAATGGCGCAATATAAACAGCACGACCAATCTCTGGCTTAGACCAAAGACGCAAGAGGGCAAACTCGGCACACACCGTCTTTCCACTACCAGTAGGAGCGCCAATTAGGACGTTATCATCCGTTGTGTAAAGCGAATTGAATGTTTGAGTCTGGATTTTGTTGAAATAGCTCCAAGATTCGTATAGATTGGAAAAATCCTTCGCTTTCAATGCAGCGACTGGAAGAGGCTGTAAGTCTAACAGCTGGGTATGCGGCGGGAATTTCTCGGGAAGTATGAGCTTCTGGAACGAGACGGCCAATTTCGTCTCCGAATGCATCCATCGGTCGGAAATCACGGAAATGAAGTAATTGGGAGGCATAGGTTCAGTAATAGGAACCGTGAAGTCGACTAGGTGTTCGTTAGATTCTAATATCGCATAGTCCTTACGTAGAAGGAACTGATCGTGGAATAGGATATCTTCACCATCGCAATCTTCAACGATGATCCAGAAACTTTCCGCCGACCCATGCAATTCATCATCCCACTGGAAATTCGGTGTAATTGATAATTCGACTCGAAGCATAGAACGAGTCATCGGTTGGGCTTGGGCTTGAATCTCAACCCTCGGGAATTTAGATACTAGGTCGCACACGATACGTCCTGCCTTCGGAAGTCCGAGCAGCTCTCCCATCCTCGGAGGATCCAAATCGAAATAGCTGCTCCATGGAACATCTAAGCGGTCGGCTTTTGCAATGATATCTCGGGAGCAACGAGGAAATTGCCTAAGCGGTGTCATAGTTAACCACATCCTCTTTTCTGCCATTTTGCACAAGTCTAGGGCCGTCTTCGCAACGTTAGACCATCCTTTTTGGAGAGTAATTTCGAAGATAGCACGAAGAATACGACCAGCAGATTGGGTGACATAAACCATATCAGCCATGAGAGCCAAGCCCTCAAGCTTGAGGCGGCTGATATATGCCTGCAAAAGGACATTGATTTTGCAGTGTGGTTCCTCGATGCTTTCTTTAACAGGGATTGGTATTCGAGCTAATATCTTCGCCAACTCCAACTTTTCGTCTTGTCGCACGGGAATATACTTGAATTCAGCGCTGAGAGCGAATACTCTGAAGAGTTCGATCGTCGTGATAGAAGGCTGGATGAGCTTGTTGTAGGTATCCATCGATCCATGCGTGATGTAATAGTGCGAAGATATCCTTCCGAGTTCAGTCGCTTTGACCTTACCAGTCTTTTCGTCGTAGGTAATTAGGTTGGATTTCTTAAGGACTGTGGCCGCCGAATGCACAAGATCAACTCGCTTCTGTTCCAAGGCTTCATCATCCTCATAGTCGGCCCCGACGCTATAAAGGCCAGGCGACCTCAGCATTCGAACGAAGAGATATGTGTATCCAAGCCATTCTACTGCTTCGTCTCGACTCCGGACATTGCCTAGAACAATTTCTGCGTTAAGGTTATCCACGAGCTTACTGGCAAATTGACTTTCAATAGGCAATTGCTGATTGAGCAACGATAGATAGTATTGCATCTCGCCTTGAGACGTGATGATAATACCCTCACCATAAGTATCGTACTGGGGACGTCCGGCACGTCCTAGCATTTGTAGAACGTCTTGTGGGCTCAATTCTACCCAACTACCTTTCTCTGGCGAGTAAACCTGGGTTCCTTTGATAATGACGGTATGCGCCGGCAAGTTGACACCCCAAGCCAAAGTAGCTGTGCAAACGAGGACCTGGATCAAACCGGAGGCGAAGAGACCCTCAACTTCAGATCGATCAATACGGCTCATACCAGCATGGTGAATTCCAAATCCGTAAGGGATGAGATCCTTCAGGTCGGCATCTGAGATATCATTAACAATTTCATTCAAAGCTTCTCTAGAGCCCGAATCATGTTTCAATATTTGGTTGATAGTTTCCATTTCAAGAGCTTTATCTCGAATATATTTTGCGGTCTTCGCGGTTTCCTTTCGAGAGTGAACGAAAATGAGCATCTGGTTTCGATGAGCACCTACATGCTCAATTACCTTGTTGTAGGTAATATCATTCATCGTCTTGAGCTGTTTAATGGCTTTCTTCTCAGTGACGCCGATAAACTCTTGTCTCAAGGGGCAAGGACGGTAGGAACCATCAAAATGGAAGAGTCCTTTAGTAGGGTCTACACGAAGGAAACTAGCCACATCTCTGTAGTTAGGTAGGGTAGCAGACAGACCAATAAGTCTAACAGGATCACCAGTTTGCTCAGTTTTCCTGATGGTCCTACTGACGATACTCTCGATGACCGGTCCTCGCTCGTCGTGTAGAAGATGAATTTCGTCGATAATGATGAGTCGCACGAGATTTGTGTATGTCAGGTCTGTAGCTTTTCGCGTAATTACGTCCCATTTTTCAGGTGTCGTAACGATTATCTGCGTCTCCGAAATTTGTTGCTTTGTGAGTTGGCGATCGCCAGTCAATTCAGCCACCGTTATGCCATATGGTTTTAGACGCGCGCCAAAGTTGCCAACTTGTTCTTGGACCAAAGCCTTCAAAGGCGCAATGTACACAATCTTGAAGGCATCCAGGTTGATGTCACCCGTTTTCGGGTCCCTGTGTTTTCCAAGCTCCCGCAGAATAGTCAACATAGCTACGTTTGTCTTTCCACTACCCGTGGGAGCGCAGATAAGCATGTTCCCATCGTCTTCGAAAGCTGTCGGGTAACATCGCGATTGAATCTTGTTCAAACTCTTGGCCGAACTGAAAGGAACACGTGCCCATTCGGGCATTTCGGTAATAGGGATGTTAGAATCCTCTGCTTGACTACGTTTCTTCGGCGCGGGGACGTGAATTTCCTCATAGCCTTTAAAAGTTCGTTTCGTAGATCCCTCGGGAAGTCTAACTTTTGGGTTTGTCATAAGATGATTGCCTTGGTCAAACACGAGGTTTTCGAGGTTGATAAGCTTCCGCGGTTGGAGGCCACCGACGAGTTGGCCTTCCGCCCGCTCGACTTTTGGTGCTGCGCTGAACGATGCCGGTACATCGATATCCATTTTGATCTCCATCTTCTTGGAACCATCAGTAGCTTTTCTACCCCGGAGTTCATCCAGAATCCACTTGACACCTTCAGAAGCCATTTCTCGTTCAATGACACCCCTTTCTTCGTCACCTTCCGCTTTGGCTAGGCGCGTAAGCCAAACAATTTTCTCTCGGTTCTCGATGAGCTTTTGCACGACCTCATGATGTTCGTAGTCTAGGAGCTCCATCAACTCGTTTTCAATTTCTCTTAATTGCTTCTCATCTCCGCCAGGTTCATCAGGTTCTCCTGAAAGTATATGCAAAGCTTGAGCAGTCTTCTCGTGTCGAATATGGTCGTCCGTGTATACGTTACCGATTTCTCTTTGCAGCCAATATGCATCTATCTGGCGCGCAGGGATATAATTGGTCTGTTTTGAAGCTCCACCACGCTTGCTATCGGGCAATGCTGAATCGATCACCATCTCATCTTCGTTTGCTAAGCCGGCTGCCTCTTGGTCTTGGTTGCCCACAACTTCGGCAGCTGTTCGTTCCTCCAAGCCATCAACGTCTTCTTCATCTTTATCAAAAACCACTTCATCATCCGATGATTCATCTCGGACTTCGTTTACTATTGCATCTGCATCTTCCTCTTCGTCGTCGAAAACAACAGCAACACCTTGACGTTCATCGAGTTCCGCGTCGTCCTCGGCTGCACCAGCTCCCGTATCTATTTCATCATCGTCATTTTGGGTATCATAATCTGTAATCTTCTTTCCGAGGTTGACCAACTCGTTGAACTGCTTGGGGTTCAATGTTGCGCCTAGCAAGTCATCTATTTCCTTTTTCTTATCGAAGTCTTTCATATCCTCATCCTTCAGATATTCCAGGACGGCATCCGCTGCGCTTAGGACGATCTCGTGCGACACATCGCCAAGGTTATTCCTCACGACATTAAGTATGAGATCGTAGGTGGCGCGGGTGGCTGGTATACGCGGTCGGTATCTTAGGCCTTCGACGAGGAGATCTGTTTGTCCAAGGATACCCGTTGCTCGCATCTGAGATGGATCGCCTTTTCGCTTTCGTTGCTCGCGAGCTAGGATATCTTGACCTTCTTGCACGTCCCCCCTCTCGACGCCTGTTAAACCCGCAGGTCTCCTTCGTTCGGGTGCCGCGTCACGCGCAACCCTGGAACCCATATCATTGATCCTCAGGCGGCCAGCAAGGGATTCAGGGTCGCCGGTAGCCTCGTCGGTTCGTCGCGTGACAAACCGTCTGTCCGCCTGGAGAACCAGGTTGGACATTGCCGAGTACTTGTACTGCGACACATCTCGATGGTGGTCTGCCATTTTCGTGGTGATGTCGCGTGTGATGGCTTTGTTCTCGACGGTGATACCTAGGTTAAGGTGGCGGGAAGAAGACCGTCGGCAGGTCCAATTCAATCAAATGGACGGGGGCGCCGTTTTCGTTTGCAGATGTATCATCAGAGAATACGGCGATATATTATTGTATTTCGGTATCCGTTATGTCGTTGTTTTATGTCGAAGCGCAACGCTTCCGCCTTGAATGTGGAAAATTAACAAGCTAAAGATCGTTTAATCTTTTTGCCTTTTTCACGTCTTCGTTTCCAACAGGCAACCTTAGCTTAAACTTTGAAGGCACTAACTAAAACTTGCATAATGTAGGGTGGCACTAGTACTTACGGGTCACTATCTCATCTTGAACCAATTAAATCCACGCTCCAGCTTGGCGGTCTACTCGTACGTACCTAGGTACATACATATGTAACATCCCATTACAGAAATTCATACCTATAAGTACAATGTCTATCATGCTATGAAGATTCACCTTTTAATCTCAATTTTGCACCCCCAAAAATATTATTTTGGTGTTGGGTCTGAATCCATAGCTCATACGACTCTCGATGGCTGTTGTGGATAAGGAACTGTGTGAGCGGGCTCGCGAGGTTATTCAGCACCGCATACGTCCTCGCGATGAAGTCGTTACTATTAGACGGCACCTAGCCCATGATCTGGCCCAGAGCTTGGGAACAGAACAACTTAGTAGCCCGTTATCACTCATCGATCCAGACACTGTTATTATTTCTTCTGAGGCGTTGCCAGGAATATATCGCGATTATATCAAGGCAGTTCGAAGAAACATCGAAATCCGAGATGGATTTACAAGGCTGCAAGAGGAACATGACGCAGCCAATGTTTCTCTCCCGTCTCTACCTGAGGAGGACCAGCAGACGCGACTTCTCGAACTTCAACTCGAGGTCAATGCATTGGAGCAGGAGCGTGAGAAATTGGACATAGTCAACAGATACCTAGAAGAACTGAGCCAACAACCCGCCGCAGCGGACGACTTTCTTAAACCCGATATCATGTTCAGGGGCTGCACACCTCTCCCCGAATTACCTAAGGAGCTAATGGATGGATTTACCCAAGATCGCGACGCACCCAATCGCGAGATCCAGGAATTACTCTCGCGTCTCCAGAAGGCGGTGTTACGAAACAAACTTCTAGCACAACGTGAAAAGCAAAATTTCGAGAAACTAAAGGCCAAAAATCCAACCGATCCTAGTAGTCTCTCTCCAGAAGTACAACTCCACGCGCTAAATGCTGTGAAGGAGAGCTTGATAAACTGGATCGAGACTATGTTAACAAAAGCTGGCGGTGACGAAGAGGAGCCAAGCTTTGAATCCCCAACCAAACCACGACAAGATGGCCAAGAGAAATTTGACCGAGACGCAAGTACGGCCGAAATTCAAAAGGAATACCAGCAGCACATCGAACTCCGTAAAGAAATTTTAGCTTCTATAGCCCAATTGAAGCAATTAAATCTCGAGTCACCACAGGGCCAAGAATCACAGGCCCCTCAGGAGCTCCCCCCACCGAGTAACTCCGACTCCGAAGCATTCCTCCTCACACCATATCTAGAGAAACTCCAAGCCATATCACGCGAGCAAAAGGGTCTTATTCAAGAAAAGTCCCACATCAACGCCACCCTCGCAAAACAACAGCAAGATATTAACAAGATCACAAACCACCTAGTAGAGGAAAGCCATCTACTCCAAACATACCCAACCAAGAAATCCGGCAAATCCAAGTCGAGTTTCGGCGAAGCCACAAAAGGAGCAAACAGATCCAATGTGACGAGTCAAGTCGAGCCCTGGATCTCCGCAGCCAACTCAGCCCAAATCGCTACTCTCGAGACGGTCTTTGAGAAGGTTGAAGAAGGCCAGGCGGCGGCCGAAGATGCCATGCAAGCCCTAGACCAAGCCCGCAAGCTCTTAAACAAGGATGACGTTAAAATAGGAGATACTCCAGGTGAGCAAGAGACTTCTGAACATGATATGTGGGTGGGAGAGGATGATGAAAATAGCGGAACCCGCGTTAGAAAGAACAGGGAGAAAAAGGTAGAAACCCAGAAGGGGTTGAGCATCTATGCGAAATTGGACGGCAATTTAGGGTTGATCAACGAATAACGGGTTATCACTGTTTTGTTAGGGCCAAATGAATTCATTTACATTTAGGCTTTGCCTTTTAATTCAGAGCAATTCCTAGCTACCTAGAAGAACTCTATGGCACAACGCCACTACATTTTGTGAACCTAACGCCATGTGCTATGATACTCATCATGTAATGAAATACACCTCTCATCTAAAATTAGTCTTGGTATTATCATTATGTCGGATCTCGCAATCAACCCTTTCCAGCCAATATGTTCGAAATTCTCAGCGCAAGATCCAGAATGGATAGGTGCTCATCAGCACCATCCACCAATCGTTTATCGACCTCTGAAAAGACGAGTGTTATCTTGTTCTTCTTCACGTCCGGGATCATCTCATCTTGTATGACCGACTGGTATAACTGTAGATACCCATTAGTTTCCAATTCAAATAGTAGCCCCAAGCAACTTACTTGAGTTAAGACCTGTCCAGCACTCCATCCATCTGCAACCATCTCTTCGACTACCTTTGCAATGGCCTGATACGTCGCCCCTGCGGATTTGGGTTGCATTGCCTTCTGTAGCGATCCGATAGTCTTGTCCGGTATAACACCAGCAATCTCTTCGATAATCTTGACCGACACAATCTTGGTGTCTTCATCGACGTCCATCTTGTCTCCGTCCTCCTCTTTCTCAATAGCACCCACCAATCTCGCACCACTCTGTAAGAACGTAATTGCCTTTCTCAAATCACCCTCACTACACTTGATAAGCGCATCAACGGCGCCATCTTCAAGTGTAACACCCTCCTTCTGGGCAATTTCCTCCAGCCTCTTCTTCGCGTTGCCTTGATCCAAGCTCTTGAACCTAAACTTGCTACATCGACTCGCCAAGGGGTCGATAATTCTAGTGACGTAGTTGCAAATCAAGCAGAATCGTGTTATCTTGCTGTACGTTTCCATCGTTCGTCTAAGAGCGCTCTGGGCATCTTGTGTCATGCTATCCGCCTCGTCGAGGATAATGATCTTGAAAGGTGGGCACGGATAACGGGATTTGTAACCGGGGGGTGGGTTCGTGAGTTGCATACGTGCGAAATCCTTCACCTTCTCTCGTACAATAGATATACCACGCTCGTCGGAGGCGTTGAGTTCGAGGACACGCGACTTCATCATATCCGGACCGTAGAGCTCCTTTGCTAGTGCGAGGATTGTAGAAGTCTTTCCCGTACCTGGGGGGCCGTAGAAGAGCATGTGAGGTAACTAGAAGTTTGTGTTAGTATTTTGAGCCATATATGGTTTCATCTCGTCGATTTCTAAAGGTGCGGCTTACATTGGAGGCTTGGAGTGTTCGTTGAAGGACATTCACAGTATGGTCTTGAGCTGTGACATCGCTGAGGGTCTTCGGTCGACTAGAACATCTAGGTAAGATACAGTCGCTACGATTTCGTGACATAAACCGATATACAAAGTAAAACATACTATTTTTCCACCCATGGTTGCTTTCGGATGTTCTGTTTCGATTCTTCTTGTTTCGAAGCTCCCCCACCATTTGCCGCCGCTGCTTTGCGGGCCTTAATATCGAAGAAGCTTGCCATGCTGGATCGGTGCGAGATATTAAAGAATCCCCAATGGGTAACTTAGTCGAAATGAGTGGTAGTGTATCAAATACTCGGCGATGTTAAGACGTCATACAAAGTTAAATATCGATTTAACGTCAATTTGGTTCTGCAGTTACCTAGGTGCGAATACAAAAAGATGTCTCCACCGACGCGTGATGAACGCGCTTTCTGGTTTGCAGGTAATTCTGCCATCAATTAAAATGTGAAAAGAGAAGGCGGCGTGAACAGGTAGGGATCTTTTGTGGGCCCAATCAGTGGTTCCCCCACCTGGTTGCGCGGTCATACTGAGCTCTCCCGCTCCGACGTAGAATACAAAGGGCATTCTTCATAAAAAGATGTATACTTCACTTGTGTACCAATAAACGTAGAACGAAATAAACCGGAACATGTCACATCGTTTTGTACGGTATCCGATTATTTATATTTAAGCATATCTACACTTCAATCGTTACAAGCAAAAACTATACTCAAAAACAACAACAATCCGATATCCAAATATATGAAAATGCCCAGGGATCATATGCCACGCTCGTTAGAAATGCAAAATGAGAATACACCAAAACAATGACAGTAAACTACTATGTCAGGTTATGCATGCACCAACTCCCGGAGGCGGGTTTCGATAACTTCCCGTCCTTTCTGGGTATCCCAGATCCGATGTGGCGCCTTATCGACGATATCCCAGTGGACCAAATTATGCGTGACATGCGTGAGATCCCTCTGCTTGTCTTCCCAGCCACTATCACTCCGGATCCTTTTCCCCGAGCTAATCAAAGTCAAGGGAATATCAGGATTCTGGATAGCCGTGCTACTCGCTAGATCACGTTTAGTCAATGTGTCGGCTACGAGGTTCTCTTGTAATTTTGTGAAGAGATATTTCCCAGTCTGGTATGCAGATTGACCCCAAACACGGTCTTCCTTAGTTCGACCCTTAAAAAGAGCACCTGGGATGCGGTCAAGGCCAAGGGGTGAGATGATGCCCCGGATCCAGAGCACAAAACCTCGTCCTGGCGAACCCACGTCGCCCAGATCGTCTTCATGGAGCGGATCGATAAAAAGGAGAGCTTTTATTTCCCCACTGTGGCGGGCGGAAAAGATTCGTGAGTAGATCGAACCAATACCAGCGCTCGCAAGGACTAGCCAATTATTAGCGAACGCCATCAAACAACGCCATGCATTATCTCTTACCCCATGGCCCATCCTCTCCAGCTCTAGCCAATGCTTCGCTGACTGCCTCGACCGCCATCCCGGCTGATAGAGGTGATGGTGCGGTATCGCTCTATTTCACATCAGCGGCTGTAACCTGAAATTGGTCTATCCACACTAACCCAAGCAAGTCCGGGACGATCAACAAAACAATACCGACTGATCGACTTATTATTGATTGCAGCGTCGGCAAACTGCCATAGGCCGTCTTCAACCGCGCTTTCTCCACCCTCTAGCAATACTGTAGGGAGCTTTGTACCCTTAGAGTCCGTCTGGTTTCCATGACAGTAAACATGTACCATATATTTACCACCATCCACCAAGAATAGCTGACCTGGTGGTGCCAAGCCAGCATCGAGGGCACGAAGGACGAGAGTTAAAGCTGTCAGAAAAACGACAAGAGTAAGTATTACCATAGATATGGTGGATGCTAGAACGGCAATCCACTCTGTTAAAGTGCGGCGAGTCTCAGCTCGACCCGTCAGCCTTTCTTCTTCTTCGGTCTTCCCCCATTCCACTAAGCGATCGGTAATCAAGGTCCAAAGAGCTATAAGAAACGCCCCTAAACCAAAACTATTAGATTCTCTGGTTCTCGCATTCGAGAGATCATTGACTCACATAAGACACTGACCATCCCAACCCAACCCTCTTCATGCCTTGTCTTCTCAACAGAAATCAACAAGACAGCGTCCACCAGCAATACTATACCCATAATTATACTCAATATCCGGACGGGTTTTGACGGAATGGCGAAAAATATGAGAGTAAAAAGCAGGTTCGCAAGCGCTAAACTTGTGTAGCTAAAGGGGAAGAAACCAGAACCTCGCGTATGAAAACCAGGTGGTGTAACAAAAGTCGAAACTAGGAGAATTGTCCACCATGCAAAGGTGAGTATTGTGAAGAATATGGTAAGGTATCTAACAATTCGCACGCTCCATAGATTGTACGGCGAGACCTATAATGCGTCAGTGCTGTTCAGACCATTGCCGGAGTAGATACTCACAGCTGGATCATCTGGGCTCAAATATTGTGTATAATCGGCGCTCTCGACCCGATTCGGCAGCAAGCGAGTATGTTCGTTCGCCGCCTCTTCTTGTTCCTGATCCAACGAATCCCTTGGACTGTCGTCCTGTCTTTTAGATCCTCCCCACAGCTTCATATTGTAACTTCGAATTATTTCCCGATCTCGAATGCGAATATACTTCGGGAATATCCAGAAGCGATCGATGGCCTACGCTCAATGATACTTCTCACTATTCTTAAGGCTGTCAGCAACCAAACAGCAATAAAATCAGAATTACAAATAAAATAAACTTTACTTTTACATTACAATGAGAGGAAAAATTAGAATTCGCTTCAATCTACAACATCAGGAGACTTTGCCCCGACATGCTGAGCACCTGCTGAGCCAAGTCTCGCTATGTCTACGTCATGACTACTAGCTCTAACTAACTCGACTCCACACCCGATCAAGCTCAAAGTGAACAAGGAGTTTCAACATAGAGTAGACTAAGAATTGAGACGAAACTCAATCTAGCATCGGGCAAATGCTAAGATAACGGTAGTTTCGAATCAAATCGAATATCCCGGTCACCTGCACTCCAAAATATTATTTCGTGACATTCGCGATAAAGATCGCGAGCTTCAAAGTTACACGGCGGGGCAAGAAAAAGGGTAGCTCGACAGAATTCTCCAATCCTAATTGCCCCCTAATCTCGCCTAGATCATAGATCTAATCGATCGCAATCCCCTATACAGCTAGCGACATCAACGTTCCATTGATGCAACGTTAATAACCCCCCATTCTCCTCTAATCTAGCTAAACCATCGTCAGTATGACTTAAATTCAGCCATGCGAATGAACCTTTCTGGTACCTAGTTGGTGAATTATTGAAATGTCGAAAGTGTTTTTATAACTCGCTTCCAATACATATAGCTTATTTTCATATCTATGTGAAGCTGACCACCTCCATATCTACCTAGGTAGTTACTCTTGGTGACACATTTTCTAGATACATCTAGCCGGTTAAGCTATAATTCCTTGTCAAAATCCTTCCAACCCCATGTGTAAGATGGCGAGCCGTTGCAGATCAAGAGTGAGAAAGAAAGAGTGACATAAGAGTAACACGCCGGGTAGCACAAATTCCAGCAGTGAATAAAACGCCACGATAATCCACACAAGCCATATAAACCATACAGTATCACCCTTCTTTACATATTCGGGCCCTTATCGATTAGCATCGCCTCTTGTAGTATTCAAGGCGATGCTGCTAGATGATGAGTAACAGCTAGCGCTCGTTCTAGAACCCTGGGAAGTTGCGCCTGAACGCATGCTACGTATGCTCGAGCGTTTCGTCTCTTTCTGGCTTTCCGTCCGCTTCACCGTCATCCCCGCAGGTCTAGGTTCCCGCCCGGCCGGGTTTATGGCATCTTGAGGTAGGGCTCCAATTGGTATGTGAAGCTTGGCGTTAGCTTGAGGATCATCATATTCAATATTGGCCTTCCTATAAGTATCTCTTTTGTATTGTTTTAAGGCTTGGGCCGACGGCTCCGAAGTGGAAACCCAGCCCCTGAGTTGAGATAACCAGCGGTGCTTGCTGTCCTTTTCCCTGATTCTGGTTGGTTCTGCCGCCGGATTCTTTTGTTGCCTCTTGTTAGTATCCTCGAGAACAACATTATTCAACCCAGATTGGCCAGACAACCTGTTCTCCTGGTGGGTAGAATCTACCTCTAGAGATTCCATTGTTGTGGTCATATGCGATATTGACACCTCATCATCAGGGCTTGTAGGGATTTCCCAAGCGTTCTCTTGTTGGGGTGAGTACGATGGGAGATCGCCTATAGTCACTGCGATTGGTGGTTTGGGTGTTGTATTAATGAGTGGGACTCTTGAGCTCGACGTAAGGCTATTGGAGATGTGACAAGATGCGGCTATGGCATGAGACGCATCAACTGAGGTAACTGTCTTGTGCTGACCCAATGAGTTACGCTTAAGACGGAGGGAAGCGATGGTGTTCTGCGTGAAAATTCGATCTCCCAAGGACTGACTCGTGGCCGATTTTGGTACCTTCTCCTTTAGCTCGCTCTTCTCGGTGCTCTTCTAGAGTCGTGAAGAACTATAGGCTTGAGAGGAAGGTAGGCCTAACAGTGTACTTCGACGTTGTTTCTTTCTTGCTTTGGGCCCGTCCTGTGATGCTGAATCAGAATCGGCGAGATGTTCGGGTGATATTCCAATTCCGAATGATTCGTCTTCATCGTCTAGTAGACTATATGGCTCCGCTTCGGACTTGAAGAAAAACGGATCGTCTGGCCTAGCCTGACCCACCCGAGATACACTAATAGGAGAGAAGTTACAAATGTCGCCTAATTGATCCCACGTTGTCTGCCCTGGTGAATACGTGGATGGGAATTGTGGGGGTTGTTCTGGGCTTCCGACGGTTGTTGGGTAGGAGAAATTCCTTAGAACAGGTGGTGTGAATCTCTCCGGTGTAGTCGGTGTAGGCGATGGTACCAGGCCTTCTTCATGGGGACTTTCGAGGGCAATGGCTTGCCTGGGTTTCCGGAGACGTCCAGCAAACCCCACCATTGTATATCGAAACAATGAAATGACAACCCGTAATAAACTCCTTATTAATGAATTTTTGGACTCCTTAGACAAATGCGGTAGGTTTCTCGAGTCTCATGTGGACATACACGTAAATGCCCAGTGTCTGCATTATCTGAGCAATAAATGATAATCTTACATCGGTGGGAGAATAGGAAGATGAGAAAGATGATATAAAGAGGTGATTCTACTAGTTATGGTTGAAAAAGCAAAGGATGGTGCTCAGCTTTAGGTTTCGACAAGATACATGAATGAGAGTAAGAGCTAGTTTGACCTGCTTGATTAATTTCTAGCGTAAGTTTCCGACTCAGCTCGAAGTTGCCTTCTTTAGGAGGTGCGATGAAATTTAGAAGGCGCGCTATCCGAATAAAGGAGATCCAGGTACCCAAGCAATAGACACTGGTACTCCAATATCAATGATTGGATCTACTACATATATAGCTACTTGGTCTTTTCAATGACTTTTTTATGATAGAATTATCTCTATCATCTCACATTACAGACCAATATATAGGGGCATGAGTCTAGGCAAATACTTACATGGCTTTTGCTATAAACATATGTGGTTGGTACCCTGGTTAAATGTAGCTTTAGAGAAGAAAAAGAAAAGACTGACTCCTCACGCTATATTTTTAGTGATGTTTAGTGATGTGGATAGGCTTGAGCTGAGATTCCCAATCATCTAGCTGACTACTGACTGAGCTGTATAGGTAATTTATGGATTATATGTGACTTGAATACGTGAATGTATAATGAAAATCATTTATCTGGATGGTGAACTTTCACAGGTGTGAATGACTCCTGGGAATAGTAAAAGAGTTAAAAAGCGGAAAGTACACGATATGTGAGGACATTGGCTATAACTTACCAGTAATATGAGACATCATATGCAGGCATTCCGGATTCAAGATCTGCAGGGTATCTATGACCAGGGATCCTGGACCCGACCACGGATAAATCTGCGCACAGACAAAAAGCATAGATCCCCTGCTCAGTTCTTTCCCTTAACGTGTGCCTATTGGCTGGTTCTTAGTTTCCCGTATTTTGCCCCCACTTGCCGCAACATCGACCCCGAGTTTATTGCGATTTCCCAAGGCTGCAGTAACTGCTTTGCGCTTTCTCTCCATACAATAATCCTCCTAATCCGACAGATCCAACCCACTATTACCGTCACCGTTGAAGCATATTGATTCAAGAGCTGTTATCGCACAGTTTGTTTGCAAAGCTTCTTTCTTATCTCCACATAATCGCGCAAAGTAAAGAAACAAAGCAGCGCCACACGTAGAACATATCGACCGTCTCCCAACTGTCGCAATGCCGGGCCTTACACTCAATACCGAAGGCACCACAACGGCCTCAGGGTCGGCCGCTACGCCCATATACCCTCCTCAAAGCGCCGCCAACCAACACGCGCCCACACCCGTCCCCGTACCCACGCTCCCGACCAACATCTCCAACTCCGCCGCTGCTAGCAGTAATACCAACAAGCGACCATCCCCATCACGCGACTCCTCGCCTCAACGACCACCCTATAGTCCCATAACCCCGCCTCTCAACCCTCTCGCGATTCCTCCGCGACCAAACTACACACACAGCACACAGAAAGACCAACAAGCGATACCACCTCCACCACCTGAGCCCATCGACTTTGACACGAACCCCGATATCCTCGCGCTCAAGTCCGCGATCTCTATCCTGCAGATGCAACGGCGTAAAGCGCAAGCCGACATGGCGGCACTTAGCCGGGCTAAGAACGCCGCGCTTGCTGAGCCGGAAGCCTTTGTGCGCGACCTAACGTCTGGACGTATCGCCGTGGAAGGGGATAGGCTCTTTGTTAGTGGTGACGGGGAAGACTCAAGTTCGGAGGACGATGATGAGGATGAGGTTATGGAGGGAACGGAGAGAAGTGCTGCTGGCCAGCAAGCTCCTCCTAGTACCGCAAACGGTGAACAATCACAACAACAAGCACATCCTAATATTAGTACAAATCCAAATACAATCTCAGACTCAGCAGGTCCGAGTTTAACTATTAAAACCGACCCCGACGCTACAAATCTAGAACAGCTACAACCACCCTCCCAACCTCCGCAACCCCAAGCGCAACAACCACAAGAACCCCGCCCCTGGACACGCCTCCCGAAACCCCAAAACATCGTGCGCTGTCCACCGATCAACTGGTCACAATACGCCGTCGTCGGCGACTCCCTCGACAAACTCCACGCCGAACAACTCGCGCGACCATCCCAAGGGACACCCGCAGTTTTAGGAGCAGACGGACGATACGAGTTCAAGGCTGGCGCGGGAAAACAGGAGAAGCTCGTCGGCATCGCGGCGCCGTATAACCCTGGCAAGGACCGGATAGATAATCGGAAGTCCAAGGTATTGAAACGCTGAATTGGATGATGGGCTGCGCGTTAGACCAACATGGTTGTGGCCGGGTTACGTATGTGACGGCGAGGTGCTTGGCTGGCTACCTACTAGATCAAGTGAGGCGAGGAGGCAACCCCTGGAGGGAGTAGCCAATCATGAAATTACGGATTATGATGAGCGTTGCTATTTACGGTCTACAGCATTGCATTGTGGCCGACACATGATAGCCTTAGAAGCTCTACATTTTGAATAGGGACTTGAACAATGGGCCAGGTGGTTTGGATGTCCAAGGCTCATGGTCGTTCGGGACCCATCAGAATCGAAATATCTTAATAAGACGATTCGATCAGAAAACCTCAAAGCTCGCGAGAACGCTGGCGTTGATTATAGTACTGCATCAATACAAGGCGACCGCGACAGTGACAACATCACGAGTAAAAACTATGATTGTTCATCGCGTTTGCATTTTTTATTTAATTCATCGTATTTGTCATGTAGCCCGTGAAAGCAGAAGAGGTATCAATCCTAGTCTAGAAGCCATCAATCTCGATGACGTACCGAATCTTATGCCTTGAGAAAGCCATCGTTGAGCCTTAATGTCCACCGATCCTACCTAGGAATTTGAGAAGACAGACTTGCAAGGGCTTCCGTAAATACACCAACCATGCTCAACGTTATTATCTTCTGTTGATGGGAAAACTCCTAAATAACTGGAGAAAACAAATCGCAAACCACCTAGACCCTACCATCTATAATATTGTGTGTCATGGACATATTAGAAATCTTCCATACTTCTCTGCACCGATCTGCGTAGTTGTCTGTTATACGTCTTCCTTTCGTCGGGACTTCCCCAATACAACTTGTGTGCTTCAGGGTGCACTAGAGTTCTCGGATCGTAGGGGGGTTGCTCCTCCTCTAAAGCCTCGATAATCGCGTCGATATGTTGTTTAATATCTTCTCGGCGATTGGGGTTAGGGAAGTAGCATGGTGTACCATCCGCTGCGATCCGGTGATGAAACATTGATGTCAAGAACTTGATTCTCGGTTGTTCTTCAGGGAAGCGGGGACTGAAATTGAGCTTGATACGGAACATACCACCATCCAGGTTCGTCATTGGTCTACCAAAGTACGTTAAGTTCCAGACGAATGGATTTTCGTTCACCAGCTCAATGCTATGAGGAACATCGCTCCGCTTGAAGGACTCTCTGATCTGTTCGTACTGTCGCGTAAGGTTGACTGATACTGTGGCGTCTTTCATCCTGGCAGAGACCCCCTCAACTGCCCATTTCTCCGGCTCAGCATCTAAAACAGCCTTAATGCGACGTATTCTTTGTTCAAGTTCAGTGTAGTTGAACTTGCCATCCATAGTGTTGGATGTACCCTCGAAGGGCATGCGGACAAAGGGTTGACCATCCTTAACCTCTTCCTTTGCCTTCTTGATCGTTTCTAGATACGAATCATAATACCAGAGGAATCGACGCTTGCAAAGGTCCTTAAACGGCTCCCAAGGAACGCTCGCATCGTCAATATCGATATCGTCGTCCATGTCAAGGTCGTATTCATCACGCTCCGTTGGAGTGGGGGGTTCGAGGCAACTGCCTGTGATGCCCAGGTACTCTTCTAGCCGTTGAATGACAGAAATACGTAACGTCTCGTGCCGAATCTGCATTAATACCGTTAGAAGCATCCTTAATGATCCACCCCGTGGTTGCGAATTACCTTTGCGATGTACTCCTTCTGGTTCTTCTTATCGTGCGACTCGTTTGCATCCTCAAAACCCGGCTCGTTCTCGTAAGGATTGGACGACATGAGGCTTTGTATGGATAGAAGTATGGATTCTAGACCTTGAGCGGCGGACCACTCCTCCCCTCGCTCTCCACGCCATGTTCTAAAATCGGGTTAGGTTCGACGAATGATACAGAAGATGAAAGAAGATATATACCCAAGGATTGACCTGTACTCTAGATTAATAAAGCGCACTTCAGCATTGCTGTAGACCAAACCTATTTGACTTACAGGCATACTTTTCCTGAGGCGTATATGTTCGGGTTGAATCGACAGCGTCCACTGTTTGTTGTCGTTCCAGTTACGTTCGGTGACTTTCGTGGGTAATCTGAATAAGATTGTCGCCAAGTTAGTCGCTTCGGATAGACACTACACGAGTAGACCGACGATGAAGGCTAACCTTTGTTAAACTTAACAGCAAACTTGGTAATGTTAGTATGTGTAGCTAAAGATAATACGATACAGTTGGCAATGTACTAACCTCAAAGAATCCAAACTCGTACGGAGTCTCGTGAGGACCAATAATCAGGGCCTTGACGCTACGGACGTCGCGATCTCTAAAAGCTACGGCGAGGGCTAGGGATTGGGAATATTAGTTCTGGTCGTCGAGAGGTATGTTTGATTGGGATCGTTTTCCATACATAGGTCTGAGCTCTTTTGGAGCTCACCAATTTCCTGCAAGGATCGGATAAGTCGTCAGCCTTATTACCCCTCCAATTTCTATCTGTGAGGCTACGGCGCACCTTGGTGATGCGGATGATGGACTGGTCCGCCATGATTTTTTTTTTTTTTTTACCAGCGTCTCATAGGTTGGGGTCGTATTAATGGGATTGATGGTTTGAATGGACTTCGGACTGAGTATTGGGAAATAATAAGATGTTGTTGAGCAGAAGTTGAGAGTTGACAGTTTCTGGGCGCGTCTTGACTGGTTTTGGGTTCCAGCGTCGGAGTAGAAGTAGGTAATAACGTAGGTTAGGTAGGTTCAGGTAGGCCTGGTAGGTGAGATAGGCAATAGGTAACCTACGTCCTAGTAGTAGCACTTGCAGAAGCTCTTAAGTGTATGCGGGCAAGTGGGGAGGGTCCCCCAAGGCAGAAAAGGGCGGGGGTTCTACTAGGTTGTTAAAAGGGCTGCGGGGCTGACCTCCCGCCTGACGGCGCAGTACGTGAATAGGTACCTAAGGTACCTAGGTAGGTACAAGGAATACGTTACTTCACATAGTTAGGTGGTTAAGTGGGAAGCAAATTAACTTTAAACCTGATTAAGTCATAGGAACATCCTGGTAGCCAATCGTAAAGTGATAAGTTTTTGTGATGGGATTATGTAGGTATCTAGGCAGTTGCATACGACACTTTAATGACAGTTCAAAAAATCAGAATTTTTGTTTGTTTGTAACGTCTCAATCAGCTGCTCATCTGGACTCCAAATGTAACCCGACTAGTCAATTCTACACGTGTTCGAGAAGGAAATAGGTACAAGGCTATTAGACTGGATGATACACTCAAGCTTTGGACCATTACATAATCATAGCACGAACACTATTTGAATGCTACAATGTAGAGAAGGTACATACGGAAATCTTAAAAAGATATCGGTAATCCCGTGCTATTTCTACCCCTAGACCTTTCCCCCCCTGGTGCCCATCCAGCCATCATGGGGATGAACCAGGAACGCCCCACTCCCAATTTTTTTTCTCTAGGATCTCGAACTTTTCGGTCTTCTAGGGTGCCGAGAATGAACTACAACTCACTCCAGCTTTTAGCGTATATTGCCAGGCGGTGAGGTGGCAACTTAGAAGCAACACAAGTGTCGTCGTTCCGTTTCATCAAGTTCCCCCTCCTCTTCTTCTTGTGTTCCGCTCCCGCTTCAATTAGCCAACCAGCCTCTCCCGCCAGCTATCATGTCGAAGAAAACCGTCCCTATGTCCGAAGCAGCGATAACGCAGCCTCTACTGGGTAAAGTCCTCGTCATTGGCGGCTGCGGCTTTCTCGGCCACCACGTTGTGAACCTACTCCTACGCGACTGGAATTGCACCGTCGCTGTTGTCGATCTCAAGTGCCAGCGAAATCGGAGACCTGATTCGGATGGTATCGAATACGTCGAAGCCGATATTACCGATGCTGACGGCCTTGTCAAGGTTTTTGGGAAGCTGAAGCCAGATGTTGTCATCCACACGGCCTCGCCACCTGCGCAGGGACTTGGTGCTGTCGCGAACGATATATTCAGAAAAGTCAATGTGGAAGGAACCCGCGCTGTGATCGCCGCCTGCGAACAAAACGGTGTCAAGGCGTTGGTGTACACGAGTTCTGCGAGTGTTATGAGCAACAACAAGGATGACCTAATAAATGCGAATGAAAACTACCCAGTCATCAGAGGTAAAATGCAAACAGAATACTACTCTGAGACGAAGGTACGGTTATTTGTCTTCTATATACCCTGTGTATTTATTTTACTAACACTATCTACTAGGCACACGCAGAAAAACTCGTCCTCGACGCGAATCGTACCGAAGGAAGCGATCTCCTCACAGCCGCGATCCGACCATCTGGCATCTTCGGTGAGGGTGACATGCAACTCGTCCACCACGCCATCAATGTCTACCGCGAAGGCAAGGACAAGGTCCAAGTCGGTCTCAACCAAAACCTCTTCGATTTCACATACGTCGAGAACGTAGCGCATGCCCATCTCCTCGCCGCCCGCGCCCTCCTCGTAACACACGCGTCGAAGACCGCTCCCCTAGATCACGAAAAAGTTGACGGTGAAGCTTTCATCGTCACCAATGGCAGCCCTGTCTACTTCTGGGATCTGATGCGAGCTATATGGCGAGCAGCCGGTTCAGAGAAGGGCACCGACCAAGCCTGGGTGATGAGCCGTGACTTCGGTCTACTCCTAGGTTTCTTGAGCGAAGTGTTCTTCTCCATCCTAGGCAAGGCCCCGACCTTCAACCGCCAGCGTATCGTGTTCAGCACCATGACGCGATACTACGATATCTCGAAGGCGAAGCGGCGTCTCGGCTACGTGCCTCTAATAAGCCTGAGTGATGGCGTCAAGAGGACCGTCAAGTGGACCTTAGACCAAGAGAAGAAATAGAATCATGACACCGCCAAAATCGCGAGATGCCGTAATTTTGGTATTGGTTTTGTATTGCATATGAGTAGAAGGTTAAAATATTTAATAATGAGTGTAATCTTAAGGGGAAATTATGATCAATGACAAGATGCATATTGTATTCTGCAATTCTTGGTTATATACTAGTCTAGAATTTGGACATATTTAAGATCACAAATCAATTTCACAATGATGATTTAATTATAATCACGGATATAAAACAAGGACTTGGTGGTGAAGCTTGAATTGGTAGCAAGATTATGTGATTGCATTCAGATTTGTCAATTGATTAGGCTACGCCTAGACTGCTTCTGTCTGTCTCTCGGCGAGATGATGATGGGCGTAATCGAATGGCCTTCTGTGGTAAACCACCCGCGGCAGTCTTCACAAGTTCGATCGCCCGATGAATAGGTAGATAGCGAACACTCCCCCACAAAAGAAAAACCCGGAGGCTTGTAGCCCATCTGAGGGATATTTCCGGCATCATAGCTCTGTCTTGGCCTCCTTGCCCTTCGAACTAACTAACTGGCATCTCCTATCTCCTAGCTCCAAGAATGAGTAGATAAACTACTGTTCCGATTTGTAACGAAATTGAAAGTTCGTCGAATAAATGTGACCCCGTTTGGGCAAGCCAAGAAGGCAAAGACACAACAACCTGCCCCCCTACTACTCCAAGCTGCTACCAAACTACTCGGAAATGGCAACTCCGCTTTCCAGAGCAAAAATGCTTTCGAATAGAGTTATAGGCATACCAGAAGACCGCCTCACCTAGGGAAAGTCCTTAGATGTCAAGAAAGCGAATCGAAAGTCGCGAAGTCCATTTTGGGGAAAAAGGAGAGATGCGCAACGCCGGCCGAAATGCTATTAATCTCTCTACACCCGATTCATGCTATGTCCTGGAGAAAATCAAGAGTCGCAAATGTGGATAGGGTTCCCTTTTCCTCACTGCGGAAGCCCACGGAAGTTAAATAACCGATGATGTGGAAAGAATATATACCTGGGAACAAAACAACTACCCAGTACCGGTCGTGACAGAACTATTTTGTCTACCCCAGCCTGAGTTTCGCCATTCGCGGCGTTGGCCATTTTCGGGGAGCTTGGCCTGATTATCCGGCCGCTCGTACTGGCTTCCGTGAGGTGATTGCCCATTATCCGGTTTACGCCAATTTTGTGGCGGTGGCGTTCCTGAGGGAGTTGTGAATGGAATTGTTGGCTCTTGCACAGGGCGTACGCTACTTTCTTGCTGCCATGCGGCGGGGTCTGTAGCAACCCTAGTAGCTAATGGCCGCCTGCTCTCTTGTCGGCCAATGTATTCAGTGCTGTCATATTGCCTGGGAACTCCATTGGCACTTCGGCCCTCGATCCGCTTGAGAATCTCCTTGGTCGTGATCTCGCCATTGTTCATGAATAAAGTCGAGTCACCCAAAACATCCATGAGTTCGGCGGGGACCTAACATCATGCGTTAGTAAATCATTAAAAGGGAAAAGACGTTTTGACTCACCATGCACATTTCCTCATTGTACTGAATTAATTCCTCAACACATGCTACCGCAGTCATAGGCTCATCTGAGAAGCTTGGGCTCTTCTCGGTGGTGTAGAGTACATTCGGGGCGATAACACGCGCAAGATTGTGTACGTCCATCCTGGATCCAGTATCCTCATCAACCTGGTGGAAAGTAGCCACCCATTTTAAGAAACTGAATAGGACTTCTAGCGTATCTCGGTGGATTTGTGGGAGTAGGCAACAGGTGAGGTGTAAGCAGTGTCGTCGTTTGTCGGCATCTTTGATCTTGGTTGCTGCTATCCAGACCCTGTAAAGCTTTTGCGTCATTAAGGGATCTGGTAATTCACGAAGATATCGCTTGAGCAGTGCTGCAAGTTGGTGGGGAGTCTCGTCATTCCAGCGGATGGCATCACAGCCATCCCTATCAACAGCGTTGACTTGCTCAGTGAGCTTCTTGATGTTTCCATTCTTGCGGAAGACACCTTCAACCGAAAGATCCTTATTCTTTAGGGCTGTGATAGTATCCTCGATAATGGCGGGTATACGTAAGGCACCTGGCCCCACGCCATCTGTAGAGTCGGCGCCGTCACGTTCAACAATTACTTCCAAGGGAACTCCGAACACACCCTTCTTTTTCGCACCCTTGCGGGGGTCATTCTTACCAAAAGCCTTGCCAAAGGCCTTCCAGAAATTTGGCGCCTTCCGTGCTTCGATGAGACCAAGCAATTCATCAAGAGTGAATTCCGGTTCTAGCATTGGCTGCATCGTAAGAACCGCAACATGCCGGACGATGAAGTACTCAAGACCGGAGAGTTCGGAGAAAAACTTTCTTCCGTCCCTCTGTGGTGATGGATCTCCTAATAATCTTTGCTCCACATCCCGTCCAGCAGAGAGACTCCTATCAGCACTACCATACGCAGCTTCTGTAGTAGCGGATCGGAAAAGTTCTTGACGTGAAGCTCTGTACGGGTTGGGTTGCTGCTCTCGTGCTTGTTCGGCCGCAACGATCCGAGGGATATCATCGAGAGTTAGCGCATCTTGGTGTCCGAAATACTGCTCCGTCGTGCCACCGCCACCCGGTTCTCGATCTTCCTCGATTTGCATCACCTTGTTTTGTGAACTCATATCTGCGCCAGCAGAGCCAGGACGAACGCTGCGGCCTTCTGGCCCATCCATAATTCTCGATGTTCGGGCCTTCCTAAGGCTAGATGATAGGTGTTTATCGAGACGCGTACTCCTAAGTCGACGCACGTCGTTGAGAGTATTCTCATAAGACGACTCCCTTTGGTGCCGTTCCCTTTCGCCACCAAAGGATTTGGATCGGGAATCCGATCGCAACATACCAGGACCATCGTCTGATACACGATTACCGTCAACAGAACCATAGCCATTGAGACTTGCGTCATCGGTAGTATGCGGGAGGGCGCCGCTGGTTCGAAGAATTTCTAATAACCGGGCTAAGGCGACCTTCAATAGGAATATGTACTGCTGAAGCTTCGTTATTCGTTCTAACGGCTGACCCCGAGCTTCGAGCTGATTCTCGCAATTTGTGCAGTAAATATTATGGTCTCGATGTAAACGAGCCTGATCTAGGCTCCTACCCAGTTCTTTGTTGCATCGTGCGCATGTAACGCAATGTAGATGCCATCTCTTATCCCCAATCAAAGCACACTCATCTTCAATGGGTTTCCGGCACAAGGTGCAGTGATCAGAATCACTAGCAGAGAGCCTCGACATGCCCAGCGTGATGTGCAAGGACTCGTCGTCACTTTTGATGGATTCCAGTACACCCAAATCTTCAAGGAATTGATATAAGGCATCTGGGGTATTGTGCTCCTTTTCAACTCTGAGCGCCCCTTGGAGGCAGATTCTGATGAGAAGCTTCAGGTAATGTGCCAGACCCGTGACGAGAGACAAGAGCTCTTGGGTTACACCGATTTTCCGCGCACCCGTGTCTTGCATCTTAGATAATAACGAAAAGAAAGCTACAATCTTCTTACAGAGTAATTTCGCTTCTCTGGCATAGGACAGTTCTATATTCCATTTAGCATATTGCGTCAAAAATTGGGAAATAGTGTTTCATACCGTTCATCTCAAGTCGCTTCATCGTCTGGTCGAGTCTATCTGCCGACCGGAACAGAATGTCCACGTGGATAATGAATTTCTTAGCGACAAAAACCCCATCCATGTACACGCCGTTGCTAACGTGAAGCAGCATATCCGAGATGCATGCCGCTGATGATTCTTCGAATGTCGATAAAACGCTCCAGATTCGATACACTTTATTTTCCATATCTTCTTCTTCTTGTCGGACCCGTTCACGACTTTCTGCGTCGACGGGTTCGGGGCGGGGTTCGCTCGATTCTTGGGGAGGAGTCAAACGGACGTTCCAGAATTTGTGGATCATATAGCACTCGGGATGCCAATGCTGATTTTGTCCATTGCGATATATCTCGACGAACTGCTTAAGGATGGCAGTTTTGCAACCATTGCAGCGCTGGGCAAACTGCGTCGAATAATGGTAGTGACAGTACACATTTCCATCGTGTTCATAGTAACTATCCTGCGCTCCGAATACGGTCGAACAAAGTGAGCAAGTAAAATGATCAACATGGTATTTGCGGTCGAGAGCTGTGATATAGGACCCACGCAAAGCACCACCACATTGATAACATAAAAGACCAAGCCGTCGGAAATAATCCGTCTCACAAAGGGGATATTGGCCACCTGTCTCTTCATCGTCGGCGGGGAAGAACTTAGAAGCCACTATCTGGCCGCAATCCTGTATACTTGTTAGTCACAAATCATATGAAATAATTAATGCAGTAGGCACTTACACGACACTTAAAGCAGTCGAGATGGTAAGTCCCGTCTAGTGCCCGCACAAATTGACCCGTTAGTGACTCGCCACATTTAGCACAGATACGGAGCTGTCCGCTGGCTGTTCTTCCGCCACCCCGTCCTCGAGATCGATTGCGCTCACCGCTCCGTCGAGGGTCGCTGTGAGCACTGAGGGCCGGCGAGGCAGGCGGTAAGCTAGGTGGGGGGTATGCTCCGTTTGGATAGGACGGGCTCGGTGTCAAATTTGGTCGCTCGTGGTCGAGTTGGTAGCTGCCGTCGTTGGGCATCGGTGGTGGATGCCCATGAATCCGGTCACCAGCCAGACCGCCTTCGTAGTCGGGGCTCATCATGGCGACCAAAATGAGGCCCTACCTCAGCCTGGCTGGTATAAAAAGAAATTAATGAGTAGCACCGACAATACAAATGGTGGCGGCTGAATTGATTATTGATTATGAGAAAAGTGAGGCGACGATAACACGGTTGCGGTAGCGTCGTTCAACGTCAGACATTGGCATCGGACGGCGAACTTTGTCGTCACTCCAAAAGCGTGTGCGACTTAATGCGGATGCAGGAACCGGGAGACAATTGTTCGGCGTTGTGCAGGCGGGATACGATTTGGCAGATGTTTGGAAGCGCAGGAAAATATCGGGACCAGACCAATATCTCGGTGGTAAACGAGTGTGGCAGTGAGAAGAGGGTACTGCAGGTAATGGTTGGTCGACACAGGAGGTGGGTATTCTTTTTTTATTTTTCGACGATGCGACGAGAGCAGGACAGAATTGGGGGACCGCGCTGAGAAATTGCTGGAGAGAATGAATGGTTGGTCGGATGGTTGGGCTAGTCGGATTGGTTGACGATTTACTCAAGGTATGGTATGGGTGTTTAGACGTCTATGTACGTATCGTAGCGTATCGTAGCGTTAGGTTGGTAAGTTAGAAAATGGTTTAGCTGAGTTCGGTATTGTGTTGAGCGGAGAATTGAGAGGACCGTGCCAGCCGTGCTAGACCGCGTCTAATTGTCGAGGGTATTGAGGATATCGAGAACGTCGATAATGTCGAAACATGCGCTGAAAGGGAAAACGATCGTGAAGGGTACTATGGCACGGCATGAAGCATGTAACGCCGTAATCAGATTATAGCGGTAGTAGTAGCGGGAAAGGGTAGAGAAGGGTAAGGGAGGTGGAAGGATGTTGGTTGCCGGCTAGGTGCAACCTTCAAGGAAGCAGGAGAGCTAGCGTCTAGTATCGAGTGCTAGTATGGGTGTGTTGAATGATGTATGCTACTGGACTCATGTATGTACCTGTAGGTATATGTATATGTGTGTAGGTACTAGGTACTATGTACTCTTTTTGTATTGTATGCAGTGTAGAGAAGCGGGAGCTGCTGCTGCAGGAGTAGGAAAAGAAGGGGGGAGAGAGGGGGGAAGAAGAAGTGACAGGGGGTTCGGTGGGAATTGGGAATCGAAGGTAATGCACGACAAAGGGATATATTATGATGTATGTAAGTATTTCTTCTTTTTCTTCTCTTCTCTTCTCTACCCACACGTATGTAAACGTTAGGTTGTTGTAATTAGTGTGATAGTATTGTAAGTGAAAAGGTCGTAAAAAAAAGAAGAATTAGGTAGCTCGTTTTATTACCATTACCATTACCATTACTAGTACCCAGTAGAGATGAAAGACCCTCAGCTATTAGGTAGGTAGTTTCGGTAGATAGGTATAAAGAGGTTGTAGTACCTAGGTAGGTATCGAGGGGCTGGTCGAGTCCGAGATTCAGATCGATGAAGTATTATTGTAATTGTAATGAATGAATGAATTAAACAACGACTTATTGAACTGACCGACCGACAATGACGACGATGACAGACAATAGTCAACTTGTTCGACTTCAAAATGCAACAAAAAAGAAAAAAAAGAAACAATTCGATTCGATGTGCGACCACTGCAATTTTTGGGAAATTGATGAAGCTGACCTGCCGCCGATTATTGCTTGCCCCCCTGGATGTTCTAATGTGCTTCTTCTCACACTAGCCGACCCTGTAAGAAGTCTGGGAGAGCAGACCTCCTAGGAGGCTAGGATAATGGAACTGTAGGAGAATGGTAAAGAGGTACCTACTCCCTAGGTAATAGGCTTGAATGGATCACCTGCAATCTCATTAACAGCTCTTAGCGCCAATTTTAGTTGGCGGGTCAAGCAAGGTCAAAGTCAGCCAAGTGCTTCACAAAAAAATAATAACCCCACGAAACTTTCCATGGTCCTTGAGTAGGGTCTGTCACGTGAATTGCTACGCTAAACTTGATTTGGTATGATGATAGCCTATTTCGTACCTCTGTACCTTTTCGGGTGTCCCTCCAAATCCCAATGCCATGATCATTTCCTGCCAATGTTCCTCGGATCAAGTCACAAAAGTTTGCTTTCTTCAAAATAGTTACATGAGAAAATTACAACAATCCTCATGTTTGATTGAATATCTTAATAAATATAATTATATTCCTATGTTTGCTTCATCCTTTTTCTTCTCTTCTTTCATTGCACGATCCATATTGTGACTAATATATAGTGAACATCATTGGCTACGAAAAGAATGCATCCTGTCTAGTGCAAGACGGACAGTGTCCAACTCCATTTTCATCTATTGCATGGCTGCTACCGTCGAAATTGACATAACTTCAAATTCATTGGATAGCACCATTGACCTACACTGCTACTCGCCTGGTCATTCATCCGACGACCTACATATTGCTGCCCTTCGTAAACTTGAATCCTTTCTAATCCGAAACATTACTCATAATCATCGGAATGTACCGTGATGTTCAATGGATATGATCGCGATATATCTAAATGGAACAACGACCGGAGGTAGAAATCTTGATCCACATCGGTGCTCCGAGCAGAGCAGCCGATGATGCTCATTACCGTGCTCTCGCTACTTCCTACATCAACTTCGAGCCAGCAGATCGGTTGGATATTCCGAATCATGTTTCCTCAAGTATGAGCACCAATGAGGGCAGGCACGAGCTACATAACCAGGAGAGCCAACATGATACAATACAAGAATTGCCCACGAGCTCATTATCGAGTGAGCCATTTGGTTCTTTTAGATCACCCCAAGCTTCATTCCGAAGCGTTCTTGACAATGCTGGTTCACCCCGTATCGTCCCAAGACCCAAACCAGAGGAGCCGGAGCAATCTAACAATCCTGAAGATGCTATGCCAATGTCCCAATCATCATGGCAAACACCAAGCAGTGTAGTACAAGACTCATATCCGGAAAACTTCATCAACATAACTAGCTTAACGTCGCCTACAAGAGTCTTGGAACACTACCTCCAAAACTTTGATTATTCCTCTGCTTCTCAAGATCCTCCTTCTCAGTCTCAGCAAAGTAATACCGGGACACCGTCTCAGGGCCTCGCTCGCCCTGCCTGTAGGGAAAGAATATTGGCTTCTCTCGCTCCGAGCACACCACAGATTGTACCCTGTACACCTCCGGTCAATCATTCCCCTAATTCGCGGGGGTTGGCAGGGGAAAATCGCATAGAAGGGCATCAAGAGGGAGTTATGCAGCAGGGATCACAAAACGAGATCACGAGTGATAATATCATCGAAGAGACCATTTTGATTGATTCTTCCGACCCTTCTTCTATCCCTAGAGCTGACTCTGAACCGCCGCCAGCCAAGCGTCATCGACTTGATTCAGCAAATACAGGCCCAGGCGCCCTTCCACGAGCAGCAAGCGACATCGGCCCAAGAGCATCGGCGAACCAGATGCCAATATTAACTGTCGCCTTTCTTGAGGAACACGGATATACGTATGATAGCTTGGAACTCAGGGCACCAGAACCTCCCGTCTCGTGCAGAAATATAGAGCCGGCCGATCTAATTACGTCTAGACTTGGAGAGCTAGCTAGGGATCTGGATATTCCAAAACGGTACAAACCAAGAACGGAGAAGAGAGAAGTGCGCCCCTTCGAACGCGGATTCTGGCTTATAGATTGCTCGTCCTGGGATGCACAGCTTAAACCGCATGTCTGGGCATATCTTGCGAATTACGTGGGATCTGGATTTGCGGGATGGGGCGTCTGGTGCAAAAGGGATCCGGATTTCCAATGGATTCGAGTATACTGCTGGGGTTGTATAGTGGCACATATCTATTTGCTGCTTTACCTAGCCAGCCAGCGGAAGGTTTTGTTCACTGGGGCGAGTTGGAATGATGGAGAAGGCATTCCCATTATTATCATGGAGACAAGAAGTCCTGGCGTTAATTAGTGAGGGTATTTCATTCATATTTGCAAATCGGGAGTTAAATCGGATGAATTCAAGCATTTATAGCGACGGCGTATGGGACAGGATATCATCTAATAAGATACCCCTAGCAATACTCAGAATACGGCATGTCAAAAATGTTCATAGAAGTGAATTTTATTTGGTTATGTTTTTTTTTTTTTTTATCTAGTCCTAGCTCATTCCTTTGCCTCTGCCAGTGTTGCTATCGAAGCCGTGGACGGAGCAAAATCTAAGACAGGCTTATCTAGAGGTAGGAAAACCGGCCAACTGAACATTGCTTGAGATAGTATTTAGAAGTACAGGTCGTTTCAAAAAAGCAAACCGAAGCCAAGCCCTTGCATCAGTACGCGATAAACCCCCTGCATCACTGCAAGGCACAATGAGGATGGGTAGGCGACCTAGTTTATCCACTGAGCACCCTCGTCCGTCGCCCGCGTATCTACAAAGATAACAATCAATTCCAGAATATTGGTATTCATTAAGTTATGAGTGAATCGTGTGAGACGTGGCCTGTTCATGATTTAGGCGATGGCTTTCTCACGGAGCGATTCAGAACTGATTGAACCTCTTTCTCATACTGATCACGCGAGGCCTTGGCAAGATCATCATAAGCCTACGGAATTGTTAGTTTTCGTACTACAGAGAGCAAAGGGAATTGTCTTACCTGGCGTTCAGTGCTCGACAAGCTCTTCCACTCATGGCTAATTGCCTGCGTAGCCTCAATGATAGGGCGGTTTGCAAAATCCCCAGAGGCCCATCTTGCTTTTGCATACAGGACGTATGAAGTTAATGGTCTTTTAGGGAGACGGTCGTCATGAATGGTCTTGATTTGTCCCTTAGGGACATTATATTTCTTCTTTAATTGGTAGCGAGCGTTGATAGCGCTGCTGATTTGCTGCGGTTTATGACTCTCTAACCATGCTTTGTATGCTACAGAGTTATTACGTTTGTTCTGCTCGGCGACGTCGGCGTATCGCTACTGGACTGTTAGAATATCTGAAGCAACCAAATTAAAATTATAACCCGGCAACTGACCTGAAGCTCAGAGCTAGATAGTGTATGATATGTTTGGCCTAGTTGCTTCATCTTCTCTCGGAGTTCTGAGGGCTGGGTGTGTTTATCCTTGGTCTGTTCGGTTACGAAAATCACCCATGGGGTGTGCGGCAGCGGTTTGGGCTCGGTGAAAAGTGCCGTTTTTCTCAATTCTCTTCTTTCCACGGCAGCCTTCTTTTCTGGGGTCAATTCCTTCTTCTTTCTTTTAGGTGTAGCTTTGGCTCTGGGTTTGGCTTTTGCGCGGGTGGTCTTCTTAGCCTTGCCTTTGGTCGCTTTCGTTGTTTTGGTTGTTTTAGTTGCCTTCAATTTGATCGACCTGCTGGTCTTGGTTGACGTCTTCGAGGGTCCTTTAGTCGTCGCGGGCTTCGTCGAGGCCGTGGCAGTGACGGAATTCTTAGTTCGCGCCGCAGCAAAGGTTCGAACGAACTCGCGACCACAGTTATCAGCTAGCCGAGAGACTACAATGCGGCGGGGTGATGCGACGATAGACGTTGATCCCAAGCGCCTGATTGCGGCGCGTCCGATAGAAGACAACATAATGGGCAATTAGAGTCTAGAGAAGAGTATCCTATAGCAATTGAAGGGATACGCAAGCCCTAGCAAGGCTTGCTGGTGCGAATGGGATAATATGGGACGCCGGCAAGAATGTGTTGAAAGTGGGAGGATTGACCCATGTTTATGCAAACACGCGACATTAACGACTTTCCCATATGTACTAAAGCTTAAAGCTTCGAGGTTGTGCAATTGTGCCTTCTAGTGGACCCACTTTACAGCTACTGCGTTTTGTGGGCTCCGCACCTAAATTAACAATGTAAAAGCGTCATGCAAGCGAAAATAAGCCGGTTGCTATCATTGGCTTCAGCCACAGGCACAACCGTCATCTTTCCCCCACTTTCTCCAGCCACATCTTGTCAACCAGGTGCTTGATTTTTGAGCCGCCGAACCGGTTCTAAGAACTAAAAATATAGGTAACCAAACCCAGTCTTAGTAAACTATTCATTGATCCATCCATTCATCAACCACCCCCCATCTTGCCCTCTCTCTCAGGTTGGAGTGGACGTTGACGATTGAATCCACCTATCAGCAACGCCATTGTGCGGCAAAAGAGAAAAAAAAAATACAATAGGCTTCTTATCTATCAGGTGATCTTTCTATTAAGTCTGGTCGTCTAATCGAAGCTTTTCCCCGAGTCCTCTGGTAGCTCTCACCATCGTAGTGCGACCGAGCCGTACTATCTTTTAAAAAATCATGGCTCGGCTCAGAGACTCACGCTCACCAACTCCAGCAGGAAGCCAGCAATCATCAAGAAGACATCGCAGAGATGACGACAGAAGGGATCGAGACCGTTATCGTGAGCGAGATCGTCGAGACTTCGCTCGAGATACAAAACGACGAAGTCGTTCTCGAAGCCCACACGATGTAAGGCGATCCTACGGACCTAACAACTTCAACTCCTCTGACTATTTTACTGTACAGCGTCGAAATCGCGACCGGGACCGAGATCGGGATCATGACATCCGCCGACGCGACCGTTCTATAGATCGTCGAGATGACGATTACTATCGAGGTGGAAGAGATCGTCGACGGTCGCGCGATCGCGCCCTAGATAGAGAAATAGACCGCTCTGCTGAGCCCCGCCGGCGTAGGAGCCGTGATCGCGATGGCGAGAGGGATCATCGAAACAGGCGAGACGACTCCCGTGATCGAGGCAGGGGACGACGCGAAGGTACTGCTGACTCCCATCCACGAAGTAGGCGAGGTGACAGTCGCGAACGAGGCCCCGCGCCCAGTGATAGCACCAAAGCAAAACCAGTTGAAGTACGTCGCACAACCCCATTTCATTCCATTACAATTATTAATGTAGATTCATAGACAGAATCGAAGTCAAAGTCTACGCCCGCCCAGTCCGATGCCGACAAAAAGGCTGAACGCCTCGCAAAATTGGCAGCATGGAAGAAGAAGCAGGAAGAAAAGGAGAAGCAGAAAGAGCCAACTCCAGGTGGAACCAGGAAGCTTCTAGCTGAAATGGACGAAAAGGCTAACCCTACACCCTCTAATGCACTTCCTACAGGAGCTTCTCCAGCGCCAGCATCACCCGCCGACACTCATGTTTCTTCGCCGGCAACTCCATATGCCGGTAAATTTGACCCCAAGGCTATTGCGAAAAAGTCTGCTCCCAAGACACACCCTCCTGCTGCCGCCCCTAAACTAGGCAGTGTTGCGGTTCAACCAGCTTCAAACCCTCCTTCAGCAGCAAAAACTCCGAGTGGTAAGACTTCCGATCGACGTGATTCTCCTCTTCCCGCTAACGAGATTATCAAAGTGTCTGCTCTTCCGCAAAGTAGAGCTAAAGCAAGCGGTTTCGGCTTCCACAAGCAGAATGCTGAAGCCGACAAGGTTTCACAAAAACGAAAGTTGATGCTCGATGAAGATGAAGCATCGGATAGAAAACTTGCTAAGCTGCCCTCCCTGCCTCTTGGCGACGTTGATGATACACCATATGAAAATCAGGACGAAGAGGAAGACGATGATGACGCAAATCATTTTGTTGGGGACGAAGCGGAAGAGGCCGCCGCCGCTCGAGCAGCTCAAGAGAGACGAGAGGAACGGATTGCGCAAGAAAACGCCCAACAAACAACGGAAATGCAAGTCGACCAACCCGAAGAAGAAACAGCCCCGGACACGAACGGCGCGACTCAAATCGCGCAGTCGAATGAGGCTATGGAAGTGGATGAGGATGACGTTGACCCTCTAGATGCTTTCATGAATGACCTCGAGGCCAAGCCTGTCGCAGAAAAGCCCATCAAGGTTACAAGTGACCAAAGTAAGAATCCTCAAGAGCCTGAAGCATATTTCAGCGATGATGAATACGATTATCGGAATGAAAAGATGGACCCGGATTCATTCTTAGCCATCGCGGCAAAAGCCCGTAAGAAGAAGGATATTCCATCCGTTGATTACAGCAAGCTTGATCTGGAACCCGTTCGAAAGAATTTCTGGGTCGAACCAGCAGAGTTAGCCGAGATGAGCGAAGCCGAATTAGCAGACTTACGCGTCGAGCTGGACGGCATCAAGGTCTCTGGTAAGGATGTACCAAAGCCAGTCCAGAAATGGTCACAGTGTGCTTTGTCAAGAAAGACGCTCGACATCATTGACACCTTAGGGTTTGATAAGCCTACACCGATTCAAATGCAAGCGTTTCCTGCTATCATGTCTGGCCGAGACGTCATTGGTGTTGCGAAGACAGGCTCAGGAAAAACCCTTGCTTTTCTACTGCCAATGTTTAGGCATATCAAAGACCAGCGGCCTTTGCGAGAAAACGAGGGACCCATCAGTCTAATCATGACTCCAACGCGTGAGTTAGCTACCCAGATCCATCGGGATTGCAAACCATTCTTAAAGTCGATGAATCTTCGGGCGGTTTGTGCCTATGGTGGTGCACCTATTAAAGATCATATCGCCGAGTTGAAGAGAGGTGCAGAGATCGTCGTCTGCACACCGGGCCGTATGATCGATCTATTAGCAGCCAACCAAGGCCGTGTAACGAACCTAAGGAGAGTCAGCTACGTTGTCCTCGATGAGGCAGACAGAATGTTTGATATGGGATTTGAGCCGCAGGTGATGAAGATTTTTGCGAACATGCGCCCGGATCGCCAGACGATTCTCTTTTCAGCTACCATGCCACGTATCATGGATGCTCTCGCTAAGAAGGTCTTGAATAGCCCTGTAGAAATAACTGTGGGAGGTAGGAGTGTTGTGGCCTCAGAGATCACCCAGGTTGTCGAGATCCGCGAAGAAAACACCAAATTCGTTCGTTTACTTGAGCTTCTAGGTGAGCTGTATGACAAGGATGAAGATGCTCGCACGCTAGTCTTCGTGGAGCGCCAGGAGAAGGCAGATGACCTACTAAAAGAATTGCTGCGTAAAGGGTACCCATGCATGTCGATCCATGGCGGAAAAGATCAGATCGACCGAGATTCGACTATTGAGGATTTCAAGCATGGTGTCGTCCCAATTCTCATCGCAACATCCGTGGCAGCTCGTGGTCTCGATGTCAAGCAACTGAAATTGGTTGTTAACTACGATGCCCCCAATCACCTTGAGGATTACGTACACCGTGCCGGTCGCACTGGACGTGCTGGCAACAAGGGAACAGCGGTCACTTTCGTGACAGGCGATCAAGAGAATTGCGCTCCGGGAATTGCTAAGGCCTTGGAGCAGAGCGGTCAGCCAGTCCCGTCACAACTAGAAGATATGCGCAAGGCCTTCAGGGACAAAGTCAAATCAGGCAAAGCTAAGGATCAATCAGGCTTTGGTGGTAAGGGACTGGAGCGTCTTGACCAAGAGAGAGAAGCAGCCCGTTTGAGAGAACGAAAGTCTCATAGGACGGAAGGCGAGGAAGAAGAAGAGAAGAAAGATGAGAAAGAAGGCGATGATAAGAAGGGCGACAAAGCCTTGTCGGCTATCCAAACGGCTGCTTCTGGTATCGTTTCTCGTGACGCTGCTACTCCTAAAATCGATCTGGAACCGAAGTTTACTATCCACAAAAGAGAAGAACCCTCCCCATCCTCGAACGCGAACAACCCCTTGGACAAGGTCTCTTCCGCAATCAATGCTATCAATGCTCGTTTGGGCCGTGCTGGTCAACTGCGACCAGGCCAACCAATCGACAACAAAGGTCCCGACGCAGGCGCGTTCCATGCAACCCTCGAAATCAACGATTTCCCTCAGAAAGCTCGTTGGGCCGTCACCAACAGAACCAACGTTGCTAAGATTCTCGAAGCTACCGGAACGTCCATTACCAACAAGGGTACCTTTTACCCGCCTGGAAAGGAAGTGCCGAGTGGTGGTGAACCTAAGCTTTACGTCTTAGTGGAGGGAGATACCGAGTTAATGGTAGCTAACGCGATGGCTGAGCTTACCCGTCTGCTCAAGGAGGGTACCATAGCTGCTGCTGATGCAGATAGTAGGGCTCCTATTGGTGGTAGATATACCGTCACGTAAAAGTACGGAAGGTCTACTTTCTCTTGGGGTTCAGCTGTAAATCAATATATTAGGCAAGGTATAATGCACTGGTGCTATTTATTTACATGGGGTATTGGCGTTCAGCGGTGGGAAAGAACCAGGCAGAAGTAACAGACGATGGACATTCCATAGAGATGTTAGATGGCTGTCGAGAAAAAAAAGAAATCAGGAATTCATATTCAAATACCAAACACCCCACGCCTCAGTAGAAAGATGCTAGTTATGAGTTCTTGCTTGTGCTGCTTCGTCGGCATCTCGTTGTCTTAACTCGCTGTTGCTGATTTCCTTGAGTGTGTCGTTGCGTGTTTGCTTCTTCTGTGCTGCTAATTGTGTGCCTAGCTTACCAGTAGACTTTGATGCGAATGCTTGTGCTCTTGCCTGTTGATACGTTTAGAATAAACCACACTATTAAAGGTAGGAATGGCGAAAAGAGGGGTTGTACCTCGGCAGCCTCGGCGGCTCGTCGTCTAGCCTCGTCTACATTGCTATCACTACCGTTCTGAGGGTTCGGATTCGGATTCGGATTCGGTGTAGAGGCGCCCAAGGTTCGGGGCGGTCCACCGATCTTAGCCGGTACAGAAGAACGTTCTGGCTGGGGCGGGGCGGAACCGAGAACGCGGCCGGGTTGCGAGAAGTTCTCGCTTTCCTCCTTTCCGCAAATATTACCCATTTCTCAAGACTTAGACTTGTGCCGTGGGTTCTGGGCTGATTCTTTGTTGGTGGGGTATGTGGTATCGGTGCCAGAAAGGTTCTCAATTCAAGTTCCAAGGTTATGTCTAGCTTCGGAGTGGGTGTGGGTTTGAGAAGACGTAAGTTTAACAGTAAGCAAGGCAGACAATCCGGGGTTCGTTGTTATTGGGTGAGATGGTTTATCTAAGTATGTCTGGTGGAGTGGTGCCTGGTAGAAGTGGAAGTGGAAACGAAAATGGATATTATGGTGTGACGTGCGACGTAGTGCTTTCCAGATAGTATCTAGGTAATGGTGATGATGAGGCTCAAGATCTCTAATGCACGAGGGTTTATGTAATAGTGATAGATTTACGCATGTCAAACAGCCTTGGAGGGTTCCCCTTACCGAACAAAGCCTAGGACCCCTGGAAAATATGACGCGGGGCCTTATGTTGCAGAGGGGTATGCGCATGTACATAATATTATATCGCAGATATGTACCTACACCTTAGTGGTACTTCATTAATCAGATAAGGATACGTCAGTTAGATGAGCGTTATAGTAAGAACTCTAAGTAGCCGTTAAGTATCACGTTCAAGCCAGGTGCAGCGCAACCATGGATGTGTCCGTAACGGAAGAGCCCCCACTTCCGGACTAGAGAACCTTGATGGACACTAAAGCTGCTGACTACAAGGGCTGGCTTAGTGTCTTTTGACCCCACATGGACACTTTCTAACAAATCCATGACCTTTTATTGGTCAATACCAACGTCAGCGCACCAAAGAGAAGCGCATTACCGAATCCCGCCCAGCATAATTCTGCGTTTAGGCCACCTGCACAGGAACTAGGAACTGCATACATACAACAAACACCACCATACAAAGAAGGCAGAGGTGCGTTTGGGCCAAATCGTTTGCGTATCGTATTAGGCGGGGAGGAAGGAAGACGAAGGGGGCGCATCATGTCCAACTCGAGCATTGCAGGATAATGAGTAATTTATATCTACATGGCAGTTTGCAATTTGTTACATGTGCTAATAGTTGATTCAGGGCTATCTTATACCATCTGGGCACCTAAAAAAGTTGATCGAGTACTAAATTGTACCTAGAAAACTTTGGATCAAGTCCTGTCAACCACAGCGGCCATCAAGGTCCATCAAGGTTCTCAACCGCACACCTGGATCCCGCCATTTGCCCACACCCAAACCAACCCTCTCTCACCTCTCTGGGGTCTCTTGGATTATTACTTTATTCCTTATTTTACAACCAGATGAAAAGAGCCTCAATTTTTAATAATTTCATCCAAGCCATTTTCTACCCGTGTCGATCGATCTCTTCACCCCAGATCTTCCAACCACTGATACAACGGCTGGCACTGACTCCTAACCACCACTCACACTATTCAGCCCTTAAAACCCCGTTAAACCGTTTCTTCTTCTACCCTGCCCCCCATATAACACAACGTCTTGTCCTCGGACCTTAAGCCGCGCATAATTTTCCCGATTACGATCTCGTCATCGTGTCATGCTCATCGAGTATCATGATGTACGACGACATCGACAAAGCAAATGACGATGTCAACTATGGGCTGACACCCTCTCTGACCTCGTCACCTTCGGCGGAGAGATTCAACGGTCCTATTGCATCCACTAACAATGCATTTGGGAGCGACTTTCCCTTCTATCCGTTGTCTTTTGACACGATAGCCCCATCTTCCCTAGAGTTATCCCATACTTCTCACGACGACTCCTGCTTAGACAAATGTCTGGGTACTTATGGCACACAGCGAATACAACAAAATGTGTATGCGCAACCTTACGTCTCGAGGGCACGTCTGTTCAACAACCAACACATATACCCGCACTCCTTACAAGAAAACAATGCCTTTCAGCAACACCAGGTAAATCAACATTTTAACATGTTTCAAGACTACACGAACGTCGGTTTCAAATACAACCTAGACCACGACCTTAAACAAGGGTATCACACTTCGAATAGCGAATCCTTGATTGGTTTGAATAACTTCAACGTTTCGGACATCGGAATTATGCCAAACAACCAAGTTCCTGATGACTGCACATCGGTAAACTGTAGCAAGTATTCTTGTTCCAGTGACTGTTGCTCTACACAAGTTTGCCAAGACGAGGAATGTTCTGGAGATGGAACGCCCTGCGACGATCTACAATGCTTAGAGAGTGTATCGCAAGATATATGGGCTATGAACGAAGGTTGGCATGAATCAATACAGCCAGGATTGGCCCCAAATGGTCATAACCAACCTTGCAACCATGACGAATCGGAGCATGATGCTGCTCGCACCTTGCGGGATCTCGGCGCCCCGGGTGCCTCGAACATACAGCAGAATCAACAAGACTTTTCGCAGTTTGACTGCCTCTTCGATACAACTAACCAATCCGCAGATCTCACAAGATCGAGCGGGCTCACCTTGCCCTTACACCCCCATCCAAGCCTCGCAAGTACTCCTGAGTTAGACTCAACAGCGACACCTCGAGAAGGATCCATCGCAAGTACGGCTCAGCATTTATGTCGATGGGTCGTCTCTGGACAAAAGGAACCTCAACGTATCTGTGGCCATGTCTGCGACAGCGCGCATTCTCTCCAGGATCACATGTCTGAAGAGCATCTTCCTTCGATGAACAACAAGACGAAGTACCGTTGCCTCTGGGAGAACTGTCCTCGCCTGACCGAGAAGGTATTTGCATCTCGAAATAAGCTTCGCCGGCATCTCACAACCCATACAGCATGTAAGTTAGACCTAATCATTTTAAAAGCAGTGATAATACTAACTGTAATCGAGACAAACCTTTCAAGTGTGACACGTGTGGCGAGAGTTTCTCGGCGCAGCAAGCCTTGGACCAGCACATACGAACACATACGGGTGAAACGCCATACAAGTGCGACTTCGAAGGTTGCGAAAAAGCGTTCAAGCAAAAATCCGCCTTGAGTAAGTACTCGACCTTTGGATATATCGTTAGATAATGAGCTAACCTAGGATATAGCTATGCACAAACGTACTCACACGGGCGAGAGACCGCTAGAGTGCGATATATGCGGTAAGCGTTTCTGCGAATCATCCAACCTATCGAAACACCGCAAGACACACTCACCGGAATTCAAATTCGGCTGCGAGGAACCGGGCTGCGGTAAAAGGTTTAATCGCGTCGACCAACTCCGCAGACACGAAGCCATCCACGAACGGCCGAAGAAGAAGCGAAAGGTTCGAGCGGAGGCAGAACAAGTCTTTTCATCTCCCATATCACCCGAGACACCCCATGATCCCGCCTTACACATCCACGACCAGCAGCTGCTGGCGGAGATCCAAGTCTAGAAGAATTGGATATATAATCCGATCGACCAGCGGCTGCCCCAGGGGCAGGTCGAGGATTCTTGGGTGTTTAACGCCGGGAACCTCGACCAATATCAATTCCAGGCCGAGGGTTTGTCAGCAAGTTCCGCGAACAGCGGGCGGCATGACCCTCAATCTGGTTTCCTGCTCCAGGCCCCTAGCGACCCCTGCAACCACCGAGTGGGAGCAGTACGCTCCCACTCAGGCTTTGAGTCCTGAAATATGTGCTGTCATGCAGCAGGTGGCCCGTCGAATGCAGCACTTGTCCTAAGGGACCATAGATTTACACCAGTAGTGGCGAGTAGGAGGCTCTTGTCCTCTCCTACTCGTCACCTTGATACATCAAGATAAAGGCGAGTAACGAATGAACGAACAGACGAAGCGACGATTAGCGATGATCAGCGGATTCTTGGTTTGTTTTTTCTCCGCTTGCCTCTTTTTTTATATGCAGCGAATAGCATTGTGGACCCTAGGAGTCCCCGGTCTTAGGAGTTGGTATCATAAGCATAGGTTCCATTTTGGGAATCTATGCATAGGATTGCATCAAAAGCGATTGTGGTTTATTTTTTTTATATCTACGTAAAAGTTTAGCGATATTAGAACAAGATACCCAATTAAGTCTTGCATGAGTCTATCTGTTTATGCGTTGATCTGATGTGTTGGTGTGACTTGTACCCAATTCGTGATTTTATACATTGGTAGTCGCTGAAGTATTCCGTCTTCATCGCATGGGGTAGTGGTTACTATTACCGTATACTCAACCTTTATATTATGATTTTGGTGAAGTAGGTTACTGGTAGGCATCTAAGCATTGAATGTATGAATGGACAACGACTTTCACATAATCACTACCAAGCTTAGATCTCTGAATAGAGACAGTCGGGTGTATCTCAAGATGAAGGGGAAGAAGACGACTACCTCCAAGTAGTTAATACGAATAGAACCAATCCAACAACGGCATTATATAAATGTTAGCATAACATGCCTTCACCCTAAAATAACGTCGAACGATTATGTAGGTTCAGCGAGTTAATCTACGAAATACTGATCCGCTCATATTGTAATAAGCCCACGTGTATTGCCCAGGGAGTAGGAGTAGAGGCCGCTGGCGATATAGATACCTAATGTTTGCATGTTGTAAGTTGCAATTCACTGGATTTATCATTATTTTAAATCAAGGTGGGGCACTAGGAATGCTACTACTTGAGAATTCATAGCGGGACCATGAATTGCTATGTACTCTTATTATTCCTAGGGACCGCAAGGACTCTCAGATCGGGATGGCCATGCCTCGTATTCCACCCTGAGTAGATCACATCATACCAGTGGACTGCAGAAATTTGTTCATAGCCCGAAGGCAAGATTTTTTGCATTGGGCAGCGACATAGACTGCAAAGTGTGACCTCGTAAACACCTATGAACCGAAAAAGCCGTGTGATGCCATGCAAAATAACATGATTCCTCTTTCCTTTTTGGAATGACCACGACGCCCGTCTACCATCGCAATACCTAAGCGTCCGCGTCCCCTTTTCCCGCCACAGCCTAAAAATTCATCTAAGCAGCCTGTGAGTACCATGTTAGCCGTATGACCTTGTTTCCTTCTCTCCAATGGGATTCGCATAAAGTGGGAATATGTATATATGAGGGGGTTTATCGTACCTTAACGGCGTACTTTCGCTGCGGGAAATGCGAAGTTCGCTTGCGTGTCTTCTCAAGGGTCTTGGACTTCTCTTCGGGCGACAAGCGGCGGCGGATGGCACGGGTCTGCTTGGGTCGGAGGTCGAGAGGGAGGTACTTCTTGTTCTTGTAGAATAGGCGTAGCTGTGATCGTTGCTTAAGGTTGACGACGGTCAGGACACGGGCGATAGACTTTCGGAGGTCGTGGCTACGAGTTAACATTGTTAGCTACATATACACCATGGGAATTGTCGATCTTTAAACTCGTGTGACTGTCGCGGGGTTCTTCATGGTTCGTGATAGGCTAAGGTCGAGGCGAAACATTAGAGTAAAACGTACATCTTGTTAAGCTTGCTACCGCTAGAAACCACCTGTTGGATGCGAAGCTGACCCAACTCCGTCTTGAGCTCTCCCAGCGTCTTCAGCAAGTCGTCCTTGCTCTTGCTCCAGAGCTGTCCGGTCTTAACCTTGGCAGTCGACTGCGAAAAAAACAATTAGCCCGTAATTCTCGATATTTCGATATATGCGAATTAATCGCATTGGTATTGTATGTCGACTTACCATCGTGAAGAGTGGTAATGGATGGCGGCGAGTTGAGGTCGGTGTCCGGGTATCTTTTCGTTTAAGGTTGTCGTGAAATTTCCGCCTAGGATTTTTTTGGTAGACAACTAAAAGAATTGATTTCCTTCGTAGTAGGGTTGTGGGCTGAAAAGTTTGGTCAGGTGATTGATCGATTGCCTTTTAATTCCCCACTTCTTAAATCTAGACGAGGAAAGGTACGTACTTGACTGGAAGCCACTTACCTAATTAATATGGCTCAGTTCTGACTTATATAATCATACTCCACTTCGTGATCCAGTACCTATAGGTAGGTATTCATCTACTGAAAGATGCAAGTAACACTATATGCCAAGTGCGGAAGCGTCGAGTGTCGCAGCCCGTTCTATAAGGTATGGTCATCGCCAACTTGCTAATTACGTACCTATCTCTTACAAATACGAATCTTACATTGAATAATCCGACAACACCTACGAACCATACCACACGAAACGAAGCAACAATCACGAATAATACCCAGAACCGCCAGTCTATTGTTAGATGAAGTAGTACTATTGGTCCTCTTAAGTTCTTGGGCGACCCATCCTATCTTACGAACTGACTTATATGGAAAGCCCACATCAAACGACAACTATTGTGCAAACTCCGTTGCGAGATCTTTCGGGAATGACTGGAGGGTGTATTTGATACCTATCTTAATACTATAACCCTAGACATGGCGGCGCCAACGGGCAACCAAGGTTGGGCTCAATTGCGCCAACAAGCTCGAAGCTTGGAGACTCAGGTATATAGAACAACCACTATATACGGAAATAAAGAGTGCATTTTGCTGATTCCATCGCTCGCAGACCGAAACGCTATTCCATACCTACTCGCAGTTCTCTACCGTGTCTAATATTCCGGCAAAGCCGAGTAAGGAGGAAAGAGAAACCGAGACAAAACTAGAGGAGATACTCGATAAGGTAGGACTCAACACCCCGTACGGCTTATGAGCCATTGGGATTCCCTCGACTAACCCCTATAAAGCGAGACAGTGTAGTCAATCAACTAGCGCGCCTCCTCGACTCCGAAGCAAGTCTTACATCCTCCGCCCTAAAACAGAACAACCTCTCCCTCCTACGCGAGAAGCTCGCTGATCACCGACGAGACCTCGCCCGTCTACGCTCAACTCTACAAGAAGCAAGAAACCGCGCAAACTTGCTCTCCAATGTCCGCGACGACATCCAGACATACCGAGCGAACAACCCCGAAGCCGCCGAGGCAGAATACATGCTAGACGAGCGGAACCGCATCGACAACAGCCACAACATGGTCGATAGCGTGCTCAGCCAAGCCTACGCCACCAACGACAACTTCATCGTACAACGCGAAACACTTGCCAACATTAACAGACGGATCACCATGGCCGCGAGTCAAGTACCCGGGCTGAATACCTTAATCGGCAAGATTTCGGCGCGGAAGCGACGAGATGGCATTATCATGGGTAGCTTCATCGCGTTCTGTTTCGTGGTATTCTGGTTTTTCCTATAGGGCGGATAAGAGCGAAGATTCGACCTTTTCGTTGTTGATTTTTTAACGGTTTATGGACCGGGATGGACATACCTTGGTTTTTTCGAGAGTTGCATTATCGTCATGCAAGGCGTTCCGGTGATTTGGAGGGTTTGGAAAGCATGCTGTATAATATGAAAGAAAAATATCCGAGAAGAGTAGTGTCTGTCAAAAGGCGAGAATTAATTGATGTTAATATGACTAGTATAAAATATGTTGGGAATTCGATCCTCCCTTTTAATTTAGAACTATTCGATTTGAATGGCACAAGAGAATTTGTAGCAAATGTGAGAGGGCATCACTAGAAAACCAAATTGCAACTCAGAGGGGTATCATTTCGAATTATAGTATCTAATCGCTGTTACAAGCATTATTGGATTTCCTGGGTTTTCTGAGTTCACCAGGTATCCTGGACCTCCTGGAAGTACTTTTTCGGGTTCTTCATCTCGTCTATGAGTCGTACGACACCATTTACTAACCCGTCTTTATCATCGGGAGAACCACGACCGGAACCAGCCCATCGTATCCTACACTCGCTATCGACGAGGTATACGTAACCAACTCGGAGATTCAACATACCTATGTTCTCCCGGATCTCATCCGAGAGACCCTTCCTGACAATGAAATACCGGCCGCAATCCTCCTCACCAATACTTTTCCTTATGTTGTTGATGAATAGTCGGATCATCCACGCCTTCATCGAGTTCTCCTCGACATTGATATGAACGCGCTGTGTTATATCAGGGTGCTCTTTTAAGATATGGTCAAGCTTGAGGTTTTTCTCTTTGGTTAAGAAGGTGTTGACTTGGTCCTGGGCCCACCGGCTGCTGAATAGGCCAACGATAGAAACTTTGCCCTGTAGTACTGAGGTTGTGTCCTGTGATAAGTAATTCTTTCTGGCTAATGTATCCCCGCAGAAGTTGGGGAAGTATAGGGAGCGCTCGGCTTTCCAGCAGCGTGGCGGTGGGAAGAACGACGCGCCCTTGTAGAACTGGAGGTTGCGCCAGTCGCGGAAGTACGGGCGCGACATCGCTTCCGTCCTATAGAATGAGGGACAAGCTGATTAGTTTGCTAGTTACGCTAAATAACAGAACCAATTGGGGCTGTAGATGTAGCATACAGTTGCTCCCGTCTCTCTAGATGTTTCTCATAGTTGAGGAAATCATCACAACGCTGCTTGAATGTTCTAGCATCTAAACCTGTATTCTCGCCGGGTTGTGGTGGAAATGGCATGCCTATCGGCCGACTAAGAGGTATGGGCGTGAATGAATCAACTGCTTTACCATAAGACCGAGGCGCATCTTCCAGTTGGGACGAGGGTACTATTTTTGACCGTGCTGGAGAAGGGAATGTCGTTGGTTTTTTCGTTGTTTCCGTCGACGTAGTCGCCTTATATTGTTTGCTAGCATTTGGCTTCGGCAGATCTCGGTAGGATATAGTGGATGTAGTGAAAGCTCTAGATTGGCAAAACAGGCATAATAGCCTGGGCCTACGAGCGAGCGACATGGACTCAAGTAAATGACTATTAGTCGACGTCGAGTGGGCAGTTTTGTAGGGGTCTGTCGTATGCTCAGGGCGTGACGTCGTAAAAATTTCAACGAGATGGAGATTGGAAATTGGAGCTGAGAAAAAAAGAGTGAGCGATAAGAGATTAGGATTTCGGCTAGGTTTCTTTATCGCTCATCTGGGCATGAAAAAGGTTCCCTAGCAGCTGCAGGAACGGGACATGGATCCCAATAGCACGGCGGACCAATTACAAGTGGGGTAGACAAGGAGCGGCCATCCTCGGCTTCCCCAGATTCCGGATAACCACGGCCCAATGTGGGGGAATACGTCGTTTAGCCCAGCCGGTCTTGTTGGAAATGTCAGCATGGGCTTAGATCGCTCTCTCCCCTCTTTCTTTTTTACTTCGTACGAGCTGAGAATCTTTTAGAATTTCTGTATTCTAATTCTTCAAAATGTAAATTTACATATTATTCTCTTTTCTATCTCTCTAGACAATTTTATATACCCGGATATATATAATGTTTCTTCAGCGTAGTTCTCGCGCAATTCGCCGGCAATGGCAACTATGTCGGCGTTTCAACCGTCCCGCCGAATACCAAGTCCGCGCCGCTGTAATAAGAGGATTACACACAACGAGGAACTTGCGAGTAGTGAAACCAGTCTTACTTGCTGACATCGGTGAAGGTGAATAATCTCCTCGTCATCGCCATGTCCAATGCCTTTGTCCTTTTGCTCAATTTCTCTATAGGTATCGTGGAATGCGAAGTAATACAATGGTTCGTCGAGCCCGGTGCCAGAGTCGAGGAGTTCTCACCCTTGTGCGAGGTCCAGAGCGATAAAGCTTCCGTCGAGATCACAAGTCGATTCTCAGGTGTAGTCAAGAGGCTGTATTATGAAGCTGGTGAAATGGCAAAAGTCGGCAAGCCGTTCGTAGATATAGATATACAAGGCGGTGCGAACCAGAAAGATTTAGACGCCCTCACAGCCCCTGAACCCGCAACAGAAGGAGCTTCAGAACCCTTAAACAAGGAGTCGTTGAGCAAACCCCCGCAAGGGCAAGGTCCAACAGGTAGAGCGACCGAATCCTCGGCCGACGAAGCGTCGAAGTCCCAGCCACCTCCGACAAAGAAAGGAAAACATGCTTCGTTAGCAACTCCAGCCGTCCGACACTTGTCTAAAGAGTTGAACGTAGACATACTAGAGGTCGATGGGACAGGGAAAGATGGTAGAGTCCTAAAGGAAGACATATATAAGTTTGTGGAGAAGAGGGATTCGCCCACCCAACCGGCTCAACCTTCGAGTCCGTTCGCCAGTATACCACCGGCTTCGGATACGGAAAAGCAGACCGAGACTGCCGTCCAATTGTCGAACACACAACATCAAATGTTCAAGACCATGACACGGTCATTGAGTATACCGCATTTTCTATACACCGATGAGGTCAACTTCTCTCAGATGTACGAGTTGCGCCGGCGACTAAACAAGGTTGTTTCACAGTCGGCAAGGGAGGGTGAAGCATCGAAATTGACGTACTTGCCATTCATCATAAAGGCCGTCTCAATGGCCTTACACCAATACCCTATACTGAATGCCCGTGTTGATGTGGATCCCGAGACCTCGAAGCCAACGCTCGTTTATCGCAGCCAGCATAACATTGGCATCGCTATAGACACGCCCTCTGGTTTATTGGTACCTGTAGTTAAAAATGTGGGAGCTAGAAGCGTGCTTTCAATTGCCGCAGAATTGGCACGTCTGCAGTCGCTGGCTGCCGCTGGCAAGCTCTCACCCCAAGACTTCACAGGAGGCACAATTACTGTGTCTAACATTGGCAATATTGGCGGCACATACGTGTCGCCCGTTATTGTCGACAAGGAAGTGGCCATTCTAGGGATCGGCCGCATGCGAACAGTTCCAGCTTTTGATGAGGATGATAATGTCATCAAGAAGCACATTTGCAATTTCAGTTGGAGTGCTGACCATCGCGTTGTTGACGGTGCAACCATGGCAAGAGCCGCCGATGTAGTGCGTAAGATTGTTGAAGAGCCGGACGTCATGGTCCTACACCTGAGATGATGAAGAATAATAAGCCCAGCGTAATTCCGCCTGTTTGGTGCCCAAAGACGGACGGATTGGTCGCGCCGTGCCGCACCGCATTACCATAATCTGGGTCGAGAGGTTGAGAAGGACGGATAAGGAACGCCACCTGCGTAGTGCGTTGCCCAGGTTGCCAGCAATTGGCGTGCAGAGGGATTCAAGGGTATGATCTGATTCGGGTTCGAAGTTGATATGTCATATGCAGGCGGGAAAACAAGCGAGCAGGTAGCAGTTAAACCCGGAGTACATACGTACACCTATACATACCGACCTACATATGTATCTACCTACCTACATTACCTACCAATGTAGGTATCTAGTCGCATGGGCATGGATGACATAGCCCGCATAGCATAGCATAGCATATATCCGCAAAACTGGACCTTAGGACCGGATTGTCTGGATCGAAAAAAAAAAAACCCTTGTACTCGACAGCCTCGTTGTGTCCTCCTTCGCTTTTTTTACCAAGTGCTGGATTCTGCATTGCAGTCAGTCACCATGCGTTTCCCGTGTAATGTAGGTGTATGTAAACGCGGTTGACGCACCTTAACACCCGGCAATCATACATAAGTAAATATGTATTACATTTTTCATCTACTCAACACCGCCCCCATCCATCCCGTGTCTTACCTCGATCCGGCTCCGCATCCAAATCCTGCACCCCCTTCCTTTTTTCCCATCCCGGACCTAGATCCCGTCGAATAGGCTTACCAAGGAAGTACAATACGAAAAGAAAAACAAAAAAAAAGTCCGTTTTTCATGCTTGAGGGTGTCTTTGGGGGCCTACACTATTGAATCACGCGAAGAAACGAGAAACAGCCACGTACAAATGCGCCGCTGCACAAGGCTGGATGTGGAAACGGTTTACCCTAGCTAAAACAGCCCGTAAGCCGAGGGCGCGCGATGTTAGTCAACAGAGCGGCATCTTCATCATCCGGAGGTCAGCCGTTTTTCCCATGATCATCATACCTTGCCTTACCTTAGGTAGACTACCACCTAAAGATTTTATAGACATGTCGCTTATTAATTATCTAAATATGTAGGTAGGTAGATTATTAAGTTAGGTACCCAAAGAAAAGGGTTCTCTATTTTTTCTTTTTTGTCTTCCCCTCTAATATGCACCTTGAAGTAATAGGGCATAATCGGCGGTAGCACAAGGGTTCGTCCCACTCGCTCTCTACACGCCCCCAGCTGCATCTGGCGGATCTTGGGTGCTTGTAAGGATGATCCTACGTCCCACAGTGGAACCCCAAAAAGGGAAACTACTCATGCCAGTAAACGACGGGTCCTGTGTGTTTTCAGCACCCAAGAGTATGGGTATGACGATGCAACTCGACGTAAACGTATCAGTAACCCGAGCTCTAAGGGCAGCGGCGGCAAAGCACCTATCCGCCCGACGCCTTAACCTTATTCCAAGGGATCACCTCGACATTCGTCCTCAACCGCACTGTATTCCCCATACGGTCGCTTTCGCCCATTGTAACTGATGTGTATTCATCCTAAGCATAGCTTAGCGGGGTTTTGTGATGGTCCCGCGTAGGATATGCGATATGTCTAAACGATCTATGATCCAATGAATATGAACCCCCAACTCCTTTGCAACAGCAGCGTCTCACGCTGCTGGCGTAATGCAATCGACCTAAAAACAACTCCATTATCCAGATGCCTCTATTCTTGCGCCAAAACGAGTGACGAAACCAACCCCTGAACTCACGCAAAGTAGCAACGCCAATATCTGCCATATATCTGCCACTCGTCGTCACAGTCGTCATTCCATTTCATGTCGTCATGCTGTGTTATCTCGCACCATGTTATGTTAATTTGTTGTAGTTTCGTCAATTTTCTTAAGTACGTTGTCTAGGGCATCCCTTAGAACTTCCTCCATTGAACCACTTACGTCAAGACTGATGACGTCTTTCTCTTCTTCCGTTGGCGGCTCCAAAATGGAGAATTGGCTATGGACCATATTGGCACCCATGTAATGGTTTTGTCTTAAACCGACACGCTCAAGGAGAACATCTTCCGGGGCATGAAGGTAAATGAAATGGAGGACAACATCATGCGAGTAGTAAGGTGCTACTCTGATGACATCCCGGTACTTGCGCTTGAGGGCCGAGCATGTGAGCACGACTCCTTCAGCTCCAGACGCCAATTGTCGGAGGGATTCTTCTCGTAGAATCGTGAGCCAATCCCATCGGTCAGCATCCGTCAACGGTATGCCATTGGACATCTTTTCGATGTTTGCTGGTGGGTGAAACTAGAAATTTGTGATTTAGCAGTTTGTCAAAAAACTAGTACACCGCATTGACCACAGACGTACCTCGTCACCCTCGATGTAAGGCAAGTTAAGAGACGTTGACAGGTGCTTGGCAACAGTGCTCTTACCGCAGCCGGCAGGGCCAGTAACTAGCCAAATGTGACGGTGTCTGGGCGCTGACAGGCCGTGGGTTTGGTTACTTGCTTTCGCAACGGTATTGTTCGACGTTACTGGTAGCGCGGTAGTGCTGACCGGCTTCGTGTTCGGCGCCATGGTACTAAGTGTCACAGCCATTGCCGCAGATGAGTGTTTTCCGTTAACCGAGATCGGGTTATCGTAGGATAACATAGTTTTATAACCCGTTTCTCGTTTCTTTTAGGAAACGAAAATAGCAGGGTATTGCTATTTTGGAGAAGTGCGGCGAAGTTGGAATAGGAGCAACTCAGCCACTTATTGTATGCGGTCTGGTATATATATCAAGCTAGGGTATATATGAAGGAACACAACGTGCAGTAGCAGCAGAGAACTGAAGCAACAAACTTCGCGATGTGTTTTTTCCAGAGAAATAAGAAGACCAATTATGAAAACAAGTAGAAATCGGGGGTAATTAAAGCAGCGCAATATGGTAGAAGCTAGGGCAGATGGCAGTGGGACCCCAGGACCGCCGGCGAAGCGTTGGCCTTTATAAGTGGGCGTCAGCAGCCCCGGTAACAGGCTTCGCATACTGGGTACTGTGGAATGACGGAGTACCTAAAATCTGGTTGTACCACAGTGCCGAACGAGATGAAAGAAAAAAAAATCAGCGAATCTTAGTACCTGAGATGCCTGAGACGAAAGACCAGGGATTAGCCTGGGGCTAGACGCTAAAAGAAGCTCGACAGAACGTCAAAGAAGGCAATTCAGGATGGTATTAGACCAATCATGCGTGTCCATTTAACTGTCCTTGGGGCTCCAGACTGGCTCGACGTCAGGGAGGGAGGGGTGCGGGTAAAGGCCAAGAAGTACCTAAACCACCTGGTCTGGGATGGCTCCAGAAGTATTTCTCCATCGAAATAAAAATAATAAAATAGTAGCGTGAATACACGCTTGAGTGGGGGGGAGCAACATCGTCAACGCGAGAACCGATAAATAGGGCCGAGTTGATGTATCGAGTTGAAAGGCAAACCAACAAGCGACGGCATCCACTAGACCGAGGTGCCTCGCCTGTGGTTGAAGATCTGCATCATCTTCTCAGTGCCCTCTATCATGTTTGTCTATCGGCAACATGAGTAACACTTGCTCATGAACTGCAAATGCTTTGTATTGTCGTCAACTGTCAGAAAAGTGTGGCTTCTTCTTACAAGGTTACCCAACCCACGTTGCAGAAGAGGCATGGCTGGAACCATGGCCAAACCAAGGATGGGTAAAGAAAGCTGAGACAGAAAAGTAACAATTACAATATTGAGACCAACAATATTAATGTAAAAGGTAATAATATATATATAATAGCCGTAAGTGGATTAGTCCGTTTGTGGTAGCTGATGGAATTCATCAAGTTGCCATTGTTGAGATGGGTGTTTAGAAACAGGCTGAACTTGATGATATTGAGAAGTGAGAAGTGAAGAAAGAAATGTATCTTATGTACCTAAGTACCTACATTTAGCTTGGAGTTTTTCGGGGTCATTCTTCTTTAGGTTTGGGGAAAGAGTTGACGACACACCGACACCCGGCAGTAGCCACTAGGAAAATTTCCCCTTTTTATTTTTTCTCATCTTCTCCCTTGCCTGCCTTAGTATATTTCCAGTGGTGTACGTAGTCGGTAGTCTACTATACTTTTCTCCGGCTATTTTCTTGAATGGGTAATTAATTATAGTTCTCTTCATTTTTATTTTTATTTTTTTATCCTTCTTTCCCTTTCTTTTTCGTATCATTACCGCCATGGCAAGCCGTTCGCCACCGAGAATCTACTTAGTATGTATGGGTTCCCACGGAGTAGTGTATGGCCAAGAGCTTCCTCGGTACAAAAGCATTCGACATGGTAGCGTGGGGGTGGGTACGTACCTTTTGCCTACAACATATGGAGAGTACAAGTAGTTGTATTCCACTATTTCACATTAGGCTGATGGAAATTTTATCGAAGAAAGCATCGAAGCCTGAGCTAGCCGACACCAAGCTCGCCCTAATGTGAGAATGGAAAAGTGTGGAGGAAAACGTGGTTAGGACAGGGAGATACAAATCAATGGGTCGTGAGTTAATCTCTTCCGTATTCGACGATATCTGAGACTGCACTTGCAGAACTTGGCTTCGTTATACATACAGGACCATCAAGCGCCAGAAGCGACTTCAAAGCGACTTCAACTACATATGATGAATCATGACGGCATGCCCAGATATTACTTACATACGGACAACAAAGAGAAAATTGCCTAGGTAGGTAGGTATCTCTAGAAGTTGCGATTCTTTGTCGTCGTTAAAGTCAGCAACAGATTGGGGACGAAAACACGCGTCCTATCAAAACCCCGGACTCCGAACAAGGCATGTCAGGTAGGGCCAGAGAGGTGTCATCGCATTGGCTCGGGATCTTTTGACGCCATCCTGGTGCCTATATTTCAATCAGAATAGAAATATGTTTCCCAGACAAAGACAAACCAACAAATGCTTGGGGAAACGACGTGGATGGAGGAAACACACTCGCATCGCAATCTATTACCCCTTTACAAGCAATTGGACGAAAATATCAGATTCAAAGTTGCCTCGCTCGTCATCTTACCGACCGGTACGGATGTGCTACGGATCTACCCCAACGTGATATGGTGATTTCTTTGTGCGACAGCGGCTGATCGTTTATAGGTCTCGCGATATTACCTGTTTAGTACGTAGCAATCAATGGCTGGAAGAGCTACGTACCTGGATCGGAGCTACCTACATAAGGCAAGCCTGCTTCGTTATTATGTGTGTGTACCTACATATTTCGGTAGTATTTTCATACTCTTAGGGTTACACGTCTTTCGATACCGGCACTGGCATTCATTAGGGCGTTCGTATTGGTATGTATGTCCATGTCAAAAATCAAATATCGGTCTCCTCTTCTGCTCGGCCGGTTACTGGATCCGATAAGCCCACTACTAGCGTTCTAGCCCGCTTTCTTGTCAACGCATCCACTGCAGCCCACTGTTACAGCATAGACAATGTCGGTGTTAGTGGACCCGGGGAAGACGGGGAGAACGGGAGGAGCTGACTATTGTTCTTCACCGCTCAATGGCACTTCCCCCACCAATCACGAAACAACTCACGCCCGCCGCGATCAAGCGCTTGGGTCAATTACCAAGGTGAAAGCACCAGGTAGCGCCAAGACCGATTCTGCATGAATTTTATAGCATCTGCAGCCTGCACGGACGAGAAAACCAGTCTTCTCAAGCTCATTCCGCATCCGCACCCCTCAACTTTTACCGATCCCATAATATGAGAATACCATGTCATACCCAACTTACCATCATCAATAGGGTTTTTTTTTTCTTTCTTTTATCTGTATTCCAGTAGTATCAATGGCATTTGTAAACCGACTTCGGTATAGGTTGAGGCAATAGGAAGAGGTTTGTCCGCTGGACGAATCCTAACCCACCAGAAAAATCTATTCGGACCAGTCGGACCCTAGGGAGGTGATACAAAGGCATAGAAGGCGGAAGACCTTCATGCAGGTAGAGGTCATGAGGCCCGTTTTTTGATCGATTAAGGCTCCTCCCGGTGTAACAAGATTAAGCCTTGCCTACATATATGTAGATAGAGGTATACAGGGACTGGTGATTTCTGGTTCAGACTAATGCTGTTGTGTGACCTCTGTAAGCCATGTATCCGAGTCTCAAACAAGCAAAACCAAGGACCTCTATCACCGCACACATTGTCTTGTCCTATGTAGGTATTCTACCTGAAATTTACATACAATATATTCGTGCCTAATTATATCAAGCGATTCCATTCTTTTTCATGTGCGTCCCTGTATGTACCTAAAAGTAGACATACGAACTATATTTGCGATACTATACCTAGGTACGGTATGGATATAAATTAGCCAGCCGAAGATCTTGATTGTTTGGAACTTTTTAAAGCCACGCCTCCTATTCTATAAGATCTATATTGGTTAAGCTTCAATTTTCGACAAGTCAGGAGGCCTCAGGCCAGGTATGCCATTAAGTCTACGAGGCTTCTCGAGCCTTGGATCCTGTAAATGTCGAATAATCCCACGCGCGTGTTCTTTTCGACCAATTTAATCACCATACGGGTATTTTATGACACAATTGAAAAGTTGCGAAATCTCATTTGGTATAAGATAAATTATAGAGAATGATGTTGACGAATATAGGTAGGATATTTTCTAGGGCTGCATGTGGTCAATAATTTAACTTGCCGACGTATACTCACAAATAGCTTAGGTCTCATCACTCCTAAAATGTCCTTTCTATTTGCTGTGTTCATTTTCACTCTAGAATATACAGGCGTCCAACATCCATTATCTCCTGCACCCAAGGTTGAGTTTGGTTCCTTATTCCCTTGATTACAGCTCCAATGTTCATGATACTTAAGCGTGGAGGGTGGATACGCAATCACAATAGGCGCCTACCGCCTAGGAAAAGAATTGCCCTGTGGCTGGCTATTCTAACTTAACGCTGTGGCGCATTAGGGAATGCGGGGATAAGTTAGACTGGCCGCTCTCCACCAATCGTATGATACAAACTCTTTCATCATTGGACCTTCCAGAAGGGTCACTTGCCTAAGGTACATTTATAATAGCTCTGGAGGTAAAATTTAGGTACCTACGCAGACTAGGGAAGTATATTGGGTACTAGTAGCTGCAGTGGTGGTGGTGATTGCCTTCTATCTCCTCATTCTCAAATGCTCTCCATTTCAACCTTGATTCGGAGTGCTCCTTCGATATCAAGAACATCAAAGCACCTGATCCCTAGACTCTCTCCAAGAAAACTGGATTCACTTAAACCAAGGTTTCTAGAAAATTCCCCTCACCGAATTATAGCCCGTTCGTTCGCCTCCACAATGGATGCTCAAGAGCTTAAGAACTATCTCGCCGATTCACCCCCGAGTGTCGTTAGGCTCGAGATAGAAAAACATTTCGATGCTTTAAATGACAAGCAGAAGAGATACGCCCACTTCATTTCTAGGTATTTACTACTCCTACTAGACTTTTATAGGTACGAGAGAATGTTGACAGCTTTGGGTGGTGTAGAGCCTCGTTCCATGGCACTAGAATTGTGGCGAGACAGATCTCCCCTGAATCTGAACCAATAGTAAGTTAGCTAACATTTCAGCTGTCTCACTGCATATTCACTCGTATCTAGTTCGACTTCATCTTGGCCCTCCACAAGACCTGTGGTGGCGACTGGAAGGCGTTACAAGCCAAGGCTGGTATATCGGACGAAGATCTTGGCAATTTCTTGCAATATGCAGCGCAATTCCTAGGGAACAATGGTAACTACAAAAGTTTTGGTGATGCCAAATTCATCCCACGGGGCCCCGAATCCGCCTTTACCGCGCTTGCGGCGGCGTCTCCGGAGGCACAGAAGTTTTACGATGCCACTTCTGGTGCCATATTCTCCGCCAACAAGCCAGCCTTGCTGCACCTAGGTTACCCAGAACAGGGACACATGACCACTTACTACCCTGGATCGTCGGACATCACGAAGGCAGAAATCGATTTTATTTCATCATGGATGGAGAAGAAAGGACTGCTTCCCGAAAATACTCGTCTCATTAAAAATAAGAATGGCTCGTTCGAGATTTTGATCGCGTCGGCAAAGCGCACAGTTCCCAGTGAAGGTGGCGATATTGGAAAAGAAACGACGTTCAAGATCGAGACCGGTGACTTAACGGGGAAGACTATTACTCTGGTGTATGGTGATTACTCCAAGGAGTTGGAAGCTATTACAGCAAATGCTAAAAAAGCGGCGGAAAATGCCGACAATGAGAACCAGCAGAAAATGTTTACTTCCTACGCGAAATCCTTTGAGGAAGGGTCGCTACTTGCTTTCAAGGACAGCCAAAGATTCTGGATTCGAGACAAGGGCCCGATGGTCGAGTGTAATGTTGGCTTCATCGAAACGTACCGCGACCCTGCTGGTATTCGAGCTGAATGGGAAGGCTTTGCTGCTGTCGTGAACCTAGATCGGACACGGGCTTTCGGGGCGTTGGTTGAAGCTGCTCCTACTCTGATTCCTCATCTACCATGGGGCAAAGACTTTGAAAAGGATACCTTCTTGTCCCCGGATTTCACTTCTCTTGAGGTTTTGACATTCGCTGGATCTGGTATACCCATTGGCATCAATATCCCTAACTACGATGATATTAGACAAGGCGAAGGCTTCAAAAATGTGTCACTCGGTAATGTGATGGGTGCAAAGTCACCGAATGAGAAAGTTCCGTTCGTTGCCGAGAAAGACCTAGGGGTTTATAGGAAGTACCGCGACGGCTCCTTAGAAGTTCAAGTTGGTCTCCACGAGTTGACAGGCCACGGGTGTGGTAAGCTACTGCAGGAGAAATCCCCGGGAGAGTTCAACTTCGACCACAAGAACCCGCCCATTTCTCCGTTAACTGGGAAACCCATCACGACTTGGTATGAGCCCGGTCAGACATGGGGTTCCGTTTTCGGTAGCTTAGCCGGTGCTTACGAAGAGTGCCGTGCAGAGCTTGTTGCCATGTATCTCAGCTGTGAATTCCCCGTCTTGAAGATCTTCGGTTTCGGAGACGGCTCAATCGATATCAATGGCGAGGCGGGCGACGTGCTCTATGCTTCCTATTTGTCTATGGCTCGAGCCGGTCTCACATCGCTGGAGATGTGGGATCCCAAGAGCCGAAAATGGGGTCAAGCGCACTCGCAAGCTCGATTTTCGATTCTCAAGTGCTTCCTCGAAGCCGAGGATGATTTCTGCAAACTGGATTATAAAGGAGACGACATAAGCAACTTAACGATTAGTCTAGACCGTTCGAAGATCCTCACGGCGGGCCGGAAAGCAGTAGGTGACTATCTTCGGAAATTGCACATATACAAATCTACCGCCGACATCGAAAACGGAGCGAAGTTCTTCGGCGACATGACAAATGTTGACCCGGACTTCTGGGGCACCAAGGTTAGGAATGAAGTTTTACGCAACAAGCAACCCCGGAAAGTGTTCGTCCAGACCAACACCAACTTGGACGAGGCGACTGGCAAGGTTACGATAAAACACTACGACGCAACTCCCGAGGGCATGATCCAGAGTTGGGCGGAGAGACACGTCTGACTTGAGAATGGGTATACAGCACGGCAAAGTAGTCTGCTGTGAGTAACTAACACACTTGGCGATGCGCATTCGGAGACTATCTGCGTAGTCTGCTAGAGTAAAGTTACTACCTAGATACCTTAGGTAGATAGACGCCTCTGAGATAAGTCCTCTTACGCCAACAATGATAAGCCTTGAGAATGATCAACTAGATTTGAGACGCGGAAGAGGAGTTGTTCTGTCAGAAACCAGCCAAGGGAACTCGTGTCACTCTATGCATCGTGTATGTTATTGTAAGAACTTCTGTTAATTTCTGTGGAAGCTATTAGCAAGTAGAGAGATGTCACCAACGTAACGCCATGCAGTAATTATTGTTTTTTTGCCTTGATAGTCGTTTATTGACTAGAACCTCGATTACAGACGCCAGAATCAATGTGACCGATGTCTCAACGTCCAGATGCAATTGGCAAAAGCCAGCCCAGTTCCGCGATCCGCCGTCCGCAAAGTCATTTGATAAATTTTTCTCTAAAAGCAGGAATCCTCATCTCTCATCGTCCGTGAACCCTTCCGTCCCCTCGCGTCGAAACTACCACTTCATCTCGTGGGGCTTGTCGCCCTTTCGGAGGCTGAATGAGCTAGCGAGGTAGCTGGCAAGAAGGTCTACCTTCTTGATGTTGGCGATCAGGGCCTTGTCGATGGTCTTCTGGTCCGCTGCTCGGCTGCTGCTGATCTCCTTCTTCTGTAGTGTAATGTATTAGCTCACGTCCTTGCTGATTAATCCAACCCTGTAAATCGTACCTGAGGCTTCTCGCCCTGCTTGAAGAACGCATCCTCGCTCGCCTTGTCCTTAGCCTTGTCTCGGGTGAAGTACTGGGCTTGCGCGACCTCCTCAATCTTGCTCTGGTCAAGACCCTTAAGGTCGATCTTGTAGGATGTGGCGATCACGTATCGGGAGTTCACTCGTCGTAGGGGGACACCGTTGATCTTGAAGGGGCCGGTGACGAGGAGGACACCTTGGTCGAGAGCCTTGAGGAGGACTACGCGCTTGCCTCGGAAGCGGCCAGCGAGGAGGATGAGGACGGTACCGGGCTGTAGCGAGTTTCGCGGAGCCCAAGGTCGGAGAGCCTTGCGGACCTATGGAAGAGATGATAGTTAGTAGGTAATTCAAAAAATAAGCTGAAATAAACGCGAAGGTGGTAGCATGTGTGTGTGGTTCGTCCGCAGATCATTTGTGTGCATCTCCAAAATCCATGTGATTGAAGATATTCAATCCAAGATTGCAGTAGTCTGCAACCGGAGATAAATATTACATTCCACCACGACCAATTTAGTTTTGTTGTTGGCAACCCGAAGATTCGATCTGTTGCTTTCATGCGAATACGATGTGTCCTCCAGATTTGAAATGTGAAATTATTATTGTTGTTAACTCACAGACTTGGGCTTGGCTTCATCGTCGGCCGGGTACCACTTCTGTGCCTTCTGGGAAGGGTGAGGGACCTCCCGGGTCGACTTTCCGAACGTCTTCTTTGTGCTCGGTTGCGACATTGTGAAGGGGTTGTCGGAAGGTGAATTGGTGGTGGATGAAAGGAAATTGGCGTTGAGGTTGATGATGCGAGGTTAGAAATTCCCACTTTGCGCAAAAAGTTCAATTCAGTTGTGGGCTTAGGCGAAGCCCTGGTGCCACCACTTGAAATCAATTCGTTGTAGGCTAAGTGGGGCACAAACTGTGGCTTTTTTTTCTTTCTTTCACAAGATTACCTAAGATAACGGATTTTCGGCAGCCGGATGATAAGCCACTTGAAATCAATTTGAATTTGAGAAAGAAAGAAACTTACGTAATTGTACTTAAGTACCAAACTTAATGCTCCACCGTACAAACAAGAAGGTGCGCACCGTACTCCGACGTAGCTCTTAGGTAAGCCAATGACATGAGCTCTCTTGCATCCGCTTGACGAAGCTATTGCAGCCTTGTAAGTTACAAGCCATACAAACATCACGCAACTAAATTATAACAACAATCCCACCATTCGACTTCGATTCTTACACACATCAAACTCCTTCATAAACCCGATAATTCCTCATCATGTCGTCTATAATACCGGTTATAACGTTCAAGGCTGGTATATGCGAGGTTGATGTAAGTATTCTTTAGCTTTGGTTAGCTTGATCGCCATATGAGGCCAGACATTAATATCATCACTAGAGCTCCTCAAGACCCTACAAGATCAAGGCTTCGCCCCGTCCAGGTTACATTTACCTCTATTCCGAAGATGGTATGTTTTTACTATTAATTTCAAACTACGTTGCTAGTAGATATGTTGCTAACACATTCTAGAATTACTTCACTTCTGCTGGCGAGAACGAAATGTCCCCCTCGATTCGCCCGAACTAGACCTCGTCATGGTGCCCACAGATGGCCACTTCCTCCCCTACGACGCCGGCAGCCAGCCCAGCAGTGCGAAGAAGCCCGACGGCCGCATCTTCATCCTCAAGTTCCTTTCCTCATCCCAGCGCTACCTCTTCTACCTCCAATCGAAACCCCAAGGCCGGACTGGTGACCCGCGCTGGTTCAGTCCCCGCGATCTGAAGATCGGCGATATTGTCGACAAGCTCCTACAAGGCGAGGAAGTCAATGTTGCGCGCGAACTAGCCTCAATTAATAACAGCGATAACGACGACCGACGCGGTGACGATAACGATGAGGCTATGGAGGACATCGAGGATTCTAATGACCCCCATGGAGGCAGCGGAGGTGCTGGCGCGGGCGCAACGGGCGGCGATGTACGAGAAGAGGGCGAGGAAGCGCGAGAAGGTGGTGCCGACGGTGCTAGAGCGTAGGTGCATCCCTGATTCTTCATTCGTGGCGTTTTATTTTTGGAAGAGGATATGGAGTGAGAATATTGCATACGCTTGACACATTCGCACAAAACAAATACCAGGCATAAGCGCCCAAAGGTGTTCTGTTGACCTACTGGGCTGCCATGTAATACTAGAGTTGAGCACTCACGATCAAAAAGAGATGCATTTTCTTCATCACATTGCTATACCTATCTACCTATATGAAACTTGTGCTGACATGATGTTAGTGCTGCTGCCGGTACGTCAGATGCTGCTGAGGCTGTGAGAAACTTCCTAGATTCATTAAGAGGAGGCGGCGGTGCCGGAGGGAACCAAGGGGAAGGAAAACTCTACCCGCTTCTTTCGGATCTCCTCACACCTCCTGTCACTGTTCCCATGGCCCAACTAGCTACGGAAGAACAGGTCAATGAATTACTTAGTTTCTTACCCCCTTCGGTACTTGTGCTGTCCCAACAATCCGACCAAGGGGACGCGACGGCAGAGCCTACTGCTGCAGCAATCCAAGCCGCTAAGGAGGCAATGAGTCTTGGCCAGAAGAAGGCGCTATTGGAGAAAGTCCTACGAAGTCCCCAGTTCCACCAGAGCTTAGCTAGCTTGACGATGGCTATTCGAGACGGTGGTTTACCTAGTATTGCCGATGCACTATCGATTAAGGTCGAGAATGGGGGTTACCTGAGAGGCAGTCAAATGCCTCTAGGTGGCGGAGATGCAGTGGAAGCCTTTGTTGAAGGAGTCAAGAAAAGCGTCCAGAAGAAGTAGATAGGTCATATCCCTGCTATTGAGTTGTACTAGGAGGTTAACAGGCGCACAAGTTAATCCTTTGTGCGTCAGGACAATTACGTTGTTCACTGTTGTTAAAATACAAACCTCGGTCCTAATACCAATAACAAAGGCCTTCGGTAATTTTGAAAGGGAGTGTATATCTCTGATGCTCTAAGAACTTGGGTTAGAGATATTTATACACAAGTGCCCCTAGTTTTTTAGCGGTCTATTCAGTGCTCACGAAATTTTTTTAACCTTCTACGGGGGATAGTCTTACCACAAGTCAAAAGAATTATCACGGGGTATGGGTGAGTAGGGAGTCTTACCCGTCGTGAATATTGACGGACTAATGTATATAACTTACGGGTATATCACCCCAAGGATCGGGTCGTTCCCTTATTCGAATCTCAATCTAAAACAAAGTTATATGAATCAAGACGTACCTAGGGACTCAGTTTGATGCTTGCTATCCCTCACCAGGCTACGGACTAGGAAACACATGCATGAAACAAGATGTAGGACCTGACTTCGCTTGAAATGTACTAGCGATGGGCCTATCATTCAACCAAATTACGCTCCCAAGCAGAATGTTATAACTTGACAATGCATACGAAACAAACGCTCCAAAATATTTTCTTCAAGTGCTTATAATATTAAAATAGGTACTGAGTCAAAAGAATGACAAGAAACAGAAGTTAAGCAGAAATCAAGTTGCGATGCGCTGACCTCTCCATTATCCAGGATATAGTTTTTTCCTCTTCCCTTGTCTTCCCTCCTCTTCTCTCTGCTCCCCCTCCTCAAGTGTCTAGGTATCACCTATACCAGTACATCTTTCCCCTCATAACCTGCTCCTCGGCCGTGACGCGCGCCTGTCTCGCCTCCTCCGCGATCTCATCTTCGGTTTTAATCCGTATCGGCGTTTCGCACCCGCGTAACCCGATAAAGCGTCCTATGCGTCGCCGTTTTTCTTCAAGTGATATTTCGCTTGACCATGCTATCGGGCATGGGTAGTGGAATGTCCAGCGGCAGGGTGTTCGTTGGTGGTAGAAATGTGCTAGTTCCTCGAGTTGTGCGTCCGTCAAAAGCCAGAAGTTTAGAAGCGTCCCCGGGAACGCCGGATGGATTTCTCCTGTTGTGAGTTGCACTAATGGAGCAAGCGGTAAGGCCATTTGCCGTAGTTTCTCTCGGAATGCGGCGTCTTTTAGTGCTCGTCTGTCCCCGAACATGGGTGGACTTGGTTTGTGTGCTGGGTTTGTCTGGTTTTCCATCTCGGCTGGTGTTTGTTGTAGGACTTTCTCTGGATATGACGGAGGTTCGGTTCGTTTGGTTTAATCGAGGTAGCTATCGCGGACTTCTGGATATTCTAAAAGGAGGAAAATCTCAAGTTTTATATTCGGTGGTGTCTTTGCGAAATCAATAGACGAGTGCGTCGGTGAAATGAGTGTGGTTTCAATGAAACAATGGTAGTAATAATAACAACGTGAGAAGGCTTTTGCTTGATCCGATCTAGTCTGTTTCCTCTTCTCTCTTAAGAAAAAAAAAGAATATTCTTCAATTGGCCTTCGACAATCGTGTCTAGCCGCCAGCAGCCAAGGGTGAATCGTAATTTATGTATGATGGGACTTTAAGAGAGAAAACGAGCACTTGGAATTTAAATTGAACTACGTAGCTGCTGGTATGAAGATATCGGCGAGGACTCGTAGATTCGAGGGTGGCTGCAGTGTATTCTTGTATGTACGAGGATCGAAACAGTTCTCTTTGTCACATTATTTGACGCTTCTGAGCACTATGGTCCGAACTGTTGGTTCTTTGTTCATTAGCGGCGCTATGAGCTTTCAGAGGAGCTTTATCCGCCTCATCGAGGCCTTTCACATATGAATAGCGCCCAAAGACCTATTAAAGGTGCGAATAGACCCTCACCTCTTGGTGAAACTAGTAGCAAATTGTTGGTTTGTTCTGCTCCGTGCCGTCCTTGTACCATCCCGATTTGCCCAGCGTATTCCTAGACAAACTCAAGGCTATTTTTATGACTCTTTCCCAGTCACTATGGTTTGTACACCATTTCTCCCTTCAAAGTCCCTTCCAAGCAAGTTTGGCGATGTGATCGGCCTTTTTCCTGCTTTGCTTCACAAAGCCCATGGTCTTCATTTCAGCCATCCCGCGATAAAATAAGACAAGCGCGGACCGCTCGTCTAACCCATCTTCATTTTCTTCGCCAACAATGGCGTAATAAGCAGACCAAAGATCTGCGACATTGATGAGGGACCCGGTCTCAAGGTAAAGTTGATATAAAATAGCTGTTGTTGGGAAAGATGGTTTGATTTGGTCTTCTTTGGTTTCGCAACAGGAGCAATTGAGATAATCATGAGGGCGTGATAATGCTCGTTCAACTACTCCCCGTGGTCGTGGAATAAACACATCTCTATACGGTACCCTTGAATCAAAGAACCAAAGCTCATTGAAGCACTGATCCTTTGCGCCGTTACACAGAAGTATCTCCTTTAGGTGTTTTGCAAGATCGTCCATTAAGTCGGTATACAGTTTGTCTTCCTCTGTTAGAGTCGCTGTGTCTTGGCTAAGCTGAACCTTTTGAGCGACAACGGTAGCTCGCAAGACCTTTGTTTGCCCGCTGTATTTGCTCCGGAGAACATTTCCCTGTTCTTCAGCTTCGGCTTGTAAGGACTTAACCCTTGTTAGAATGCTATCGAACAAAGAAACCGATTCCTTGGCTTCATCAATCCATGAATCTAAACCAAGGCTGAGGTCGCCATTCTTGATATCATCTAGCGCTTGTTTTATAAACGATTCAGTATCAGCAGGTTGCATTCGCTTGACCTGTTCCGTAAATTCTGCGATCTGATCGGGATCTATCCCACGCGAAATGGCATCTAAATAGAGTCCTGTGAAATCGGCAGATAATACCTTACTAGCGGTGAGAATTTTTAGTTTGCGTAAAACGTCCAATGACCATTGTTGAGAATCTCGGGAGCAACTTTGTAAAGCTTCACTGAGGTGTTGATCGTCGTCAAGAAGTAGCCGGGCCTGGCTAATTTCACCCTTCTCAATATTTGATTCTACGAATCGACGAAAAGATGGCAGGCATCGTACTGCTTCTAAGTGCTCTCCCTGAATCGTGTTGCTTTCTATTTCGTAGGATAAAAAGATTGTTAAGGGATTTGCGTAGAAGTGGTACATATAAGCATACTAAAAGCGCTTAGCATGCGTAATGATGCATAGTGGCTTGTTCCACAGGGCATAACTTACCTTCAAGGAACTCACAAAGACCGGAATGCTCGATACTTGGTCTCGTTGACGATCTAGTAGACTATGTATGAGGGAAGAGCCTAACCGTAATGGAACTTCCGAGTGCGCAATGGATGCTTTAAAAATCTTTTCGATGATTGAGGTCGATTGCTCAACGTCGAATTGATCACCGTAAAGACACTGGCAAGTTGATTTTAAAAGCCGTGCCTGGAATAGCTCGACCGAGGTGGCCACCCCAAAAAGCAATGCGAATGGGATTCGATCAAGCCACGAGCTGCGTGACAAGTCAATTGTGTGACACATGGAACATAAATGAGCATACTAACCTAAAAAGTGAAATTAAATCTGACAATAGACCGCTTTCAAAGGCTTCACTGTCTTGAAATGCGACAATGATATGACGACGGGGGTTAGCCTTGAGATGGGCATAAAGACCCTCGAGATCGTAATTAAGATATTTGCGACCATCTTTGCCAGTTGCCAATTCTAAATCGTTTTCATCGTCTGTCTCCCTTGCTGTAGTGTCATGTATGATCTTTTTCAAGACCATTTTCAAATTAGACGCATCACCGGACCTGAGCCGTACTACCTTAGCATCCATCCGAAGCTGCAATGCTTCCGTGAGCTGTTCAAATAACAGGTCCTGGGTAGCCAAATTTGGACCCGTGATAATGAAGCCGGAAGGGATTTTGCCAATGGATGCATGATCAGGTGTTGTGCCAAGGAAGGAAATGACTTCGTCTAGAGTGGACTGAATTGTTTTTCTAAGTATTCGCTATAAGAAACTGTAAGTTATCATGCTATGAGATTGCTCGCAGTATAAGCAACTAACTTGGATCCTCTCATCGATTTGAGACCAAGACTTCTCAAAGAGCTGCTGGCGAAGACGGACATAGCGTTCATCTTCGGAACCATTAAAAAGTGGCTGGAAGGTTAACCAAGCATTGATATCTTGGTTTTTTAATTCATTTGGTTTCTTGGAAACTTTTCTCCGTTTAGCAGGTCTGCTTGCGCCATCGGCTTCTTCTAAGGGGTCGAAAATATAGGCGGCCTAAGAACCGTCAGTGTTGATTCGCATCGGCTTCATATGGAATATTATACCTGGTGCTGTTTCTCTTCGTATACCTCTTTAACAGGTTCATCGACGGCCATGATTAGATGCGACTTTTGCTCACTGCCTAAGTAGTAAGTCTCTTAGTTTTCATGAGATATGATATGAGAATACGCGTCTTGACACTTCAAGTGTAAGTGGATGCGATTTAGACAGGTACAGGGCGTGCAGGGTCCTCTCTAGCGTTACTAAATCCCGGTCAATCCCCTAATAGAACTTCAAATGGAAGGTACAGTGGGTAGTAATGCTTAAAGTTATAGGTGGGGCAGAGGAAAGTCGAGGCTTGGGATGCGCTAAAAAAAGTACCCAGTAGGAATGTCGGTGGTGATATCACCCTTATCGGCTTTAAATTTTTAGAAGGAAAAAAAAAAAAAGAATTTCTACTCCGAAGCAGCGTTTTGCCGCTCACATATCCTCATGCATACGACGTACTATACTAGTTAATCTCTGTCGTCATGCCTCCAAGGACCCTTCCCGTCGACAATTTTATCTGTAGGTCCTGCTTGTTGGCTTTACGAAAGCGCACTCCCGTTGCGCAATGGGCACTCCGACGCTCTTCTTCGCAAGCTGCGCAATCTTTCGCTTCAACGACCCGATCCCGCCTAACGAGCGAACAAGAAGCCGAACGTCTGAAAACCTTAGAAACATTAGGTCTTCTAAAAGAAAGCAAGGATGACGAGATATCAGTCAACTATTTTGAACAGGGGAAAGGTGGAAATCTACGGCGTCTACGAAACCAGGACGAGTTTACCCAATCAATGACAGACCCGGGAGGTCAAGCCGAAACCCGCTTGAAGGAGATGGAAAAAGAGCTAGAGCAAGCCACACAGTTTTCAAAAATTGTCGAGGAGATTTGGGGGAAGCAAGGTGCCGAGAAATTACGAAAACGAGCTGCGTCCCAAGATGAGTCCTTACCGAAACCCTCACTACTCCTACCTGAGGAGGAGTGGCCGGCACCACAAGAACGAAAGCATATCGTCCAGTTAAACAATATGATACGGACTGTGGGCAGAAAAACTCGTGGTGGTGTCCTTGGACCCAAGCAAATAAACTCGTTATGGAGGTACTATTCTGCTGCTCGGATAGCTTTGTCGAAGAGGTGGGAGTTGGTTCACGAGGATATATGGGATTTGCTATGGCAGATTCTAGCCGCAGATCATCCTAATAACCCCAACCGAATGTCCCATATCCACACATTAGCAAAGGATATGCAGAAGGCCGGTGTAACCCTACGCGATGACCAACAACTACTTGCACTCGAGGCCACCTTCATAACCGGGTTTAAAGAAGAGGCGATTACAACACATAAAAAGTTTGTAACTACCCTAGGGACGAGACCAGAAACCTTTGTGGAGTTTTGGCAACTTGGTCTCCGAATGTATTGTTTAACAGGCGATACAACTCGAGCTGAACGGGTTGTCAACACTCTTTTCGAGTCTCCTTTCGAGAAGGATCCACGATTCCTATTACCATTTATTCGTATGTGTGCTGAGAATCCTGCGACGGTAGAAAAGGGATTCGAACTATACCAACGGTTGCGATCTGAGTTGGGCGACTCGATTACAATCGATGACTATGACCAAGTCATTTCCTACTTCTTAGCCTCGAATGAGACCGAGTATGCGTTTTATACATTCATCGAGATGATGACATCCGACACCATCGACCTACGCGGAGGCCAAAGGGGAGCTGCTAGTGTGGCTAGCCCCTTTTTCTACGGCAAATGGTTGAAACGACTAATAGGAGCTGGTGATCTCCAGGGTGCTTACAACGTCTTGCTTCACATGAAGTCCAAAGGTGTTATGCCCCAAGCTATTGTAGTCAATGGTCTAATTGGTGCATATTTAAGGTCGGGCACTGCTGGCAATATGCAAAAAGCCGAGGAAATTGCTTGGTCTATGATCAACACCAGGATGCAGTTTCTAAGTATTAGAAAGGATATGAAGAACTTGGCCTCTTTCGTCAGGCTACGACAGTGTGGAGAGGGTTGGCCAAGAGCGAACCTGGAAACGTTCTCGCTACTTGCTGAGAATTATAAAGAACGTGGCTTACATCCCAAGATGGAACAATTATGGGCGGCATTTAGGGAGGCAGAAATCCCTCCCAATTCGTTCATTCTAAACCAGTTGCTGTTCTCCTACCTTCAAGATGGGCAGGGTAAACGTCTCGCAGAGCTCTCTCGAGATTTGACCAGCCAATATCAGGTTGAGCCAGATTCATGGACCTTTATGGCTCTTTGGCAGGCCTTACCAATCAATCGTCTTATCCAGGTACAACCAGAACAGTTCCGTGAGGAGATATTCAACACTCGATCGCTGTTTGCTGAGATGGCTGAATCCGCCCATATCTTTGCCGAGAATGGTGTCGATGCCCCATTAGCAAGAACTGTATTACATACGTTCCGCAAAGTGGATGATAAGTACGGTCTTCTTTTGGCGTACCGAGCATTCCGGCAGGTATTCAAATTTACACCTCCAGATATTATTATACTTGAATTAGTTGTAGGGTCAATGGACCTAGAAAAATTAGCAAAGGGCAGGGATGGCCATCGATTGATGTACGCGAGTAAGGAAGTTGAAAGTCATATGAGGCGAAGGCACCAGGAACTTATCGCCTCCGGGGAACTTGGGGCGAGCGACGATATACCGGAAGATGTGAAGAGGGAAGAGTTGGGAAATTTCTTGGAACAATACCTACAAGGCCAAATTGCGCGCCTTGAGGACGAGAATAAGGCGCAATTGCTTATACAAGCTGCCGTGGAGATGGGCTTGCACGGTGAGGTGCAAAGCCTCCCAGTAGACGCCTGATATATAACAGTCTTTCGACACCTAACAGATGATGATATATGTTAGTTATATGTACATATAACCACTCATGATAAATGTATCACTAAGAAATATGGCATACATATACCCCGTCTCCTCTTATCCCTTCCGTCCGTTTCAATGTCTAGGTGCTTCTGATTATATCAAGTGAAGCGTATTCTAGATTTCAAGAGAAGCACACATGTACTACAGTATGTACAGTAGAGCGGGGTCTTCAGCAGATAAGATAAGATTAGAGCTGAGGATACCTGGGTACATCGGTGTCGGCGTAAGCAGCAAGCCCTAGCGGGGAAATTGGGAGGATGGAACCAATGCACACATTCGGGTCTCGAAAAAAAACAATTAGCCGAAATTCGACCTTTGTGCTAAACTTTCAGCGACTTTTCTCAATTTTCCTAACCGCAATACCAATTTTCATCATCTAACATATACCCCGGCTTTAAAAATCCTAACTTCAGAAATAAGAAGACATGGGAGCCAGCAAGCAAAAGAAGGCGGAATACGTGAGTCGCATTGAATTTCTTATTTCAATCGCGAGAGAATTGAAATGCTAATAATTATCGGCTGCGCAGTTCCCCAAGCTGAAGGGCCTGCTCGAGGACTACAGCTCTGTTTTCCTCGTCACCGTCGACAATGTCAGCTCTCAGCAGATGCACGAAATCCGACAGTCCCTCCGCGGGGAGGCTGTCGTCCTGATGGGAAAGAACACTATGGTAAGCACAAAACCGAATGAATTGCTACACCCGGTGAAATTATAGGCTGACCGCGCGCTTCAACAATTCAGGTTCGCCGAGCCCTCAAGACCTTCATTCCCGATTCCCCCGAGTACGAGCGACTCCTTCCCCACGTCAAGGGCAACATCGGTTTTGTCTTCACTAACGGTGACCTCAAAACCATCCGTGACAAGATCCTTGCCAACAAGGTCGCGGCCCCTGCCCGTGCTGGTGCTGTTGCGCCGGCTGACGTCTGGATCCCTGCTGGCAACACTGGTATGGAACCCGGCAAGACCTCTTTCTTCCAGGCTCTTGGTGTCCCCACCAAGATTGCTCGTGGTACCATTGAAATCACGACCGATTTGAAGCTTGTCGAGTCGGGTAGCCGTGTCGGTCCCTCCGAGGCTACTCTTCTCAACATGTTGAACATCTCTCCCTTCACCTACGGTCTAGGTGTTGCGCAGGTCTACGACCAGGGCAACACTTTCCCCCCTGACGTCTTGGATATCAGCGAGGACCAGCTCCTCAAGACCTTCTCCAGCGCCATTACCACTATTGCCGCTCTCTCCCTCGCCCTCAACTTCCCTACTCTGCCCTCCGTCATCCACTCCCTTGTCAACAGCTACAAGAAGGTTTTGGCTGTTGCCATCGAGACCGAATATAGCTGGCCCGAAATTGAGCAACTCAAGGACCGTATTGCCAACCCCGACGCTTACGCCGCCGCTGCCGGCCCTGCCGCTGCTGCCGAGACTACAACGGCTGCTGCTGCTGAGGAAGAGACGAAGGACGAAGAGGAGGAGGAGTCCGGTGATGAGGGTTTCGGTGGTCTCTTGTACGTTCCCCCTTATCCCCCGAGAATAAGTGTGACTAGTTTGCTAACATCTTTATCTACAGTGACTGAATTTCATAGCATCATGGTGTTGTCGGAAAGGCATCAAACTGGGCTTCGGTTGGGATTGCGGGACCTAGGCGCGATAAAATCGACGGTACATAGGTCTTTTAACGGTCAATTGAGGCACGATTGCAGATGAATTTGGTTCTCCTATTGTGATATGGTGCTTACACTACAGCATACGGGGTCTCCACTTTCTACTTTTAAAATGGTAAGTCCAATTTTGTTCTCACTTCTTCCCAGTGTTCGATGATTATATCCAGAAATTCAAGAGCTTTTTAACCCTGATCTTTTTTGATGACACATTTCATCACCACCCTATGAGACACATTACCAAACACAATTTGTTTAGACAATATTGTACAATGAGCAGAGTGCTAACATAACTCGCTTTTAGATACCTAGATGAACCGAATCAAATCGTAATAACTGACATCAAGCTTCCTAATTCTTTATGCTGCTTCAGTCGACTGTTTCGTAGGAATAGGGGTATCGTGATCTAACACCGTATTTTGACTTTGAGTTTTCTTCAGGTAATCACCCTTGCCATTGTTGCTGTCATCGTGTTTCCCAAGTATCTCCCTCGCAATAGCAATAGCCGCTTCGGGTAGTCCAGCCAATCTCGCTACCTTCAACGCATGGCTTTGCCGATTCACCCCTTTCCGTAACTTGTGCACGTAAATAAACCCTCCCTCACTCTCCTCCACATCAGTACACCACGTCTCTATCACACCTCCCTGATCCACATGTAACTCACGCGCAGTTACCATATCCGCTAGACCGTGGAAATGCGTCGCGAATAGGGCTCTACACCGGTTCACGCGGACCAAATGATATAAAGCAGCAAACGCGACAGCGGCACCGTCGTGAGGAGCGGTTCCGCGGCCGACTTCATCCATTATCACAAAAGATCGCGGTGTTGCGGCGCGTAGGATTCGCGATGTTTCGAGCATTTCGACCATGAATGTGCTCTGGTCCGCGAAGAGGTTATCTGCGGATCCGACGCGTGAGAATACTGCGTCGGCGATGCCGAGGGTTGCGTGGGAGGCGGGAACCCAGCATCCGGCTTGTGCTAGGATGGCGATGAGTGCGTTTTGGCGGAGGTAGGTGGATTTACCGGCCATATTTGGACCGGTTATTAGGGATAGTGTGCCGTGTGCCGTGTTGGTGGTGCTGGTGCTGGTGCCGCCGATTAGACAGTCGTTTTCGGTGAATGAGCGGCCTTGTTCGCGGAGTCCGGCTTCGACGGTGGGATGCCGGCCGCCGATTACTATGTGTTGTGCTGTGGAGAGGGATCCGGGGGTGGGGTTGAGGTTGGGGTTGGGGTTGGTGATGGATGTAGTATCGAGTAAAACAGGTCTTGTCCACCCCTTTTCAGAAGCGAGTCGTGCGAATGAAGCTGTTACGTCGAGTTCGTCGAGGACAGCTGCGTTGCGGCGTAGTTTTACGAGATTGGCTACGACCATTGCGCGTAAATCGGCGAAAATTCGTTGTTCTTCGGCGCCGATTTCGAAACGTGTTTGGTGCAATCGTCGACCTAAAGCTGTCCACTCCGATGCGTGGAATGTTCGCGTGCTTCGGCTTGAGCTTACTACTATCGCTTCATCGCCTTTGCCGTCGCTGTTATCGTAGTCCACGATCCGTTTCATATCCCGCACTCCCTTGACATGACACACATGGCCCCCTGTTGGCGTCCAGCGTAACGTCAGACTGGCGGCGCCGAAACGTGTGCGTAGAGATTCAGCTAGGGCTGTTTTCTCTTGAAGTAGGGTTTGGAACTTATTATGGAGTTCGCGCAGGCCGTGGCTGGCTTCGGGTTTCATGACGAAGGCAATGTTATCATCGACGCTATAGTGGTCTCTGATAGAAGTGGGTTGCTTTTTTCGTTTACTATTGGCGGCTACGGCCGCTTTAGGCAAGATAGAAGGATCGCCTTTGGCACCTTCTGATGCAACGACGTCTTCGGCGAGGGTCATGAGTTGGCTCGCCTCGCTGTCCTCATCTCGGTGTTGTTGTACCAGGCCATCTTCATCGATGGAGGTCTTGATGCGGTCGGCTAAGGCGGCTGGTTCTTTGAGCTTGATGCGGGAGAGGAGAGGATCGAAGCAAGACGATCCCTCTGAAGTAGACATGTCCTCCAAATTTGATGTAGTATTCTCTTGTTCTTGTGAAGTCCCCAAGAGCGAGACGATATCTTGAGTAGCTCTGATAGTATTAGCAAGGGCTATGAGATCGTCCGGATCTCCCCTTCCAAGAGCGAATTTCTGGACCAAGCGTTGTGAATCATGGCTCCTCCTAAGCAGCAACACGATTTCATCGCGAAGGTCGGGGTACTGGATAAAAGACTTCACAAGATCTTGTCGCGACGTAATAGTCTTTAGGCATGTCGAGGGTGCGCTAAGCCAAGCATTCAGTAATCGAGCACCTCCTTTAGTAACGGTCCGCCGGACGATATGTAGTAAGCTACCTCGAAAGGCACTATCACGAATAGTTTGCTTGATCTCGAGCGAGCGCATGGTGCTTTTGTCAATAGACATGACGGACATGTTTTCGTACCGCTGCGGCGGCTGTAGCTTCATACTCAGCCCTTGCAAACGGTCCCGAACATACTGAAGAAGCAAGCTTCCGGCTTGAACCTCATCCGGTGTGAAGCTTTGTGCTGTCTGCGTGGGAACATCGGATTCCAGCATCGGAGTCCATGCTGATAGTGGTAGGTGTTCGCTGTGTGGTGCGAATGTGATTAACTGCTTGTCTTCAGCTAGGACCGAGAATAAGTGATGATCTTTTTGCGACTCGAGAAGCTCGTCTACTACTACTTCTCTGGGGCCAACGCGGGAGAGAATAGACCCGAGCGATGTGACCGTAGTTGCTTGTGTGTAGAACTGGCCCGTGGATATGTCTACCCATGCCAGACCTATTGGTGTGGAAGCATTGACTTGGAATTCCGCAAGGCTTTCTAGCTCCGTTCTACCACTCTTATTAGATTCTTGTGAACTAGAAGAATCCACTTCCTGATGGTTCACATGAACTGCCATAACATAGTTATTAGCGTACGGATCCATGAAATTCTCATCTATAAGCGTTCCTGGTGTGATGACACGGGTGACCCTTCGATCATGCATTAATCCATTCGATTTGATTCTATCGCCAGGATCATTGGGGAATTCCTCTGCTATAGCGACATAGCAGTTTAGATCCAGGACTAAGGTCTTAAGAAATCGCTCTAGCTGGAAGAACGGGAAGCCAGCCTATATATCGTCAGATCAATAGTCGCCCTAAAACCAACAGCGTAGATATGAATATAAACAAATGTAGAATGAAGTTATGTAAGGAAAATAGAAATACCATAGGCACAGGTCCAGCATTAGTCTTCTTCTGCGCGACCTTAAGATTCAGCAAGGGTCCGTACTCTTCAGCCTGGTTCAAGTAGAGCTCATAAAAGCCGCCAACGCGCGTGAGCAACACACAGTTTTCAAACTTCTGCATATTCCGCCAAGCTTGTAAGACGACGGTAGGATATGCTGGCCCTTCATCCTCTGGTTCTTCCAGTGACTTAGGCTCATCGTCGTCCTTCATTTTTATACGTCCCTGCGGTAGATCCTCCAGCCTCACCGAAGATCTCGTTTTTTTGCCTCGTATTTGTTGTTGGCATCTCAAAAAGACTGCTAGATCGACATCGCGAGACAACGGTAGTGATGCTGCTGTGAGTCCTTGTTGTCGTGATAGCGTCTGTTTGATCCTCCAGCCGCGTGCGCGACCGGCAAACGCCCGGGTCATCCGCCGGCATGTTTGCCCATTCATGAGGTTCAAGTTCCAAAATGAAGCGAACTTATCACATAAGTATTTTATAGCGAATACAATTATCCGAATTTTATTACAATTTTGAGTTTTTGGAGGTTGTGATGAAATTTACGAAGTATCGAATGATTGGTTTGCCTTAACAATTTCTGTTGAATTTATACTGTGGGCTCCTAGCCAATTTTAAGCCAATTGCACAGTATAGTCCGATCTCCGACTTCCTGGGAAGTCGTAAATATGCCGCTCATTCTTGGTTACAATCAACAACAGTTCATACAGAGTCTAAAATATCAGATGAGTTGCCCAGATATACTAGCGAAATATCGGGGGGTATGAGACAATTATCACAGATGGTTCAATATGATTGATCAAGACATTTATAGGAGAATCGCTATTCCTTTATTTTCATAAGTCCTTTTGGTCATACTGTATACCTGAATAGATTGAAATGAAGACTATTCGCCCTGCTTGGGCAGCCGATGATTGCAACCTTCCGGATCAAACCACATTCTCATATAATACAGGGCGCCAGTTTGCTTTTCTAACACCCACCCAACATATCGCACCAATCGAGGCCAACCTTAGAAAAGGCCAAGGGCATTCCTTAATTGAAGAATATGCTTGTCTTGTGCTCGAAAAGTAAGGTTGCGGCCAGACTACAACTGCAACCTGTACGTAGCCACCTCAAAGGGATGAAGAGAAATGGGAAAAGTTCTATCCTCGCTGATCTTAATCTCTTCCCCATCATCTTCCAAAATGTTGGTCTTGAATACCTTCTTAACGTCCCAAGTCGTTTTGATTTTCCCAGTGCTACGACCACCAAGGCTGTCGTAAATACGGACGATAATGCTTTGGCCCTTGCGCCGTGGAATTGCTGTGTCGACAGAAACGTCTTCATCATCCTCGCCACGCTTCACGCAATCCAAGATCAACGAATCATCACCTGTTAGTTCAACAGGGTGTGTTTTCAACGCAGAAATGTCAGCGCCCACAGGTACCGAGAGGATAGTCAATGGATGATTGAAGTTGTATCCAGCGCGTACAGTCGTGGCACCGAGATCCCCTTGGTGTGGTAGAATGGCCCACCGAATTGTGTGCTTGCCCATATCCGCATGAGCATCAGGCGCCTTCGGTGAACGTAATAGAGAAAGACGCATGAGACTGCCACAAGTAGCAAAGCCATATTTGCTGTCATTGAGAATTGAGACACCGTAGCCGTGCTCCGACAAGTCAGCAAATTTGTGGCAGCACACCTCAAACTTAGCCATGTCCCAGGTGGTGTTGTAATGCGTGGGTCGCTTGACAAGGCCGTACTGAGTCTCATAAGAGGCTTCGGTGTTTCTGATATCTACGGGGAACTCGACCTTCAGGAACTTCATGGTCTCATGCCAATCCACATGAGCAGTGCTCTCGACGTACGATTGTTGACCCTCGAGGGCAGCAGATAGGCTTAGGATCACCTTAATTGAGCTCTTGTCGCTGATCTTGGCTTCGGTCAAGACGCTGACTCGGTGTGCTTGATCTTCGTATATTTGGGTCTTGCCATACGATATTTCCTTCCGCGTATCAAGATGGTAGACCTCGACATCCCATGCTTGCCAGTACAGTGGCTTATCATCGAAGATGACGAGCTGGTTGGCCTTTCCTCCTCCGGATATGAGTTCGCGTCCTACTTTGCGATCGATGAGGGAGGTGATGGTTCCATTCTCGACCGTCACAGTTAACTGTTTGTTCTCCAGAACGAAAACACCATCGGTAACTTCATTAATGGTAACTTCTTTAGCCGCTTTCGTTTTGAAGGGCTTTATGCTAGCGATGTTCCCAGAACCACAAGCGACACCTACTATATTCCCAGGGATCTCAACGATCTCCCTTCTGTGCCAAGGCAGTGTATTTAGGGCTACAAGTTCGCCATGATGACGGGTAGAATCAATGGCCGTTAATTGAGTGACCCCAAAGAGATCATAGACGTCATCGTAAATAGACTTGCCGATCTTGAATACTTTTTCGTATAGCTGGTTTAATGTCAGTTTACCAAGTTTCTATGGTATTCTAGGTAGACTTACCTCGTCTGAGTCATCGTAACACATCTCAATCGCACTTCCAGGAAGGCAATCATGGAATTGGCAAAGAAGAGTTGCTTCCCACATTTCATCAAACTTCGCCTTCGGATATTTATACGAGTTGAATTTAAGAGACGCAATAGTGGCCAACAGCTCAAGTTCCCGCAACATAAATTCCGACTTTCGGTTATTGCGCTTGTTGTTTGCTTGAGTCGTATATGTTCCACGGTGAAGTTCGAAGTATAACTCGCCGTACCAAGTGACCAAACTGTTGCCCTTTTCTTCGAGCTTGTCGAAAAAGTCATCAACAGAGTTGCCTAAGTGCACTCTAGGCAAACGACCGATCTGGTCGCTGATACCACGGCAGCGTCGTAACTTTTCAATATGCTGCCAAGTTGGACCACCACCTCCGTCACCTTTGCCAAAGACCAATAGCGAAGTGTGGTCTTGGTCCATTGACTTGTGCTGAGAAATACTGCGCTTGACGTCTCCAAACTCAGCTTCCGAAGTGTAGGTCTCAGCCGGCGGCATGTGGCAAATGACCTGACTTCCATCTAAAGAGACCCAGTTGAAGGTCGTGTGAGGGAAGTTATTGATGTTATTCCAGCTGAGTTTCTGTGTAAGGAAACGATCCATGCCAGCCAGTCGACATACTTGGGGAAGTTGACTCGAATATCCAAAGGTGTCAGGTAGCCAGAATGTGCGGCACCGCTCTCCGAAGTTACTCTCAAAGAACCTCTGACCGTATAAAAATTGACGCACGAGGGACTCGCCACTTGGCATATTGGTATCATGTTCAACCCAGCTGCCACCAATAGGGTGGAATCGACGTTCCTTTACTTTCTGCTTGACACGATCAAAAGCATAGGGGTATAGGGTTTTTAGCCATTTGTACTGTTGAGCTTGAGAACAAGCAAAGTTGAGCTCCGGGTAACGGTCCATCAAGTCACATTGGTTCGACCAAGATCTTGCAACCTTCCTCTTCGTTTCGGCCCAGGGCCATAGCCAACAAGTGTCAATATGACAATGACCAATACCAAAAACCTGGGGTTGGAGTTTGCTGCTATAAACCTTGGAGGAATCGACATTAGACCCAATGTAATCCTGCGCGATTTTACGGCACTTTTTGATCGAGTTCTTATCGCCAAGAACGTAAGAGTCGATAATGTTAGTGACAACATTCAAGGCCTCGTGTTGCTCCCATGAATCTTCGGGGAATTCTCTCGCAGCGTCACCAATTATCCAAGTGTCAATCCAGAGTTGGCGGGCATCTAGATTAACGGCACGAATGTCGGCTCTTACGAGTTGGAAACTTCTGTTTGGATCCGGTGGCTGGATGATATCGCCGGCCGGATTCCCGAACATACTATTGCAGGCCATCTCGATGTAGATGGTGTGCTCCTTGCCATCCCTGAAAGAGTCTGGAAGGATCCATTCGACACGTTCGCCTCCACCAGTTAGACCTTGTAAGGGTTTGCCGTCATCAGTCCAAACCATGCCTTCATTGTTGGCGTCCCAATGGAATTCCAAATGCTCCTTATCTCGAAGATCGGCGGGAACCTTGAGGACGACTTTAAACCAGTGGGTAGCCCAAGAAGGGCCGAAGGACTGGCCGACAGCAGCAGGTTTATATTCGCCAGCGACAGCCTCTTCAAACGTTGGCCTTGAGAGACCTGGAGCTGGCCATGTTGAAAGTCGGACATTGGGAGGGCCAGACGCGATGCCTTCGTACATCATAGCCAGGAGATTTTGATGTTCCCATTGTCCCGAAGAGTAGAATTGGGTAATACGTTCTTTGTAGATGTGTGTTATCCGCTTGCCGACCGGAGCGCGTGCCCGGACGGGGTAATCGGTCGTAACGACCTTTGGTTTTGTAGTCTCACCGCCCATGGTAAGTACTGTGGTGTCTTGTTGCAATGATAGTGACTTAATAACTCTGGATGTGTTATGTGTGGGTTAGAATGCTTTATAAACAAGTCGTCCTAGAATCGAACGAGAAGTCGGCTACAATGAAGTCAGACGAAACGCTTAAATATAAATGAAGGGTGGGAATCGTGATACGAAATAAGTTGGTGCCCCGCAACGAATGGAATGTGTTAATACAGCTGTACTACTGTTGTGTTGATGAGATACACACCAATGGATGTTATCGTAGATGCTACGTTAGACTCTTCTGACCTGAGGTGGTTTTTTTAATTCTCTAAATATGAATTGGTGTATTGAATTGTATTGAATACGTAGGGTATAGAAGGAGTTAAGGTGGGCAAGCTTGCAGGACCTGAGGTAGGTGCCGAGGGTTCCTGAGACGCAGGGGCTGAAGAAGCGTGGAGGGATCGAGGAGCAGCTGACTTGGCAGCTCCCTAGAGCTTTTGCGGGGAAACCCTTGGCAATCTCCAAATCGAGACCTGACAAGAGCCTATCATGGGTTGTAGCGGCCCGCACTCACCCCAGTGTACTAACAGCCCTATTACGTATATATGTATGGATTAGGTGACGTGAGTGGTCGAATCGATTCAGCAGCTTGTCAATGTGTCCATTCCTAGGTATGTGTAGGTGAGTAAGTAATGGTATATGAGTGATCAGGAACGTAGGTGGATAAAAAAAAAAAAAAAAAAAGCATCAATCTTGTACCGGTCGGAGATGGAGAGGGCGGAACAGTAAGGTCGAAAATATAGGTGGCTGGGAGTCTAGGAAAACGAAGTTGACACATGATAAGAAGAGAACCTTGGAAGTTTTGAAGGTGGGCCAATAAGATTATCTTAGACCAGGCACCTAGGTACTGCGTATACAGAGTAAGGCAACCGCCGATGTGCCGTCATTCTAGAGGAAGGAACATATGTACCTAGCTACTTAGGAATGTATATAATGTCCAGCGCCCTCTTGAGGGTACAAGGTTAATCTATCGCACAACGCTATTGGGTCTTTTCCTTGCTCTGGCCTTGAGATATATGAGTGGTACTTGTGGATTTGCTAATCGCTTCTTTCGATACCGTCCCATGTGTCATTTTTGTACAACGCGACTTTGTTGTACTCTTCCCAGTTTGTTTCATAGCTGGAGTTTTCGAAAGGGTGTCTTGAAGATCCACCCAAGCACCAATTCCGCATAAGTCATCGGCCATACTAGACGATTTTGGCATGGTGACGATCTGAGTCGAGTTAACTACTCAGTGCTGCTTGAGTTATCGATTTCTTACGTACCTGAACCACAACGAAGTGACACTGGTTATGAGGCTTTGATTTTTGATATCAACGGAAAATCAGGTCGGCAAGTCGTCCTCCTCGACTTCTTCATGGTGCAGCAAGACCTTATATTCTCGCCGAAGAGTCGATACTCGAATCATACTATCGCTTGCTTGATGATTCAAAATGTTAGGTGGAATTGATTCCCATGACTGCGCTCAACGGGAATCAATTCCCACGATTACGATTAATGGGAACCGATTCCCATGGTTGCGATTAGGGCACCTTGCTTGGGGTACATGTATCATTCCCACCAAGAATTATACATTGCGTATAGGTCACATCCAAATCCCATGATCTCCTCACATTGATTGGGTACGACCACCGCACAGCTCACATAGAAATCGTGATGTGTGCTTAGATGGTCAGCCATAGAGATTGCACCTAAAATTGCTGTCCTATGGTTAATCGTCTTTTGTGGGAATCAGCTATCCCCATAAGTGAAGGTAAGGCGAGCCAATGACGATTAGCCGTATGTGGGATTTATCGCAAGGCTCCTGGTTATCACTGGGTATAAAACTTGTAGAGGCCACTGATGTCCCCCTTGCTCTTTCAACCAGCCAACCTTTCATTTGACTCCATCTTCTAAGAAAGCAGCCGTTCCAGTCACCCAACTTTTAGGAACCTGTCACGTAGGAGTCAATATTTACCCACATCTCTTGTAGAAACTCCGGGTTCAGTTTGATTTCTCCACTGCTTAATTTCTAGATCATTTTGATATAAAGCTCATCTCTTGTTACTTTCCTCGCTTACTCCCTCTACTGTTCTATCCCTATTGGTGCTTCCCGTAACCCCCAAAGCCGGCCACTTCGCCTTACAAATAAGACATACCGATTCTTTGATGGAGACGAACTCCAACGTACCCCTTTTCGACACTGACTGTCCCTATTATATTGGGGGTGCATATTCCAACAGCGGAACCCCCCCAATGATCCGACTAAACGAAACTTTCGAGGAGCATGTACACTGTAAACTGATATAATTTTGACACTTTCTAATTTTATATAGTGGTTCAACTTTTACCGGCGATTCTTTTGGAGATCAATGCTGGATTGATACATCTGACTACGGCTCTTGCAGCCTAAGCTGCGCCTGCCATGCTTTGCGCGGTCATCCAGAATATTGCAACCTTGCCTTTACCATAGATAAGGGGCCTGGCAATATGGTCATCAAGATTCACAATATGCGGCTATGGGCTGTGATAGGAACTATCATGAATGTTCATGAGATTCAGGTTGGCCAGATGTCAGTGGATGGTCTTATGCTATTCAAGTACCGGTTATACCTTCGCGACAAGTTAAAATATCTTCGACAACTTTGTTTTGATGATCATCAATCAATTCTAGAGAGGTCTCTCCTCTCCCTGTTGGTTACTAATACCCTGTTAGATCCGCAGCTTCTCAAGAGCTATGGCTTCTTATGGCTGTGTAATAGAGGATATATGGATATGGACGAATGGGAATGGTTCTATGGAACACATTGTATCCCCAAATATGGCAAATCTCAAGCCGAAACCTCCGATGAGCTTCGGAGTTCAGTTTCAGCTGAGCCTTTACGACTAGACGACGGGGACGACGGGGACGACGTGGATATCGAGGTTGATTCGCGTAAAGTTTTCAGCTCCCCCAAACCAATTCATCATCAGATATGCTCTTCCAGATTCTACGAAGAGTGTAAGCTTTTGGCAAACACTCACCCCGAATATGCCTCATTAATACGGTACAAACTTGTTCCAAGCTTCAGATCCAATACTTGGGGAGTTGTTAATGATTCTCCTGCAAGCCATGTTCAATTTCCCACGAGGTTTCTCCTAACAACCATACGATGTAACTGCATTCAGGTCGCCGGCTTATTACTAAAGCATGGATTCGACCCGAACTCTGTAGAAGTGAGAGAGACACCTCTCAGTGTCGCTGCTGAGACTAACTCAAAATTGCTCATTAGACTCCTGCTAAGTTATGGTGCCGATGTGCAAATTGCGATTCTCGTGATAAAAAACCAGGACTTGGCATTCGAGGATGACGATTTGGATGGAAAATCCAGGAAACTCAGGGCTATTGGCAAACTAATTAGGCTATCTGATACCTATTTCAGCGACTTATCTCGGAAGGCAACACATACCAATTTCCAACTTATGCGACTGAGAAATAAATTTTGGGGCGAGCATAGCACTATCGTATGTGTTGCTAAGGACGAATTCCAGAAAGGCAAAGGCTCCCTATGGGTAGAACCGTACTACCGCTCCGGCAAAGAACGATCTTATTCCTCAGTCCCCCGGGACGCCACTAATTTGACACGATATTTGGGGGCGAATACTAGCTCGGCGTGGACTACGCCGACTCCAAATAGCCTGTTACAATATTGTAGAACGAACATGGCAATCTCAAGTGACTGGGCACGGCATCTTGAGATGGACACGGGCTCAGCCTGGACCCTAGCAGTCTCTACAATGCGTCAGCTATGTACTGGGGCTCCCCCCACTACCTGCAACGAAGTGATTCTGTTCCTTTGTCTGGCGAAGTCGATGGCCGGTATTGTCGATGATGGTTCCCAGAAACTAGAACGCGCATTTTTTGACGACATTTCTCGTTGGCAACTCACATTACGCAATCCTTACGAAATCGATTTATTCATCGCCGCAACGAAGGCAATCTGGAATATTGACGCTAGGATGTCTACGAAAGGCGACATTCTAGGCCACAAACTGTTCACAAAAACATTGCAAAGGTTTCAAGATCTTACAACTCTGCTGGCTAGTCAGGCTATGCATATTCTCCAAGTATCCGGCCTTGATGACTTAAGCCTCGAGAAAGTGCAACGTCGATGCCAAGAAAGACAAAGACGTATGAGTACAGGGTCATTCGAACCCCTGGAGTCTGTAAACACACCAGATTTAGCACCTAAAATTACAGCGGAACCAATCGAAATATCGCCATATAGCGATATTTCAACTTGCGATGACAATCCTCCCGATGTCAATCCCCACCTGGCAATCCTATTAGCAGGCGCTATATTCGCCATCATGCTGGCTTTCCTGCTCGGTAACTAGACCCTAATTTTTTTTTAATAACGACGTCAATTGATTTTCTATAGTGTTGCGCAATCCACTATATGCTACTGCCGTTGGGGTTTTCCTAGCACTGGATGCAGTCGGGTGCGATCCTACGCGCCTTGTCGAACGTAATTACGAGCTACTGAAATTGTTCATTCAAATCAGCATCGATACTGCTAGCAGCGATGGGGCGACATCGGTTCAAGAAGTGCCGTGTATCTTAAGGTTTAGACATACCGTATCCTCTTGCTTCGGTAACATTTCCCAAGCTTCTGAACAGCCTTCGTTTGCGAGTGGATCTAGGTGTGTACTGTTGAAAGATAAAGAAGTAGTAGTAGGGACTGACTTTTCAACAGCAGCGACAGCGGTACACTGCTGGCGTCTAATGGACAAGTAAGTCCATCAACAATTGCACGGTTAACAACTTCAGCACGTTTACCGGCCAGCGGGGAAAAGAAATTTATCTGCGATGTGTGTGGTCATGGCTTTGATACGAGATCAAATCATGGGAAACATTACAGAGACATGCACGAGAAGAAACGCTACCTTTGCTCTGTTCCAGGATGTGGAAAGTCCTTCCAGCGCAACGATATTAGAGGTCGGCATGAGGAAAAACGTCATTTTATTATAAGGACAGGCGTTCGCAAGAGAGTGAAGCAACACACTCCGTGAGTGTAGAATACTGAGCACCGAGGTTGACACTCCGAGTGGATGTGTAGCGTGGCGTGTGGTTTCATAATGTCTCGAGTCGTAGAGCATACATTAGTATTAATTGACTACTTCACTATACTAGTACTAGAGATATCCCATTAAGGATGAAATAAGATATAAAACATTTCGAAAGCAACAAAACAGTAACTGTCAAAGACATCAAGTCATACTGTATTATATTACATACATTTATCTCAACTAGAATTCAGAAGAATCAGGTCTAGCCCGGACATCTAGTTCCATTCATTCCGGACTTGACGGAATTTCATCTCGGGGATTATAAACCCCGAGCTTTTTCTCAGCCAGCCCGAGCGCATACACGTACAGAAAAAGGAAAATAAAAATATAAGTCGTAGGTGGATTATAAATAGGTAGGTAGTAGGTAAAGTGAAAATTTGGTGGTATCATGGTTCCGAAACAGTCGTTAGTCGCAGTGCGTTTCCTGTAGAAATGAAATGCCTAGCCTTTGAAAGCAGATAGAAGAAAAAGGACACGGGGTATGAAGCTGCATCGTCACTTTTACACTTTGTGCCACCGGGTATTCAAGCAATCCCACGCGTCCTTGTACAGCTGTTCCTCATGTAATTTTTTTTTTTGGGTCATTGAGTCGTATCTGTGATCACATGGACACCTCTTAGAACGCATCTTCTAGAGGGCAATCGATGCTGTCATGTCCGTCCCGCTCACATAGGGCACACCATTTTTCTGGGTCTACCACCCCGCTATCCTTGCCAGCCAAAGGCGCCGGATCTTGCGGGTTGGGGAGGATCTTGACTGTAGGCGGAGGGGGTGCCGCAACTGCCTTGGGCTTCATTGGGGACAATGGACGAGGAGTGTCTTCCTCACTGGCGTCAGTGGGAACCGATAAATTCTTGAGGCCTTCTCGAACAATGTCCCTGCCCGTCTTGCCGTAGCCATGATCACCAGCGCCATTCTTGCCTTGATCGTTTTGGGGCCCGAACATGTTAGTGCAAGTAAGAATGTCGTGTCCACCAGTCTCGCAAATTTCACACCAAAGCGTGCTGGTCTCGGTGACTGACGAGTACGCATCGCTCTCAGGCATGGTATCTAAAGTTTGCGCACGTTTGTGGATGGCTTCGGGCGAGTGTGCCTCGCGCGCGAGAATAACAGTTCCTTTGGAGTCGCGATATGATGATCGATTGGCGCTGCCAATGGTCGTGGAGCTAACACGATGATTTGTCGCGTTGCCCCGTCGGAGTGCCTCAAGCTCGTGTTCGAGTTCCTCTTCTCGAATGTTTTTGTTGTCAACAAGACTGCGCGATTCGTGGACTTCTCGTTCCAACTTCTCCCTGGCTAAGCGACCTTCGATTGAATCTGGGCGAGATTTAATGAAAGAGTTGTTGCGTTGGGGCTGCGTAGGGGTCTTGTCTGAAGAATCTGATCCAGGAATGGAGTCCCTGCTGAGAGAGTGAATAATAGCCTTGAGACCTCTAATCTCGTCTTCCTTCTGTTCCAACTCTTTCGACATGGATAATTTGTCTTCCCCTTGGTCACCCCCGTTTGTGGTGGCGACAGCTTTCTCACGTTCTCTCCGTAACTCTGTCCTCGTTCTCTCGACCTCCCCTCGTAAGAATTCGACCTCGCCACGAGCTTCTGCTTCGCCTCGGCGGGAGTCTTCTAGACCTTCCTCGAGTTCTTGGACCAAATCTTCGAGTTGCTTAAGTTGGCGCGCCACGCTGTCGACATCATCGTGTCTCTCCTGCGCATCGCGAAGCTCTTGCTCTAATTCACGGATTCTAGCATCATATACTCTCTGAGTCTCGGTGCTAGCCATCTCGAGTGTATCGATAGTACTCCGGAAGTCTGCTCGGTGCGCATCAAATTCGGCAGTGAGCATCGCAATCTTCTCGTTCTTCTCCCTAAGCATCGCTCGAAGTTGCGAAGTATCCTTGTCGTCCAAACTACCCGCTCGCATCCTCCCGGAATCTGATTGATCTATTAACATCGTAAGCTCTGTTAGACTGCTCTCCATTTCGGCTAAAGCAGAGGCTTGATCCTTCAATTGGCGATCGCGATCTTCGAGTTGGTTCTTGAGTCTACCAATCTCTTCTTCATTCACGTGCGTCGCCCGAGATGCGGGGCGCTTGAACGATAAAGACGAGACCGACCCGACGCTACCATTTGGCTTGATGCGCGAACCAACAGGTGTAGTTTCATCCTCGTCATAGTTAGAAATTGACCCTAAAGCCGAAGCGCTCCTAGGAACTATGCTTGGTTTTCTGTCTAGTCTAGACGCCTTATTTGGGTCTCCGGATGTGCCTCGCACACTTGATCCAAACTTGGACACGGTGGGGGTTCCATAACGAGGGGGCGCCTTCGGACCCGGCGTTGCTATCGACGGTCGGGGTGCCGGGGTAAGTTGTAATCGACGTACGGGTGAGTCCGGTCGCGGTAATGACGTTCTACTTCGTTTGCCTGCGGGACTCGGCGCTCTCGCGGGGCCAAGGGACTTGCTGAATGTTGGTAATGATGGAGTCGGTGGTGTATGATTAGTGGCATTTTGACTCGCGACCTTCAATCCGGGAGTGAGTGGAAAGGCGCTGGCGGGTCTTGGCGGCAAGTCGCGCTGCTTGAGGAGTTTGTGGATAGGTACGAAGATACCGGAACCGGGGGTCGAAGTTGTAAAGTAGGATACACTATAGTAAACAATATGGGTAAGCAAAAGAACTAGATCAATACAAGTCGAAATGAGACAAAGTAAAACATAAATGTGGATAGGAAAGGTTAGATTTACCCATCAACATCGCCATTATTCTTGCCACGCGCAGCGAAATCCGAGTGCAATTCTACGCCAGCGAAAGTACCCTTCCTCCCAGCAACTGAACCGACAAAACGAACGGTGCCAGTCATATTTCCAGGAACCTCAACATTTTCACCCAGGGCGAAATCGTCGGCGGCGCCGGCGCCTTTGCCTGGAGTCAAAGGCGGCATTTTGCGCGATGAATCGGTTAATACGCTGTCTAATGCGTAACTCTCACTGTCATCAGGAATCGCGGCGAGTGAACTAGGGGTAAGTGTGGCTACTGAAGCTTTGCGCGCAAGAGCGCTCGAGCTCGGGGCAAGCCTTGAATGTGCGGAATATAGGCTGTTAAGGTTCGGGGTAGAAGTAGTAGCGATACCAGATTTTCTAGGAGTCCGAGATAAAGTGTGTTGTCTCTGTGGAAGAGAAAGGGTTGTTGCCGTCGAAGTCATGGTGGGCAGTCTCCCCTTCCTTTCTCTGTTATTTTTTTTCCTCTTACGCTCCTTACACTCCTTGGTGTGTGTGGTACTCGCGGTACTCGAGCGGTACTGGTGGTACCTACAACTATTTTTCGTAGCTTGTTATTTTCTACCCGCTATTGATTTACGGGAAGCGGGGGCTTTTTAAAGTTTGACCAATCCGAGGCCGGCGTCGATGGGGTGTTGATGGGTGTTGATGGGGTGCTCTCCTATAAGAAATCCACTAAAACACTAAAAGAATGTCCGGCTCAGCGCTGCTGGTGGCCGTCGCGCGGTCGCGTGGGAAGGAGGAGCTGCTTTCAGCCAATGAAGGAAGGCGGAAACCCAACAAGCTGGGCGCACTAGAACCAAGAAAGATTAAAAGTTAATAAGGAGAGCTTGATCAAGTACCAAGTGCCTAGCAACCAAAAATGTCAGAAACAAACAAATTGGTTCCAATCTCCAGAAAAAATCAACATTGGGATTTGCAAATACCGGATAGTGAGGCATTGGTCAATTATAAAGGAAAAAAGAACCAGCCCGAACAAGACGGATGAGTTGGAAGCCGAGCAAGACAAAATTAAACAGTGGGATAGTGGGAAAGCGGGAGGTGCTTAATACATGTATTAGAAAATGAGGGACTGAGGGACTCCGTAGCTCGGAAAGCACAACATAGAAGCTGCAAGATGATGCGGTAAGATCCTGGAGAAAACAACAAAACAAAACAACTTATAATCGTACTTACATTGGACGAAAGACGAAAGAGGAATATGCCGATGATCGCTTATCCTACAGATGTATGTATATGCAGGTAAATCCGGCGTAACTATGGAGTCGACGCACATAAAATAGAGGGGGATCTCGCAGTTGTCCCCGTTGCGATGGCGACTCAAGCAAGTTGCAGTAGTACCAACAGTAGTGGTATGATGTATGTCCTAGGTAGTGGCGCTGTATAGTACTGTAGTAATAATGATACAGAGAGTGTAGTAATGACTGGATTGTCGGAGTCGACTAACGTAGAACAAAAATCATAAATATCCAATTCTAATCCATAGGTATTATGAAGTTATCTACCTAGGTAGATATAGACCCTTCGGACCTTTTTATCAGTTTAAAATATTCCCTGTGGGGGTTTTCAGTGTCTTTGAGGCTAGAAACAATTGTCAAAGTCGTTGCCAATGATATGTCACAATGAACAAGCGCTCAGGCGGTGAGAGGTATCGTATTTGGCAACTCTCAATGTAGCAGTGCCGATGATTCCTCTATTTCGTTCGAATCTTTCCCAATCGGAACTACGCTACTGTAGCTAAGGAAGCTGCTGCAACATTATACGCCGCAACAAACGAGTCTTTGCAGAATGGTAGCTTTCTGCAATTACCATTGGCTTCCAACTGATTATCCAGGGTTGTAAAGATCATTGTTTACATTGGCAACGCGCCTACGATACAACAAGACTTTGCAATTGTTTGATATAAACAAAGCATATTTCTAAAGTTATCAATTCTCATATAGAGAACATTGAAATTTAACATGGTTTGAATTTACCCGTCTATCTAAAAGGATAGTATAGATGCTGCTTCCAAAGTGCCGTAGGTATTAATTACAATTTACATACCGGTACCCCTGATCCGTAAGACAAAATTAACGGCTTTGCGTCACTATCCATGGGATTTACTTCCCAAACCATACTAGTGAATTATGGTTTAACCACGGAAGCTAATATAGTTCGGGTACAATATTTTAGCCTCCGAAGCTACCTACATAGGTACCTAGGTAGATAAGAAGTAAATAAATTTACATCATCCGGCATCAATCTTTCACAAAAGTGTACATAAGGATACAACAGACTACCTGATCATAAATATCATAGAACAAAAGCAAGGCACAATCATTGGCGATGTCTTTTTATTACTTGGCTTCATAGACGACTGAGGGGACAAAGATTCGTGTCAACCCGTTTTCATCTCTCAAAGCTAGCGGAGAGGGCGTGGCATAAGTTGGTAAAAGCTACGTATGCAAAGTAGGGGCGTCAATGTAGTATGTCAATGACCCCCATAAACACCCTAATTGCCACCATTCGAAGTATCCAGCTAGCGACTTACACCAAACGTAGTATGAATACTCTAGTGAATATCCCGCGAAATTGGTAGAACCCTCATGTCGCATAGCACGTAACGTAAGCCTTCATATCGAATCCGAGAAATCTGATGACTTTTTGACACCTTAGTCTCAAAGTATTGCAATCCAGCAATAATGATTAGACTATCTTCAAGCGTTGGAATCATGTTCCCGTTCGATGATATCACCCCGCCCAAGTGAATGCGTCCCGTCATTCAAGACCATAGCTTCTCGGTGTCTTCTACGTAGACGCTGTTCTTCAGCACTCTGCTCGTTCACCCGAGGGACGAGATCAGCCCCTGATGCCCCATCATTGCCATCCTCATTAGTCATGCTAACTTCTAGCACAACCCTAACAGGCGCCATTGTCCGCTTTACTTTATTAGTGAGTTTCGCTTTGACCAAGGCTTTCCGGCCTGCCTTAGTCGTCTTGAGGTGAAAACATATATCGGCAATTCGGTTCTTTCTTCGATCCAGATACATCATAAAGTTGTTCTTTCTCTCGTCCTCTCTGTCGCCCCATGGTTGTCGTGCTAGCCACCTCTCGATGAAGCCGTTCTCAATCAGTTTATCGATAGCATTGCCAGGATATCTATGAATTAGCTGGGAGACGAGCAAAAGACAGCGCCTCTCGCCAATATCTCGAAGGTAATATTCATCGTACAGGGGATCGTCGAGCTTCTCATGCGTTACGTCGTCAATGCACAGTTCGAGCGATCTAACGAGGGCACTGTAGGCTTTCGGTATGTTCAGCGCGCTTAGTGGTTCTTGAAATGTATCCTCTGTGGATATAATTAGTTGACCGTCAATCGAGACATTCAGGGAAATAGGTTAACATACTATCTTCCATGGCGAAAGCAAGTGCTCTTAAAGCTTCCATACGTTCCTCATAGTCCTTGCGAGTAATGCCCCACAGAAGGTGGTAAATGGTAGGACCATCGTTGACGGCTCGACCGGCGATAATTTTCAACGCGGTATCTCTTATCGCGAAGTTATAGTGGCCAAGAAGGCTCTCGAGAGTACCTGGCTTGAGTGAATCTTCGGTATCTTGCGTGATGTATTGAGTTTTTGGCGGCGTCGGTTTGATCTCTGCTTCGTCTCGATAGTGTTCTAGAATAGACCGCATCGCGAAGAATAAGCCGACCGTGGCCAGGCTAAGACCGGCGGCAACAAGCCGGTCATCGCGTAAGAAGGAATAAAATCCCATTTTTCTGGTGCTATCGGATTTCCATAACAATAAAAATGCACCTCAAGTCGTTACAATACGAAAAGAAGATGATGAAACCTTATCATGTAAATTTTGAAAATGGACATGATGTAAATGTTAAATACGACGATCTTGAATAAGCTCAGGCTAACAGCGGTCCTTTTATCGATAAACACCCTGGGCAGTATGGGGCGAGGGGACCTGCAGCTGCCCAGTGTCCACCCAGTGCCAGATCCACGGATAACACGCTAGCTATGTAGTGTGGCTACGATAAGATAAGGAACCCAGTTACAATCAGAAAAAAAAAAAGTCGAGACCGAAAATCCATTTCAAAAGTTACACCTCTACGCTGCGCGCCTTAAGCTCTTCCAGCATACCGGATTTCATAATGGCGGGTTCCCAGTTAAAAAGGTTAAAGGCATCCCTTAGAGAAAAGGGGGTTATAGGTCCGCAGCTATCTAAAAAGCAGAAAAAGAGAAATGCGCAGGATGGGAAAGCGAACAACAACCGCCGGTTCCAAAAGGCGGCAGAATTGGAAGGCATCCGAGAAGAATTTAATCCCTTCGATTTGAAACACAATGCTCGCGGTCCCAAGTTCCAAGTTACGACAAATAGACCAGCGGCTAGCAATGCCGCGAAGGGTAGACCTACCGAAGCAAAGTCGCTTGGCGAGGAGAGGGTAAGTCGTTTGAACGAGACGTTGTGGATTTCTTCAATTGACAGTTTCAATTAGCGACGCCAAACTCTTCTTGTGGAACTTAACCGACGCCACAAAGTAGGCGGTATACTCGACCGACGATTTGGCGAAAACGACCCGTTTATGACCCCCGAAGAAAAGATGCGGGAAAGATTCGTGAGGGAAAAGACGAGTCACAAGGGTTCTATGTTTGATCTCGAGGATGATGAACCTAGCGAAGGACTTACACATCTTGGACAATCTCTATCGTTGGATGGTCCGGGCTTGGCGGATGACTTCGACGAAGACGACCTTTCAGCCGGATCCGATGCAGGCGGCTCAGACGACGAGCACCGTGGCTTAAAACGCGCACGACCCTTCGACGACGAAATCCAAGAAGGCGACCAAGTAGAAGGGCAACCGGAAAAGAAGAAAACAAAACAAGAGGTTATGAAGGAAGTCATCGCAAAATCAAAATTCTACAAGGCCGAACGACAGGCAACCAAAGATGCCGACGAGGACTTACGAGAGGAACTTGACATGGAACTTCCAGATCTCCATGACTTACTATTCAACCGAAAGAAGACGGCCGATGCTGCCGACACCAAAGAAGCAGACGGTGCTGCCGGTAGGGAAAGGATGGAACGCGACTATGATATGCGTCTGAGGCAATTAGCGCAAGACAGAAGAGCGCAACCTACAGACCGATCTAAAACAGACGAAGAAAAAGCACAAGAGCAATCAGAAAGGCTAAAGGAACTCGAGGAAAAGAGGCTGAGAAGAATGCGCGGAGAAGAAGCTAGTGATAGCGAGGACGAGCAGGACGAACAGGATGTCGCAGATACCCAATTGGAACGGAATCCAACTAATGGCCCAATTTTATTCACGGAAATGGAGGAAGATGACTATGGGCTCGGGAAGGGAATTAAGACCCTACCAACCGCGACGGAACTCGGCTTTGATGATGAGGATGACTTCATCATCGAAGACAACTTAATTGCCAGTGACTCGGACCTGGAGCCTGTCGAAAGCGAGGCATCATCAGATGAAGAGGAGTCGGGCGCCGAAGACGACGATGAGTTTACGAGAGGATTACTAAACGAAGAAGAGACACAAAATCCGATATTCAGCAACCGGCTCGCGGGCTCTACAGCGACAACGGATATCAAACAAGATCCAAACGGGTTGCCCTATACTTTCCCCTGTCCACAGACTCTGGAGGAATTCGTCGAGATTGCACGCAGTATCCCTATAGAACACCTCCCAACTGCCGTACAGAGGATAAGGGCCTTATATCACCCGAAACTGGATAGCGATAATAAGTCAAAATTGGCCAATTTCGTGGTAATTCTTATTCGGCATGTGGTATATCTATCCAACCTCAAAGAATTGCCACCCTTCTCAATACTCGAAAATCTCATTCGACACATCCATTCTCTCGCGAAGTCATATCCTATTGAAACCGCAAACGAATTCCGCTCGCACTTGGAGAGTTTTGGTCAATCAAGACCACTTTCACCAAACCTTGGAGATTTGGTGATATTGACTGCCATTGGAACCATATTTCCGACGTCAGATCATTTCCACCAAGTAGCAACCCCGGCTGGGCTACTCATCGCACGAAATCTTGAGAAGGTCCCCAAATTAATCACTGATTATACTCAAGGGGCCTATCTATCAACCTTAGCCCTTCAGTACCAGCAGGTTTCGAAACGTTATGTCCCAGAGCTAATGAATTTCTGCCTCAACACATTATGCGCCCTTGCGCCCTTGAAACCCGTGGGCACATTGGGATGTTTCCCAATCCACGAGCCTACACCTGGAACTCGCGTCGTCCATGCCCGTTCAATCTCTGTGAAGAAGTTGACTCCTTCTGATTGTGTCGAACGGGACGTATCCGATAAAGAAATTGTCTCAATTCAAGTTGCAATATTGGCTACAACAGTTCAATTACTAGAAGCGGCAGCGGACCTCTACAGCGGCAAGGCGGCATTCTTCGAAACATTCGAACCAGCCAAGAATATTTTGGCCCATCTAGCTAGCAAGCCGTGTAGATCCAAGCTTCCGCCTGCTCTAAACGACCAAGTTGAAAAACTTCGATCCAAATTAGACAGGATGTTGAGACTTGCTCATATGGCCCGACGACCCTTGGAGTTACATCATCACAGACCCCTCCCCATCAAGACGGCGGTACCTAAGTTCGAGGATTCATTCGACCCGAACAAGCACTACGACCCAGACCGCGACCGTGCAGAACTATCCAAGCTGAAGGCGGAGCACAAGAAGGAACACAAGGGTGCCATGCGGGAGCTACGGAAGGACGCGAACTTCATGGCCCGCGAACAGCTCAGGATGAAGAGGGCCAAGGACACCGCTTACGAGAAGAAGTACAAGAGATTGGTGGCCGAGATCCAGGGCGAGGAAGGCAAAGAGGCCAACGCGTACGAAAGAGAAAAGCAGATGCGGAAACGCGCTGCGAAGAGGGGTTAGTCTGTTCGGCTCTGCAGCGGCGCATCGGTATGTTGGCGTGCAGGGTTGTATACATAAATTGTGGATAGGACCACGTGGTATAGCAATAGAACTAGGTGCTTACACTCCATCAATGCTGTGGGTTACATACCTAGTGGGTTGACGAAATGAATGGATATCCCACAAGCGGGACCCAGTGTTTAAGGGGAAGGCGGATGCCCGGATACCGGGAGTGTAGAGGGAAGGATGGGTTGGTGTGGAGATCAGGATAGCCGTAGATAAATAAAGTCTTCCGGAATCATTCTTGGCGTTTCTGTTGAAAATACGTGAGTATGTATACCTAACCGATACCCGGACCGATAACTCCTTGATCATCGTGTAACCCATGCGAGGAGTTGCGATTCCCGTTCGTTCCCTCGTTCTCGGTTGCCTGTCTACCTACCTAACCAGCTGGTAACCCCCAAGCATAGCCCCATCCTTATACATAGATTCAAGTACGTCAGCAATTGTCAGACATAGGGTGTCGCAACCTTAGATAGATAGGGGTTACTTTTTTACTCGGCTTAACTAATAGGCAGTGAAGAAACGTCATTGCTTGACCTACCTTCCTCGGTAATTTTGACGGGAGTTAGGGGTGGCAGTTGCTAAGTAGGCTATTCGAATTTGCGGTCTGGTTTTTTCTTGGGTATAGATTCATTGATTTCATGCGCTACTGAGAACGGAGAATATTGGACTACTTACTCTAGGCATCAAGTTAACCCCTGAGTTTCGTTTCTTGGCTGTGTTTCTCTTCTATGACTAGAGTCGTTTATAATGCGTTGCGCGTAGATATTTATTATGGGTGGTATACAACTGTTACACCAGAGGGACGAATACGAGGTTTCTAAGGTTGGTTTCATTTTAATTCCTTCATCTATGTAGGTGCTATCTATAGTAGCTTGTGAATTTCTAGCTTTGCCCCGTGAGAGGTAGTATTGCTTTGAGATCTTTAAAATGGCGCTATGTAACCTAAACGTGCATATCGCCATCAAAATACGCCAATGGGCGATGTGGCGATTTAACGTCCCATAGATCCTCTCTTGAGTGCCGTGTGCCTGCTTTAGCTATAGCAGGCCATTCATCAGTGCGCGAGTAGTGAGGCGCCGGATAAGTCGCCGCTCTGAGCTCCCTGTGTCTAAACAGACTAATAGTAGATGATGTACTAGAAATTCGTCCGCCGCCCCTGAATTCTCGTACACTCCGCCTATTGGAGCTGAATTTTGTAGACATCGTTCTCATTCATGCCTTGGCTGTCGAATCTCGGCCCAGCTTGACATTGAGGTTGATATCTAGTGTTTTCCTTGGCCACATTAAAACCTCAATCATAGCGTTTCCCTACGAGTATCTCGCCGAGTAGAATTTTGCTATGGTATAGGTTTAAGGAGGTACGTCGGGCGCCCTAATAGTCCCGCCGAGTGCTGTGCTCCCTGTAGGGCGCGCCAAACGTCAAACACCTCGTCTTGTATATCCTTCTCGTCTAATTCGTCTACCTGGTGGTGATCGTCATCGCTAGAAAAGAACGGATAGTCGCAGCGCGTATACGTAGGAGTGGGGAGTTTTCGTCTATTCGAGCCGCATTTGGGATATTTCTCTCGGTAAGAGTTGGGCTCTACTAATTCTAGTAGTATAGCGAATAGCTCGAATTTATTCATTTGGAATCAGCCTAGTGGTGTCCATGTGGGATAGGCGATTTAGAAGCTTGTCTCATTGTTTGGTATTTTCTAAAATCAGTGCTAACATAATGTGCTAGATATAAAGTAAGCATTTATAGCCAGAAACCTTAGGATTCCCTATCACTGAACTCGGGTAGCAGGGTTGACTTACTTGGTGGAGGCGTAGCTTGACAAGTTGGGTAATTAAATTCCAAATTCTGGTGACTGGTCGTATTTTGTAGCAATCCTCTTCTCTTTCGTACCAAATCCAGTACTTGCTCTTGTTGTATGTGATTTAGTCCCGAAAATCTTTCAAGCGCCACTAATGTATTATTTTCAAGTGATGCGACCCATAATTGCCTCTGAATTTCGTCATTATCATGGGTCGGATTTGAAGAATGTAAAATATGTTGACTCTGCACTGGTTGTGTCTGTGGTGTATAATGATTGGCGACAAGCGAAGGATCTAGCGGAATAGAAGGTACCGGAGGCGTGGAGGGTGTTGATGTTATAGATGGTATTGTTTGCATAGGGTATGATGTAGAGGCGCCTAAGGTATGCTCCCTAACGTCGGTAGGGATAAACGGATGTGTGTAGTCGGTACTGGCAGGAAATGCATCATTAGAATGACTGAAAGAATTCATCCAGCCGTCATAAGATTCTTGTCCAAAGGCTGGTACTGATGAAGCCATGGACGGACTTGGCGCCTGCCATTGTGTGGTGACGGGTACCGTAGTGAGCGCAGCTGGTATGGGGCTATTTGAAGCCTGTCTACTTTGAAATGACCACGATGTTGTGTATCCTTCTGTTTCATCAGAAACCGAACTCATTGAATCTGTTTGAGAGTCGGTTTTGAGGATCTCGTCGAGAAGAGCTAGTTTTTGTTTGCGCTTCTCTCCTAGTATCTGGCGTCAGCGAGATGTTTGGCGGCTCGGGCAGTTTCACAATATGATTGTGAGGAGCGACTTACGATAAGCGCGAGACGCGATTCTGTTCTGCTCCTTGCGAACTTCACTGTTTCTCTTCTTTGGTGGTTTCGATTTACCGGGTGTAGAAGAAGTAGTCGCGTTAGTCTTATCCATGGCGCCAGCAAAGATGCAGCGTTGCGGTTAATGTAGATTCCACTTTGGTACATGAGAGTAAAGAGTCGAGACAAGTGTATTTAACTGTCTAGATCAAGCACGACGGGAATAAGAACGGTCGTTATATAAAATGGAGTTAGGAGGTAGCTACTTTGACAGTTACCTATATAAGGTAAAGATACGAGCAGCCCTATCATTGTAGAGCTCCCCGAGCTAATAGTGTTATCGAGCAGTGCCGACTTTGGAACCCGTCCCAAATCCACGGTGAGGGGTGGCTTTCCCCTTGAATGACCGTGTACTTTCTTTTTTTCTCTTTTTTTTTCTTTTCTCAGGGGGGGTCGATTACGATGTGGACCGTGATCGTTGAGGTAAAGACTTTAAAAATGTCACGCATGGCCCGATGCCAGCGACCATACCAACCTGATGTGACCCCATGCGCATATACCGATTGGCAAGGCTTTAACGAACGCATGTCTATGAAGAGCTAGTCTTCTGGGTGCCGAGAATTCATACAAAGTTAGATAATGCTCACCTCGTTTTCGGTACCTACTGTAGGTATGGTCAGGGAAGAGAGGAGAAAAAAAACGTGGGCGAGTTTGAAAATAGAATACCCCTCGAGATCTACAAGGACAGGGGTATAAAGAAGCTATATGATTGGCTGTCCTTAGTCATCGTGTTACCAAGCATCTAAGAAACCCCGGGCCGACCAATGAGAGTTAAGATTAATCTTTTCCAGAAGTCTAATTCAGCGGTGCGCAAGTAGATGTCCAGGCTCACCTCAGCACCTACTTATGCATAATGCCTATCCCAATGACTTAAAGTGACCTAGCGTGGTATTATCTACCTCTTAGTGCGTAAGTTTCCTTACTCTATTTATTATTTATTGTGCTAGATTGCTAGAGTAGCAATGATCGCGATGGCTTCATAGGTATAATCTCGTAAGACTTCAGCTCTAGTCAATCAAATTAAATCCTTATTGCAGCTAACCTATATACCCAGGATACCCAGGATGTACATCATGGAAAGCTAGGATGTATTCAAAATTCTAGGGACTATCCTTTAGCGGTAGATAGAGTTCTACCTAAGTTACTTAATCTAGATACAGTTGTCTATTTCTATAATTAATACTTTCATAAATACCTAAACTAGATTAGTGTATAGGGCATGTTCGGTATGCCAATTCTCTTATCCCACCGTAACATCAGTGCATGCATAATTCGATTTATTCGGGGGTTAAACTGGACTTGCTTGGTATAGAAAATAATGAATGATCACCCATGTACATTATTAAGCCTTATGATCAATGATCACCTCCTAATATTATGTATATAGCCCTAGTTAGCAAGTTTAGTGTCGTATTGTAGGTTAAAATCTTCGTCCATGGCCGCCACGGACATGTGTTGAACTTATTTATAGCTGAGTAAGGTACTTACCCTCATTCAGGTCCACTTAAACCCGCACTCGTGGAGGTCCCCAGTAACACTAAGGTTCAGCAGCTCGTAGCCTTATTTCCACTCATACCTCAAAAACATTTTTTGCCTCAGTTATATGGTTTAGTGTTCACCAAGGACTAGAAATTGGCATTATGATGAATTGAGGTCCCTAAGATGCTACATATGGGAGTTGAAATCGTGAGAGACAAAATAGATAAATGGGGTGATAATTGAACGATTACTAAACACCTGCAGAAAGGTCTTACATAACGTGCCCTCGATGTAGCATTCTCAGCATTTCCCTTTCTAGGTATTTTGTGGTACTTGTGATACTTGTGCTATGGGTACAAGAAAACCCCTACTAGACCAAGTGATGGTCTTGCGGCTGACATTCATTACGCGGTAGACCGATAGGGGAACTATTTGATTGGGGGAATCAAATACGAATTGCAAGGTCCGACGGGCTTAAGCGGAATTTCGACATAGCTGCCTATATCGGCGTTAGGTGCACCTATTTGAAGATACAACGAATTTAGAATGACGGACTGAATAGTCACATATATTGATCAACTTAGGCAATGATAGGTAGATAATTGTTCATTACGACTATGAAGCTGACAGAATTATGCACTAGCTGAATGTCCTTGTATAATTAGAAGATCTGTATGGGAAATGTAAGAACTTATCTATTTTACGTAAGTCCTGATATATCACCCGTCTTCCGCTTCTTTTCCGCCGACGGAGCGGGAACGGGTGGGAAATGATCTAGGCAGACGTCAGAGCCCACTTCGATATCTGACCTCCTTGATCATAAGAGTAGTAGTATTTTCTGATGATCGAAAATATAAAAGAAATATAGCATAAATATGCGCACGGGTTTTCACCCTATGTTTCTAGGGAATACTTTTTGTAAGGTCTTGATTATCATTTGAAACATCCCGGAGGATGGACAAAGACCTATGGATTTCTTTAAAGCTTTTGCAGCGTTTTCGTCCTCTTACATCGCATTACGTACTTCCTTTGCGCCACCAATTTGGTACGAAATGTTGTGCTACCATTGAGCTAATGATGTCGCAGATGCGATATATGCGGTGAAGAATAGTACATCGTGTCGAAGAGTTTTGTGTATTTAACATACGTCTTAATGGGTATGGGCATGTCAAATTCAAGCTGCCTAATGAGACGCCTAATAGTAAGATGACGGGCACTGTCATTCAGATTGATGCAGCTAGATAGGTAGGCTCAGCAGGGCAGAAGGCGTTCTGTCTGCCTGTATCTGAGAAGTGTCGAGGGATTGCCTCCGAAGGGGCCGAGGTCCGTCGAATCACGTATTCTCATCATTTCTCCTCTCTACATGGAGTTTCGGTATCCTCATTCAGGAAATCGCGTATCTTGAATGTTATAAAACCATTTCGATGCGACGGAGTTTTAACATTCATTCGATCCGAAAAGTGCGATGTATAAATGGCACGACAATATTAACGCCGGTTAAAATTAGGGAGTTATCTTGGGTACGTCGATACCTAGGTACCTAAGTAGATTCTTTCAGGTACTGCTGCCTTGTACAAAATGTGGTCCGTGTAACATCCTCCACATCGCATGCAGCACAAGCTCAAATTCAATGCCGAAAAGAGCAAGGAAGGGAACTGGGGACAAAGTAGTTTAATGTAGATTTGAGGCTGAGCTAGGACAATTTGCAGCCAAATTTAATTGAAAACCTTCGCATTCTAGCCTCAAAGCTACATATGTACGCTCGAGTACTTAAGGTACAAAGCCACGATTCTATCAGATTCTACGAGGGAACAGTGGCGCACTAGAAAATCTCAGCCTCGAACTCGCACTCAGCCAAAAGTTGTGTTGGTGCCGTTGCAAAAAGGAAGAAACAAGAAGAGGATTCACACCACTGAACTTCTTAAAAAGTTGCTTGCTAATCGGTAGCAAACCAAACTTGAAAAATCCTGGAGTTTTTCAATTTCCTTTGAGATCTTCCTTCTTTTTCTTCTTTCCATTCCCATCCATCACCTGCCTGCAGTGAATTTCGGGGTGCATTGATAAGAGATATCATTGGTCCAAGTCCAAGGGTTAGAGCCTTCTCGAATCGGAACGGTAGACTACTTTCAGCAGGAACGCAGCCAGAACCTTCCAGCAACTCCGACCTAACGTACCTTGACGCAGAACCTTAGAAACCTTAGAAGCCAATCCACCAATCTTGTGCATCGTCACTTTGTGAATTTGTTGCCAAAGCTTTTGGTCCGACCACATTCAATAATTCCATCATCACCCTTTTTTTTTTCGCGGTTACTTTTCACTTTTACTTTATTTCACCTGGTAAGTGTTTTTCATTGTCAATGCTTATTCTTATCCCTTGAGATACCCCATTCTACTTATTTCTAAACCTTTCCCAAATTTCCCACCGAAAAAAAAAGACCGTGTGAAAACTGGTCCGAGGAACTGTGGGGCTTCACTCGATTCCCTTTTCCCTCTTCTAAATATACAAGCCTCTCCATTTTCTAGATAACTTTACTATCTGTTTGATCTCGGAGTCGCATTATTGACTAATACTAATCATCATTAAAAGACCTTGCCTAATCCGACCAATTCTCCCTCACTTACGTATCTTACCCTCGAGAATCCTTCCGTCTTATCCAGAACCAGAACCAGGACGCAAATATGGTCAAGGAAACAAAGTTCTACGATGCTCTTGGCGTATGTTTTACCCCTCAGTGCTCGTAGCTACGTAATTTCGAGGGACACATACTGATCCGCTTTGCTTAGGTCGCGCCGACTGCGACAGATCAAGAGCTCAAGAAGGCATACAAGACAGGCGCTTTAAAGTGGCACCCTGGTATGTTGTAGCCTGAATTTGTTAAACATTTCACAAAGCCGTGATATTAACTATAGGCCAACAGACAAGAACGCCCACAACCCCGGTGCCGAGGAAAAATTCAAGGAGATCTCACATGCCTACGAAATCCTCTCCGATCCCCAGAAGCGTCAAATTTACGACCAATATGGTGAGGCCGGCCTTGAGGGAGGCGCTGGAGGTGGTGGCATGGCTGCCGAAGACTTGTTCGCTCAATTCTTCGGCTCCGGTTCCTTCGGTGGTGGCCTCGGCGGTATGTTTAGTGGTATGGGCGGAGCACCTCGTGGCCCTCCTAAGGCGCGCACTATCCACCACACACACAAGGTATCTCTCGAGGATATCTATCGAGGCAAGATTTCAAAGCTCGCTTTACAACGATCTGTCATCTGCCCGAAGTGTGAAGGCCGAGGTGGTAAGGAAGGCGCAGTTCGACGATGCCCCGGCTGTGATGGTCACGGTATGAAGACCATGATGCGACAAATGGGTCCGATGATCCAACGTTTCCAGACTGTCTGCCCGGACTGCAACGGTGAAGGTGAAATTATTAAGGAGAAGGACCGATGTAAGTCTTGTAACGGCAAGAAGACCATCGTGGACAGGAAAGTTCTCCACGTACACGTAGATCGTGGTGTCCGAAGCGGCACGAAGGTTGAGTTCAGGGGAGAAGGTGATCAAGCTCCTGGTGTCCAAGCCGGAGACGTCGTCTTCGAGATTGAGCAGAAGCCTCACCCTCGATTTACGCGAAAAGAGGATGACCTCCTTTACCGCGCCGAAATCGACCTCGTCACAGCCTTAGCCGGTGGCACCATCTTCGTCGAACATCTAGATGACAGGTGGCTAAGTGTTGAAATCTTGCCGGGCGAGGCCATCGCACCAGGTATGTTCCGAACCATTTATTCCCTATCTTGAACTTGGCGCTAATTCGTTGAATGTAGACACCGTAAAGATGCTCCGAGGACAGGGTATGCCTTCTCACAGACATCACGACTTCGGCAACATGTACATACAATTCTCCGTCAAGTTCCCTGAGCGCGGCTGGACAGAGGATGCTTCTGCCTTCGAAGCTCTACGTAAGATCCTTCCAGCTCCAGCTCTTCAGACTATCCCTCCCACAGATGCCATGACGGATAGCGTGGACCTGGAAGATCTGGAAAACCAGAGCCAGGCCCGAGCTTTCGGTGGCGCGGGAGGTATGGACGACGAGGACGAGGATGGCCACCCTCATGCTGAGCGTGTGCAATGCGCGTCCCAGTAAATGGCCTTGAAGCCAAGGAGGAAATATTCTGCTCGTGAGAAATTATTTACATCAAAGAGTTTTTCAACTCGTATAATATGGCGACGTTTTCAAGGGTCCTCTGGTTGGTGTTCCTAAGAGGGGAAAGAAGACGACGACATTTACGGCGTAACGTTTTCGAGGGGAATGAGGAAAGTGAACGATATGATTTGCATATTCAGGGCTAAGCACAAGGGTGGAAAGGAGGCTGCAACCATATCTGATACGAAACGGACCATTATTTGATTCGGAGGGGCAAGGAGGTTTCGCTCTTCTGTTTTATTCTAGTAGCGGCAGCTTCCTCCCCCTTTTTTTTCTTCATCGATTACCACCGGCGCTCATCTTATCAAAGCTCCGTGAAATGCTCTTTGCGAGTTGGCGTTAGAAGGGAACATAGAGAGAGGAATCAGGACACACATGCTTTTTAACGCGATTGCTTACTTATTCCGGTATTGATTGCATTGCATTTGAAAACAGCTGGTTTCCGTTTCTTACCTATCGCTGAGACTAATATAGTGTGCTTTTGTGATATGTGCTGTGTAGTCACGTAAATGTGTCTTGGTGGTATGATCTGTTGCTCCCGCAATGCCATATTGCTAACTAGTTTGCTTCAGAAACTTTGTAGAAATCTGCGTAGATTTGGGGTAGAAATAACCTCTAGTTATAATATGGTAAGACTATCATCCCTCCACGTCATCCTCAAATTCGGTCTTCCGCAGTTTACCGACTGGGTAGAGGATATTGTCTAGTTCTTCCCGAGATAGGTCATGGTTCCCATCGACCACGCTTTCAATGTCTCCTTTATGAACCCAGCTTCCTGTCTCGTCTCGTTCGAACAATAGGAGCGACTGTGCCTCTTCTCCTACCGTCAGATCAACCGCCACGGCTAATTGAGAAGTTCCTTCGGATTTGGGGACGGTAACAGCATCTAAGGGGTTACTAGGTAGATCCAGGGTTTGTGCGTGTTGGAGAACGTTGTCCTTGGTGAGTTGGAAGATGAAGATTGCTGATACCCTGTTTACATTACGTTGTTAGGCTCTTAAAATCTACTAAGGTAAAACGTGAGGACACTTACAATTCGCAGGTTGCTAATACATAGCAACTTCCGTCCACATCATACGAGTACAACTTCGACACAGCGATTTTATTCGTGTCAGGTGTCACTTTTTTCACCTGGTCCAAGAGATCTGTCTTGCTAAGCAGCCGGCCTTCTTTCCAATTCCATAGGAATAATTCATCGTCACCACCCCCAGAAACTAGAAGTTCGGGTCGGGAAGGCGGTATAACGAGGGCGCTGAGGAAAGCCTCGTGGCCTAAACAGTAATTCTCAATGATATGGGCCTGTGGGATCCCGCGCGAGACGCGGATGTGTTCGTCCCGGTCCGCTGTGATGATATACCACGGCTTTCCACTACTACTTGAAGAAGGGGGAGTAGCGATAGCTAAGGCAGTAAGCATTGATACGTGGCCGAGTATTAGCTCGTGCTCGAATGCTGGACCGTCCTTACGGGGGGCGTCTAGGGTGCGGCTTGCTAGGACGCGTTCTTGTTCCTCGAGTGCTCGGAGGTTGCGCTTTGAGTGCACGGTGAAGCGATTTGCAGCAGGCTTAAAGGTTGAGCTTGGGGTTGGTGTGCTGGATAGAGTAGGGGTGGAGCCAGGGGCGGGTGTAGAGGTGTTAGAAGAGGCTTCTGGTACAGCCGCAGCTGAAGGGATTAGGGGGAGGGAGTAGACATCTCCGAATTTGTCGGCGGATAGAATAGTGGTTCCGTCCGTGGTGATAGCGATAGAACTAGGGCGCTTGGGCATGGCTCTGTGCAGTATTAGACCGCTTTCCTCAAGGGTATTGGTAGGGATTATCATACCTTTGACTGATTTCCTTCAGTACACCTTTTCCGTCATGCTCAAGCACCCATAATGTTTTATCTTGTCCCGTCACGACAACTATATGACTTCCATCTTCAGTAGCCGTTAAGAGAATGACGAATGGTAATTCTGGCCGTTGACTACTAGACTCGGACTTTTGCTTCTTTCCTTTCTTCCCATTTGCTGTTGCAACACCTTCTACTGCTTCGATGTCAGCCTTGCCATTTTCTCCCTCGACGCTTGGCCTCTCATCCGAGCTCAGTTTACGCTTCTTTGACGGAGGCTGACCATTCTCATGTTCATCAATATCTTGATCTTCTGGAACGGTTCCTTGAGGCTCACTATTTCCGACTTCCTTCACGGAGGGATGGGTCCAAGATGAGAGGAATGAGGAATTAGAATCAAGATCGAATGTGTGGATGTCGGTTCCCTTAGCAGCACAGAGGATGGAGCTCTGTCCGAGTCGAGTCACACATTGGTATGGAAGACCCATGACGTTGTGAGTTGACATGCGAGCACCAGCAATCGCGCACTCTCCAACGACTATCTTGATATTCTTATGTTGTATATCTCGTGAGATATTCCTTAGCAGGTGTGCCTGTGCTCGTTCCGTAAAGTTGGTTTTAGATATTGTGAAGTTTTCAGATGAAAATTCCTAGTTGATACGGGTTATTGCACAATTGAAAGAAAAAGCTTCGAAATGAAATTTGGCGGGAAGTTTGCGTTTATGCATTACTCGAATAGCGCTAATTGACCCAGCCATGTGGTTGCTTTTTATAATTTGGGTACGTACTTAAGTATGAATATTCAACCTACCTAGGTAAGTTTATTACGCCCAGGTTTGTACAATGAAGCATTTCGCTATTTTGGTGGATCATCACAATCGAGCCAGCTTGTTATATCGAGCTTTAGCTGCTGCATCTCCAGAGTTTGTCTACTTGTACCTAGGTAGATGTGAGCGTACCGATTCTCCCGTTCTTGTAACAAAGTACCATTTTAATAAATAACTATGATTGGTTGTACCATTAATTTCCCAGCCGTAATCTGTGGCGCAGCTTACGCTAGTTACGCAACTAAGTTCGGGAGAGTGGATACCTTGAATATTCACGTATCATTTCATCCATCTACCATCATCCTACACGTCTCACGATACTTGAAAAAGCCAGTTTAACATTCATTACACCTCTAATAGTATACCCATAAAACTACATTGGTCGTCAATTACGATACTTACTAGTTTCCTATCTTTTTGCTTTGACCCAGACTTAACCTTGAATTGAAATACTAAAGAAACACCGACGGATCCGTCTCACGGACTTCAATCGATAGCTTCAATTTGGTAGTGGCCGCGCGCAACACACAAAAAAAAAAAAAACAGCTACTCCAACCCTAGCCCATCATGGCGCAACTACTCCTCGACCTTGTTTATTCTTTTGGCAATTGTCTAAATTGCTTTCCTGGATCGCCAACCTTAAAGATTAACAGTCGATCATTCAAGATATTGCGCTTGTTAGGAGAGGGTGGTTTCAGCTATGTATACCTCGTACAAGACACAGCAACAGCAGAGCTGTTCGCTCTTAAGAAGATCCGATGTCCTTTTGGCGCCGAATCGGTTCAACAGGCTATGCGAGAAGTCGAAGCATATAAAACCTTTGCCCATACACCCAACATTATCCACAGCGTTGATTATTCTATTGCAAGCGAACGAAACGATGCGGACTCGAAGACGGTCTATGTACTATTACCATATTACCGACGAGGAAATCTACAAGATATTATCAATGCGAACCTAGTAAACCACACAAACTTCCCTGAGACAGAACTCATGCGCCTATTCCTCGGCGTGTGCCAGGCGCTCCGATATATGCATGAATATCGAGGACCTGCCGGTGGTGAGCGCATGGAGATGGGCAATGCGAAAGCCGGTGAGGAAGATGTGGGAGGACGAAGCGGAAGAGGAAGACGAAATAAAGCCGTCGCGGCAGCCGATGCAGACGACGAGACAGAACAGGCCAGGCCGCTGATGGTAAATGAAGAGGTTGTGGCGCCTGGTGAGCGAAGATCCTACGCACACAGAGATATTAAGCCAGGTAAGCTTCCTAAGCTACTTTCCAAATTGGAACTTCACATACTAACGGGGAATCCTCAAGGTAACATTATGATCGACGACTCTGGCTCGCAACCAATCATCATGGATCTAGGCTCTATCTCCGAATCGCCGATACCTATAACATCACGTTCCCTCGCCATCGCTACACAAGATATCGCCGCAGAACACAGCACAATGCCTTACCGAGCGCCCGAGCTCTTCGATGTGAAGACAGGAACTGTCATCGATACTAAGGTCGATATCTGGTCACTTGGGTGCACCTTATACGCTTGTCTAGTCGGCAAGTCTCCTTTCGAAATGCGCAGTGATGAGACTGGTGGTAGTCTGAGCATGTGTGTGCTAGGAGGAGACTGGCGATTCCCGGATGAGACCCCCAGGGGTCAGAAGAAAGGAAAGGCACCAGCTGGCTCCAGCGCGGGCCGTGAAGAAGGTGTGATCAGTGAACCAATTAAGGAGGTGGTCAGAAAATGCTTGAAAGTTGAACCGACCGAGCGTCCAGATATTAGCGAGTTAATAAGTATAGTAGAAGAGGTGATTGAGGAACTACCAGAGGATGATGTATAAGAAAGGTTGGCAGATCAGTTTTTCATGTGTATAATTGTAAACTTATATCCTCAAGTTCTGTATTAGACCACTAGGGACAGGCTACGAAATTCGTTACGACAATAATGGAACTGCTCTGGGAGCAGCAAATAATTCATTTGTATATCCTAGACTTGAAAAATCACGATTGACCTTGACTCTGACAATTTGTAACAATAACCCAAGAATTATGATAATGAATTCTTGTATCCAGATTTTATGCAGGTACACTTGATCTTTGATATGGCCCCACATTTGTAAGTGTATTAACAGTTCGCCAACCTCAATTCATTGGTCAATGTTATTCTCTTAACAAACTCAACTTCTACATATTAACACATAAATAGAGCGAAGGCCGCAACTTCCTGTCAATTAAGAGATGTCATATCTCTGAACCCGACATTCTTTTTTATAATTTCAAAAACAGATCTTCGAGAAAAAGGAGTTGCACAAACCTGATATTTCACCCTTCGGAGTTCCGGGCCACTCACCCGGACCTTCAATTCTGAGATACCCATAACCTATCGCTATGGCATCAGAGAAAACAAGCCGCGCCCCGGAGGCGGAAGAAGACGAGGAGGATGACTACATGAACATGACATTCGGGGAGGAAGAACCTACATCAAAACCCGCCGAAACTTCACTTCAGCGCCGCCAGCGTTTAAAGCGGGAAGGCGAGATCAAAGGGCGCGTGAAATCTAAAGCGGAACAAGCCGCTGAGGAGCGCGCTGCCAGGGAAGAAGCTTTATCACGGTCTATGTTGCTTGATGGCTCCCGGGCTAAAAAGAGCAAAGGTCTTGCTATGATGGCTAAGATGGGATTCAAAGCTGGTACGGCGCTTGGTAGTACGGAGAATGGGAATGAAGCTAGGCTCGAGCCTATACGGCCGGAGATGAAGGAGGATAGGGGCGGAATAGGTCTAGATTCGGATCGCAAGAGGAAAATTAATGAGGCGGCGACACAGCAGGAGAAGAAGTTGAAGATCGATGAGACGGAATTCCGCGATCGTGTTAGGAAGGAAAGAGAAACGGCGAGGTTGGAGAGGCAGTTCTACGCCGGGATGAAGGTCTGTGAGAGGATGGATGAGGAGAGTGGAGGTGATGATCTGCGGCAAAAGGATGATGACGCGGAAGAAGAGGAGTCGTCAACGAAAAAGAAAAGGACATTATCTACACGTCCACTCAAATCCATTCCTGTAGTCTGGAGAGGTCTTGTTCGAAATCGAGAAGAAGCAGAACGAGATCGTAGGATGCGACACGACCTAGAACAAAGTTCAACACGGCTTCCGACATATATAGACGATATGGAGGACGAAGACGACAGAAAAGCGATGGGCAAGACAAGTATAGCATATGTACCCGTCGAAGATCTGGAAGAGGAAGATCCAGAGCTGGATGAGTTCAACGCACTCGAGGCTGAAGAGAAGTTGAGACGACTTGTGGAATACCTTCGGAAGGAGCACAACTACTGCTTCTGGTGCAAATGCAGCTATCCGGACGAGACGATGGAGGGCTGCCCTGGTTTGACGGAGGAAGATCACGATTAATATGATAGTTCAGCATGGCCTGATCTCCCGCGCCCTATATTAAAGAAATTTGCTACATACAGGTCGACATCAGCACCTCAAAATCACCCATGTTCTAGTCAGAGTACTATATAAGGGTAAGGCTATCTTCACAGCAATCGATTCTGGCACCTCCTAATGAGTAATTAGGGTCTCGGCGACGTTCGATAAAACCCATACTCATCCTTGGGATAATTAATCTTGCAAGGTAATCAAACAAGCCATGCAAATACCTAAGCAGAGATACTAAGAAATTGGTCTAACCGATTATAATACCATGGCCCTTGGGGGTGTAATAGAATAAAGTTACCACTGGAGGCTTCTACATAACACCTGCGGACCTCACGCCGAGAAATCTGAGATAGTAAAACATATGACACTTGAGTAATTCGCTTCCATTACTTTCCATTTTATTGTGAGTACCAAAGGCTACCTCGACAAAGCATGTCATACCTGAGAGTAAGCCCAAGTCACGCCACTGACGTGCGTGTCACTCATTTCCTACGCCTGTGGCGGCGCCATAAAGCCCTCCCGGGAATAAACCCGTTCTTCTACACCTATATCCTCGTTCCTTATTTCCGGTCATCTTAGCACTTGAGCAAATATTTTCGTTATAGAACCACACCCACACAACACAGCACATAAAAAGGAAAAGGAATCACAAAAAGACTCACCAGATATGCGGTTTCTCCGCTATAAATTTCTCCATTAACTCCAGACACTCGGTCGAGTCAAGCACAACGACTTCAACGCCGCGACTCTTAAGATACGCCTCGCCACCTAGAAATGTCTTATTCTCACCGATTACGATGCGGGAGATGCCGTACAGAAGGCAGGCTCCGGTACCTAAGCACCCCTCAGCATATGCAGGCCCGTAGCGAGGTAGGGATATGTACTCACACATATCACATGGGGATAGAGTCGTGTACATAGTACTTCCACGGTATGCCGAAGACGGCAGCCGTCCTGCATTTTGGAGGCAGGAAGTCTCACCCTGTGCCAGTCAGCCACTTAATATACCCATCCCGAGAAAAAAAAGCATATAGATGACATGTAAGAACAAAACAAGTGATCTTGATACTTACGTGCAGAATCGGATTCCCATTTTGAACCCTCATATTATGACCTCGACCGAGCACTTTGCCGTCCGCCGCGATTAACGCTGCGCCTATCTACCATACCGTATAAATAAATTGTCAGCATAAACCGTAAGTGATTTGTTCACTTTATGAATTGGATACTTAGTACATACCGGGACACCTCCTTCTTGGTATCCAATCTTAGCCTCTTCAAGTGCCAGACTCAGACCCTTTGAATCGTTCATCCTGACCGTAGCCCGTCCAGGTGAATAGTGATTTATACCTAGTAATACCCCTTAGAAATTGAGGATGGGGTTTTATGAACATCTAATTGTCCTTATCTTGGAGAAATGAAAATGTGAAGCTGGAATATGTACCTAGGTAGTGTTGGAGATAAGCGGAAGTCCCCGCCGAGTGGCTGTTATCGTGGGACTAGACTCTAGTTCTAAGACTGAATATGATGATTTCTTACTACCTCTTTAACATAGCATATTTACATCACGCACGAATTATCACTAAAAATCCATCTGAAAACATTTTTGTCAATTATGTCGGAGTTCATTCATTTGTCTGACACCTCTTTAGACAAAAATGGCTCCTTTCTCTCACGTCTATCTCATGGCATTTTTGCCTTTGGCATAACATCTGAGACTACTAAATTTCCCAAGTAGTCTCTGCCAACCTGAAAATCAAGGTATTGTACAAATCTCGAAAGCCGACAAAGTAGTAACCTCTCCTTGTCTCACTTTGAGATCCCGACTAGAGCATCTCTATCCACCATCGCGCCTTTGGTATATGCCTCTAGTTATACAGAAACCTAGTCCCCTAACGCCGAACTGGGAAAATCAAAGTGCTATGCGAATAAACCACATCCCTCAAACTGAAATTTAGTCAAATGACCCTTGATGATTACGACAGAAGATTGCGCAGCGATGCGTTAGCACTAGCGCCGCTCGCTGGTCGGCCGTCGTTTGATCGTGAGGGCACGCTGCTGTTTAGACTCGGTTCACGGCTCATAGAGATCCCATCCCGGGAGACGGGTGGGCTTCCATGTGTATTTAAGAATGGGGAACGCGAGTTAAGTAATCCTTGCGAGAAGGAGTGCTCTGAGACCCGTGGGGGAGGGCTGCCGTTTGTAAGGGTATGCAGAGAACTATGTGATGAATGGTATGATGACATGAACGGAGAAGTGCCGTTCTGAACCGAAGGAGGGCCGCGGCGAGGCGGCGAGGGAGGAAGCCCGTTGACCATGGGTTGACCAAGCCCATGTTGATGCGGTGGTGCCTGATGGTGGGACATCGGGGCTATTGGTGGCGGCCGAAGATCGCGAAGATGATTAATTTGGTGAAGCGTCGGCGGATGTTGAGGTGGGCTACGATGCCAATCTCCAAAGGGAGTGCTCGGAGGAAAATGGTGAGCGTTTACTGGCGGGCCACCGGGAGCAGCCATCGGACTCGTTGTGGCATGAGGAGTTGTTAATGGTAGCGGTGGAGGGACACTCGCCGATGGTGCGTGCAAAGGGGGGGCAGCAATCGCCGAGTTGGTAGAAGACGTCGTGACTTGCGCCGCTGGTGCTCGTGATCCCCACGAATTCCCTACTTCTGTAATCCTGTTTGTAGTATGCGACGATACGTTGGGTGGATGGCTTATTGAAGTATTGGGAATAGATGGGAGAGGAGGCCTCGACGGTTCGGTTGGTTTCTCTAAAGGTGCCTTCCTGAAAGGTACTAACTTCCGATTATTCCTCTTACATTTATGGCATTGCACGGATCTCTGTGCGACGAACTTTTGCGCTTCACTACTAATAACGTGTTGTTCATTGTATAAGATCTTTTGTTGATCTTTGTTGGTGGGCCACCACTTCGGGCTGACATCGATGCCACAAGTAATGCACACTTTGTCGCCATATTGAGGATTTGTGGCAATTGCATCCGTGGCGTTGTCGATTGATGATGCCCTCTGACCTGATGGCGCTGAGCTGGAAGGTGTTGTAGTCGATTGCCTTCGGTTCTGGTTCGCTTGAGTTGTCACAGTAGGACTCTTAGTGATGACGTTGGCTAAGTTCGCTTTTCGAACATTACCCGTAAGAGTGAGATCTGCTTGCTTATAGTTATGGACGTAAAATTGCAAGGCATTGGTTAGTGGAAGATCTTTGCTTTGGCCATCAAGCTGGGGTACGGGGTCGTGCATCCGATGGAATGTGGTCTTCTGGGGATGATGTTCTTTGCACCATACCACTGCTGACATGATCCCTGTCTCTGTTCCAAAAGTGACGATGTTATGCTGATCTCGGCGGGAGCCTTTCACCGGGGTAATTTCAAAACCGAGAAGATATCCGTTTTGGTGTGCACATTCGACGTGAACTAGTATACTCGTTAATACTTTGGACTAAATATATGTGCAACGAATTGTACTTACCCGGGGCGCGACAATGATGGCATGCCACACATGCACCATTTTTTTGCTTGCATATCTTGCAGGCCTCGTCATATCTGCTTCGTGGAATCGAGGGTATGCCTTCAGAGGGACCTAAAGCAAGAGCATTGCCAAACTTGACTTCGGGCATCCAGACAGCGCAGGTAACGTGGACCCAGTTGTTATCCGCCGTTCTTTTTAAGGGCTCTCTAGGATTCACAGGCCGATTTAGTTCTTCCTGTCTCTTGCGATAGAAATCTGCAGCCTTTTGTGCGAGTTCACGATCATGTCGCTCCTTCTCCTTCTCCTTCTCCGTCTTTTTCTTATGGCTAGTCCTCGGTGGCTCTACAAAGTCGTGTTCCGTAAATTCTACAGGACAGAGGACACATTTGTAATCCTATCCATCGTTAGTCGGTAAGCCGAAAAATAAAAAGGATATACTCACAATGGAAACTTGCGGGTTCTTATCGTTGAGACACATGTCGCAAGTCCATTTACCAGGAAGACGATTGTCCATAACGCCATAACACTTTCGATGAACAGTAAGTCGACACTCTTTACAAGAAAGATGAGCAGAATCTCCTATAGGAGCCATTTGATGGCATATAGCACACGGAAGCGTTCGGGGTTTCGGTAGTTCAGGTGCTGGGGGTGGCGGGGGCTTTTCCACGACTTTTTCCTTCTTTTTGTGCTGGACATGGTTAGCGGCAGTGCCTGAGTCCGAACCATTGGCCTCCGCTTCTTTGTCGGCGATGGTTTTAAGCTTCTTGCGCGGCGGCGGTTCGGCGCCGTTGGGCTGTGGAGCAGGTGCTGCCGCTGAACTTTGTGCCATCGCCGTTGATCCATTCGGTGTGTTATAAACCGTCATGTTCATCATCTCGTTCGCCGCCATAAGCTCCTTTAGTAGTTCCTCGTCAACCCTCCGTTTCCATGAACGGCCACCAGCCGCAGCAACTTTCTTAGCAAGGTCCTCCAGATCTTCCCACTGTATAGCGTATCGTCTCCAGAGCTCTGCGCAACGTCTGCATAAGGCGGCGACATATTGAATCCCCTTGTCCTTATTTGCGTGTTTGCCGTGTCCCTCGGTTACTAGGCCAGTGGCGCTGTTAGGCGCCCGTCGCCACTGCCGTGAAGTTTTGGTAAGGCAAAATTTACACACGAAACTTCTCTTTAGCTTGAGAGCCTTTTCGGTGTCGAACGCCGAGTCGTCCTGGTCATCAGCAACATCATCTTGAAGCTTATTTGCTGTGGCTTCAGCCTTCTTAGCTTCCTTTTTGCCCTTTCTGCCCGAAAAATTACCCCATATTTGCTTTCCTCGGTCTGTCTTTTTCCATGTGTAATAAAAGCGGACGATCTGCGAATGCTTGACTGTCTTTACATGCTTCGTAACAAAATAAAGCTCCGAGCCAAATTTCGTCACCGCTTCTTCAAATTTCTTGAGTTCAGCGGGACTGAGTTCTGGCTCTTTGAATTCGGACTTGTCAACTTTCAATAACGCTTTAGAGGCCTTGGAAATGTCATAATCATTTTTGAATAAGGTATTGATAGCCACGTCTCGAACGTTAGTGGATTCCTTGGGAAGGCTGAACATGGGGGTAAGTTTTGCCCTCGAATTTTCCACGTACGCATCAAGCTGTTGTTCTGTGATTTCCGTATCGACCTCGTTCAAGGGTTTCCACAATAGCTGTGCTGTATTGTTTGGGTCGTCATTATCGTAGTCCTCGCCGCGTGCGACATATCCCGCAGGTTCATCTTGAACCCATCTCGGACGTTTCTCACGAGCGGCTTTCTCAGCTTCGAGGGCTGCAAGGGCCTCTTTTGCTTGCTTGCTATCCTTCTTACCCACTTTTTTGATCTCTAAAGGTTTCACATATTTGACAGGACGACCAGGCCAAGGAAGAACGGTAGCTTGGTGTTTAGGTCCCAAACGAGAACCGGCTCGAGGATAGATCCGGTCGTCGTAATCGAGGGCATCTTCTACCTTGCAATGTTGGCCTAGGTATCGGTAAGGCCATAGGCTCGCATGGTAAATTTGTTCGGCTGTCGCCGGCTGGTGAGAGTCGTCAATGCCATCCACCGGACTGGTACGATTAGTATCGATAACTTCGTCTTCATCCTCCCAAGTCTCCTCTTCTTCAGCTTCTGGGTGGGAATCTACTAAACTGGGGGTATGTCGGGCCTCCAATTTCCTCTCCTGGGCACGACTGCATGCAGCACAAGCCCAAGCAAAACCACGTGACGGTTTCTTTAATAAAGGTGGTCGGACACAGTTCATGTGATACGTCTGCTGACAGACGGCGCAGTCAACGGAGTCATTGCTGTTATCTTAGTCAGTAATCGTTATCAATTATGATTGTATGTATATGCAATAGCGTGTGTGAAAAGGGGGGGGTAGGACAGGGGATAGGGCAAAGAGTATGCATGATGACATAAGCAGCGACGTACCTTGCACAATACCCACTGCATCTCTTACAAAGCTTGACGGCACTTGTAAATTCCTTGGACCGACCCTGCTCCACCAGAATGTACTTCCACCTTTCATCTAACACTTTCTTTACCCTTTCGGGCACATTAACAATTTGAAAACATGGGATTACATCGTAATTCTTTTGGATGTAGCGATCATAAAGCTTTTCATACCAAAAGCAATCGGGTGTTTTTCGGTATGCCTCCATATCTTCGATCTCGGCCTTGTGGCGGATCTCGCACTTACCGCGCAATGCGGTTAGCGGACTGATGTCCGAGTGCATAGTGGCAAAGACCAGTCTCGTGTCATTGACCTTCTTGCCGATATCCTTTGGTCGATAGTACCAATTGATTCGCAGTGCATCAACAGGCTTCGCAACGTCATTTTGCACGTGGAGAAACTCCATGATACGCCCTAGATAGTATGGTTCCCCTGGTGGCTCGCATACAAGGTATACGTGGTCTAAGTAGAATTCAAAGTTAGCTATTGTTAATAGATTGAGCAATTTTCGTTATTTTGGCGTCTTGGGACGTACCGTTCGCCTGTAATGTTGTGCCATCGTCCGCCACCATCTTCCCATCTTTCGGAGTCGCGCCATATTTTTCAAAGGACAGCATATTGGTCATTTTATATCCTGCGTTACTGCCATTCTGTGTAGGGGTCATCACGTTCATGCCATTTCGTTTCGTCGTCGCGGTGTTAGAGCTTGTCGGCGTCGGCGTGTTCGCGTGGCTATTCGCATTGCTTGCATTCGATTGCGCTGGTGCTTTTCGCTTCTTTGAAGGGTTGGTAGAGGTAGTGGTAGATGTTGTATTTGATGTCGGGTTAGCCGTCGAATGCGAATCCTTTGCCGTGGTGTGCGAACCACTACCGGCATTACCATTTGCCCCAGCTTTGCCATCCTCTGGTCCTGCTCCCTTTCGTGATGTCGAACTCGTAGCTTTCGGTGCATCGCTCGTGCCATTTGTGGATGCACTCACCTGTCGCGAAGATTTCTTAGGCTCTTCGTCCTTTTTCTCCGCGTAGGCGTCGTACATATCCACATCGACATCTTTGTCCTCTGCGTAATTTGGCCGCGCTTGGCCGCGATTTCGGGAACGCGTACCATAGGGAGATGGACCTGCCATAGCCTCCTTAATCGACGGGTTAGATCCCGACGAGGTGGACTTGGTCATTGGTTGTGAGTCAAGTGCATTTTCGCCGGATACCTTGGTGTTGGTAGGCTTTGGTGGTTGAGTTGGGGGTGCAGATGTTGATGTGTGTGAGGTGAATTTGTTTGGCGCGGAGGCGGAATCTGGGAGTTCCTTGCTGTTCGAGGATGACGAAGGATTGGGCTGGTCCTCGGACTTCTGCGCCATGGTGGGTGATTAAAAGGCGGCGCATCCAATGTAACACGAAGGAACGCCGAAAACTTGACAGCGGGCTAATTGTGGTAAATAGTGCAGTTTTGCTTCCATAAGATGTACCAATCTAAGTGCGGGCCTCGCAGACAGAATGTTTCAGACAAAAACTGCACCGATGACCGTGGATTCCATATGAGCGTTTCGCCGGTGGTACCACGACGGCAAGCTGGAAACAAGGGTCCGTGGGAAGCCTACCGAATTATGTCCCACGATGATCCCCTCGGTTGGAAGTTCGTCAAAAGATGAGGGAAAAGAAGTGAAAGCACGGTAAGGTAAAGTTACCAAGTAACTAAAGTAAGGCGAAGTAGGGCAAGTGGCAGAAAAGTAAAAGGTGGATATCTGTGTTGTGTGTGCCTAGTTGGCGAGTCAGAAGTCAGATTAGGGAATCTCGAAGAAAAGTATTAAAAGAAACGAGACATAAAAAGTTAATCTCTAGCCGAGAAAGAGAGAAATAAAAAAACGGACGGGCCAAGTTTGTGTATGTGTATGAGTAGTGTTGAAAAAAAAGAAGGTGGGAGGACGTGACGGCGATGGGGAACGGGGAGAAAAGATGGTACAAGTTAAAGGTAGAAAGAAGAAACATTAGTAGTAGGAGTAGAAATAGAAGTGAAGGTTTATGTAAAGTAAGGCCAAGCAAGATATGGGACCGGGGGAGGTTCGAGGCGGCGGGACAAACCCATCAAATCGGTGTCCACACTATCTAACACGACTAGCCGGGTAGACCATAGACCATAGGCATAGGCGCATAGGCAGGATCATAGGATAGATGGGTAAGGTAGGCGAACTACCTAGGTATATCGCGACGAGCTACATGTACGTATTGTGGTGCGTGCGTGTATGGTGTGTGAGTGGAGGATGACGATAATGATTATGATGAGTAAATCAACAACAACGTACCAGAACGTCAATATGTAAGTAAAGGATCTAGATGGGTATGTAGGCAATGTACGTGTGTACATCCATTCATACCTTCATGACTACTACATACATACGCGTAGATATTATTACAAGAGGTGAGGTGAGGTGAGGTAGTAGGGAAGGTTATGTATCCTAGGTAGGGGGTCGGCTAGTGCAAGCGAGCGAGCAAGCATACGATGATCGGCCTATGATATCGAGACTGTCGATTTGAATTTCGTCTCTCGTGTATAGATAGGTTGATAGATGGTCTTTGTGTGGATGGACCCCAGTGTGTGTACGTGTGGGATGGCGAAATGTATGTTTGTAAAAGGTGAATGTAAAAAGGGTAGGAGGTGAAGGTAGAAAAAGAAGCTAGGGGAAAAAATAAAAGTCGATGGAACAAGTGCTCTGACTTAGATGAAGCAGATTGGGAAAACGAAACTTGGGATGCTGGGGGTATGGAAAAAAAAAAAGAAGGTAACCTACCTCCTACCTTATGGAGGAATGAAAATAGAAGGGTCGCTTTTTTCTTCGACGAACGTTATTAGACTTTCGGTACTTAGTTACCTGGGGCTACAAGGGTACCCTAATAAAGCTAGGTAGGAGCTTTCAACAAGGGCCATGGGCTGGCTTCAATGATATTGACTGGATGGGTGGATTATGAACATTGAATGTATAGAAGTATAGATGTATTATTGTATGTATAGTTGTATGGTCGTAATGTACGTATGAAGTATGGATGGGATGGGATGGGATATATGAGATAGATATACGTGCGCATCAGAGGAGCGCAAAAGAAAATAGGTCAAGAGATGCAAATGCAACCATTTAGCTTCATATGGCTTAACGGCAATTTTATTACCTTCAATATTCAAATGTACCTAACGAATGTACATTGACCGCACGTACACCATGCGACGTCTACCTTACTATATGTACGTATCAATATGTGCGTACGTACATATTACATTGATGTATAGAGGACTAGAGAAGGTAGGTAACAATAATTATGACAGTGGGAGCATTTGAAAAGAGAGAGACACGCACAAAGGGCACGAGGAAATATACATCTACGTATGTAGGCGTAAGTACGTAAATACGTATTTAATGTGGATGGGGTTTCTTGGGGTAGGAGGGAGAACAAGAAACATAGAGAGAGAGCAGAGGAAAAAAAGAGAGAGAGGAGTTGGGATCTTCAGCCATTCAAACTCTGATATTGTACCAGCTGGGAATTATTTAGTTTGATGGTAGCGCCGCGGTACCGGGTACATCTATGCGGCAGGATAAACATGCAGGATTGAACTGTGTGCGACGGGATGTGTTGTACATTGCACTTCCCACTTCCCTTGGGCAAGGCCAGTGTGGAGTGGCACTGAGGTTAAAAAGTCTCGCCTTGGAGAGCCCACTGGTCCACACCATTACCGTACCCCTGTCAAGTCCAACCAACTTACGCTTCCTGCTAAAAGGCTGCATGTTCTATTCGACTTCATCTCATCATTCCTGTATTTAAAATCCACGCCGTGCCTCCCTAGGTACTTCTTTTCATCAACAAAGAAATACGCCCGTGAGCTGGGCGATGCGAGGCTATTTTCTTATATATCTATGCCTTTCCTCTCCTGGTTAGAATATATCTCCAGGTCAATGAATCTGCGTCGTCTTTTTTGTCGAAAGCAGTTACATATATCCGTCCCATTCCGCCTAGCTTGATTGCTAGCATTTCGGAATACGTTTGCTGGCCGAACGCAATTTTGCTTTAAAAAACGAACCTAGCTCCCTTATCCAAAGGAGTAAGCGTATTTTATACTAACATAGATCATCGCACGCCTCGTCGCGGTTATCCCCTCCCCCATTTATAGGTGTACCGCGCGTCCCGAACCTTCGAGCTCACCTCATCGGGGCGACTGCGCTGTGTATGACAGGCAGCATTCCTATCACCTGTCGCACTTTTATGGGTGGGGATCTAGCCAAGATTGGCCGCGAGTCACGACCGCCCATCCGAGATTTTTCAACGCAAGCAAGCGCCGCGGTCTGTTTATCTGCTATTTTTCTTACACCAAGTTTACCATATCAGCAATCAAATACGGCGCACTCTACCATCCTATTCTGATGCATCCAGTAATCTTTTCGACGGAAAATTATTGACTGCGATCAGCACGTGTTTTTTTTAACCCATGTTAGAGGCAATCTGATCTTAGGCTTCGAGATGTTACAAAGGCGAGCAATCTGGCGAGCCTGGGCACCACTTTTGCAACCCGGGACAAAACGACAGGTATTGAGCCAGACCCCCGACCCCCACCTCGCGATCCAATGGCCCAACCAGATCACGCGGGACAAGGATCTAACCCGTCACCGCTGTGCAATAGTAGAGACATACCCAAGACAACCGAGCTCATTAATTCTACGTAAAATAAAAAGGATACTAGATGGTAGGATGAACTACTAGAAGCAAAAGTGAAATGGTATACTTAGTCGTCATAACAGAAGAAGTATATCCTATACGACATGTACCTATTCAGGTCGACTGGCGGAATCCTGACCACCTAAGCGTGTTGCTTTTCATTTCGCGTCCCATACTTTGATGGCCGTTTCAATGTAACTGGAATTAGAATGGCCCTGTTCGGTGTGGGCAATCCCCAATCTGGGGTCTTTAAGGGAACGATGTACATTTGTTCCTCATGCACGAAGTTACATACGCTTTAGCCTCCTTGCTTCTTCTGTAGTAAGATAGCGAAAATAAGCCTGCATCCTTATGAGGAGAGTACCCTCAACTTCCATTTATAAGGTAATACGTTTGGAAAAATGATCGGCCATATGTTCTCAGATTGATTTCAATTGTATGAAGATTAGGTGAGTTGCCAAAATATTTACTAGCCGAAAAAAAAACTTGGCTCGGGTCCAAGAAAAGAAATGAGCCATTCTCAAGAGTTGCACATACATAACACGTAGGGTTTGCTACTTAATACTTGATACTTAATACCCGAAGAACGGAATGCTTCTGCCTTCTCATCGAGGAATTAATCTGTAGTTCATAATCCATGATGGGAAGGATACGAGTGCCCAATTATGATTGGTTATTAAGAAGAGGAGCTTGGCAATTAGGACAGCTTCCATATTTCAGCATCAATACTTCGCTAGTCATCTTGTGACTTCATTCTCACCGGTTCGACATACCCCCGCAATTTGAATTATTGGGGGGACATATCGGGCAAATGGTAACCAGTTGGAATAAAAAAAATAATTGAAGATAGACAACAGAGGCTACTAATTTTCGGTATGTATGTCATGTACTTACGTGCGACTCCTTTTTTATTTTTCGCCACACACCCACGTAGGCAAGATCGGAAGCGAACCCACTGATGCTAAGCTGGCCATCAGCTGTCTATCGAAAAAGGGCTCGCACAATACTAATGAAAGTAAAATAGCGCTAAGATACTAGAACGTATATAAGACGTGATTGTCGGACGGAGAAGGGATCGAAGCTGAAATGACTAGATAATCCGTATTATTAATGGTATTTAATGAGGATTCATTGGACTAGTCAGCCGAAGAACTACTTTGGTCAGCCTACCTTACGATGACGGGCTGTACATAACGTAGGTAGGCAGTGAGGTATGGTATGGGGAATCAATATGCCTCGTTTCTGTTGGCAAAGAATCTGTCCTAAGGAAACCCCGTTACATTAGGACCGACCTTAGAGGTAATTAAGTTGGAAGTTGGACGTTGGAGGATGACCCGACCGCACGAGATTCGCGGCACGGGCCACCTAGGGCTCAAGCCGAGATCCAATGAAATGCACCGGGATTGGAATTGATGCATGACTTCCCTTTTAGGATTGACGGCGACAATGATTACGCGATACTGTACCTGATTATGTCAATAATGTGGGGCTTCGGAGCCCAAACGCCATTCCCGATACCTGGGAGGGTCTATGTAGACGGTCGATTGAGCCTGTTGATTGATCCCCACTCCAACTTGGCATATGCAAGGGGAGTACATGCGGTACATGTGGTACTTAAGTACCTTGGTACATTTCAAACTCAATACATATGTATCAGTCACGTGCCATGGTGCAGCTTTCGTGTCCAGCATCTTTTTTTAGCGTCACGCATAAATTCTAGAATTATCATGAACTACAAACAGATATTTGGATTCTACTGCGAGCTCACTACCTACAACCTTGCTACCCATTGCATACCATGAGCTTTGATTGCCAATTCTGCTTTTAGCTAACGAAAAGTGAAAATGTGCATTGACAACTTCGATGCATTTCTCTAGCTTCTATCCAATCAGTCCGCTCGCGTGATTACAGGGGTGTTACCTTTGCTCGCCTTTGGTCTTCACCATGGAACAGCGACGAGGTATCTTTCATAAGACAACACTTCAATCGGCTACCTCATTGCATCAAACCACATTTAACACAACTACCTTTGCTGGTAATAAAAGAAGCCATGTCGACGACGCTGGGTCTAACTCCGGACAGCAACCCCCTGTACCGAAAAGGGCTTATCAGTTTCAAAAGGCCTCGGATGTAAGAAACGAACAGCCTGGACTGGCTGCTAGCACCATCGTATCCGTTGATCCGGATGACACTGCATGTACTTCTGAATATTCGCAACGTCGGGCTATTTTAGCTACTCCTACATCGACCATCGATCGCTCACTTTCGCTAGCATTCCCACGATACGGCCTACCTGAGTCGTTAATAAATAACTTAGCAGGACTCGGTATCAAGGAAATTTACCCTTGGCAGAAACAATGTCTTTTAGGTCCAGGACTCCTAAATGGGGCGAGGAATTTAGTTTATACAGCTCCAACCGGGGGCGGTAAATCCCTGGTCGCTGACATCTTAATGCTGAAAAGGGTTCTCGAAAATAAGAGCGCCAAAGCTCTCCTAGTGCTTCCATATGTCGCTTTGGTTCAAGAAAAGGTTCGTTGGTTACGAAATGTTGTCCAAGACATTAAGCGGCAGTCTGATAAAAAAGATGCTAAAAAAGAAGAAACTTCCCTTTGGCAAAAACGCCCTGACGAAGATAATGTAAGAGTTGTCGGCTTCTTCGGCGCTGGCAAGGTTAGAGCGACATGGTCGGACTTCGACATCGGCGTTTGCACTTTCGAGAAGGTCCGTTTATCTGCAATAACTTGTGTGACATAGAGTTAATACAGTTACAGGCAAGTACACTCATAAATACTGCCATTGACGACTGCACCATCACCAATCTTAGAGCTGTTGTGCTAGATGAGCTTCACATGCTGGATGATGACCATCGTGGTTACCTCATGGAACTCATCGCCACAAAACTACTTAGCCTTGGACACGAAGTCCAAATCATTGGCATGAGCGCCACCTTGCAAAATATTGACCTCCTATCACGGTGGTTAGACGCGCACATCTATAGTACATTCTATCGCCCGGTACCCATTGAAGAGTACCTAGTCCATGAGGGGAATATTTACCAAGCTTCGTCAACTACTGGACTCCTTAAGACTGCCACCCAACTCGCCACAAACTTTGGTACAGGCCAACAACAGAATTCCCCAGTGAGGACGGTTCAACCCAGCCTACATAAGGAATTCAAGGATCCTGTATTAAACGCCGTTGTCGCGTTAGCTGTAGAGACAGAAAGATCTGGTTATGGCGTTCTCATTTTCTGTAGTAGTCGTCGGTTAGTATTTAATTATCTGCCAAAGTGTTCATAAGAGCTAACATACTCACAGTATGTTACAATACCTTCATTATTCACCTTCGGTTTTTTTTTTCCGAATGAAAACTCATCTTACGGACGTAGCTTCTAGATTTGGCTTGATTATGCTAACCTCTGGCAGATGGTTGCGAATTTGATGCATGACTAATTAGTCGCGCTCTACGTGATGCTAATCCTCTCGATCCTACCGTCATAGAAAAAAGACTTGATCTTTTAGCGGATTTGCGTAGTCTTAGCACGGGACTTGACCCATGCTTGGCAGAGACGATCACTTCTGGAGTTGCCTTTCACCATGCTGGTTTAACAACAGAAGAGCGTGATTTAATTGCTAGCGCTTACGACGGCGGTGTATTGAAGGTCCTGGTAGCGACATGCAGTCTTGCCGCTGGCATCAATCTTCCGGCGCGGAGAGTCGTACTTCATAATGCACGAATGGGCCGAGACCTAGTTGGACCCTCTATGCTTCGCCAAATGCGCGGTCGGGCAGGGAGGAAAGGAAAGGATGAGATCGGCGAGACTTACTTGTGTTGCCGAAAAGACGACCTCGAAAGCGTTATTGAGCTTATGCACGCTGAACTACCCCAGATTTCGAGCAGCCTTACGACGGATAGGCATCGCATACAGCGTGCCCTGTTAGAAGTAATCGCTATCAGATTGGCGAACTCGAGGGACACCATTGATGACTACGTTCAGAAGACCTTGCTGAATTTTTCTATGGCACCTGATACTATAGCGACCCATGTTGAATCTAATCTTCAAGATTTGACCGAGATGGGGTTTATCCATTCGGACGATTCCAACCCATACGCTGCGACACAGCTCGGCAAGGCTGTTGTGGCTTCGTCGCTTGAACCAGAAGATGGTGCATTTATTCATCGCGAAATGCAGCGTGCACTACGTGCTTTTGTGATGGATGGAGAGATGCGTAAGTATGACCAAACATGGTTATTCCATACCTAGACGATGTTGAACATTTTCTATTCTACCTCCTGTATTATTAGAAAGTCGCCTAGGGAGAAGTTTGCTTACAAAGTATCGCAGATATCCTGTACACATTTACTCCGGTATACGATTCGTCTGTTACCATCAACTGGCAAACTTTTAGGTCCGAGATGGAAGGTCTCGATGATAGCGGGCTTCGCGTCATGACTTTCCTCGGCCTAAAACCAACGCAAATAAATAAGATGTGAGTAATAGTTCGTATAACAGTACATATATCTCTATTCCGCTAATTTGGTGACAGGGCCCAAGGTGGAAAACTGAAAGAAACAACGGCCGAAGAAAAAAAGATGGCTCGTATCTATCGCAGGTTCTACCTGGCTCTCCAACTGAGGGACCTGTGTAATGAGATGCCTATCCACGTGGTCTCTCAAAAGTACGATATGCCACGGGGCGCGGTACAAAACCTTGCGCAGACATGCCAAGGATTCGCTGCTGGAAGTGAGTACATTTTTAAAATGACGATGACTCTTTGTCCTCCGTGGAAATTTATTGCTTCTCTTTTCTTCTTGAATCTTCCCAGAAGATGTCGTCGCAAAATGGGTTTCACAACATAAACCAATTTGAAATTTCCCCAAGACGTTGTGACTAATTTTCGTCGTTGAATATAGTGATCAAGTTCTGCGAGCAGATGAGTTGGGGGTAAGTTGACACAGAACTAATGGGCATCTTGTCCTATCTCGTGGCTGTGTTCGGAACTAATCATGTATAACCAGGGGCATGGCGGCTCTCCTCGATCATTTTTCGGATAGGCTAAACGCAGGAGCGAAGTCAGATTTACTAGCGTTAGCGAAGGTTACCTTTATCAAGAGCCGGACGGCTAGAGTTTTTTACGAAAACGGATTCAAAACGGTCGCAGCTCTTGCGAATGCGGATCCAAAGGAACTCGTGCCGATTCTCATACAGGTCCGTAAGAAGAACATTATCGTAAAGATGCAATATGTTGAATAAAGGAAAACTAACAATATTTCTAAATAGGCACAACCGAGTAAAGTGAGGCTCAAATCAAAAGATGAGCAGAAATACGAAGAAAAACTTCTAGCCAAAGCGAAAATTATTACGGACTCAGCAAACCGACTGTGGCGTACGCACATGACCCCAACCCCTCATCGCAGCACTGCAGCTAATACTAATGCTTTTTGTGCAGAAATCGAGATGCAGCAGCAAATTTATGAAGAATAGGCAGTACCCGCGTGTTACCCCAACTCCCTTGTACCCTGACTTTGACTAGTAGCCCATACTTCTCCATGGTTTGCACTTTGAAAAAAAAAAAAAAAGCAGTGTGTCATTCAGTAGGCGAACTTGTTCCATCCTGTTCTCTCCTCCAAATTTAAATATCACGGGAGCCTTGTTGAAATACTTATTCCTAATTTGCCCCGACCCCCCTAACATCAATTATTGTTGGATTACCGTTGTAAGTCGGTGCGGCGCTACCCTTGATACATATCTACATGGTTACAAAGCCGGGCCGTGCTTTTATCGAGACGCCTCCGAAGCCCGCGCGCGAGTTGCTGCGAGTGCTGCGGGTGCAAATTGGCCAGGTATGCGGCCGCGCTGTTGGTTGCCTTGTTTGCTTCAGCCACTAACAGGGAACCATCCGTCCCCGTCACCTAACATGTGGTTGCAGGCCGATCCTGTTCTGGAGTGAACACTACCACCCTCCTTTCCTGAGTGTATGGTGAGTATCTTCGCTCAGGCTTGGCAATTAGCGTGGATGGCATTCCTAAGCCTTGTGGGATGTGCATTCCGGCCACCGAGCGGCTGCTGGGGCCGGGCTCTCTTTGGGACGAGTGATACGTCTACCTCTTTTTCTAGTTCCAGACCCTTCGCGCCTGGTTGCCTTAGTACGTAGGTATCGGCAATATCCGATTTGTATACTCAGTCAGGAATACAAGTGACTACCTCCTGGCTAACTAGTAGGTCATGGTAACACATCTTACCGACGTTCTACTCTTTTCCCATACCCTTTTCCAGACTTAGGGTTATTTATTCGACTATATTTGAATCAATGCCAAGTTCTCAATAAGTACCTAAATGATAAGGTATTTTCGCTAAGCAGTATAACCCGACTTTTGCCATGATGTCTTCGAGTATGGCCCGAACAGGAAATAGTGACGGCGGACCTAGTGGACCGGGCGCGAGAACGATGACACTCGACGACGCTATGAGAGCGCCGTCCACCAATCCCCCAGACATTGTTGTATTAGACACGATGCACAACGTAGGGAATCGCGAAGAGGCCATAGACCCTAAGGAGGATTTATGGCTAACATCAGCCGACGGGTTAGTGTGGCTAAATTTAATTTCATGTGTTCATACCATTTCCCGACCGGAGGTCATTAACAACTCTAACTACCCATTATGAATATGAAGGGATCGTGACCTCTTCTCAGGGCTCGCATTCTAAATGTACATGCTTTCATATTCCTATATTTTCTTCCTCATCTGTTACTTACACTAGCATATATCATATATACCGCCGTGCTCGTCTCGGATACTTTGTAGCTAAGCTATATTTTCAGGCGATACAATTCCCCCATTATCCCGCTTAGCGTTGGTACAGAGCCAGATCGACAAACATTCTACGTGAGTTACTTCATCCTCAAAGCAAAATCAGTTACTAAAAAATATTAGGTACATAAAAGCGTCCTTGTGAAAGCAGAATTCTTTAAGAAGGCATTATGCGGCGAATTTAGAGAATCCGAGGCTCAAGCTATTGAGCTACCGGAAGAGGACCCGGCGATATTTCACTTCATCGTAGCCTTCCTCTACGAGAACAAATACGTTCCTATCCAGGCTGCCGCAACAGTACTTCGTACGTTAGGAATTCTTAAATTCTCCAACTAGTCATCTAACAAGAATTAGTCTCCGATGAAAAAGTAGATTTTCGAAGAGAAGATGATCATGCAGCCTCAGACTCAGATTCCAGTCTGAGTATTCTAAGCGACTCATCTACTGCCCGCAGCCAAAGGCGCCACGAGAGGAGGCGCAGACGAGAAAACCGCCACCGGGAAAGGGAGCGGCGAAAACACCCTGGAGCCCACCGACCGGGCTGCAACTGTCGCCAATGCTTATCAAGAGGCGGGCCGCCATGTTGGAACTGCATGGCCCCTCGCTATCCCCCGCCACCACACCCAGACATGCATTTACCGCACAACTTGCCGCCCGGTGTGCAAGTAATGCAGGTCGAAGCACCCCGTCACCGCAACCAGAGGCGACGACGGCATAATCGGCATCGCATACCTTCACCCCCACCCCTGATACCTGAGAATAGTAATACTGGTAACAATACTAATAATCCCAATCGTACTAATGGTAATAACGAAAATGGAAATGCAAACGACACCGAAACCCGCATCCAAGGACAAGATCTCCGCACCTGGCTCCTGGCTTACGAACTCAACATCTCAGTTTACATATGCGCTAACAAATTTCTGTTGGACGATTTCAAGCGCGCGGTAGCCCGCGTATGCGTCGACATGCTCGAAGCCGCAGGTTCCGACGCCGCGCATCCTCAGGTCTTACATTTGTGCCATACTCTCTACCAAGGACTCCCAGAATCCGATGTGCTTCTACGAATGGTGTTAGCGCGTGTAGGTTTCCTAGGTCCGCATTTATGGCGCCGGGCACCGGAGGAAACGGGTGAGTTCTTTAGAGAGAACCCCGAGGTCTCCGCGCTTATGTTTAGGGAGACGCTGAGTCGACGCGAGGAAGAGTATGGCGGGGAGTTGCCTGCGATGGAAAGGCCTGTTTTCGGGGGCGCTGGAGGGTTGGGGGGGATGGGACCGCCGCCGTTTCCGTTGCATGATATGAGGGCAGTTGGGAGAGGCGGTAGGCGGTTTAATCCCTATTAAGGACATACGTGCTGAAGTATTTGGCATACAAAGAAGTGGGAAGTGGGTGTATGCATATATACACAGCGAGGAGAGTTGGGACCCATTTACGACATGCGATGATTTATTTCTGTTCTCTACCTAGGCTAATTAGAAGGCTAACTTCCTATCTACGATAAACATGAGTTAGACACCAATCGCCTTAGTCAATACTGTCGTCGCGTAGTTTCAGCAACTGTGGTATCACCTCGTCCGACCGAGCACGTAAAGCATTGTGGTATAGGACGTTAGTCTCGAATACCTTGATGCCCTTCACCCTTGAAGCTGTGATCCGCGCTAGAGCTGGATCGACGTACATGTCATTGTAAGCTGCTGCGTAAACTGGAACTTCGTTCTTTGACAGCTGCTCCATGTCATACAAAGATGGCCATTGATCGAAACGGGCGAGGATATCAGCCGTTTCTTTGAGTTTGATGAGTTCAGAACATGTCTCGAAATGGAAGGGGTAAATCATTTCGCCAGAGAAGTATAGGGGTTTGTCGCCTAGGCTTGTGGGACCAGCCCAATCTTTTCGAAGCCATTCATATTCGTTTAAGCTAGCACCAACCCGTTCGGCTGCCCATTTTCCAGCTATGCCTGGGCCAGGACACCAACAAGGTTCGTGTAGCAATGTATATATCGGGGCTGTGTCCCACTGGTTGTCTTGCTCCAGCTCGTGCAAGGTGTAACGACTGAAGGTGCCAAATATGTCTAAATCTGCCTTCATTCTGACAATGTAGCTATGAACTCGGTCAACGCCACCGTGAGCGCCGAAATTTAGACCGACGGTAAGGAACCGCGGAACTGTCAAGAAACCACCAGCGGGTAGTGGGATACCTTTTTCGCCGCCGAGCTCGATGATTTTCTCTGCGAGCCACTTGACTGTCGCGATATCGCCTGGAAATTTCCTATAGTAGGCGTCATTTCGCTCTATGCATCTTTGAAAAGTAGCTCGATAGATGTCCTCGGGACCTTTGTCCAAGGCAGATAAACCTCCGGTGATGAACGATTCACGAAGACCTTCCGGTGCAAAAGATAGGTAAGTCAAAGATGTCATACCACCAAATGACTGGCCAAAGATAGACCATTTCTTCTTGTCGGGCGGGTAGTCCTTGGTTAGACAGAGCCGAACAGCTTCGCTATCTTTTACGATAGTGTCGGCCCTGAATAATTTGAGGTACTCGGCTTGTTCCTTTGGACCGCCGATAAGTTCCAATGTGTTAGCAGAGACGGTACTACTGAGTCCTGTACCTCGCTGGTCTAGGAGGAGTAGTTCGTAACCCCTTTCAAGCATCTGTCCTGACAAGGGGGAGTCCTGGGGCGCTGGACAGCCCCCACCAGGACCTCCCTGGAGGAACAGAAGGTAGGGTCTTTGTACGACCTCGGAGGATTCGACAATAGGTCGCTCATATTTAACAGCACTTCTTGCGAAGAGTTTGATAGGTTTCGATTTGGGCTCGGAATGGTCGAGTGGAACCTCGAACCAGAGCTCTTTTACAAGGAGCTTCCCTGATGCAACTCATGTGAGCTGTTATATAACATTGGACTCGTATATGAATACTTGACTTACCTGGAACAACGTATGGTTTGCTTTCAGATACAAGACGGGCAATAATTGGAGCCATTGTTCACTGTAACTTCGTTCTCGCGTTAGTGATTACTTGCACGGATACCGGAGTTAAGATCAAGCGGGGAAGGAGAACGGTTGTTGTCTATATGCCGACGAGTGGAGTCGTTGTATCTTAGAGTCGAATGGGAAACTTATAAATTATTGTCTGTGTTACATATGTAGCACACTCTTCGGAGTTTCTATAGGGAGAGGAGTGGTATTTAAATTGAAAAGCTCAGACTGATTTCTAAATATTCAGGTGGGTTTCCTAATGAGTTGAAAATACTAAAGTATACGTTTCTTGATATCGTCTGGGTCTAAAGAGGACTATATTCATGAGTGACGTGCGAAGTACTAAGCTATGATAAGACGGTAAATGCATTCCTATATTATGCAGGTTATACCAACGACAAATCCCCTTGCTACGTATGTAATTGCCTAAATGGTGATAAAATAGGTCGTACATGCCCATGAAGTGTTGGTCATGGGAAGGAAGTAAGGAAAAGAACCTTAACCTTGGAAGTCTAGAATCGTGTCATATTAAGGAATAATCGCGCGAGTATCATATACCTAGATATTAGAGTTACCCCACCAAAAAATGTGATTACAAATAATAACCACCATAACGAGGGAAAACTGCAGCCAACCGCGCATCGGAGCTGGTCGGAGCTGACAAAAATTCCTGTCAAGCGTCGGCGTTGTCGGTCCTTTCCATTGTACTAACCCGTTGCACCACAAGTGCACTACAAGAATTCTGCATCTTTTTTCTTCCCTTCCCACTTCAGCTCTTCTCCTTCTTGTATTTGTACCCACTACCACTCACCCAAACTTCTTCCTTCAACCTGAAACAGGAGATGAATTGTCAAAATCTCACCCAGACCCTAATAGAGTCTTTTAATGCCTTAGCCGACGAAGTTCAGAATCTGAGCGACAGGCAAACAATCCTTGAGCATAAACTCAGGTATGCTCAAGAACAGGTACGAGTAGCCTGCTTCAGTTTTCATTGTTTATCCCCATCGCATCCCGTATTTTCCTATATATGATGAGATATTATTAGCTCTAGATCAAGAGCTACCTTTGTGGTAGTGTTGACCGATAAATTTTTTTTGAATTTTCTGATATAATTCCGGAATAACGGCACCTTTTATGACTATAAATCACACGATAATTCGTTTTTCTAACATGCGGGTAGCTAACATTATTGGTCCCGCTAGTTTCAGTACCTGGCCGACAAGTATGCCCCGACAGCACCCGAAATCTCGGAGACCTTACTGAATCTGCAAATACCGCCTGAGCCGCACAATCCATCCCTAGCCAACACTAGTTTCGTTCCCTTGCCTAAGAAGAAAGCCTCGGATTCAAAACACCAGATTGCCGTCATAATTAGGGAAGGTAGACGCGTCGCCTCTTCCCTGACAGCTACTAGCAAGAGTAGTCAGTCTAGTAGGGACAGCTTACCTCCTACCACTATGACGACGCTTTCCACGATATTAGAGCAAGACTTCACTGTCGAGGGAAAGAAAGGCACACTGAATTGCCCCTTCTCCCAGCCCGACGGTGAAGATAAAAAAGAGGAGCGTCGTAACAGTCTCCCAGTCACAGCACCCCACGATTCCCAAGATCCCATCTGCGCAGCCATGTTCGAAGACCCAAGTTCACAACCGGCCGCTTCGAAGTGTCCGATTCGCTACTTGGACCAACATTCACCCGAAGAGATAGGAAATTACTTGAAGACGCATAAACATGAATTACCGAGGAGTCACGAAGTCTGCTTGCGGCGACATCAACAGAATGAGGATTCTATGAAGAAATTAGATACCAAATACGGCAATCTTGCGAGTGTAGTAGAGGGTCTTAGTCGGATCCATCAACCGATGTTACCCGAGCAAGACACGCGACCCCAAAGTGACGTGGAAAAGACTTCGAACGAGAGGGTTGAGACTTGGGCTCAGACAGTTAGTATAGCTGCGAACGACTCAGAATACGCTGCTTTGGAACAGGAAGTTAAAGATCTGGACGACTTAGAGAGGCAAAGTCATTTTGATCGACCTCTTAAAGAGGTGCGCGTTGGCGAATCACCAAGCCGTCCGTGGGGTATATCGGTGCCGGTCTACGATACCCCATCGGCTAATGGTGTTTTCCATCGACCCGAATCTCCTCCCCCGGCGCCTGTTCAGATCCCATCCTCGCTGCCGCCATCAATCACGCCGGCGAAGAAGACGGGGAAATGTCCCTTTGATCATACCAAGATGGCGGAAATGATGAACGGCTCGTCCCCTATTAAGCGGGAAGATAAGAGTTTCCGCGCATTCGATGATATCCCTACGAGTAGCCAGACTTCTATCCCTGCACACGAACCGCCTCTTACCGCGAGTCGTCCTACACAACCTGCATTTATTAACCCCGCTGAGCTGGACCGCGGTAAACAGGATAATAGGCCACAGATGCTCTTCACCGGCCCCGTCTTCATTGGTTATCCGATCGAGGACGCAATTCGGTTTATGCAGAATTTTCAAGGCCAACAATGATAGTAATGATGATTTTTGAATTGATACTAGATGCTTTCTAGAGCGTCTATGATGAATAACGGATAGGGATTATTATTTTTGTGTTTCAGCAAGGAGTTAGGTGCGATTTAGCGAGGTCAAGCAGTTGGTTCGGCCATGGAAGGTTCTCAAGAATCGTCAATTGTTCACTGGACGCATGGTCGGGAGTACGGATGTGCTCGGGTTTGACGGCGTTGTGATTTTTTACTCATAGGAGCATGTCGCTTGGGGCTTAGGTGTTTATGGAATAGAACGAATAGGATGGATGATACGATACCCTTCATAGTATGAAATTGAGGAACTTGCTTTTGACTTGGGTTGTATCAATTATAACATACCTTCAATCAATCCATATGTTAATTTAAATAAGAGTACCTCGCCGACCCGTCCTATTCCGTCTAGTTTGCTACCTGCATGATTATACATATGCCCACATGCCATTCCAAAATGCAAATCAAATACGAGCTGACCTAACCTATACATATGCTCCTCTTCCACGCTCGAACGCCGAACATACCGTACACGTGGTCCCTTATTAAACTCACAAACAACGAAGATTTATCTATACTCTCCCTTTTGTAGAATGCCCATTTTCAAACCCACCGGCTTCTTCGCCGCTATCCTCGTCCCTATAGCCCATTGCAATATCATCCGTCTCCCATAACGAGATATCATCGTCATCCATAAGCGCTGCCTCGTCTAACTCCCCGTGTCTTTGCGACCTACTGCCGTTCAATACGCCCTCCTCAAGACCATCGTAATCTAATTCCCCGTCCTCGCCAACTGGAATACCGTTCTCAGCCGCCTCCTCGCGCGCGAGTTCCTTAGCACGCGCCATAGTACGGCGGTATATGAATAAACTCAATGCTATGCCGACGGCGGAACCGATGAACATGCTTAGATAATTAATAGCGCGGTCTCCAAAACTCATCTTATCGCCGCTTTCAGCAAGGCGCGCAAGGCGGCTACCGATAAAGACATGGACGAGAAGTTTGGGGGTGGAGGCAGCGGTGGCAAGAGCGAAGCGCAGGGGGGTGATGCTGGGTACTGTAGCTAGGAAACCGTTGCTTAAACTAAAAGGGAGCGGGCAAAAGCGGATGGCAGCGAGGACGAGCAGACCGTCTCGCCGTAGGACTTGCCCGAACGCTACGAAACGCGTGTCGCCCCCAACGAGTCTATCCACGTAGCCACCAAGGACAGTGCGACTAGCGAGGAAGGCTGCCAGAGAACCCAATACGGTGGCAGAGGCGGCAACAGGCCAGCCGTCGGGGAAGTCGTAGAGGAAACCAGCGATTGTGACACATGTGCTATACCCGATCATAGGCGGGAAGGCGGTAAGACATGTAAGGAGGAAGACGAGGATCCAACCCCCAGGTAGGGCGCGCCACCCTTCGGCGACAGATTCCAATGCGGCGAATATGCTGTGTGAATACACCAAGAATAATATTACAAGGACATCGAGAGCGATAATGGTGAGAACTGCGCCGACGCGCTGCAGCGGTGTCAGACTCCAGAAGATCTTAAGAGCTTTATTTGTGAGGTCTGTTCCAGTGCGCGTCATGCGCTGAACGAAGGAGAGATGGGCGTCATCATTGGCTCGCGAGTACGGTGTGGAGAGTCGGCGTGAATTCGTTCCGGATGTAGTATGGGAGTTCGACCGGACCCAGGGAGGAACCGGGCCATCCGTTCGAGGAGAAGGGGGTTTCGGAGACGGGGATCGCGAAGGCGAGGGGAGAGGAGAGGGTGATGGCGAGAGTGAAGTCGATAGCATGGGCATTCGGGCCTCGGAGGATGGATCGGGAGGCATTTTGACTGAGTATTTGAGTATGATTTAGACGCTTTGTGGTAGTCAGCCGTATCGGAGTTTCTCAGATCGTGCAAATCGTCGGTATGAACCCGAGTTTTGGTAGTGTATTACAGAATAGGCAGACGTGATTTCCCGGAGCGAGCTGGACTTCAGCAGCAGTGGAATAGATTGCTTTCAACTAACACTACCTATCCATTTTTGCTAGCATAGACGACGTGGACAACACTGAGGCGATTAGGGATTCCTTACGGAGACAAATATCGTTGGTCGAAGGTTGAGGAGTTAAGAAAGAGTATTCTACTAAATTGGAAACGTTCAACGAGGAAAGTAAGATGTCAGGGTCGAAGATAGATAGGAAACGGCTAACTGCCTGGGTGCCAACCAATCCACATATTAGCGTTTGGTAAGCAGCTGAGAACTAAAAATGAGACCAATTAGAGGGGGACCATGCGTTAAGTACCGGGACTAGTACCTTGACTTATACCTGACCTACTATGCAACGCCAAGTACCTAGATTCACACTTCATATATGCGTGTGTAAAGTCAATATGGTGGGTTGTATGACAACGCAACTCAGCCACGACTAGATGCGCGGCACAAAACTCTCTTGTTATTTGGTTGGTTGGTTCGATGTAGATGATGCATCTCATGCGTTACATGCTACATATATATGTTAGTACGTAGGAAGAGACCTACATGTAAAATACGGAGCTCTGAAACATCCTTTGTACGAAGGACTGAGGCGTCGCAATTTAGCATTATACATGTACTGGAAAAGTACATTGTCTGGTGTACCTATCCGGGTACATACATGTATGTACATACCTAGCCTTACGCAGTGTACATGTATTACATCATGATGCTCCGCTTATCCCCGAACGAATTATTGGCCATCACCCGCCCCGCGTCGGCCCTTGTATAGGGCCAAGGTAGTAACCCGTAGATAGCTCCTTTAAAATCCTGGAGCTTTCTGGAGCCCCTCGAGCTCAATGACGTTGCCAAGCTGATCTAATTGATCCGAGTTCCCTTATTATAGATAAAATGATAGCATATGAACTGTTTGTAAGAGAATATTTCAACTTTCTTTATTCGTCGTACTATCTTCTACTAGTCACCGACCTCTACCACTTGGTCCCTTAGGAGGATCGCGAACGAGGAGTCGAACCTTGCCATCCCCGATCTCGACGCCCTGGCTCAGGATATCAACGTCCTCTTTAGGCTCGTCCTTCTCCTTAGATCCATCCCTTGATAGAGATTTATCCCAGCTTCTAGCATCGATTCCGAGAATGCCTCCCATATTGTTCCGGTCTCCGGGAACCGAGAACTCGCGGTAGGCGTATCTCCACTCGTTGAGGAAGTTTCTGATGGCCTTACCCACTTTATCCTTCCCATTCTTACTGTGGTGGCCGGTCCCAGTGATGGCATACACAGGTCTGCTCTCCTTACTATTTTCCAAAAGTACCTTCTCCAAATACTCGACAGCTTCGTCTGGATGCAGGCCATGTAGATCCACGAAGATCTCAGAGCTAGGAGAGTGTTTGTTACGCTCCTCATATAGTTCGCGCGCAGCCTCACGATGGGCCTTTCGCATTAGGTCATTTTCACTTTGACCCCTAAGGCTAAGAGCCTTCGCTGCTCGAGCATCATTACGATTCCATGCCTGGGCAGCACTAAAACGAAATCAGTTTGCGAGTCATCAGAATGGACAAAATTGACAAACCTTTGTAGAAACTTGTTCCTGAGGCCACCGTGTTTAATGGCCTCCTGACGAGCCTTTAGATAAGCCTTGTTAGCTCTATCTCCCGTTTCCATCCACGGAATGTGCTTAGGCATAGGGATTGCTTGAGCAGCAGCGCTATTTTCCCCGTTTTTCACATTGGTAGCACTTCCATTGCGACCGATCTTCTTTGAGTCCTGTCGGCTAGATCCAGATCCTGGACCGGGAGACGGCGACATCTTTACAATATCGGCCAGAGAACTTGGGGTAAAGTTATCTTTGTGACCATGACCATGGCCGCCACGTTTGCCATGATGTTTCTTGTTAGGCTTGGTCGAAGCAGATCCAAGAGAAGGAAATGCATCGTTGTCATCTATCGACGGCGCACTCATACCTTCCTTCGTCTGATGCCTACTCCCGGGTCGCGAGCGCGGGCGAGGTCCATCACCACCCGTATTAGCATGTCCAGGCCTTAGTCCTGGTGGAGGCGTCACTCCTGACGCTGGATAATTAAAACTAGCAGCATACGGGTTCAACTCTGGGGTGCCAGGCCGAAGTGACGGAAATGAGCTGAAATCTTGCACCTGTAGGTTTTGGCTCTTCTGCGGGGGTGTACTACTGCCATCCACATTGAGACGATTCATAAGATGAGCTGGATCATGAGAGAAAATGCATGTGTCACCAGCGAGACAATTGCCCATGACCCAGTATCTAGGTAATAAATCAGCATGCATGAAGTAGATCATGAGATATATCGAGACAAATGGTTCAGACTTACTTGCAAATGTGATTACTAAGATCATGGCTGAATCGACAGTCCGCTCGGAGGCATTGTCCAGTGGACAGATAAAACTTGCAGATGATACCAGCTTTCTGTTGAGCAGACGGTGTCGTGGGCCTCCCATCAGGCGTCATAGATTTTCCGATAAGTACACTTTTAGATTCAGGTGTAAGTCCTGCGACGTTGGTTGAATCTTGGCCTTGAGATTCCATTATAGACGCGATGGTGGCACTTAGGTCATAGCCGTGCATAGAAAGAGCTCCTTCAATTTCCTCGTCGGTCTTAGATTGCCCAAGAATCGAGCGCAACATATCATAAGGTGTCATATCTGTCTGCTGGGCAGACACGTATTCAGGGGCGGCGGCATTGAGGCCACTGGACGTGCCCATAGAAGAAGTGATGCTGAGTGCATCATCGCTGACTAGCCAATCAACGTTCTCTGTTTGTAGATCGCCGAATATTTCTTGGGAAGGGCTCGTATCGTTGGCAAATTCGTAAGCATTAAGGTTCGGACTGTGTGGTATTACTGGGGCAGCAAACGCGAGTCGCGGTGACGGACGCGGTGAGGAGAAAGGAGATACGGTCGAGGATTTAGTCCGACTAAGGTTGGTAGGAACAAAGCCAGGCGGAGCGAGGGGACTCACTCCTAGTCGAGGAGAGCCGGACAAAGGTGTCGAAGAACCCCGCCACGAGGCTGGAGATGGTCGGCGAAGGATAGTCTGTCGTATTGGGGGAGGTGAGGTTGCGCTTCCTCCCCCTTCGCGGTATCGCCATAACACATCGAGTACCGCATTATCTAATGTCTGGCCGCTTAGAGTAGTTTCCTTCCTTAATAACTCCTCGATCTTCTCTGTCTTGTCCTCGTCATCGACATTCGGATCCTGTAGGATGGGGAGGCATATCTCGAATGTTTCGTCGGATACCATGGTGACGCGACTTAAAAGGGGGAAAAGCAAATATTAGTAGAACGCTGGGAGTAAGAGATGAAGTATAAGGATAAGCAAGACGGCCCGGAAGGCTAATGGAATATATCGAGGACGGTCAACCCGTAAGGGGTGTGGTGAGGCCGGCCGACGCCAAGCATAAGCAGGGCCGGGCTAGATATCGTATTGGAAAGTAGTAGATACCTGTGTAGCCCGGAGACAGCCTACTGTCTAGATACGAGGCGAAGGAAAGATTGGCGCTAAGGCGGATGGTTAACTGAAGGATGGGTGCCACAGAGAATAAGCGAATATTCGCATTATGCAGATGCCGTGAGACGAAGTTCGTGTGTTGACGAAGAGGATGGGGATGAATGGATTGTCCTGACAAAGCAGGTGCAACAAATGCGTGTTCGAGTATTGTGTCCAAGTTAGAATGGATGTATGGTGTGGTATTATTATTTTGGAGCATATGTAATGTACTGTAAATCAGATGGAAGAATAGAAGAATAGATAAGAGAGAAACAAAGAGGTGAAGAGAGCCTCGTTCAAAGATCCAGCTTCAAGACCGCCTAGGTTGTCTTGAGGTTGTTGCACTTGCGTGTCCAGGTGTCGCGGGAAACAGGGAGGCTTTCACAGGAGAGACTTGGGAAACTTATTATTCTGGAGATGGTCTGGCCGTTCTGGACGGGTTGATGCAATCATGTGGGGGGGCTCAGCTAGGTAATATTAAACCACTAATTGTCAGGCAAGTCAGGTAAGTTAGTGCACTACTACCTGCTGTCGTAGCTGTACTTAACCCAAAATTAGGTACGCCTAGGTACGCTTTCAGGATACCACCCTACTAAGCCTTAGGTATATGCACTCCCTACTTGACTGTAAGGTACAACAACTTTTCCAAAGTTCGAGCCGGAGACCGGGCTTTGTCTCAAACAGCCCCGTAATGTACATGTATTGTACCTGCCAACCACGAACCTCCGTACGTACATCGATGTATATCTCTCATGTATATGCATATAATACGCATACGTAGATACTTACGTAAATACGAACCGAAGTATATATACATATTTTATCGTACGTATACACGCAACATCGAACTCTCCAATTACATCCAGTCGTGGTAGCACATCGGCACGCACATGCAATGTAAGTAAAGTAGTACATAAGGCAGTCTTGCTAACATTGAAGGTGGGATAGAATTTGTCTAACTTGTCTTAAGACGGGCGAATGCCAGATTCTCATTTGAACACTTTCCACATCGAAATGCGAAATGTGGGAAAGGTCTGAGTTTGATTAATTTCGAGTGTTCCTATCAATCAAACATTATTTTAATCCAGGACATAAAATCCCAAGCCAAATAATCTAAATAATAACCCGCAGACACTGCCCAGTAAGCCTCGCTTCGAATAAGGCAAATACACATCAAATTGTCTCACTCGGTCCGAACTTATTGTGTCTACCTTGGTAGCTATCTACCTAATTCCGGAAACAGGTAGCACGCCATACTAAGAAACTGGGTTACAAAATCCGCAAGCCACCATGCCACCATGCCACCTACATTCTTCTCAGTTGGCCACTCAGCCGTCCGCCAGTAAGACAAGATGCTGACCGGGACCGAATGCGGCCTTAATCACCTGTAGGCTCAGGCACGCCTTGCTTTTGTAATACCCCCACGTCTTATTGACGAATATCGCAGCTTCTAGTGTCATAATCTAATTCTCACCTTGGCACGCCATAGGTAGGTAATAAACACTCTTAGGTCATCGTATATTTTTAAAATACACTAAGGTATTTCTTCCTCTTCTTCATCGCCAAAGCCGAAGCCGAAGCTGAAACCGCCCACACTTTCCCCAGCTTCGTTCTTGTTTCCGATCGCTTCCTCCCACTTTCGCTTCTTTTTCTGATTCCTCCTATCCAACTCGACAAGAGCATCGTCAAGAAGGCCGGGGTATTGAGCCCTCAGCCGCTCAACGAAAAGATCATACGGACTTTCAATGTTTTTCTTGAAGCCGGTAACCTGATCCGACTTGTCTTTAAGGAAGGAGAGCACGTCTGCAAGGTGTGACTGAGGCACAAAGTTTTGTGTGAGAGCGATGCCAGCTTCAAGGTTCACAACTAAATGCCACCAGCCGCTAGGCACGTGTAAAATCTCGCCAGCTTTGCAAATGCCTTCTATGCAGCCTGGCAAAGCACGTGCTTCCGTATGGAACTCGAGTAACCATTCAGCTATGCTTAAAGGGCTGGTGACTTCGCTACTATCTTCCGAAACATAAACACCGGGAACCTGCGCTGTCGGAGGGAACACTACACCACATATTGTTAGACATGACCATCCAAAAAAGGTTCGCGAACACGTGGGAGAGTCTCTATTGATATCAAAGAACGAATTCATAGTTTAACACAAAGAAGGGACGACTTACTGATCCAGTATTTCGATCCCTCCAGAACAGCGTTCCAAGCGCTAGTCGCGTTAGGGTCCTTATGAAAAGTCGAACCGCTGCGCTCGGGGCCAATGATCAACCAACGGTGAGCTGGCCTTTCCTTACCAAGCAATTCGAATAGGTCTGGACCAAAGCACTCCGGCGGCCAATACACGGCGTCCGTGCCATTTCCAACCTGGATGTTCATCTTCTCTGCGAAAGCTTTGTCGAACAAGTATAGGGGGCTCTCGTCATCATTATCAGAAAGGTATTCATGATAAACCGAGAATGGCCAATCTACAGCTTCAGCTCTGAACTCGACATTTGAATATGCCCTGTTTAGTTTTTGAATGTTCCAATTGTTGCACACTGGCCACCGCTGAATGCAATCAGTTAATATGAATGGCTTACTGCTCCAGTTTTGTGCGAAGTCTTCATAGCTAAGCCGTTCGAAACGATCAATTCGAGTAGCTTCGGGGATGCTTGATGAGTATTTTCCAAGAGCAATATGAGCACAGGCAAAAGGCCTGTGCATGACATCAGAAAAGACATTGCTGCAGTCAATCTTAGCCCGCCAGCCAGCAGGGGCTTTTAGGAGCGTATTCCTCCATGACCCTTTCCATGGGAGTGCTTGGGTACTAGTCCTGATTGTTATAGACGAATTAGTCACATTGCACAGGAATTTACATGTAAGATAGGGGTTCTCCATCTAGGGTTTGCTGATGACTCTCAAGGAGTCATATCTTCAATAACTAATGACTCACTCAAGAAATAGGGCTTTCCATAATTCATCTAATTGACTAAATGCAAATAGAAAGCGACAAGTAAAACCGATATCCTTTAACGACTTGATATCGAGGTACTCGAGTATCTGTAAAATCATCTCATCCGGAAGTCGGGCTAACAAACCAAGAGACTGCCGAGCGGTCGGGCCAGAGGCGAAGTATTGGTTGCCCAGTGGTTTGACGCCCATTGGGTGGATTGGGATGGAATCTGATGATATCCTAGCGACTGGCGTGGTCAAGCCACCTCCATTTGTTGTTACATCTCCACCAACACCGCCGTGACTGATATCTTTCGTTAGCAGCATGGCTGATAGAAATTGATGTTAGTTGAGTTGCCCCTTTAGGATAAGTAATTCGTGGAGGATGTCGTAGTTTTGGTGCATTGACAATTTAGATCGCTTCGCCGCACGATGCTAATAATTCAACTTCGATGAGTCACAAAATTGTCACAAAAATTAACATCATGCAGGACTTTAGATTTCAATATTCAAACAAGTCGGCGGTTGAAATATTCGGTTTGTGGGTCTAAGCTCAAGAAATTTTGACTTTAAATGGTTAGAATGAAAATTCAATAAAGATAAAAATAAAAAGTTTGATCAGAGAACGCTGTGTAGAACCTTCCAAGGTTCCTAGCCTACTGTGTAGAGGGGCAAGAGGGGCAGAGGGGGGCTTCCAAGGCCGCCTCTTGGCCCCGCATCAGGGTTTGGCCGATGTTTACCCCCACTCAAATTTTTTTTAGTACCTCTTCAGATCAACCTCAAATACCTTAGGCATTTCCCTTCCACTCGATTTTTCTAAATCGTTCCACGTTAAACCAAAACCACAACAAGAAAAACACACGTACTTGGACCGCATCGCTCTCTCGATTTTCGGAGAGCTTTCTGTCCATTTTATTTCACACATTTCATTTCTACACCGGCGACTTGCCTTTTGTGCAAAGGTCGTACATCCATTCTAGACATCACCCCACCAGGATCGCCGCCATAAATCTTCTTGAATTCTAAGCTGTGCTTGGAATTTGAGAAGTCGCATCGATCACTTAATCGCAATCATGGCTACCGACAAGGGGCTCGAGGATATCGAGCAATCCCAAATTGAGTCTAACTACGATGAGACCGTCGACTCCTTTGACGAGATGAACCTGCGAGCAGAGTTGCTACGAGGTAAGAAAAAAAAAGCGCCACTTCAAAACACGTACAAAAAATTTTCGCGCCTAACTAACAATGGTTTCAAGGTGTTTATGCTTACGGTTTCGAACGTCCCTCTGCTATCCAGCAGCGGGCTATCATGCCAGTCATCAAGGGTATGTTTTTACCAGCCTATATTCCCTCAGCAGCCCAACGAGCATAATTCTAATCTGCGACAGGTCACGACGTAATTGCGCAGGCCCAGTCAGGTACTGGCAAGACCGCTACCTTCTCTATTTCCGTCCTCCAGAAAATCGACCCCAGTGTTAAGCAGTGCCAGGCACTCATTCTCGCCCCTACTCGTGAGCTGGCTCAACAGATCCAGAAGGTTGTCGTCGCCATCGGCGATTTCATGAGCATTGAATGCCATGCATGCATTGGTGGAACCAGCGTCCGTGACGACATGAAGGCCCTCCAGGAGGGACCTCAAGTTGTTGTTGGCACGCCTGGTCGTGTCCACGATATGATTCAACGTCGATTCTTGAAGACTGACGGAATGAAGATGTTTGTTCTTGACGAGGCCGATGAGATGCTTTCTGTTAGTACCACTATGAACCCTCATTTATGATACTGCTGATGCTGATATTAATCGTCTAGCGTGGTTTCACTGAGCAAATTTACGACATCTTCCAGCTACTTCCCCAGTCGACTCAGGTAGTTCTGCTGTCCGCCACTATGCCTCAGGATGTTCTTGAGGTCACGACTAAGTTCATGCGCGACCCTGTCCGCATTCTTGTCAAGAAGGACGAGCTTACCCTTGAGGGTATCAAGCAATTCTACATTGCTGTCGAGAAAGAAGAGTGGAAGCTGGACACTCTTTCCGACCTCTACGAGACTGTTACTATCACCCAAGCGGTTATCTTCTGTAACACTCGCCGAAAGGTCGACTGGCTTACGGACAAGCTCACTGCCCGTGATTTCACTGTTTCAGCTATGCACGGCGACATGGATCAGGCTCAGCGAGACCTAATTATGAAGGAATTCCGTTCCGGATCTTCCCGTGTCCTTATCGCCACTGACCTTTTGGCCCGTGGTATTGATGTCCAGCAGGTTTCCCTGGTCATCAACTACGATCTCCCGGCCAACCGTGAGAACTACATCCACCGTATCGGTCGTGGTGGTCGATTCGGCCGAAAGGGTGTTGCCATCAACTTCGTTACCGCCGAAGACGTACGCATGATGCGTGAGATTGAGCAGTTCTACAGCACCCAGATCGAGGAGATGCCTATGAACGTTGCTGACCTTATCTAAACTGTGGACTGTCTTCATTCTTGGCGAGGAACTTGTCGTACGTTGGGGGTGGAGTTGTCCCTTACGAGACGTATGGCTAAAATGATTCGAGGAATAAATAGACGAGATGACGATGTTCTCGTCCAGCATGCTTTCTGTTGGCGCGTCTCGGTGACGAGCCATGGTCGGTAAAGGAAGGGGGAAAAGACGCATCAGGGCATTTGCGGCTAGGTCTCTAGCACCTAATACTCGCTGGTAATGCATATGGCCCGAAGCTGGGGGTCGTAGACACTAGGTCATTGCTTTTTCGATGTTTTTCTGTACCTAGGCCGCCAGATTCTTTCCTAAATAAACGTTCTGAAATCTGTTCTTCTCTGCCTACATGTGAATTCTGAGTTGTGTCGCTAGTCATCCCATGTTTCATCAACTCATTATAAGGGACCATGACAAATAGCAAACGCAATGCTCCTCAAAACATCCTATATATTCATATCATACAGTCAAGATGAGGGGGTTAGAGTCATGTACAACGTTATTGACAAAACATCCGGTACAGTAGGGCAGAGTCAGGTAGGAGTGTACGTATATGGTGTTGCCCATATAGATTAGCCTTCGAAAGTTGGGTAGGTGCGTGTGTCGGTCGATGTATACGAAAAGAAGGAAGGGGCATAGGATATGAAGCAAAGAGGGGTGCTTACCTTCTTCAACCATATCGCCATCGTCTTCCAATCCCTTCCCCAATTCTACCAATTCGATCTTTCCACGTCGATTACTTTTAAGTGCCCCACCCTGAAATCTACATTTTAAGCTACAAGTCATCGCCATTGCGAATCTCGCTCGAGCTGTCTAATAACAGATCCGTACCCCTTTCCCCTCAAAATTTTATTTCTCTGTCCTCCGTTGTACTATGCATTCCGCAGGGGAGACAGAGAGGCTTGTCAACGCCGCTAAGCTTGAGGAGAAGCTCCAGAAACCCGGAAACCAGCTTAACGCCTTGAGGCTTCTCCAAGCTCTCACAGTCAAAGAGATATACGGGGCCAAGAGACAGCTCAGTTTGATAGAAGCTGGTTTTGTCAAACTTCAAGAAGCCAATGCGAAAGAAGGTATTCGGAACAAAACTGTCGAAAAGCAACTGGAGGAGCTTCGAAATGATAAGGAAAGTTTTCGCCTTGTGATATCGGAGGCAGAGTCATCAACGCAGAACACGAAGGATGGTCTTGAGAATCTTCGCGCAAAGGTCAGCGACGAGTATTTTAAGCTGACTGCGGATAACGCGAGATTTGGTAAGGATATCAAAACATTGAATAAGCACATTGATCGTCACCGCGAACAATTAAGTACCGTGGAGGAGTCGCTTGGAGATTTTCGTTCGAAGTTACCTGATCCCCAAGATATCGCTACCTTAAACGACTCATTGCTTCGCTTAGAGACTACAGTGAAATCCATGTACGAGAAGCTCGATACTGTTTCCACAACCACATTTGAGCAAAAGCAGGCATTGTTGGAAATCGCGAGTGACCAAACGAGGGCTCGCCAGTCCCTGGAAACTTTTGTCCCAAAACAAGAGGACTTCTTCCAGTTCCTCAGAAAGGTAACTGAAAGGAGCTCTGCTGCAGTATCAGACGGTGAGATTGGATTAAAGAACAACAGTTTTCAAGGCCAAAGTGCTAACCCGACCGAACTAGAATCAATTCTAAACGGGACAACAAACGAGGGCGACATCATTTCCTTAGGGCCACAGCCACCGCTAAAGGCAGTTCAAATGCTAGAACAGTACAACCACTTCAGTAACTCGTACCGAATCAAGCGTCCCAAGAGCGACGCCAGGTTCATCAGGCAATACCTCAAGAAGATAGACCACCGAGCCGCGTGGCTCATACAAATGCGGCTTCAGCAAGAATACCCCGAGTTGGTGGAGCCTCTTCAGAAAGCAGAGACAAGCAGCAAGACAGATGTGATGATATTCGTTAATATTGAGAAGATAAGTTGGGACCACATTAAGATCATTATGCGTAAGATCAATGGCAAAGAGCTGTTCAATCTTCTAGAAATTGCGCAAGAGGGGCCAACTATGTCCGTGGCGAACAGGGGGCCTATAATAGAATTGAAGTAGCTGAGAAGATCTATACCGTCACCAATCACAATGAGGGTCTCGCTTATAAAATACTCGGCTCCTTTCGGTGGATCAATTATTTTGTACTACTCGGACAGTTTCCGTAGCTACCAAACACCCAGTAGGTATCTAGAAGATTTTCACACCTCCTTTGGTAATGAAGTACTTCCACGCTTAACTAGCCTTACTTCGGGAGTTGTAAGCAATGTACACTATGATTAGTTCACACACTCAAGTTCCTCGTGTCGTCTGCTAAACCCGCAGTATCGAGACCAGTCCACTTGTTGATCCAGCCTAGCACCTCCTTATGCCAAACAAGCGAGTTCTCGTGTTTCAATACCCACTAGAGCAGATTATGCTATTAGTACCTAGGTACTTGATCCTTCATTTTGCGGAGGGGTAGGTACTTACGTGATTTTCATCATTGAAAGTCAAGAAACGGCTCGGAACACCGCGTGCCTGAAGGGCTATGAATGATTAAACCCGTCAGCATCTCATAACCGCTAATATCTTATAGGATGTCTCTAGAATTTCACATACCATTGAACGCCGCTAGGCCCTCAGATATAGGTAGTCGGTAATCAAGCTCGCTGTGGATAATGAGCTGCGGCGTAGCCCAGTTTCCGGCGAAAGTAGCCGGATCCCAACGCGCATAGTTATCGCGCTTTTCCCATAGTATACCGCCGAAGTCGTGGATAGGGAAGAAGAGTTCCTCGGTTGCCCAATTGTTCAGGGTGCTGAAGATACCGTCGTGGCATACGAGGGCTTTGAACTTTCGGCCTAGGGGGTGGCCTTGGATCCAATCTTTTGGGTGTATTGTTAGTAATGATTTATGAATGGGGTGTTGGAAGTTAGGGAAAAAGAGGAGGCTTACTGATCATGTAACCGCCGTATGAGGCCCCAAGGGCAACGGCGTTGTTAGTGTCGACGTACGAGAGGTTATCGGAGATGTGTTCGAAGCAGTTGACCACTGTAGCACCCAGAATTAGGCAATATTTCCACAATACAAGAACCAAGGAATACTCACGATCGTTATAAGGTCTTCCACCCCAATCCCCCGCAATCCCATCCGTAAGCGCCTGACCGTACCCCGTGCTCCCGGTCGGGTTCGGCATGACAACCACATACCCCTGCTCCGCGAAAACCGCCGGATTCCACCTGGTACTCCAACTCTGCGCCCAAGCTCCCTGCGGCCCTCCATGGATCAAAAATGCCAACGGATACTTCTTACTCGGATCGAAACTCGAAGGTTTCATAACTAATGCATGCGCCTTATAATCCCCTGCACCTTTAAACCAAAACTCATCGACCTGGCGTTTCGTCAATCCGAACGATTTGCCCTCCTTAGAGCTCGACGATACGAGGCCGAGTTCCTTGGATTGCGGGTCGATGATCGAGTACGAGGAGTTATCGACTAGACTCGTAGATGTGAAGAATAGACGATTGTCGGATGTTGAGAGGTTGTAGAAACTACCTATGGTACCGTCTTCGGTGATTTGCTCCGGAAGCTGTTTCGCGGAGAGTGGGCTTGAGGGGAGTTTGAATAGGACTTGCCGTCCTTCTTTTTCGGCTGTGACGTATAGTTCTGAGTCGTCGTTACTCCATACCACGCCTTCGGGCCTGCGGTCCCAGGCGCCTTCGCCGTCGTCGGTGCGGTAGAATTCTTGTACGTTGCTTAGGTCTTTGATATCGGGGATGAGTAGGAGGCGCCACTTGTCGGATTCGTATTGCCGGTTGCGCATCTTCTTGAAGACGAGCTGTGTTCCGGCATGCGAAAACACGGGGGTACCCGCATAGCCTTGTAACTTACCCGTTTTGATTTGCTGGGGGAAAGGGGACTTTTCTTCGGTGAAGGACTTGAGGGGGATGTAGTATACGTCGGTCTTGGTATATAGGGCCGGATTCAGTTCCGGGTCCTTGGACACGAAGACCAAGCCTGCCGGACCAATGTCATAGTCGCTAGAGTCACCGAAAGGTGGTACTGGAGTCTCGAATTCCGTGCCATGGAGGGCGTTTACAAGGTCCTTGGTCTGTAATTTGAATTTGCTTCCATCCTTCTTGAGTGCTCCGTAGAAGAGCCCTTGCTTGTGTTTGGGTACATACGAGTCCCAATGCCTCACAAATAAACTCGTGTAAACCTTGGCACTCGTTAGGGGATCTGGGGACTCAGGCTGTTCCTTGGGTCCCGTGCCGGCAAATGCTATAGTGCCATTTCCGATGTCCTTCACCTTAATGTTAGAGAGCGAGCCAGTAAAGGCTATGACCTCGTACGGACTACGCGGAGTTAGTTGAGTCTGCTCGGAGTATAAGTAACTCCTTAGAAGCGGACTAGGAGTTAACTGTACTCACACTATATCCGGCTTGGCTGCATCAGCCACCAAGACAGACGTGGCAGTATCATTGCTTTTCAAGACTATGAACTCAGTCTCTGAAAGCCATGTCGGCTCACTGTAAGCTGGGTTGTCGAATAGTTGAGTTGACTGGCGGGTTTTGATGTCCAACACTTTGATGGCATATTTCTTAGAATGCGTCTCGAAGGAGTATTCGGATACTATACCGTATTAGTTTTCATCCCTTGGCTGTGAGCTATGATACAATAACTGTGTGCTTACCGGTGTACAAAGCAAGGGTACCAGTGGAGTTAGGTACCGCGGCGCTACGGCGAGGAGCTGAGAGGAGCACCTCTGGAGTGAATTTGGTAGCCATCACCGTCATTTTGGGAAAAGGGTAGAATAGTAAAGGTGCGGTGTAAATTGTCTCACTATTTATTCCATCAGGTACGGGTTTGCTTTCAACGAATGATCACAACTGCCCGGTTTAGGTAGGTCAATTTGATCATACGCCCTTCTTCGTTCTCGCCAGTTCATCAAGGTGTCCACTGTGGGTTATGTGTGGGATGTACTTTGTAGGCGGTTCCCTTCTGTACCTACTAAGTAGTATTTAAGTATTCTGCTCTCTCCCCGCATTCCATTGGATGGAGTCCACTCTTAATTGCATATAACAATTGCACCATCCGTGTACAGGTGTATATTGTGCCTAAACCATCCAACCATCCATACTTAAAGATGTGATAGATACTATATGTCAAATCTAAGGCGTTGTATATGTTTATATATACACTTATATACGATAGTAAACTCTCAATTCTTACTCGCCCTGCGTCGCTGTTCTCGTCACTAGCGCTTACGATATATATCGAAAGAAGGGACCGATATTAACACCACGCTTTATTGGGTTGAATTCAAGTATCACCCGTATGATACACCTTTTATACACCTAGAAGAAGGGGTATCTAGAGTAAACAGAATGGCGCGGACCATCAAACCTGGCTCTTGAGAAATCAAAGCAATGCGATATCTTTTTTTTAGCAGAATTTCCCTAACCTAACGCCATGCAAATTGTTCCTCCGCTTGTTCCCCAAAACACCAAAGCCATGCAAAAGAAGAGAGGAAGTTCGAGGTATTGATGACAATAGTCTTTCGACACGTGCGAACCGAAATTAAGGCCGTGGCCTCGGTCGTAATCACACTAGGGGCGTGGGAGGCTCTATTTCCTCGATGCACCGAAGTGTGTCCGTACTTTCTTCGTTTCGCGGGAGTCTGTCTCGCTGTCCTCCGCATCAGCGTCCTTATCCTTCTTCAGCTGTGTCCTCTTCTTGCTGGCCTTCCCTGCCTTGCCTGTGACCTTTTCGGTTGCGGATGTCGGGGTTGGCTGGTTCGAACCGCCATCCTTATCCTTATTATTGGCAAACGACGTCGAAACTGGGGTGGGAGCGGCAGGAGTCGAGGTAGCGGATGGGGTCTCAGGATTATCAGGCTACAAAGAATGTGAGTTAGTATTGATGCGGCTTGAGAAGCGGGCATGGGGATTTTCGCAGGACGCGGTGAAACGTACGTGAAGGCTGTTATGTGATATCGATGATCGTGACCAGATATAATCCTCCTCCTTTAGTTCTCCTTGCTTGCGCTGCGCAGCCGAACTGGTACCCTTGATGTAATTATCGAAACCCTTCACGATGTTGCCGAAGCGCGTGTTGCCCAGGTATTTCTGCTCGAGATCGGCGATATTGTGCTCTAATTGCGCCTGCACGATTGATATGGTTAGTTACTATGCGCCTCTAATTGCGCTCGTGAATTTGACGCGATGACTCACCAGTTGCCGTTCTTGCTGCTTCCGTTTGGCTAGGAGCTCCTTAAGGGTTTGACGTTGCCTGTTGTATTCCGTGAGCGCAAGCCGTCGTTCGGCATCAGTAGCGCCGGGACCGCCGGGTTGGACATTTTCGGTCATCGCGGGTTGTTACTTTGAAAAGCCGTTGTCGGATAGGGTTCACGATGGTTTCTAAAGATGTTGATTTGCGAATTTAGAACTGTCCGTCAAGGCCGGGTTAGCGCGAACTCTCAGCCTTTGTAGAAGATGAGCCTAGACTCTTTTAAGTAAGCTAATAATTGAGAATTAAGGTTGATTGGTCTCCTACCGTGGTCAATGGCGTCACTAGTGGAATTGCTAGTGTCTAGAACAATGGATCCATTGCATTAAAAGACCCACAGTCCCCCCATTAAGCTCATACCAAGATAAAAGTGGGTATAGGAAACTACCTTCATATATTTATCTGATCCAAGAGACTTTGCTACGTTTAATACTTTTAGCTCTTCCAAATATTAGTGTACGCTATAGAATAATGGCAATCCCAAATCTTGGGACGGGAGATAAGCGTATCCCAACAGCGCTAAAGATCTATTACGATTTATGATGATTATCGCTTACCTAGATACCTAGGTGTTTTTTGCTTGCCTCCAAAACCAAAATTCGTCAGCTATTTTTTATATCATGGTTCGACTTGCCTGTTTGATCAATTCTAAAATCTAGTGTACTAGATATCGATGGATCGTCAGAGCCTATGATTATCATTATAAATAAACTAGACAAGAACCATACTAGTTTCAAAACTAACGAGCTGATGAAGAGAAAGTGTCTCGTTGCTTGGTCAATTGTGGGATAATGAAACGCACGAGTCAGTGATCTGAGGCTTTGTAGTAAATTCTATTGTCTGATCATCTATGTGATAATTGTCGTAGATCATGAGCTAGGAAAAACAACGTAACGCAATGTTTTGTGACTGACCTCGAAGACAATACCAAAATGAAATCAGACTTGGCAGCCGGGGTTTTTAACGTCCAAGGATGACCGAATCAACCAGTCCTGCAAGTCTAGGAAGATTAGCCTGACCCTTTAACATTATCTCTATTTGAGGTGCCTCTCATCTTCTTTATTTGCTCCTTTAGAAGCTTTTCTCGCAGCTCATTGGTGCGCTGCTTTGAAGTATGGGTCTGATGAAGAATGCGAAGGTCAGTTCTCTGTCTGAACGCGTAACACGAGACGGAACTCCCTAAGAAGCGGAACGAACCTCATCAGCCTCAGCGGCTGCGCGGCGTTTGGGGGATTGGGATCTATCTTCATCTTCCGAAATATCAGCCGATCTGTTACGGGTACGAGGGGAGTCAGCAGAATCTCTCCGCCTTCTCGAAGGGATATCTCTAGCTTCGCTATCCTCTCTACTTCTCCTTCGTCGACTTCTCTGTCGAGGCCGTCTAGAGCCATCCGGTGACTCTAGCGGACTAGGACTTCGTGTTGGAGATCGTCTTAATCTCCCACGGCGGTTAGGTGAAGGACTACGACTGATGAGTTCGCGAACCGCCCTTCGCCTCGGGCTGCGACTACGCGATCGGGAAGAGGATGATACGGAACGGCTCGGCCGACGAGCATCACGTCGGGGAGGAGACCTTGAGCGACTAGGCGAGTCCGAATATCTACGCCTTTTAGGTGCTGGCGAGCGGGACCTGCTACTGTCGGATCTGCTGGCGCTCTCTAGCGAAGAAGTATTTCTTCTGCGGCCTTCTCTCCGAGACCTATAACCTCTTCCTCGGTCTGAAGATCGATTTCGCTTTGCGGGCGCCCTATATCGAGGTGGGGATCGTCGTCTAGAACGACGTGGTGGTGAAGGAGATCGAAGACTTGGTCTCCGACTACGGTCGCTAACCGTGCTGGATGATCTAGAACGAGACGCGGAGTCTCTCGAGTTTGATGTTGTAGAGCGAGATGGGGAACGTCCGCGTCGATATTCTTGTCGGCTCCCGCGACGATCTGGAATGTAGCGGTCACGATCACTACGATATGAGTCCCGTTCTCGTCTTGGTGGCGACAAGGATCGATCGCCGCCACGGCCAAACCCTCTTCCACGGCCTCCAAAAGCTCGATCACCACCACGTCTATTACCGCGCCAATTGTCGCCACGACCACCACGGAAGTTACGGTCTCGTCGTTCTCGATCTCGGATATCTGATAGTTCGCGATCACGGCGTTCTTGGGTTTCCCGTCTAATTCGGGATTCCTCGGCGGCTTTGTCCGCGTCGATCTAATATTTGTCAGCGCCCGTGGCTCGGGTATGCCATTATGGAATGCAGTACCTTTTCTTGGATGAGTTCCAATTTCTTGGCCTCGAGGAGCTCTTTTGGAACACCCTGAGGATTAGACTGTGCGCTTAAACAAAGATTCCAGAGGTCTTTGCAGAAAGGCGCCGTATCTTTGTCGAGGAAACCTGTGAGTTGAATTTGCATGGACTTGATATCAGGCTGCGTAATCAAGGGTCAGCAAGCCTGAATATTTCCGACATCACAGTAAAAGTGTACTCACATATCGAGTGCCTTCAATTAAGTTGAAACAGAGTTCAGTGACAACATCATCTTCAGATCCGAGGATTTCGGAAATCTTGCTCGCGATCCATCTAGGAGGTCTCGGTTAGCTTACGGGTGGCTGCAGGACGCGTAGGAGGGTACGAACTTCTTCATGACCTGGAGATTGACTTTCTGCATGTCAACCTTTTGATTGAACTCGGAAGGGAATTTCGTCGCTCGTAAGAGCTTCGCATCCACACTGGTCGCCATATCGTGATGTTGGGTAATGATGTCGGCGAGCACTCCTCTGTCCAGTAGTGTCGCGGGAAAAAAAGGATGGAAGAATTGAATACGGCTAAAAAAAAAATGACGTCTGGGGAAACGCTGTCTAGTTTTGGTCACTACCAAATGTTTCACTGTTTCAGAGACCCATCCGGCCTAAAATCGGATTTGGGAAAGCTTAGTTTTGGGGGGGGGGGCTGGAACTTTCTTCAGTTGGGGACAACTGCCAGCTTCAGCACACGCCAAATTTACCGACACTGAGGATACTACGTAGACATCGGAGAATATGGTCCGTGCCCTACCCCAGCACCCAAGGGCTCTAAACTTATCTCGTCATAGCTCCAACTTTGGACCCAACACTTGAACATCCAAGGTTCTAGACTCGATATAAAGATGCCGGAATGCCATGGAATCTCGATATTATCACTACAACGAGTCAGGGAATATCAGAACTTCATTCCATTACATTGGTATCATACATGACGTGATGAATACATACGGTGCTTACCGAAGGAGGTCTCATGATCCTCTTAAAATCCCTCTAACGATTACACGACAGACAGTGTACCGACATGAAGAGGGAATTATGAATCCTATTTGAAACGCAGTTCCCGACTCTTTGGTCTGACCTTTATTTCCTGCATGGGATAAACGCGCAATCGTACGGTGAAGTTTGAAAGGAAGTTACTTTATTTCACGCATCAAAGGGTTCGGGGATAGTTACCTAGGTAGGCATGACTGCTCACATCTGTGAGACCCCATAGATGTTGATACCTAGGTATTCTCTCTCTATTTATATTAATACAAAGATCCAAATAATCCACGAGACATCCTTCCGCATGGAATTGTAATGCCTTGACGAAAATATCAGTACCTTCAAGATCCTGGAGGGTGTGCTTATATATACGCACCCTACCACAGCCGTCAGCCCGGTAGTTACGCTGACAATCCGATTTAATACGTACACAGAGCTGCCACAATAATTTTTTCCCTTCAATCTGATTGGTCAATTCATCTCTTCTAGAAGAATGTCAGGTACCCGAGTATATAAGTAAAGTTACAAACGAGGACATATTTATTAAATCTTATATGTAGAGTTGTGTAAGGAAGCCTGTATAATAGAGGTGTTATCTACTTACTGAGATGTACCAAAGAAGATTCGAGAGACGTAGAGATATCGTTCTGTCGCATCAACGCTGGGTAGCAATAGATTGCAACCCATCCAAACTAAAAATAGGAACCGATTTTGTTCTTATGACGCATATGATCGATTTTCTTCGGGATAAGCAGGTATAGCATTGTTTCCATCTTACCGCTAGAGTACCATTGGCGCGTTACTTTACTGTTCGGTTAATACATCACTATCATCACAGAGTTTTATCTTATAGTCAGCTGGAAAAATTCCTAGGCACCCAAATCATGTATGTATAGCAGACACAAGCGAGGCCTCTACTAACATATCGCTTCGTGGAACTTGTTTTTAGATGTATTGGTATCATCTCCAGAGTGATTTCGGTAAATGACGTAAGGTACTATAACGGCCGGCGAGAATAGTTGGGTTCCAAAGTCTCGCAATTACAGCCAAAAGGCTATCGACGTCGGAAGGTACACCCACCGCTTGGGACGTCTTCTCGATATTCGATACCTTTAACAAACATTGACAAGTTAGCACATGAGGGAACGAAAAAGCATGAAGCTATAAAATATTATATCAGTGGACTCGAGTTAAGATAGCGAAGCATTCGTGAGTTCATATACTTGCGCGCGCCGCTTTTCTCGGTAATTAGCATTAGTTCCCATATAGGCTCACCCATAATTCAATGTTGTAGTCGTATTTCTGATCATAACAACAAACCCAGTTCCAAAAACCAGCATGACCTACTCAACCATATTCAGCCAGCTTGTACGCCTTTTGTTCCCAGAGAGCAACCTCGCTCAGTCTTGATAGCTTATCCGCTTCCCATTTCATCCGCTTGGTCCTTTTGTAAAACGCCAGTAATCATGATGCAGTTGGTAATCAGAGTATCCGAACGAATGTATTTGATCGAAACCGTGTCATGTTTATGTTTGTGTTCACTTGGGGTAGCTTAGTCGGTCGACTTCTTTTCGCTCTCTCTTGTGCTCGCTAGACACGTGAGCCTGCTTTGCGGCGAGGGCGTTGATCTTCTCGCGAGCCTTCATCAAGCCGCTGTTGTCCTGTTCCTTGAGCTTGGCACGGATTTCGTAGAGGGAAAGAAGAGTGGTAGCTCTGTCAATGTCGGCATCGGGTCGCTGTGTGAGAAATTAGTACTTTGTCATACCATTATTGAATACATATGCTTTGTTGTTGTGGTACGTACCTCGCCTCCTAAAGGACTTCCGGGCATTGATGGCGATGCAGAGTTTGTTCTGGTAAGTGGCGGTGTGAGCATGCGACGGCCAAACTTGTCGGTCATACGTCCTGGAGGAGAAGTGACTCTGCTTTCGGGGACGCTTCGAGGTTGAAGTTGTTGATGCTGCTCTAGCTGTAGTTGGCTCTTGCGGTCAAGTGTCCGGTTAGCAGTAACCAGATCTTTTGCAGCGGTTTGATCATGCTAGAGAGGGATCACAAGTTAGTCAAATCGATCCTCGTTGGAGTTGGGGGAGTCAGAAGCGTGAGGGGTATAAAACACATACAGTGGCTTGGAGATCATTGATATCTGCCAGCATCTGAGCTAGCTGAAGTGCCTCCATAACGTCACATCAATTGAAACAAAAACCCTTTAATGATAGTGTTTGTTTTCGAGATAAGTTATAGATAGAGTTCTTCGAATTATTATACGTGCTCTTGCACGAGGGTTTTAAAACCAAAACTCCAATGATGAAGTTGAATGATGGTAAGGAAATGGACAGAATTGAGTTGGTCTTGTGATGATATCAAGGGTAGGTCTTGGTTTTTACAGGGGAGAAGGTGAGAGAATAAATTATTTACGCTGTTAAAACGGTTGTGGGGTACTAAGCATAGGTATTTTCCCCAGGCCTGGACCCGGCCAGTCCGACTTCCAGGCGTTTTAAAGGGACTCCCCCCACATTATGTAGTTCACCCCACTGTGACATATGCAACATCCGCACGCGTAATTCGTAATCGAAGCTCTCCTCTTCAGGTATCCAGTACCGAGACGTAGGTACCTAGGTAGCTTTTAGCTGGTGGAGCTCCGCGGGTACATCCACCGCCTTCCATCCAATGCCCATCCGATATCTAGAAGTATCTACGTAAGTGCATGAGATAGATACCCTAGATACATGTACACTTGTACATTCCTGCATTGCTGCTATACTCAATAGTGAAATGATTTTCCTAGGCTTTCCTAGGCTTTCCTGGCTTTCCTAACACACCTACAGAATAGCGCCAGGGCTTTAATTAACCCCCCGCAGCGACCGACTTGTCGATATCCAAAGCCGAGCATCGGGACATTAAACAAGAATTGTCCTATGAACAGTGTTAAACCTCCGCATACCTTGCCGAACCATTTTGAAGCCGTAACTTTTTATAAAGCCCCCGAGGTCCATTTGTAATAATTGTATTAGAAGTTCTCTTGGTCATCTCACTTTCTTTTTGTAAGAGGTATGATAATCGAAGGATCCGACGATCTTGTTCCGTCCCGTTTCCGATCGCCAATCTCAAGCATAAATTACTAACTATAGACTCTCTTACAGGACAATGAGCGTATTCCGCCGCAGCATGGCGTCGGTGGCTTCCCTCAAGCAAGCCGGTAAGGTTGTCTGTATCGGACGCAACTATGCGTGAGTATCGCCCGCCTCCCGTAACCAGTAATAATCGCCCCGTGGCGTGGGGTGAACAACGAGGGTGTTAACATATTTCCGCCCCAGCGACCATATCACGGAGTTAAACAGTGCCCGACCAAAGCAGCCCTTTTTCTTTTTAAAGCCAACATCGTCACTCCTCTTACCTGGTGAGGGTCCCGTCATCCGGCCTCGGGGCGTTGATCTGCATTATGAAGTTGAGTTGGCTTTGATACTTGGCAAACAAGTCAAGGATCTTGCAGCAAGCGATGAAAAGGGTGCATTTGACGCTATCGACCGTAAGAAATCCACAATTGCTATTTTCACACCCAAATTTAATAAACTGACAATTGTTTAAGACTATGCCCTCAGCATTGATATGACGGCAAGAAATATCCAAAATGAGGCCAAGAAAAAGGGGTTACCGTGGTCAATTGCCAAGGGATTTGACACCTTTTTGCCAATCAGTAACCTGATTGAAAAATCGGCAATTCCCAACCCTCACTCTGTAGATATCTACCTCACCGTCAACGACAAGGTCCAACAAGCGGATTCCACCGAACTCATGCTTTTCCAAATTCCCAGAATATTGAGCGATATTTCTAAGGTTTTTACTCTTGAGAAGGGAGATATCATTCTCACCGGAACTCCAAAGGGTGTTGGCCCAGTTGTGCCAGGCGACGTTATGCGAGCCGGTATCAAGGTCAATGGCAAGGAGCTTGAAGAGAGCAAGATTGAAGTTAAGGTTGAGGAATCAACCAGTTCATACGAGTATGCAGAGACTTAAACTCGCATGAGAGAAAGCGCTCTTAATTATTAGGACGATCTCTGCCTGTTTATATTCTCTTGTATATACGATAAAGCTCATTTCCGAGCGACTTCAACTTCTATACCATACTCATCGCAGAATTGCGGTCATTATACATTCGCGTATGAATATACCCTAAGTCTAGATTTGATACTCAGTCAATTGAGTTACTGAAAACTGCGGTCTTTAGTGGACGTGTTTGAATCATATCTATTAGGACTATCACGCCACGATCCATAATAGCCCCCTTTGAAGCTAGAATCATAAGTTTATATAAACAATCCAATCCAACCGTACCGGTCCAGTTTTCCCAAACCCATATATAAGAAGAAAAATCAAGCGTAGACATGATAGGAGATGCATCTCAAGCGTCTAGTACCTATTCGCCTGGCAATCCCCATCTGATATTACGGTACTGGCTTGTTGGATAATGAAGGTTGTTCTCCGTCTCATCCAACCAATCCAGATTCTTCGACATAGTGTTAACCAAGCCCTGGCCACCACCCTTGTCGCCGCTAGCCTCCCAGAAAAACGCACCGCCTAGGTCGCGCCATTGGAGATACTCTGATTTGAAATTGGTGCTTCGCACATTATCGTACGAGATGAGCTCCTTAGTGTCGGGATCATAGCTATACGTCGCCTTCGCCACGTCGTCCCAAACCACGTCAGCCCCTGGTTTCGGCAGGTCCTTGTAGTAGAAGACTCCGGGTTGCGGACCTCCTTCTCCGACACTTGAGTAATTCTGTCCAATGCCAGATGTACCCTCGAAGGCTCGGCCATATACGGGCAGGCCCATGAGAATCTTACGGGGGTGGATTCCCTGAGATTCATAGTGCCTTATGGCATCATCTGTGCTTGGCTTCTTCACGGCTGGATCGTCGAGATATGAGAAGACATTGGCTTGGTGGCCGCTTACTGTATCCCAGCTTCCAGAATAATCGTAGGCCATTAAGTTCCTACAAACTGTTAGTGCCGTGGTTTTCATAATATCCGGGAGAGGTAAAACTTACCAGTTGTCCACATATCTGTTCATTCCGACCAAGTCGAGCTTATCATAGTTCTGTGGGCTAGCCGGACTTGCCACGCTAATAGTGAACCGATATCTCAAGCCATGAAGGAGAGAATACCTGTCAAACGCGTGCCTGCAAGCCTCGAGTAACTTAACGAAATTGGCCTTTTCGACATCGTTGTTCGGATATTCCCAGTCAATGTCAATACCGTCGAAACCCCAGTCCGTAACCAGTTTCACGGCAGTGGTAGCGAACTTGAATCTTGTAGCGTCTGAAGCAGCAACCGTCACAAATTTCGGCGAGTAGTTCCATCCTCCTATTGAAAGAATCGTCTTAAGGTTACGGTTGTACTTCTTGTGGAGGAAAAGCTGTTTAACGGCACCATAGGCGTTTCTGGTAACGTTCAACTTCGAATCATCCGGGTAGCGCTTCTGCAGATCAATCACTGGATCTGAAGATTTCACCGTCCCATCTTCGTCGATGTCGGCGAAGGCGTAGAGGATGTGTGTTAGTTCAGAGACCGGCAGTTCCTGAGGGTGGAAGCCCGCGTTAACACCCCTGGTACATTGATTAGCAAAGCCTGGTCGTAATTAAAAGATTATGTTTCCTTACCAGTTCGTGAAGTACACTGCATTCTTATATCCCCTAAATGGGCCGGGTGGGAAAGCCGGCGGTATAGGCCGCGTAGGTTCCGCTGGTGGCGATGTAGTCGGCGAGGGAGTGCTTGACGGGGGTGCTGACGTCGTTGGGGGGACGATGACACTCGTCGTAGTGTTTCCAAATGGCACACTAGTAGTTGTCCCTATACTCGACGGGGGAGTCGCAGTAGTTGGAGAGGCAGTTATACCTGTAGTGGTATTTCCGGAAGGTATACTAGTGCTGGAACCTGGAGGCTTTCCTGTAGTGGGAATAATAACACTCGTGGTGGTATTGACAAATGGCGCACTAGTAGTCGTCCCTATGCTCGAAGGAGGAGTCGCTGTAGTTGGAGAGACAGTTATTCCTGTAGTGGAATTTCCGGGGAGACCAGGAGGTTTTCCCGTCGGTGTGATTATACCACTCGTGGTGCTATTACTGAATGGCGCACTAGTCGTTGTCCCTATGCTTGTCGGTGGCGTTGCCGTAGGCGGAGAAATAGTTATACCCGTAGTAGTGTTACCAATTGGCAAACTAGTTGTTGGAGTCCCTACTGGTGGTTTCCCCGTAGTCGGGATAATGATACTTGTGGTGGAATTTCCAAACGGGAGGCTGGTCGTATTTGCTGGACTTGAAGTCGGGATTGCAGTTGTATTACCAAATGGTGCACTGGTAGATGGCACCGACGTTACATTAGGAGGAGCAGTCGTATAAATGGTAGTAGATAGGAAAAGCGTCGTCGTCAAGTAAACAGGTTCGCAGTCATCACGTCTTTCTATTCCATATGCACCCGCCCAAAGGAGGCATTGGGCGAGCCCCCACAACGATGTCTTCTGCATGTTGACTAGAAGAACTAGAAACGAACGAATGGACCCTCGTGAAATATTTAGCTAAGCTAACTGTAGGGACCGAGTTGCTTTGGCTTTTATACAGGAAGCCCGCGAGGCCACGGAAACTTGCCACTCTTCGCCAGTATCAGCTCTCGTAGAAGTCCAGAGTCCAGACTCGACATGAGCCCTTCCACCGAGTTATATGAAAGCAACTGCGAGCCATCTTTCCTCATAGAACGCGTCATTACTCTATAAATTTCCATTTGTCCAATAGGACATTTGAGAGCCCAAGCTTCACAAGCACGAATCCGAATCGCTCAATGGGAGAACAATTTGACCCTTGTCTTTAGCCTGAGTAGCTATGTAAGTGCTTTCGGTCCGTGGCAAGGGGACGGTCAGTTAAAAATCTCTTAGCTACGGGACACACAATCCACACTTGGTGAGGACACGCAATGCCACTAAGATGTTATTGGATCGTCCAAGGGAAAAAAATTGCAGTTGATGAAATGGGGCGGGAGCTGGGATGAACCGGAAAAAGAGGCGAACAGGGGCAATACTATCGGTAAAAGGTGGGATAATAACGAGCGATGATACGGTTGGTTCCCGTCGATTGCAACACTCGATCTGATGCAGGTTCAGGCCTCACCCGTGGGACCATCCTGATGGCGCGTCGTCGACCTCGTGCAAGCATGTGGAAGAGAGAATGTTTCTTAGAGGAGTTTAGCTGTGAATCTAGATCGATGTCCCCTCTTGTTACCTCTTCAATACCATCATGGCTGAGATCAATATTCTAAGGATAACGGCCCGATAGCCTATCGACAGAGAACTGGTTAATAGTATTGATTCCTAAATAATATTATAACTCTTTGGGATCTATATGGCGTGCTCAGAAGAACTTCACTCAAGTACCTGTGTTTAGTCCTGGGCCATATAGACACCTAGATACCTACCTAGGTACTGTTATAGTGAGATACGCAATCGCAAAAACATTATCTTACGATCCAAAAACATAAGAAAATAATTTGAACCAGGATGGTATTTTGAAAACCTGAAAGACGGCCTTAGTAGTATTGAACACATGTAGATCCAATATATCGCACATTTCCCATTACGACTAGGTGTGAATGGGACGGGATAGGATAGTGCCAAGGTTTAATCAGCACAACACCACGAAACGTCTACTGGCACGTAAGACATGATTCCATAGCGACTCGGGTGTTGTTATTATAAATTATTAATTGAATTCTCGTGGTTGAGGTTCTGACGAGCCGCCGCATAGCCGTCTCGTTTGCGATATTTGTACAGGTGCCTTTCTTCGTGATGGAATTTTTTGGAATTCCGTGTTAGACTTGCTTTTTAAACGTACCTAAGTACCTAGGTATCTAAGAATAAGGATCTGCGGGGAATCTCTTCTGATTGGCCCGGGTAGAAGATTTGGTTTCGGATAGGCAAGGTACCGTAACCTTGATTCTGTAGCAAATAAGTTTAGTTAGCATTTATAACCAAGTCAAGCGCGAACTTGAGTATAAGAGTCTTCATTTTCATTATTAGTCTCCGAACAGAAGGTCATTTCAGTTCAACTCGAGATATGCTTGGAAAAGTTGAAGTTGATAAGAAAATCTCACCCAGATGGAGAACTGTTATTATGATAGGCCATTCCTCATTCACCATAGGTAATGGTAATGAGTCAAATCATGTTGTGTAACTATCACCTATCACATACCCCCCATCTCCATATCCCCATAGGTGCCTACTGTGCCTATGAGAGAGCTCACTCCTATCAATGAATGCTATTTTGTCAGATACACATACACAATAACACAGTTAATCAAATTAGAATCCCATTCAACCACAATTTGTGCACACCATAAGAGTAAACCACATTTCCTGGTACAAGCGAGGCTGGCTGTCCGCTGTTGGGGAGGGGAACAGCTGCGCCTCAATCCCCGCGATCAGCCTTTGTAATCAGGCTCCCTCAGCTGTTTTCATAAGAAACAACTGACGGCCGATAGCACCTATTTGGATATCAATTTTTTTGATATATTTTTCTTTAATGTCGTCCTAAAACCATGCCGAAATACTCGCGGCCAGTCTCGGTCTTCAGCTCGAGCGACCGTGGTGAATCCCATCGGAGTGAATCTCCTCCACCGCCGTACTCCGAAGCACCCCCATCATTCCAGCCTCGCAGGAGTGAGCGAACACCACTTCTGCAACCTATTCAAGATCCAGAGCCAAGAAGGGTGCCAGATTGGAGAGCAGAATGGGTACCGCCGGCTGCACGTCCTCGTCGGACTGGGCGTATACGGGAGTATGTTCAGGCTTCGTTTCGCAACCCGTTCCGGAGTCGACTAGCGTACCGAATCTCCGAAAGCTACCGCAGTAGCTGTCGGAGGATTCGTCGAAGTCGAGCTCTCTATAATATTCGCGAGTCTTGTCGAAAGGCTCCTCATAGCCGATTCGCTAAGCGTATCCATAGATGCTTTCCGCTACAGTGCTTCCTTGTCTTCATCCTCTTTTTCATCATATTTGTGTGTGTACATCAGTTCAACCTTTCGGGTGCATGGACATTCACACCCCCTACTATTTCTATTGCCATCATCGGTGCGTATAAACTCCTAAGACCTATACTGAAGTAGAAATCGGACTCTAACTCACACACAACAGGCGCCGGACCCGCAGGTATATCTGCGGCTCAACATCTACACGTAAACGCAGCACTTCGAAACATCCGCCTCAACATAACCCTATTCGAATCCAACCCCCTCATCGGAGGTCAGCTAGCTCTGAACGATTCTAAGGGTCGCCAAGTATACCCCTACGATGACCCTACACAGAACCCGATAGCCGCCGAAGACATCACCGGCCCAGCCTTACTGTGGGGCAATCCGCTATGTACGAAAGCGACGGAAAAGACAATAGGAGACAACGTCGCATTCTCCGAGCTCCCTCCTCAGAAAATCAGCTTGTAGGTAGTCTTTAATATATCTAAGTAGTCATTGTCTTGGTATTAACAACCCATAGCTTCACTGGTGATCACGTCGTAGCCACTACCACCCGTCCGTACAACAAATTCTCCTTTTTTGATTGGTGGGGTATGCTCTTCAAATACGGATCCCCAGCCTGGGCCGCCGCGGGTATATTCGACGACGGGGCCGATCTAAAAGATCGCTTCGTTCACTCGCCTCTCGACTTCGGCGTCGGGCAGCTTCTAGCTTCCATGGGTGTCCTCGAGTCCGCGCAGCAGTTCGCACACGATACACTAGGCGGCCGGGGTGTGGGTGGTGCTTTCGTAGATGAAGTCTTGAGTCCACAAGTCCAGCGCACTAGCATGCAGAGGGTTTCTGATATCAGCGACTTCGGTATGAAGATGGCTGCCTTCCAACAAGATAGGGCAAATACCTTTATCGGAGGGGAACTACTAGAACGACTAGATCAAGTCATTGCTGTACTAGGCATAACTGTCCGTACAGGCACTAAAGTCTCTGGCGTTAAACGAAAGAAGATCGATGATGACAAATCAGCATGGCTCGTCGAATACAACGCCGACGGCTTATCCGAATCTCGAAACGAGCCATTTGATAAGGTCATTATTGCTGCGCCGAATTTCGAGATGTATCGCGGAGCTTCCGCCGAAGTTGTAGAAGCTGCCTCCATGCTATCTTATCGACCCGCACACGTCACATTCTTCACGTTACCTTCACGTCTTGACACCGGTATATATGGCGACGTAAATCAAATCCTATTCCTCGAGGAGCAAAACGGAGATCGTTCACTCGATGGCGTCAGAGAAGTATCATTTGTAAGAGAAGTTGTTCGGACGTCAGAAAAGGGTGATGGGGCTCCCGAGTTCCTATACCGCGCTCTTTCAGACGTCGACGTCACAGAGCGGTTACGTGAACTCGATTTAGGGATTACTTGGATGTATCAGGCAAGAGTAAGTTCTTCATCTGATACCCCAACCTCTATACTTAGCTAATTAATATGATTTACTAGCTCGAAAATGCGTACCCCTATCTCTTCCCATTCAGACAATACCCACGGTTCAAACTATCCACCAAGGGTATATGGTGGACTTCAGCCATCCACGCCGCCGCAAGTTCTATCGACTTGAGCTGGCTAGCAGGCAAGGTTGTCGCTGAGGAAGTTATACAAGAGGTTGAGAAGTGAGCGAGCAAGTAATATTACTGGGTGGATACATTCTACTCTAAATTTATAATGTCGGACGAATAGTCATGACTGGGTTATGCCTGGGAGTTATTGAGTAATGGGTTTATAAATGGGTTTTTAAATTCGATATCTTTATATGGTTTACAGAAACGAGTCATGATTAGATAGGTAACGGGCTAATTGAAGCACACTCCCCTATATAACAAAACCGACTTTTTTTTTGATCCATTGCCCCGGGTCATGCGAAGCCTGCCCAACCTATCCATTTTCGCCCCAAATAGATCCATGGATGTTGCGTAATCGTACACCTGTCTACCCCACTCCCAATAATTATGGTTTACATAGCAATATTACTGCTCATCACATTGCTATACTATAGCAACCGCTTATTTAGCAAAGTGTAGATCATATCCGAGCCATTTTCGTCGGAGAACTTGGTCAACAGTTAAGCCGGGGTAACCGTAAGTGAGCGGCAGGAAGAAGTACCAGCCGGCAAAGACCAATACTAGAAGAACAGAGCAAGCGATCCATGCCGCAAGCATGCTCTGCCCAGCGAATCTCTCCCGAGCGGTAATGTGTCGTTGAGGGCCTGGCGCTCGCTTCTTCCCCGCCTTGATCTCTTGGTAGCTCGGCTCTTCAGCAGAAGGCTCGGCATTAAAGACGAACTCGAGCAAGGAACCAACAATGAGACACGACGCAAGATGAGCAGGGAGATAGTGATGAAGGAAAAGTTGGCGTCCCATAAGGTAAAATGGGAAGTAATGTGTAGCCCAAGCCAGGAAAAAGAATCCCGTGGAGTTATAAAGTCGAGAACGAGTACCTTTTCGATTAATTAGTTTAATGGAGCGTGGATAAGGAGACATGGGCGACTTACGGTGGTCTAAGGCGTCAATGCCGCGGCGGAGAGAGACCTGATCGGCACCGATAATTCCGGCGTATACCGCAATCAAACTGCTAGCAATCCACCAGCCAATTGGGTTACCCAAGAAGTAAATTTGTTGGCGGGTATCATTCTGAGTCCAGAAACTGACACCTCGTAGTAGGAATGGCCATTGGTACGGTTGACTGGCGTATGGGTGACTGCTAGTCAATTGGTTGTTGTGCCAGAACATAGAACGCTGTAACTCGAACCATTTCCTTAGGAAAGGCAGGGTTTTAACTTGACGCTCTTCCTTCTGTCGGCGTGGAGAGTCTACTGGGACAGATGGAACATCCTCTACGATCCAAACGTTAGAGCTAGGGGCGATCTGCTTGTTTCCGTTGATTTCCTGCTGCTTGTGACCCCACTCAGGAAGAGGCTTCGTGTGAGTCCACATCGCTACCTTACTAGGGTTGTGGATTAACTTGAAGTGACTAGAAACACTCTTGAAATCTTGGTTGGGTTTGCCATGCTCGATTCTAATCTCGAAGAGAGTATCAGCCGAGCGACTTCCGTACGCGTCAGCAAGAGGCACAGTGGTGAATTCTTGGTTCGTGGGATAGTAAGGAGAAGCAACATCATGAGATAACAGGACTGTGTCGGTTACTAAGTGACGTAGTCGAACAAGCTCGTGGTTCTTCACATGGCGGCCCATCTGATGGTCATCGGTGACAGGAAGAATCTGCCAATAATTATTAGTATCATTGTACGGATACCCCGTCACCTGTTGACCCTGGCTGGAAACTCGGCCATCATCGTAACGAAGAGGGTATTTCGCTTCATGACTGTGCAGATAGGCCTTGGTTTCTTTATGACGAAGAGTGATGGTGTCATAATAGTCGATATTGAGCGAGTTCGCAAGCATCACATTGTCCGAGAGCGTTTCTTGAAATTCGGGTGTCATGAAGTCGTCACCAGGACCAGACCGCGTTAAGACGGCAAAATGTACCTGGAACCAGAATAGATAGAATAGGAAAGGGATGACGATCAATCCAACAGCACGCGCGCTGAAATGGTACCCGAATTCTCGTAGACTCAATGAGCCACCAAGTCGTTTAACATCAAGCAAGTCCCACAAATCAATGATGACAGCAGAACCAATAGTGACGAAGGCGAAGAGCCCAACATATTTGGTTGATATGTCGCATGAGAGCGCAAAGCCGGTCAGAATGAGCCACTTCCACCATTTGCGACTAAACGGCTCGTGCCTTAGCTTGTAGAATTTGATGTAGCATAACAAACTGCATGCCATAGCAAGTACCAGGGTGGCATCAAGTAGAATTAACCGAGTTTGGCCAATGTGGGCATTATCGAGAAGAACGAGACCTGCGGCGACAATACAGGCGGGAAGGCTGTATCCCGACTCCCACATAATGAGGAAAGTCACCGAAACAGTCAAAGAGCCGAGGAGTGCAGGCATGGCGCGGAAAGCCACATAAGGGACTTTGTTCGCAATGTACGAGTCACCGATATTCTCGAAGTGGAAATGTCCATCATATCCCACAATCCATCCCATTAGGGCGAAGAGGAGTTTTCCGAAGGGCGGGTGAACATCGAAGAAATATGTTCTTTCGAGGTAGTACGAGGCGAACTAAACAGAAGAATAGAAATTAGCCAATACGTTCGATATTGCGCTCCCAAGCGCTAGGCTGAGTGAATGTATAAGTGGTTTTTACTCACTTTACCGAAGTGAACCTCGTCGAAAACGACCTCGTTCGGATGGCTAATACCCCAAAATCTCGAAACAAAAGCTAGTATTGTGATCACGGTAAAAGCGATCTTGTAATCCCATTCTGGACCTGGGCCAGTAATCGGCTTGGTGACTTTAACGAAATCGTCAGATTCCGAGTCTGCGCCAACGGAGCCCGGTGACTTCTTTTTCGCAGAACCAGGGACATTCCGCTGGCGCAGAGTGCCCTGCGGAGTCGTCGACATAGTATAAAGGAGCGCAGATTAGAAGAAAAGCGTTGTTGTGAGAACTACTCGGAAATTGAAAGTTAGCAGGAGTTTTTTTTTGATGTGGGTGATAACGTCGCAGTTGACGTGTCACAACGTATAGAAGGTAGAAGGCAGGCATCCGCATTTTACTTACAGAAACAAAGAAGAAAAAAACTCGATGTAAATTAACCAACCATACGGCCAAATTCGTGGGCCGAGTACTATGATGGTTGGCACCCAAATTGTCGGAAGGACATAAGTTGGTGATGAAAAGAAGAGGTCAAAAAAGTCGGCGCCTCATTAAAATCTTATTAAGTTAACGCAGGGGAAGCTCCAGCTGTACAAAAGTGTCCGCGTTCCCACTCGTGCTACGTAACAAGGTGTGGTATTGCATCTAGCCTAACCGGGAGCCGTTAGGGGGCTTGTCGGAGCTTGTCAGGATAATTCTGGCCACTTGGCAACACCTTAGCCTTGTTGCCCCCTTTTTAAGGAAACCTTAGGGAAGGGAAAGGGCAAGGGAAAAGGAGAATGGGTCTTCCTATGGATCCATCAGTGGATTAACCACCTGAAGCTTCCCTCCGAAACCAATCTCTTACAGCGACGGTTGATACCGAAAAATCTTATCGATAAAACATCTTATCCACCTAAACATTTACATTTCTACCGGCGTTGTAGGTACATATATGTAGGTGAACGAGTACCGAATTCAATGTCACCGAAAGGTGCAAACAACAATTGAAATACTACATTTTGGGTACCTATTGGACGGGCGTACTTGGATGCATCAATACACGTACGTATCATTTTCGGTCGGGTACCGACAAAAACAATGCGATCAAATTAGACCATTGCTACCTCATCGCAAGGCTACCTACATACATGAGGTGTACATCAGACCTTAGGTACACGTAAGGCATCGGCTAGGGCCCTACCGATACATATGTAGGTACTGTACGTACCATACGTACCCCTAAGCTTTACCATTTAGGAACCTTATTCATGTAACACGGAGCTTGGCAGACCTTCTACCCCGTCACCTACCTGCCTACAAGACCGGAACGCCGAATTACGGAGACTATATCGAGCCCTAAGCGGCTAAACAAATTCCCCACGCCCTCCAACTGACCGGATCCGATTACAAAAGCATCAAACCCACTTGTTATTTAATCAACAAGCGATGCCCGTGGTTCATCGAGCTTTTCCAATTCGTGCACTCGTCTTCTCTTCGGCCCGTCGTTGTTTGCTTCCAGCTTCAAGAGCCCCTTTCATCTCCGCTATTTCAACACCAACGCGCACAATGGCCGATATCACTCAAGTCTTCTCTAAGGACGCAGCTCCGCGTAAGTAGATCTTATATAAAAGAAGAGGAAGACACTGAATACACGTGACTAATTTGACCCTATAGCTGCTGGCCCATACGTACGGACTCACTGAGTCCCAATTATTACTTCGGTGAGAAAGCTAACTGATCATCGTAGTCCCACGCCATCAAGACGCCCACCGCCATCTACTGCTCCGGTCAGATTCCATGTGATTCTAACGGAAACCTAATTGAGGGAACGATTGGCGAGAAGACAGCTGCTTGCATCTCAAACTTGAAGGCTGTTCTTACCGCTGCTGGTTCTTCCATCGAGCGAGTTGTCAAGGTCAACATTTTCCTTGCTGACATGTCTCTGTTCGCCGACATGAACAAGGAGTACGAGAAGTGGTTCACTCACAAGCCCGCTCGTAGCTGTGTGGCTGTTAAGCAGTTACCCAAGGCTGTCGATGTTGAGATCGAGTGCATTGCCCTCCCGTGAGCGTTACCAGCAGCAAAAGCTTGTTGATGTACATATGTTACGTTCACCTACATAGTCTTAAGAATCATCAAGGATGAATGACAATGTTACCTGAGCAAATATGGTCTTATCATACCTAAAACATGAGTTTTGTATCAATGTGAGAATATTAGGCCGGGCAAACCATACTCCTCCCCATCAGATGATGTTTAGGGAATGGTACGGGAATTGCAACTACCACCCACCTATACCGGGCATGTGTAACGAAAGGGCGTAAGTAATAATAAGTAGGATTCACAGGTACGTTAAGACATACCATCAGCACTAATGGCTATCACTACAACATTATAATTTATATATTAATAATTAATGTCAGATACTATCTATATTCCGACTTCATACCACATCAGTAATGAGTTATACTTGAAGCTAAGTACCTAAGTACATATTTTGAACAAAATATGACCATTCTAAGTACTCACCTCAGGGTTCAGGTGTGCACGAGTTTATATCTAGTCTTTGGGGGGGTTGATCTGTGTGATACGCACTTCGGAGGCTGGTACCTTATGTATCGTGAGGGTACTTGCTTCCCGCACATCCCGGCTCGCCAGTTCCTCCAGCCATTCGTGTTCAGCCATGTTGATCTCCGACTCTAGTGATGACCGGCTAGAAGAATCGTAGTTAGCATCTAGTGAATCCCTGCTGTTGCTACGCTCGCCTATAAGGGACAAGGATGGGCTTTTACCAGCCGATGACATTGAGAATCCGAGAGCAAGCCAGTCAACGGGAGTGGACGAAATTGGCGTCGCACGATAACTACTATAGCTACTAAAGAACCCTCCGTATTCTCTACGCATCACCATTCCGAAGTCTATGAGCTGCAGCGGTGGTAGTACCGGTACGCTGTTCCGGCGAATGTACTTATCCACGTGGTACGCAAGGTCACCAACAATGCCATACCTTTTTGTGGCCTCGGCGCGGTTGCGGGCATTATGGAAGTCCTCGATTGACTTCCTGGAGGGCTCACGAAGTATACGCTGTACCTCCTCAGTACCTTTCGTCTTAGGGGCGTTGTTTAGTTGCCTTTCGGCGTCATCCCGATCGTCAAGCAACTTGATCAGGTCATCAGACATACCATTCTTGACAAATGCGCGTGTAGCCTCCTCACCTTGGGTTCGAGGCGTAAAGTGTATCGGTACGTTGCGAATATCGTCATATACGTCACGATTTACTTGGTTCTGGTCTTGTCTTTGTGGTGGCCTCCCAATTGGCCAGCTAATTGATGATGTGGTCATCTCTTTCTTCTTTTCTTTGCGGTTGAATAGTCTCTTAATATGATTCAATCCGAATGTCATTGTGATATGATTTGATATCTGGGAATGGCTTAGCTCCTTATGGTGGCGGAATCCGCGAAATTTTATACCTACGCAGGGAATCATAGAACTAGATTAAACAGAAGAGTTGTTCTAGAACAAGGATTGGACCAGAGCACTGTTCTCTGTCAACTGCTTGTCTCGCAAGAATTCATGTGTTAGCCCTTTTCCTAATTGTAATATGTACCCCTATTTGCTATCCCATACGGGAACATGATGTTCCCTCCCAAGGGACGATCTCCAGGCTCTCAGCATAGTAACTATCGACTATGTAATACGTTAGGTTAGGTATCCGAAGAGTTGGGTCAAAATCATCCCAAAATATGAACGCCTGTCATGTATCTAGGTAGGTATCGTGGCGTCGTACTCGTAATATGAATCCCTCAATAGTTCGCCCAGCTTCGTGACTTAGTAGCGATCACATCTCATACTCGTGACTTTGAAGAGTCTTGGGCCTTCTATATGAAGTTCCTTGATGTAGCTTTATCATACTTCCGGCTAACAATGGGATCGTTGATTCCGAGTAGGTGACATAGCCTATACACTTTGTCTGCTGGGTATCGTGACTGTCGTCAATACCTTTGTCACTTCTTTGAAATCACAAAGAGGACCATAGTTGGAAAGGTTTCTTGTCTGATAGAACAATATTATTGTCGAGTCAGGTTTTACACATAATGTAGATACCTACACGTCACTAGAAATATTTAGTCTGGGACAGAAAATTTTAAATATCATCACATTCACCTTCGCATTTCCTCGGTGGTAAACCAGTGCCCTTCTATTTTAGCTATCTGGCATAGCATTTTTATACATTCGTTTTTTCCGAAATAATCACTTAAGAAAAAGAAAAACCCAAACCACCAGGATATTCCCGATGTGTCTCGGGGGCTGTGGCGTCAGCGACGACGATTATTATCCGACACCTAGACAGCAAAGCAGACACCAGTATTCGGGACAAAGTGCAAGACAATATCAAGACACAGCTAGGCCGACGATGGCGTACGAGAATCGCGAACAAGAAGACCAAAACCCTGCGAGATTTTACTACTCTAATCCGCGGTGGCCTAACGGCAGGGTGAAGTATATCGAACCCGATGTTGCTCGTGCCTTCGCCGGACTTCCGGCTAGCGAGTTCCGCGCCGTGTACGACCCAGAGCTCTATTGGAAGTCAAGGAACCAGGCTCAGCAGGCTGCTGCCCAGCGATTTGTCTCTGGCCAGCCGGGCCATTACGACCAAAATAGCGCTCCAGCCTCGCCATCAAACCTCAACCCGAACCATAATCAATACAATCAACAACGACAACAGAATTCACATAGAATAGTCACCGAACAGCCCAGGATGAATAAGGGAATGTCCGCACCTCTAAAACGACGCCCTCTCGTGCATCAACGTGAACTTAGTGGGATGTTCAGGCCTTCGCTCCGCTCACCGATCCCTTCGCGTATCCCCGCTGCTAGGAGAGATAGCAACAATGTCAGCGAGTGTGGTAGCGTTGAAGCGGATGATGGCGATTGGAGGAAACATGAAGTTTCGCCCGTTAGTAGCGATGATGAAGACGGCGGCAACAAGTCGAAGAGATTTCCTGTTTCACCTATGCAGCCCGAGCACAAGAAAACGAGAGCCTATCGAAAGAATGCAGAACAGCACCGCCAAGGATATGATCACTCACAATACTGGCTGTAGTGGGATACTTTAAGGACCTACCAATATACAAAATCGGTGGTGCAATCGTTGGGGAAGATTTCCAAGTGGCTGGGAGCAACTTCGAGAATTGAGTGGCTACCTACCTAGGTAGGTACGGAAGACCCCTCCCTTCACCCCGCGCTCGATATCTGCAGGACACATGGCTTACCTTCGATCTAACTGGATACATCACGATTTGGTTCTGCTTGGAATCGGAGATTAGGAATCGAGTGGACAAAAGAGAACCAAGGACATGATAAGCGTTCGTGTTGAATCTTTTTTTTTTTTCCTCTTTCGTGTGCGTTAGCGTAACATCATCGATAATTTTCCGTACATAACATAATCTTGAATACCTAATTACCCTTAAACGTCTGCCTTCTTCAATGACCTGGATATGCGCGTTCAGGTTACGTATTAGTGATAAGATCTAGATCAAAACGGGAGCGTCAGGCACCGGTATTTTATTGACGCGCAGGCCGTGATGATATGAAAAGGGGTTGAAGCCGTGGGAACCAGTAAGGCTCCCAAATTCGTAGCAATGTCATTGGCCGAAGCTATCGTTACCAACTTTAATGAGATTATAGGGCTGACGAACACAGATAGAGATGCGACAAGAGTACGTGTCGACCAATCGATGCCAAGGTGAGGGGAAATTTTATTAGAGCGGACCGAATCTTGGTCATTCGCATCTCTGCAGATTCGTGAGCTCGCTTATTGGTAACTTGCTCTGTTCTTTCTGCAAGAGACCTGCAAGAGACCGCCAACGCTTGCAATCTGCGTAACCACACTCGAGGGGAATGAGTCAAAGGAAGATGCTTCGGTGTCAATTCTCTATTCGACCCTTGTTGATTTAATGATACGATCTCTTCCATTCAGGGGTCCGGGTTGTGAGGGAGTAAAACAATCATGCATTGAATCCACGGATGCATCTGTTATGTGAGCCTTAATTGTGGAGTGATTTCCGATTGGGAAACAAATGACGAGACTTTTATTGCTCTTGTTGATTTGTTCTTGCTTTTTTGGTCATCATGTGCTTGGCCGGGATTGATAAGAAGGGAAAAGAAAGGTCGAATCAATTCCGATGAGCAAAATGCCGAGCAAACTGGGGACTGATAACCCTCGCACTTTCGCATCTGCGCAGATATTTAGAATGCGAAAGAAGAATACTACCTAACATTATGTATACAGTACCTAAGAAGAATTTAGGACAAAGGGCACGCCATCCCGTCCTAGGTACTAATTTCCAACCAACAGAAAGTTGCTACTATTAATTGACGTCACCAAGTGCTATTCCTATCTGTACTTTTAGCAGTAGACTAGATGAAAATAGTCCCTAAAAAAGTGGCCGTTCGGGAGAACTAGTCTAGACATGTCCGACCCGGAGTAATTCTTTCCCCTAAATTCGGCCACTGAACAAATCCGAGTATCCCCTGAAACCCCTAAGCCGAGTCCGAATAATGCGATGGACTAGTTGCTAGTGTATTGAAACAATTAATTGACAGATATCCATGACTGTTGGTTGGCTATGTTTTGGTAGTTGGTGGATTCAGGACACTTGCCCATTCAAAATTGACTTGCAATGTTCTTTGCTTCTTGATCGTCACACGGACAAGGGAATAGATTGGCAGATTGGACGATGGATAAAAAACGTGGAATAGCGACGTTGCCGGACCTAGTGGCAGCTTACAGTAGTAGGGGTACCGTGCGGGCGGCGGGTTAAACTTTTGTATCACCTACCCAAGTAGGTATTAATAATATGTTTAATTGATACTTTATTTTCAAGGCTTAGCCCCAACGGCACCAACACAGCTTGTCGATCTCGAGAAAATAAAGCCAGCACACTTGTCATTTATGCATGCATGCATCTCCCCATGGATTATTTAAGCTTGTTTCTGTCACTTTCCTCACTGAGTAATATACCGACCTACCTTCGGACTTTATAGCTTTGGCTACGTATAACCTCCATTACATCAACGGGAATAATTAATCGACTTGGTGAATGTGCTGCATGCATATAATACTGTTTGTCTTTTTGGTAATACAACGGTAATGTCCTGTTAGTAGCTATAAACGAAACAACAGATATTAGACCATACGTCCGTAGCGTAGCTGAATTGATGAATGGCATGATGTATGGGACCTTTTTGACTAGTAAGGGGAATGGTAACGAAATAATAGTTTACATTGAGCGGTTCGCCGTTGCTCTTAACGGTTTAGCGTGAGGCGCTGGGAAGGCGCAGCTGAGTTGCATCTGCCCTAAGAGGAACAGTACCTGGGTAGGACTTTTGATAGCGTCTACAGGTATTGAATGTTAGTACGGAAGTGACGGCCGACCTAGACTTGCAGTGGATTACAGTGGGTTCTACTTTTAGCTACATCATGCACGACTTATAGAGGTCGGACCAGTGACAAAGCAGGGGTTCCCACGACTGGACTCCACAATGGACGGCTGCTGCCTAAAATCTATCTCCATCCTTTTGAACGTCCTCCCATCATGGCCGAAACTCTAAACCCTCCCTCGATTTCCTCGCCGTTTTCTATCGACGAAGCACACTCGTAACCTTCGGCTTGGCTTATTAACAATATCACAAACCCATTTTCTAAGGCTGCCACATTTCTTTTTTGTCCTATAGTGTCCTATTATTTTTGTCCTACTTGATGCACAACCTACGTGGGTAGTTTATGAAGGACGCGCCATTCTTCTTTATTGAAGTCGGCCGAATTGTGCCAATTCCTGTATTATTCTATTTTCCGCCCACCTCTTCCGACTCTTTATCTCGAGTTCTCGCAAATCGCGCTACTGCGTTTACGAGCACTGTCAATTGTTCGGTTTCTCTATATCATTTTGCCGCTCTTCAAGTAAGGACGAACTCCCCTGGACTCATCCCCCGACACACACTCTTCACTGTACACCTTTCATCCTACCTTCTATATATTCGGCTTGCCGTCTCGTCCGAGACCTATCGATTGACCAATGTCAAGTTGGCAATTGTGATATCTGCTTGATACCTCAGGCCATCATTACTGAACTCGGTGTGGAGGGCACGATTCTTGTGACTCATAGGCCTGCTCAGCCTTATAGTGCATATCTGTACTAACCATTGTCGTTTCTTGACACAGTTTCTAACAACGATATCTCCCATCTCCATTCTATATATCTAATTTGTACCCCACACCCCGTTCTATCGAGTCATCCATCATGTCCTTCTCCAACCCTCGAAGGACCACTCCGGTGACTCGCCCGGATTCTGGTTCCGGAAATGGCCTGAGCCTTAAGACGAATCTGGCACTACAGAAAGGTGCCACTTTCCACTCTCCGTCCAGCCCATCGGCCTCTACCTCGTTCAAAGTTCCTTCGCTACCTCGTCGTTCCCAAACCAGCCTCGATGATGTTGTTGGTGCTCACGTTCGTCGCGCTGCCCTGAACATCGGCAAGTTTGAGGATACCTTGTCAGCGGCCAAGGCCAAGTCTTCGTCGTCATCCAACCCGTGTTTGGACGACTGTCTTCCTATTCCTAGAGGTTTCTTGGACCACACCATTGGAGACACCATGTCGGATGACGCTTCATCCCAGGAGACGGAGCGGCGCGTATTGCGCCCTCGCAACCGTCGCTCATCTCGTAACCATGAATCCGACAGTGGGCTAGGAACATCTATTGCCTCCACCCACCAGAAGCGAAAAGAGGCCAAGACGTCTGGAACCACTGCCTCAGCTATCACTCGTTCTGTCACTGCTTCAAAGACGCATAATAGTCAACGTCTTAGCGAACGAGCTAAGAACCGTATTCATGAACATATTCTGAAACCGTTATTGAACGACCGTACACTCAAGGATTTCCGACCCATTGTCCTTGACTGTCCCAGAAGGATCCAGGAGGCACAAATTGTTTGTCTCAGGGATCTCGAGAAGACCCTAATCTTTATGGCACCGGTGAGTCAACTAATGAAAGACCCTGGCGTCTGTGGAGTTACTTACCGTTCGTTGTGGATGAAGGAGAGAGCAAAGTCTGTCGAACTGTATCGTGATTTTTGCCTTACCTCAATTCGATGCATCCAAGCGACCGTCGAATACCTTAGCGACCGAGAGCAAACCCGACCTCACGACCGACCTTATAGCAACGGTTATTTCATTGATCTCGTCGAACAAATCCGCCAACACGCACAACAGATGCAAGAGGCTCGCAGTAGGCAAGCCGCCGGAGAAGAGCTAGGAGAAATGGATATTGACCCGTATGGTCCCCTGTATCTATCTGGGAGTTGCGATTTTACTAATTTGGTACATAGGACTGATGAGGTCAAGCTCATGGGTGGCCTTACTACCAATGGACGGCCCGCTGAGTTGGTGCGTGTGAAGAAGAACGGCAAAGCCATCTCTATTGCTACAGGCGAACCTATTGAGGACTACGAGGAAGAAACGAAGGGTCCGATTCGATTTAAGCGATCAATGAGCGAGCAAGCTGAGGACGAGGAAGAAATCATGCGATCCATGGCTCGCCGAAAGAAGAATGCTTCCCCTGAAGAGCTTGCACCTAAGAAATGTAATCACCCTGGTTGCAATAAGGAGTTCAAGAGACCTTGTGACTTGACGAAGCATGAGAAAACTCACTCTCGTCCTTGGAAATGTCCCATTTCCACCTGCAAATACCATGACTATGGCTGGCCTACCGAAAAAGAGATGGACCGACATGTCAACGACAAACACTCGGCAGCCCCCCCTATGTACGAATGCCACTTCAAGCCATGCCCCTATAAGTCGAAGCGCGAATCCAATTGCAAGCAGCATATGGAGAAAGCACACGGCTGGACTTACGTTCGCACTAAGACCAATGGTCAGAAAAAGTCGAGCAAAGCCGGCAGCTCCGCCCAGCCTACACCCCTTATCAAAGGCCTACCTACTCCTAGCAGTGATCAGACAGACTCTGTTATGACACCTCCCGAGGACTCTCTCTTTGGACAGTACAACGATCATGACTTCCCGGCCTATCCTTCAGATCAGGAATTCAACGCTAGCTTATTCGATCACCAGACGTTTGACGGAAATCTTCAGTTGGACTTCTCTCCAATTGATAATAGCACACCCTCTACCACTGACTCTGATCAATTCAACACCTACGAGGACCTCAGTCCTGAATTTACCGGTCAATTTGAGGATATCTACGGTGCTCATGTACGAGTACCGACACCCGCAGACTCTCTATATAATAAGGACGTGGGTGCGTTCGTTGGTCTTGCTGTGGATAATTGCCAACAAGACCCCTTGCCGCATTTGTCTGCCGGCCAAGGAAACCACCTCATGTTGACGCCGCCAACCATGGTAGATGAAGGTTTTGAGGATTTCCAGCCCGCCAACCAGTTCGGCCAAGATTTCCCTCTTTTCCCAGCAACTTCCATGGAGAAGACCACTGAGTTTGGCAATAATCTTTTCGGAGCCATCCCGCCCAGTCTTGCTGCTGGCTACAGCCAGCCATCATCCCAAGACTTCAACATCGATTATAATCCACAAATGGATTGGTCTGCCGACTTTCAGGGGTTCCCTAATTAGTCGTAAGTGACCAGTGTCAGCTCCTGAGGTAGCTGTCGAATGAAAGGCTGTTTCGATAGTGGGCGTTCTAAGTATGCTTTCTTATCGTTCATAGCTCTGTTCCTATTTTGAATGATGTAACGATGATGATCAATTGTTTTCGGGCAAGACAACAAGGAAAAAAACTTAGCCCAGAATGTTTTCCGCGGAAGAGAGCTAGATAGACAAGGCTCTGCTTGTCCCCGTGTACAGATTTACGTTGCTTTTGATTTGGCTTCTTTTCTGAGTGACATCCCACGAAATGTTCACATAGTTGTAGTAAGAAGTTACCTCTGGAAATACAGCCTTGAGGATTGTGGCATTTTAGTTTGAGAGCGAGGAATGAAGAGTTCATCTCCTATAATGAGAGTCTATTCAAGCATTTTGATCTCAACCATGAATATGTGAATCTTAAGATGTGCTTTGACCTCATGTCACGATGATTGCTATGAGTGTTTGCACTGTGGGGCGGGAAGTACCTAGGTATTTGGGTTGTTGGACTTGTGCTCGGGATGTAGCAGGTGGCTGGCAGCTGTTGAGAGACCCACCTTTGAACTTGATCCACACCTAAATTTATTTAGCAAAGGTTTTTTTTTTCGAACTCTTCATCCTCTGCACTTCTCAACTCAGAATGAGATGTCCTTCGCGTAGAGAGCTATATCCCGTCAGATTTACTCCAATCGCCTGCTTTAAGGACATCTCATTCTTTATATTATAAATGGTACGTTATTTAATATTTTTATTGATACTATGTTTTACGCAGGGCTATTGCTATGATGACCCCGACACCGCAAGTGTCGAACCTTACCTCTCAAACATAGGAAGAGCCGTATGAGACCGCCTTCGAGGAAGGCCATTCGCAGGTCTCCTGCTTACTGGTTTTTCTTCCTTCGGCCGAACTATCGCGAATCCCCGCATCTGCTTGCCGGCCGTATAGGCGCCGCGTGTGCATCGTCATGTGCTTGCCGCGGGCTTGGTTGTCGGTAGGTGAGATGTGTGGGATCCGGTGGCAAGGTGGGGGTGTGTTGTGCTTAGATTATTTTGGTTTCTGATTACTATTTATATGACCCGCGTTGTTTTTTTTTTTTTTTTTCACCCTCGTTGGGGGGCTTGGATAGGTCGGGAGTTTCGGATTGCTGACTTGTTTATTAGGATTTGCGTCGATTATGTGGTAAGCGATGGGTGGAGATTATGCGTGGTGGCGGAGGGATATGAGAGACTCGGATAGTAAATGGGTTAAAATCGTTATTCATGGTATCTATTTGACTGAATGGAGAGGTAATGGTCATAAAAGTGACCTTGGACAAAATTATATAGCTTAGGTAGTCATAGTCGTAGTCAATGACAGGTTTTAGTCTAGACCAACCCATTCCTAACCCCAAAACTCCTGCCTCTATAGCGATACGAACACCCTTTTTGATGCGGCTGAAAAGACATTGGTCCTCATTACAACGAATTATTTGAACGCCCTAAACTATGCCGCACGCAATCATTACAATAGTCGCACTCACCAAGCCTCCCATTTAGCCAACTCTTCCAGACTAGATACGTCGTCTGTCAAGCCTTGATATCCTTCAATTTGGCACCGTTTGCTATATTGTCTTGGGAGTCCTTAACCATGAAGCTAGTCGCCAAGTTTAGCATAGAAATCCTTGATATACACTTAAGGGCAAATAAAAGAGCCAACTTACTTGTACCACAATATAGTAGGGCCAATCGTCCCTAAATGCCATAGACTATGAGCGTCTAGAGCTCCCCATAGTGGTGGGAAGTCGAGTAACTCTAGACTCATGACCATCATAAGCCAGGCAACAGCTACACCAGGCCAGATAGCCCAAGTCTGACGGTTCTCCTTCCACCTCTTCCAACTGAAGTAGCTCCAAAGCGCGTTCTGGACTAGGCCCACGGTCACATTGGCTGCCATATTGTACGTGTAATTCCATTTCCAGAGCTTAAGATATGCAACGTGCGCGATGTACATTATGCAACATAGTATAGTCCATAGTCTTAACACGCTTTCTCGTCTCGGCGTCGGTCGATCGAGGCGGAAGACGCGCACGGGGGTATAGTACATGCCATACAAAACGGAAGCGCCGGCCGCGAAGTAATCAAGTTGTTCGGTGACAGCGAAATCGCGGGTGTGGAATAGCGTGCTGAAAACCCAGGAAGCGCCGCCGAAAAAGGCGAACATGATGTAGTATTTGCGGAGAGGGTACGAGGCCGGCAGTTCGCGGCGCAGCTTGGTGAGTCCCCAGTTATGCGCGGCGAGGTTACCCAGGCTGAAGATCACTGAGAACGGCTCTTGTATGCCTAGGACGCGGATGAAGGGCCATTTTCCGTGGAATTGGGTTATTGGTTGGGAGGTCGCTAGGCGTTGTTGCGTTATGATGTGCTGGCAAGTGTAGTCGCATTCTTGTGGGCAGGTCCAGAGGAGCAGGCGGCGGTGGATGGCTAGAGAGGGGGGTTTAATGTTAATTCGAGGTATTCATTTATCGTGACACAAGCGGAGATGGGAGTTTCGGAGTAATTGTAAATTCGCGGGTAGAGGGACATACGGATATGGGTTGGATTATTGTTCGGGTCGCAGTTCTCACGCGCGCAGACCTATATACCGATTCACACCGTCTAAGTTAGTCAATTGCTTTCTTTAAATATTATATACCTCTATACACGATCTCCGCCAATGCTTCCCCTCCCTTTTTTTCTTTTTTATCTTCTCCCGCATTGACCGTTATAGCTTCATACTGTATAGGTGTGTAAGACGAACCTGGACACATTCTCGGAACTCGGGCAGCCGGTCGCCGAGTGAAGCTTCGGCAATCCCCCATAGCAAGCAGACGGCGACGAGGAGGGACGTCAGTAATGATGATGGGCGAAGCATCTTGTCTGCATCGGGTCGAAGCTTGTATCCAAAGAAGAGGGAAGGGAAAGCAAGAAAGAAACTTTCCCCGAGCAGAGAGGAGAGCCTGGGGAAAGGAAAATCTGTCCAGGCAACCGGGACCGCTGACAGCTTGTTCTTGTTCTGATTGGATCCAGATGGTGGATGTAACAGCGGATTTTGGCAGCGGTTTAGGTGGTTTAGGTGGTTTAGGGGGCGGCTCAGTGGGGTAAGCTATGCTGCACGAGGCCCCCAACGGCCAGTGGAAGGTCGATCGTCATAGCGTGGTTGAATGCGAGTAACAACGGTCTAACGCTCTAAGAATAGTAAAGTTGACGTATTTTGGTACCCGATACCCCGGATTCTTAGCCCTAATTCAGGACCTATTTCGTGCTGCCCAGGTGGTAACTTCCCTGCATTCATTGCTTACTCTCACTATATTTTGGTACCTGGAAAATGTACTCCCCTTCTAATAAATAAGCTTCGAGTCTTGGTACTAGAGTCTCTTTCGTCCTCGTCTCAATAAGCCTTCCGAGACGGTTGAGCGATTGATACAATCGTTTCTCAATCGGTCGGACACGGAACAAATCTTACTCTTGAACTGTCTTAGGTCAATTCAAAAGAAGGCAATTTCCGGTGAAACAATGCGCAGTGGTATCGCTTCGCTAGCAGCAACCCATAATACGATGGGATTGCTTTCGAGTTAGGAACCTTCCTAGCTCGATCAACACTATGCGCCATCATCGAAGCATCCAACAACTTGCGTAGTGCAATGCAATCGGCTATCAATGATGATGGTCATTAAAACACGACATGCTCAATAATCACGGTAAAGTAAAGGCCCATATGAGCTTTATAGGGCCTATGAGCCGCAATTTTGGTACGAATTTGGTATCTAGCACAACGCGGAGGACTTCCCTCCGCGGGCGATTATAATACCGTCCGTATAACATCATGATGTCTATATGTCTATATGCCAGCAGTAGATTCATACTGCTGTTTTTCTTGACTTTCATTCTTTTCCTTTAGATCAGATCCAGACTCTAGCCATGATGAGGTTAATTTTGCTCGTTCTATCCGCCACGGCGGCGCTTACCTCGCCTCTTCGCCGAAGCGCAGCGAAGTTATCGCCTGTTACGCGTAATGGAACTACCCTATTAGTTGACGGCAAGGCTTGGAAAGCTGTTGGTCCAAATGTCTACTGGTTAGGCCTTGATGAGAATGTGACGCCACCGGAGGGTGAGCCGTTTTACGCCCCCACTAAGGCCAGTTACCCTACCAAAGAACGTATCACCGAAGTGATGGCGACAGTGCAGGCTTTGGGAGGAACAATGATCCGCGGGCACACACTGGGTATCAGCACTGGGAACCCCCTAAGTGTTGTGCCCGAACCAGGAGTTGTTAACGAGAGAGCCTTCGAACCAATTGACTGGGCCGTCTATCAAGCTGGAGTTTATGGTGTCAGGTTGCTCATACCGCTAGTAGACAATTATGTTAGCTTCTATGGCAAGAAACTTCAAAGGACCATCAGCTCATACATCAACAGGACTACTATCATGGAGGGAAATACAACTTCCTTCGATGGGGAGGTTTCGACCTTAACCAGAGGAGGGATGAAAAAAATCCTCAAGTTCAACAGTTCTATACTAACGAAACCATCGTTGCAACCTTCAAAGATTATGTCAAGACGATCATTACACACAGGAACCAGTACAATAACTTGACCTTCGCCGAGGACCCTACGATCTTCGCATATGAGACAGGTAATGAACTTCTTGGTCCTGTCTGGGGTGATATGAACTCGCCAGCGGATTGGGTCCAGGATATCGCGAAATATGTTAAGAGCCTTGCTCCGCAGAAGCTCGTCGGTATGTGTGAAATTGTTTCATATGCCACTATTTAGCCATTCAACGTCCCTGCAATGAAGGAGGCCCATGAAAAAAAAAAAAACTAGAATACTGATATGCGTGTAGTTGATGGAACATATGGCGTCAACAGCACTCATTTAGGCATCGAGGAAGTTGACATTTTCTCCGACCATATGTACCCTGTCGACACAACCAAACTTCAAAACGACATCAAATTAGTCGAAACAGCCGAAAAACCTTTATTCATTGGTGAATATGATTGGGTAGGTGGAAATACTGCGAATCTGCAATCAATGTTCAAGGCCATTGAGGAGAGCCCGGTTATTGTCGGCGACACTTTCTGGAGTCAATTCGGACATAATGCTCCGGACTGTACTGTAAGTGATCTGAGATCAAACTTGGTTTCGTCTTAGCGAAGTCTCTAATCAAATCGTAGGCCTACGTGGATCATAGCGATGGTCTCGCCTTACAATATGGAAACCCGAAGAATACCGCGAACCAAAATAGCCGGATTCAACTCATCAGGAAGCACTTCATTGCCATGAGCCAGGGTAAAGAGATTGCGGCGGACGAGCCTTTGCCTGCTGTGCCGTGCCCGGCTCCTACATCTCCATCGTCTCGTTAAGATTATAGCAATACTTAAAAACGAAACGATAGAAAGCTAGCTTTGTCATGAATTGTGCAGATAGTCTCACGAATTGAATTCATTTATTGCAGCTTTCAAATTTATCCTCTACAACGCTATAGGCCGTATGTCTATGCTGAATGCTACTATATCATCTCACTTTTCTTTGCTCAGGTTATGATGAGAATTTCGATTTCGAACTCACAGTAATCCATCTCAAGATCCAAAATTGGACATTCATACTTTCATTTACTATGTTCATAACACGTAAAGACTCGCTTTCCTGGTCAAAAAACCACCTAACTTTTCACCCCTATTTTTTGAGACCCCGCGAGCCGTCCACACCACCTATTCCCACCCCCCTCTTCCCTCCACTTACTTTAAATCATCATCATATATCCACTTTCGATATACCGATACGAGACCGACTAACCCCCGTATGCCTTCACGATAGCGGCGACCTTGTTGGCAAGCTCGTCCGCCTCAGATCTCGTCGCGGCCTCCGCGTATACTCTGCATGCGTTTTCCGTACCGCTTGCTCTGGCGAAGGAACGGGCGTTCGTGTACTTCTTGACGACCTTGTCGATTTCTTCTTGACAGTTTTCGGGGTGACTTAATTTCCTCTCAGCATCTGTAGTCCTGAATAGGTCCTTATTGCCGACTTCCACGCGCACGAGGCGGTTGGGAAGGTCTTGATATGTCATGGCCCAGTCTCGTAGCGACCACCCCTTGTGGGCTAGGATTACTTCGACCAGAAGCATATCTGATATGGCATCTCCGACGGTCTGATTGATGAGATCTCCCAAAGCGCTTAGGGTTTCGAGAGCATCCTTCTGTGCTGGCGACTGGGGCTCCTTCGTCTTAAACGTCTGGAGAGCATCTTGAGAGAAGAGTACAGTACCGTGACCGTTGGCCTCGAAGTATACACCGATATCGTAAGAGCAGGCAGCGTGGTGGAGATGCTTGACACCGGTAGGCGTGCAGACTACAGGGATTTGCAAGTGTTGCTCGACGTACTTTGTGCTGGATCCATTGGCATAGGCTGTCTGGATAAGGCCAATACGGAGTTGACCTTCTAAGCCGGCAGTGCGGATAAGATCTGCGATGAATGATGCAGCTAGCGTGGCAATACGATCGCCATCAAGCATGAAGAAACTAGTCTCAGGGTCGATCCAGTAGTAAATAAGGCGGTCAGCATCACCATCCAAAGAGCACCACCTCTCACCAGGAGCGGGCTTTGGGTTGGCGGGTGCTCGTTGCCTAGTCTTGACGAAATCGGCACCACAGTCCAAGTTCAAAACTTCTGGGCGCAATACGTCATCGTTGCAAACCCTTACCTCCAATCCCGTCTTTGCAGGGTCGTGGACTTTGAGCAATTCGCTAAGCTTTGGTCCACCAACACCATTGGCACAATCAACGGATAACTTCCCAGTGATCTTACGTCCTCGTAGAGCACGATAGAAAGCCTCGACAAGCTTCTTGTAGTATCCCGCCTCACTAACTTCGCCATATGCACCAGGTGTACCAGCAGTATTGATACAACGAGTCAGGTAGTGAAGTTGAGGGGTTGTAAGGATCTTATAATCGATAAACGTCGTATTTGTAGAAGCTAACGAATCGCTGAGGGCTGTGATGAGGGTTTTACCCGAGGGACGAGTGTCTCGGCCGGCGATGACCTTGCCGGGGGAGGTCAAGTCGATCTTTAGGGAATCGGCGAGCTTGTAAAAGTAATCGACGAGTTCATCGTGGCTCGGAGCGTTTACGAGATTCGTAGCATGTACTTCCCACTCTTGCTCAAGCATATCACCCATAGGATCAACAATCTTGACACCGTTATCCACCGCAGGATTGTGGCTAGCGGTGATCATTACGCCGATCGTCTGACCGTTCAATTTACGGCTTCGAAGAGCTGATAGTAGACCGACTCGGAAGGTGACGCCGTCTAGGAGATCGGCATTCATACGGAAACCCGCTGTACCATATTTGTATAGCCTTCCGGGGACTATATCGTGCTTCTTAGAAGCGGCGAGGATGGCATCTCGATCCATATTCGGTTAGAGTGCAATAGACTTAGTGTGTAAAGATATCAATTGATTTATTGTTATTTCCAGTCACTCTTTAGTTTCACGATGGAAACAGACGAGAGAAGGGATATGGTCAGATTAAATAAAAAAAAATATTGACCAGTAATCGTCGTCGAAAAAGATTGAGGCTATAAAAGGTTCAAAGTTGTTAATGTTAAGGTCAAGGTGTAGGTCGAAACGAGTAGGCTAATACGAAGCAACCAACCCCTCCTTCGTATAGGTACATAGGTCTAGGTGTATCACCTAACATTCGTAGACGAGGCCCCGCCTTAGGACGCTAGGGAAATCTGACGTTACCCGAGCTGCAGGCTCATAACCACTTAGAGGTTAGGTATCTAGGAGGTGGGGCGGGGTAGTGGCTCACGAGCTCTAAGCTGAAAGTCCTTCCCTCAGCCCTTGCAAGTTTCACGGGGGTATGGGAGGACGTGCTTGCCGCATTAAATCTTATCATTACCCTATTAGGTATGGTATGCTGCACCTAGCCATTTCTCGGTACAAGGTCACATGATTCGGCGACGAACTCTGACATTTCGTCATTCAATCATAAACGCGCTCAATCGCGTCAACTACATAAACCATACATCCATGTCTTGAAGATTGACATGTTCCCGGACAAACGAGATGCCTTCCGATGAGACCTGTGCCAACCCCCTGCTTCTTGGATGGGTGCAAGAATGGGTTGATCTTGCGCGAGAGCGCAATTCTAAAGGATTGACGACCTATAGGAAGGCCTATGCCGCCCTTAAAGCATGTCCGGTGACCTTCCAACACCCTTCTCAGCTCCAACAGCTGAAGGGGTTTGGACCGAAACTATGCGATCGCTTGACCGATAAAATGCAGAAGCATTGCCAAGAAAATGGACTACCCATGTCTAAGAGACCTAGGCGGTCTACTGTTCCTGGCTTGGCCGACCAAGGCGAGGATGAAGAGGGTGAAGCGCGGCCTCCTAAAAGGCAGAGGAAGGCTAAGCCTTACGTACCAGCCCTTCGGTCTGGTCCTTACGCCATAATAATTGGGCTAGCAACTCTTGAAGAGGGCACGAATAACGGACTCAGCAAGGCACAATTAATCGAGGTAGCGCAACCTCATTGTGATGCATCGTTCACAGCCCCTCCGGATCCAAGGAGCTTTTACACAGCCTGGAATTCTATGAAAACTCTCCTTGATAAGGACCTCGTGTATGAACGCCGTGGACCAACACGAAGGTACCATTTGACAGAGGAAGGATGGGAGGTCGCCCGACGAATTCAACAGACGACGAACCCCAATCAACCTATAGCTGTTCCGCCAAGGTTAAATCCAGCCCCTGAACCTCAGGAGGTTGATCTAACCCCTCCTACACTAAGCGCTCGAGCCCCTTCGTTGGAAATAGAAGATCAACCTAATGAATCGAGCTATGTAGACGTTGTTACCAACGGTAATTCATCGTCTAGTAGTTCATCATTACCCAATTTCCGGCCTATTCGCTTAGGCCCCGGCACCTTCGAGGTTCATCTAGTACTCGATGTCCGCGAGGTCCGGGCAAAGACCGATAGAGACTACAGTAAGCAGATTAAGCCAATGTTGAACTTCCGCGGGCATATATCTCGATATATGCTCTGAATTTTAGTTGGTCGAAAACTCATAGTGGAAAATGCTAATTTCAACTGTCTAGTGCAAAACGAGCTTGCAAAGAAGGGCGTCAACCCAATAATGCGTTCTCTTGAACTCGGTGATGCCATATGGGTTGCCAAGTGTAAAGAGGCTAACTTCCTCTCTCGACTGGGCGCCGAGGGCGATGAAGTCGTACTTGACTATATCGTTGAGAGAAAAAGACTCGATGATTTAATCAGTAGTGTAAAAGACGGCCGCTTCCATGAGCAGAAGTTCCGACTGAAGCGATCCGGAGTTAAGAATGTCGTCTATATTATCGAGGAGATCTCGATGGATGCCGAGACATTAGACAAACGTGCAGAGATGGTACAGTCCGCTATTGGGTCGACACAGGTGGTTAATGGCTTCTTTGTGAAGAAGACGCAGAAGATGGACGATACCATTCGATATCTTACTAGAATGACTATGCTTCTAAAGAAGCAATACGAGAGCAAACCCTTGCTCGTTATCCCTACCGAAGTCCTAACGACTCAGAATTATCTCCCATTACTCGAGCATCTCCGCAAAAAGGAGCCTACAACCGGTCATCACATCACTTATCCTGCATTTGCGTCACTAGCGTCGAAATCCGATATGATGACGCTACGGGATTTATATCTGAAGATGCTGATGTGCACTAGACAAGTTACGGGAGAGAAAGCTCTTGAGATCCAGAGGAGATGGAAGACGCCGTATGACTTCGTGAAAGCTTATGAGGGTTGTGGCGATGGAGACGCTGGCAAGAAACGAAAGCGAGAAATGGTCTCCGATCAGATGGGGAACCTGTTTGGGCGGAAGAAGATCGCGAAACCACTAAGTCAGAAAATCGCAGAAATCTGGACTAATACATGAAATCAATTTGGTAGATGCGTCGAATATGAATTTGAGGCTATCCAAACCGGTGGAGGGCCAATCTCTGGCAAAGTAAGAGTACACGATGAACGAGACCACTGTTATTATGACATGGGGACACCGTTTGTGGCTATTAGGCAACTACTGGGATCCGGTGTTGTATTGAAAGCTTCCGGCAAAGGGCTAACCTAATAACCCCAGTATACAAGAGGGGCGATCCGCAAGGTCATTTCGGTTCTGCGCGTGGAATTGTCATGATTTGAAAGTCGGGGACATGTCAAACAGACAATAAAGTAGTGCCTCTCGATGTCTCGTAGGGTGGACTAAAGTAAGAGTGGGGGAAGATTGCTTGCATCAAGCAGCAAACTCCGAGAGCATCAGGTCTCGTATACACCGTGATGAGAGGAAGCTATGAATTAATGATCTTATAAACTAATGTGATATCACATTCGAAGACTGGTTTTCTAATAATTCCATAGCTCGTCAGATTTGAAGATGTACATGAGCAATTTGCCTTCCGGCTATCCGGAGTTTGGATTACCATCCCTAACAATTTTGCCCAATTCCAGTATATATATCATAGCAGAGCAAGTCGACAATGGAAAAAATTGCTACAAGCAATATACAATCAAAACCCAGCCTATATCTCTTTCTACGAATGTCCCCCCATAGCCTGGGCAACCAAATTCTCCACCATTTCCTCCAAAATCGGCTTCACCAAATTCTCACTTTGTGCACCCAAGTATCCCGTCATACTCTTCTCAGCATACTTCGCCAAAACGTCGACTTCTACATTCACCGTATCACCCGCCACCTTCCTCGCCAACACCACCTTCTCTTGCGTGTACGCAATAAGCATGACCTCGAACCAAGCCGCCGCATCGTCGACTTTGGTAACTGTGAGACTAGTCCCATCGAGCGCGACAAACCCCTTAAACACGATATAACGCAGGGTATCCAGCGACTTCGGCGCGAAGCGGAATGTTAAAGCATTCCCATCTTGGGTAACGGAGACGATTTCCGCGATTGAGTCGACATGCCCTTGTACAAAATGCCCACCCATCCGCGTATCCGCGCGTACTGCTCTTTCTAAATTAACGTGTGAGTCTTTAGCTAAGGAGCCTAGGTTCGTTAGACGTAGGGTCTCGGGCGCGACGCCGACTTTGAAAGTTGGTGGGTGTTGAGTTAGGTTGGTTGCCGTTAGACACACGCCATTGATTGATATGCTGTCGCCGAGCTGGGCGTCGGCGAGTAGGGTGGAGGATTCGGGGAGTGTGATGGTTAGGGATGTACCGCCGGTTTCATCGTGTGGGTTGAGTTCGGCTACCACTGTACACCGGTCGGATTAGTGATTGTTTACTGAAGTTATTTTACCCCGCTATGCCCCCTTATGAAAGAGAAGAAATGAACATAATTAAGGGAGCAATTACCTCCAATCTCCTCAACTAGTCCGGTAAACATATTCGCAGAAATGAGCTTTAGCTAGCTCAATGAATGGCTGTTGTTGTTTTAGGGGTGGAAGAGAGAACTAGGATTATTATTCGGCTTGCCGCAAGAATGACGTTGTCTGGTCCGATATAGAAGCTTTGATGTCTTCACCCCGCTATCACATGCTACGGAACCTATTCCGCGCTAAAGAGGACCCTTAATTCTTGAAAGAAGACCCTGTAATCTGCCCGCTATGGGTACAATTTATATACCAAGCGGCATGCTGCACAGCAAACATTTACTGCACCTTACCGCTCCGTCAGAGACCTGCATAACCGGTTCAATAGAAACTCGTCACCGTTATATTAAGAAGCCCAGTCACTAAGAAACAATACAGAAACGATTATTTTTCATAGACAACAAAGAAGTGTGGGCAGAATGCAGGAAATTTTGTTAAACCTGTCTAATTTGCCGTAACGGTGTGGGTATTGACTGACCCATCAACCTCTAGATCATCACTACTCTATCGTGGTATCTTGAGGGACGTGTAGGAGTTACAGTGTATCGTAATCTTCATCAGTCATCGCAATTACCCCCCATATATCCCTTCCATTTGTTGGTAATCGGCCATCCGTCTTCCTCCCGAGCCCTAGACTAAAGGGCGGATTTTGTACCTCTCAACGCCATTCAGACCAGTCGCCATGCGATTATGTGGTATGCAAGTTAAGTAAAGCAATTACTAGTTAGTAGCAAGTCTTTCGTTAGACCGGCCTCTATCCATTGGAAAGATGCTCGTCGGTTCGTCTTATACATCTATAAAGACAGTAAAGCATTTGAAATCTCTCTCAAATGAGTCTTCTTTAGCACATCTTGTACTCGGAGGATCCCTCAACGTATCGTGTAGCGTCTTGCGTGTCGAGTAGATAGTCAATCTTGATATCAAGATCTCGGCGGTTCTTCTCGTTAGGCTTCACGTCTAGCTTGACGCTAATCTCTTCGCCTTGCTGAACGGTGAGGACGTGGCTTAGGTAGAAAACCGTCTGCTTCCAGTGTGTGTACTTTGTATGGGGACCAGTAGAGAAACGGATCGGCTTGTGGCATGCCGTGAAGTCGATATCGAACCATGCTACTAGGGCATGCACAAAATCGTCGCGTCGGCTGGTGAGCTTGAAGGGGATGGAGAAGGCAAGGTCGGCCGTGGTACACTTGTACAAGTCAAGAGTCAAGACAGCAGTGGGGTCAGTTACAGCGGCTTTAACTTCAACTGTGTCAACCAGGGGCTCAGCGAGAGCAGTCTCCTTGAGCGGAGTGTAATCAAATCCGTAGACGTTGTCCCAGACTATAACCGATTAGCTTAGCCCGAACAATCACTCGGACCAAAACTTACATCCGATCTTCTCATCCTTGTACTCGCCATCCTCAATACCGCATGCGAAGATGGTGGCCTTGTCGGGGAAGATCAATCCATCCTTAGCAAGGTACCTGTCACGGGCGTATAGAACAGTATCGAGCATGCTCTCGTAGAGAAGGAAATAGCCCATCCACTCTGAGATGATGATGTCGACTTGCGGGAAGGGTAATTCGATCTCTTCCATCTTGCCCTGAATTAGAGTGATCTTGTCTTCCATGCCATTGCATTTGACAATTTCCTTAGCCTTGAAGATGATGGTTGACATATCGACACCAATAACGTGCTTTGCTCCAGCTCGGACAGCGAACCTACATAGAGGGAGTGACATTAGCATTAATCTAACTGGGTAGGCGACAAGTGAATTAAAGCAAAGTGACTTACATGGAGAGGATAGCAGTTCCGCAACCAACGTCAAGAACGACCTTGTCCTTGAAAAGGTGCTTATTTTGCACAATGGCATTCATGTAGGACTTTGTGCGGACTTCATCTTTCTATACGAGGAGACAATGCTTAGTTAGTCAAGTGAAACCTTGCAGGGCGATTTGATTCTATGAGTATAGAGTACATACCAACATCTCCTCGTGTATTCCTACGTCGCAAGAAATTCTTGTTAGTTAAAACATTCAACATCGTGATATCAAGTCGCAAAGAATGCATACCGTGGTGATTGTAGCTGTTGTGAGACAAGTATTAGCTAAAGCCTTACATCGCAGACACAGGACGCAAGGGTGACAACGATTTATGAAATTTATGCGATGCGCACAAGAAACTGACCTGTTGAAATAATGCTGCTCAGAATGGGCCATGCCCTTGAGCTTCTGCTCAGCAGCCTCAACTTCCGTATTGTTAGTCGCCATTGTGAAAAGAGGTACGGCGCAATCCTAAAATTCGTTCTTGAAAAGTTGAATTGGGAAGAAGGATAAGGATTGGGCTCGACAGGCGAGTAGGTACGAAGTAAGGTTTACTTTTTTTTTTTTTTTTTCTTTTGGATTGGAGCCACTGTACGGCGACTAACCACTGTACGACGGATCTAGACCGAAAACCCCCACTATTTTCCTCAAATACGCGCCTAAGGCGCGCTCCTTGCCCTCTAGCGCTCCTACTCTTAATGCTACCCCACCGGAAACGGAGAAAAAATGCTCCTCCTTAACTTTATAGGAAGGTTACACAAGACGAAATTTATCTTAGTAGCACCGCAGCCGTACTTTATCTTTTTTTCTTCTTCTGCTTTCACGTTCTTGTTTACAGCAGAAACTTTGGTATTAATCGACTGAGACAGCTCCCCATCATGAGCTTTACAATTCATTCGTACTGTCAAGTCACCTAGGCAACTATAGAATAACTAACCCACATTTACCCTGCAATTCAATCGACCTGTTTGTTATTTCATTTGCTGGTGTCGATATACATTTGGTCATATCCGACAATATCCCATTCAAAAGTATCAGTATTGAGCGTGAGATTCGTGGGATTGGTCTTGCCTCCTCTCACTACGAAACAATATATTAGCATAAGAAAGAAAGTGAACATGAATTCGAAGGCACACTTACAATAACCAGCCTCGACAGAGCCCCCAGCAACCGGGCGAGAAAGCCTACCCTCACTGGCCAAAACCGTGAAATTTGCCAATGGCAAATCCCACGAATTCCTAGATGCAACACTAGGCGAGCCATAGTATCGCGCCTCGAGCTTCTCAGGGGTTACCGAAAGCAGGAAGTACCCTCGGTAGTACCCATCTTGCCATTGAAGCTCCGTGTTATTTCCCACGCGGTTCTGCGCCTCGGCCCGTGCGGGAGCAATGAGTCCATTGTATCCCGTGGAGCTAACGGCCGTTCCGGCGAACTCAACGCCCACGGAACCTTCTCCTGTCTCTGGATCATATGACTTCTCGTCCAACCAAACGAGGTCGGATACCTATATTTTGTGAGCAGGTCGATTTCATATAAAAATAGGGGGAACTAAAAGGCGGTTTCTCGTTAACTAACCCAGTTTTGGTGGCTGTCGCCAGCAAGGAATATGGTGTTGGTGATATTGTTGTCGTAAAGGTGCTTCAACGTGCGGTTTCGATTTGCGATGTACCCCTGAAAAGATTAGCGCTCGCCTTTTACGATTTCACCCATTTTTGGCGCAACCAAGTCTTTCAACTTACATTCCAGTTATCGCCACTCAAGCCATAAGATTCAGTTATGTATGAGAAGACGATCTGGTTGCCAATAATGCGCCAAGTCGCGCCTCGTTCAGAAGAGTTTGATAGCTGATTATAAAACCAATGCTCTTGGTGCGAGCCCATTAGCGACCGTGAGGCATCGTTGCGGATAAGGTCGATGTAGTCATCGTTCCAATCTAAATTATGTCAGTGATCTTTATTCGATCTCACGCAGAAATGCTACTCACTCAGTGATGTGATGCTTCGGTCGTAATTACGAGTATCAAGGACGATCAAGTCAAGAACTACAGATACGAGTTAGTTATCGACGGCATTGTGGAGAACAATTGGGTTACACACGGTTACCCATCTGGAAATTTCTCCATACTCTCAGGTTATCATCAAGGTCTACCTGGCTTCGGTAGTGTCAGTAAAAAGTCAACTAATTCGTCTCAGAATCACATATACTTACCGAATAGGCATCCACTCAAAATACGCTCTCACAGCATTCATTTTCCGTTGGTCGACGCTGACACGGCCATCATTCAGGAAAGACTCTTCGGTGTTATTGAGAGCGCTCGCTCCGTCTCTATATCCATTGTCTGAGACTTCTGTATGAACTGCTTAGTCTGTTGTCCCCTCAAAATATACTCCTTCTACCTACCATGATCATCCCAAGTCGAAATCCAGGCGAAATTCTGAGAGGCAAGCCGAAGATCCGGATCGGTACGGTACTATTCTTAATCAGTATCTCCCCACACTTGACTCTTTAGTTCGAAGATTATACGGACCTGGCCATGGCGAGTTCTGTAATCGTGCAGACTGAACAGATATTTTGGCGGATCGTGGGCTCGCTCACCCCCTGCGCTCCCCTCGTAGATATAATCTCCTAAATGAATCTATCTATGTTAACACATAATAATCACCATGGAAACTATGTCACTTACGAAATAGTCTTGCTCGTCCTTACGCGCGGCATTACCATAAGCGTTGAAGTAGCCGTTCGCTTCAAGTCGTAAGTATTACCGCCCGCTTCATTAAAGAAAATATTACTCACGATAGTTACTGCAAGAGAAAACGGCAAATTTCAGTTCCGGCACGTCTACATCAGTTTCGGGGGCAGTCTTCGTCCGCCCAACAGGGCTTGTGTTATTCGATCCGCAAACTGTGAACTGGTAATTGTAAGTGGTGAACGGCTGTAAGCCCGTAGCCTCAACCTACATATAATTCGTTAGCTAAATTGCCAGTACCAGCCAACTTAGGAGGACGCAGAAACAACCTTAATGGTATAATCTATATCACTCGTCGTATACGCCTCGCCGCTAGATACCACATCCTCACTGCCGTTTGCAAGAACCTTCCACTCGACACATATCGGGCTAGGATCTGCGTTGATGTACGTCTGGGTATCATGATTATATAGCGGCACCGGTCCCTCTACTGTGATATTGCTTGTGTCCGATTCTAACGATGGCGCGACTCGGGTCCATAGGATCACACTGTTTGGGTATGGATCCCCCGACGCCACGCCGTGCGTGAAGTTCAGCTCTTCCGCTGCATATACAACATTGCCGCGCTTTAGACTGCGCCTAGATACGTGAGGAACGTCGATCCCAAGGCCAGAGTGACGACGAGAAGGGCTTGCGTAGTTCAGGTTACCATTAAATGAGGCAGCTACCAATGGAGCCAGGAACTCGGTCGCGAGACCAAGGACTGCTAAGGTGAGTTTCATGGTTATAAATTAATGATATGAAATAAGCCCAGACCTGATAGCACACCGTTTAAACACTCATATCGACTAAGTTATATAATACTACTTATATATGTGCTCATTTATACCCATTCTCGCGAGCTAGCCAGTTGGTATACCCTTACCTTACCTACAATACAACCAAGCCATACTTTGACAAGTAAGTAAGTGGGTAGCATGACGACGCAGCATCCAACGTCCAATAACACGATATCCAAATCAAATACGACCATTTCAACAAACCCCAAGAACCAGAACGGAAGGTCAATTCAACTATTGCTGCGCTGTAAGAAAAAGAACGCTCCAATAAATCATCGCGGTTATGAGCACGCGGGGTGGTACTACTTTAAGCCTCGAGGTATTTCGCACGGGAAAACGTGTGTATTGCGACTCTTCTAATTGGTCGACACTTATCGTCAACCCCTCTTATGCACGTTCTCTTCAGCTTTCCGCCCAGTTGATGCGGTGGGTTCCTCGTTTGGTCGTGGAAATCCGGTATATACCGGCTCGGCAGGGCGAAACTGGGATTGGCAATCCGGGATAATACCATGAAGTTGGAGCCGCACGGTTTCCTATACAAGATCCACGGGTTCGGGCTAGAGGCGAGGGACGCCTGAAAAGGTTATAGCTAATCACGACTAGTCAATTAATAAGAGGAACATTTTAAGTGAGGGATGTAATGCTAGCCGTAATAACTCCGCGTATGCAAGTAGTTAAAATGATACGTCAGTTACCTAACCGCACCATCTCTCATGAGGTTCTCTCCACCGTACGCCAAGAATCGCGAATATCTTCTTCTCATCCCGTGCCTCAAGTAACGTTCCTTCGTTTAATCTCTTGTTCCCCTTTCCTCGTACTACGTCCGTGTACAGACCCCGTTGATTTAATCGCATTCCCTTCTTTCGCGCGAGTAGTCGTATCGATCTGTTGAAAATATCGTTACCCGTGAAGTAAATTAGGGCAGCGCCAATTTCAGTTTCTGGCACTAGTAACAAGTCGATACGCCTCCAAATTGGTCGATGTTCTTTTTTGGGACCGGGAAATGCGTGTTCCGGTAGCACACAGCATCCATGCCACTTGCTGCCGCCATCTATGTCATCAGCGCCACCATGGTGCGCAGCAAGCTCGGCGGTAAGGAAGCCCTCTTCCGTTAGGGTACCGACGAGCCGATCTAGAAATGGTGCGAGTTCCTTTGTAGAAGATGTACTTTTCTTAGTAATGATGAAGTCAATATCACCAGAATTATCCGCTCCGCGACGGTAACTACCTCCAACAATCAACTCCACTCTGTGATCAATAGCTGTGGCTGTCTTTTTGACGCAATCAGCTAGGACATCCATTTCCGACCGCGGAATCCGAGTATTCAAGTCGTCGAAATGTTCCAACCCGATTTTCTGGTTGGCGTTCAGCTCGGCTTTATCTCTAAGATCGTCCAGGGTCTTAAATCCCTGCGCAATCCATTTCTGCGCTTGGGATAGACCAACACCGTAAATTTTCACGAACTGGGCTACGATTTTCCTGCGAGGGTCATCTTGCGCGTACTCGAGTTGTCTAAGTCGATTCGTATTGACAATCTCCTCGATCTTGTCCGCAATTCGACCAATATGCGGTAAAGCACGGGCTTCTTCGGCCGTGCATATCTTCTTGGGTTGTGCTCGGAGTGTCGAGATAGCTAATCTGTAAGCCCGAACTCGGAAATCGTCACGAGCGAGTGTATGAACTTCTAACATCCCTTGAAGGACCTTGATTGTTTCGGCATTGGGATTTTTATCGTCGCCGTTCTTCGTGCCGCCCTTCGTGCAAATGAATTTTTCTTGCCAGTCAAGTTTCTTCCGCCGCGAGCCGCCATTGCTGTTGGTTGCTCTCTTTTTCGTTGGTCTTTCGTCATCCGAGGCGTCGGCATCGGACAAGTCGTCTGCATTCGCATCAACCTCAGCTTCATCAGCAGTTGATGGCCTGGTAATATCATCATCGTCCAGCAATGCGCCATCGGTAGTTTTCATCTCGTGTATACATTGCGTAAGGTCGTCATTTGCTTCGATGGCTTCCTCTGGTTCTTCTATGAGTGTCTCCTTCTGCACCTGCGATTGTCGGTGATTCGCTGTTGAACTTCGAGTCCGCGGCCGTTGGGAAGGAGACACCTCACTACTCGACTGAGTATTCGAAGCAGACATATAAGCCCGCCTTGTAGCCTTTTTCCGTCTCGGCTTAAGCTTAAGTGACGTGTCTGATTCACCTTCAGATAACGGTGCTTGGGGTGCTTGCTCGGCCAACGCTGGCACGCCAGCAACCTTGTATTGACCTTGAACGGGGTTGGCGATGATACGACGCCTTAAACAATCGATGGGATAGGTCTCGTTGACGAGAACCTTTTCTGAAAACTTAGGGTCATCTTGGAGATGCCGCTCTATGTCGGCATAGGTAAGCTTCTTGTCAACGATGATATGTGTCGCTCCAGCAAGCTCCCGACACCACCTAGACAATACTCGGTTAGCGGATTCGTTCTAGGTAAACATCGTATGGAATATAGTCTTTGGGGTTTTATTAGGTGTAAGGGACAACTTACGTGGCGCCGTGTTCCCGAGCTTTGGTGATTTGTAGCCTGCGAGCTGGGTTTATATCATCATTGGGGATATAATAGAATGAGAAGTCCTTGAATATTCGTTGTTTCTCAGGGACCAATTTCAGGGGAGCTTCCTTCTTGCGTTTTCCCATCCTGACTAAAGGCGAAGGATCGCTTGGAGGACTGGAATGTCTCGCTGGGTGAACTGACGAACGCGTAGAGCGACGGAGAGGTTGCTTCGTTGGTACGATCTCGGTCTCAGGGACAACACTACTGTCACTAGCGGGTGCACCTGCTAACAAACTTCGGCCGGCAACCTTCGGGTTGTTATTGCCGTTCCCGTTGCTGTTCCCGTTGAGTGGGGTCACTGCTATGATCTCCACGTCCGGGTCGCTACTCGTCGGGATGAGATCCGACACCTTCCTCTTGGTTACCGTAGCACCAAGCTGACTGATTTGTCTTTGCGAAGTCTGTGTGACGGCTGAGGAGGGTTTCGAGGTAACAGAGCGAAAAGCCTTGCTCCTCTGCCTATATGCCTCCTCATCTTCGCCTAAGGTGTCTTTCTCCTCGCAGACCGCGTCAAGGCATTCAAAGAATGCGATTTTATCCCTTAACTCAGGATCCATTAGTTATTACCTGGTAATGATGAAATAAGGTGTATGCTGTAAGTATCCTCCGATTTCCAAGGCCGAAATATGCATTGTATGAATGTCGGGTGTTTTGCTGCATGCACAGTTTGCACCGGGTGACAAATAATATGTCGGGTAGGCATCCGTTAGTGAATACGGTGAATACATAATATTGAGTAACAACCTTCGAGGTCAGGTGGATTTTCGCTGATGCAAAAGGGAAGTTCCATTTATGCCCCTCTAGTCAACCCGCGTGTAGAAGGAACAATTGACCTCGGGAATCCGAAAATGGTAGGTACTGGCAGTGAACTTGTCATTAGTGGAGTCACGCTACTATATCCGAAGTATCGATAAGGTACTCACATTCAATCCGACAAGGATTTCAGCCTATTTCAATATTACTCACTGCCTTCTCACGTACTAACGAAATCCGAGTTGTGTTTATTACATTTTCTTTTTCTCTACTTTCTTTATTTTTATTTCGGATTATAGAAAGCTATTCAGTCTTATTAGACACCTACGTACTCATTCTCGAGTAAATATATGCGATATACTGACACCAAAGGGTATAGAATAATCCTTCGTAACCATCATGTGAAACTCCGAAGCGCCTTTCTCGAGTTATCGCATTAGCGAGCGAGATATCCATCCCCATTAACCTCTCCTGACCCTATTTTCCCTAGTATATAAAGTCCTCGAAAACAAACAAAAAATGGTAGCGTCTCGTCATACGAAAAGGTTTAATGAGGTGATTGTGACGACTGTCCACAATACAGTCGGGAATCCATCAGAGGGATGCTATTCTTTTCTCGGGGGTCGAACGAATTTCCGGCGTCACCCGAATATCGGCTGTTGGCATCCGCCTCGATGTCGTTCAACACCTCCCTTGTGAGCTCTACATAGTCGTACGCGAACTCGCCAATTTCCGCATCGTCAATACCTAGGATTTCGGCATCTTCCGTCGCTCGCAGCTTTAATCCTGGGATTAAGTTGATGATGAACAGAATGATGCATGTTCCGCCAAACGAATAGCATCCTCCGCAGACGGAATCGGCTAGCTGGTATGCTAGTTGGATCCAGTGCTGGTTGATCCAGCCACCAGGTATCACAGTGTATCCATCGAGATGCGCGATGTAATCGGCGGCGAAAAATGCCGTGCAAATGTTCCCAACAAAACCGCCAACGGCGTGTACGGCGAAGATATCCAAGGCATCATCGATGCGCATTAGGAACTTCAGTTTGGTCGCGTAGTTGGCAAAGGCGGCACCAAAAATTCCGTAGATGACAGCAGCCCAAGCGGGGACAAATCCTACGGGGTGTTAGACAGATGTCTTAAACATGGTAGTAAGCGACTTACCTGAACCTGGAGTGATGGCCACAAGGCCGGCAACAACTCCCGAACAGAAACCCACGGTGGACCATTTGCCTTCTAGTCTGTAATCAAGTACACACCACGTAATTCCACCAACGCAAGCCGCCAGGTTTGTTACTACCGCAGCCATAACTGCGCGCAAGTTTGCCGAAAGAGCGCTACCAGCATTGAAACCGAACCAGCCAACCCATAGGAATACCGTTCCGATGACAATGTGAGTAACGTTGTGTGGTCGGTAATTCAACTCGTGTGTGCCGTGACCTCGTCGTTTTCCAAGCATCATCGAATCTAAGTATGCGCACGTTAGTCACAAAAAATTGAGAGCAGTTGTAATAAAATGCAGACTCACATGCAAGTGCAGCTGTGCCAGAGGAAATATGGACAGGAGTGCCACCAGCAAAATCAAGACCTCCCATTTTATTAGACCATCCAGACGGATTCCAAGTCCAGCAAGCAATCGGATCGTATATAATCGTAGACCAAATAAACATGAAAATGACACAGGGAAGCATGCGTCCTCTCTCAGCTACAGCGCCGGTCGCAAGAGCCACGGTAATGGCTGCGAACATTCCTTGGTAAACGGCGAACAAAAGGTCCGGAATCTTCGTAGAGCCTACCGACGGCTGGCCGAGTACATCCTTGAACCCGAAGTTGGTCAAGTCGCCGATATAAGTAGATGCCGAATGCGAAAACGTCAACGAGTATCCCCAGAAGAACCATTGAAAAGTCGTAACAGCAGTGGCCATGACGGAGAGCCATATTAGCGATAGAGCAGATTTACGTCGCGCAAGTCCGGAATAGAAGAAGCTTCAAATTGTAAGTCAATGTTTACCAAAGTGAGGGTATGTTAGTTGAAAACCAGTTACTTACCCAACTCCTGGAATCATAAGAAGCACGAGAGCTGTGGCCGTTATCATCCAAGCGATATCACCACTCTATGCCATCACGTTAGGATAAGGTCTAGAGTGAAATCAGGTGCAAATATGTCTGTTTACTAACCTCGTACCATATATTCAAATCATCGTTTAGGGAATCGCCTCCAGTAGGTCCGGTGCCATTGTATTGAAGTTTAATGATGTAGTTTAGCTTGTCGAGATCGACACCTTCGAGTACCACCATTTTGTCCCGTAGCTTAGCAGAAAGATCGATAAGAGACTAGGAAAATGAAAATGTCGAAATTATTATCGGCTTCACATACGAAAAAGCGAACAGATTCAAAGGAGTGTCAGATAGTTGGATAAAGTCGCTGGTGAGCCTTGCCTGGGGGGAATCGAGTTGAGGGAGATTGGCAGATCAAGTATGTCGGATTTGAGGCTGTGGGATACCAGGGCCGAGGAGAGGTTAATGCAAAGCCGGCAGTAGTAAAACTCGCTATCCACTTAGTAGTTTAGGAGAAGAAGCAAAAGTAAGACAACGATCAGTCTCGTTCGAGTCAATCGACGCGCCTATCAATCATATCAAAATGAGGAACAGCTCCACGGATCCGGAACACGACAAGTCTAAATCTTGAACAATCAATTTGTGTCGAAGCCAGGGAGAAATTTTATTGTTAGCCAGGTCTTATTGTATTGATCAGCGTCGCACATGGGGAAGAGGACGCAGACACACGTATTTAGTGTATGAGCGCAGTATATACATGCGTGAATGTATATAGTATATGTACCGTACACAATGATGTCTGAACGACATCTTAGCTTATCCCCCTTCCAGATATGGGGAGATTGGACCCCAGCTACTGAGTAGGCAAGGGCGTGTGTTGCATGACCTGCGGTCTGCAGGCTCGAGTCATTGTCCGCCTCAGATCGGTGGCCTACCTGAAATAGTAGTAGGAACTACTCCATGCTACCTGTTGACCAGGCGAAGTACTATGTATCATTATGTGTATCAATGTACTAGGTTATGTAGGAAATCAATATAAGCAAGGATTACTCCGACCAGCCCGGAGATATCTACTCGGGCGTTTAGGGGCAGCGATAGGTCGCTGAACAAGCCTCGATACCAGATAATCTTTAATATTGAACACTGATAGCATAGACTATCCAGCTGAGTCCAATCTTGGCTGACTTTGGAATTTCATTATGTTCGGTGCTTCTCGCAAACCTCTCCTCATCACGAGGCAAGTTATGTATCTGAGGTATCACATTGAAGGGGTGGCAATTCAGGCGGCCTTTCCCGCGGCCTTCCGATTTGCGTTGTTGGACGAGAAGGAGATTTCAAGGGTTGTAAAAAGGAAGCTTAAGCTGGGAATAATGATAGCACAGTCCAATGCGCTTCCTTGATAATGTTACACAGCAAAATCAGTAAGCAGGTAGAGATAAGGAGAATGAAGATCCACAATTTGTACCAATCATTAAAGGAAATTTTAGCGTGGGATGTAAGTGGAGTCGAGTAGAGTCCCAGGGAATTGGAGAGGCAGGGTATACCCCTTGCCCCCTAGTATATTCCATCTCCCAGTACCAAACTTTACCGTACGATTGAGATAAGCTCGACCGCCCGCCGCCTAGGGTTTTTTGCCTTCCACCGTACATACCTTCTTAACGTTACTTCTCGATGGCAAGTGCACCCCAAGACGGATCGAAGGACGCAAAGAAGAAATAGCGAACGATTCGCGAATTACGTCTTGCCTTTTTGTTTCCTTATCCCGAAGAGATGACATCAGAGAAGAGCATACATATATATACCTACCTAGTCAACTCAAATTGACTTACATTCCTATTCATATCTTACACAATATCCAAATATGAAAAGAGTCATTCACTATGTTCGAGATCACTTCTAAAATAAACGGTTAACTATGTTCGTTCATCTCTTACAATTGCCAAACTCCATTGTGGCGAATATGTTATCTTTGATATGACAAAATATTATTTCGAATAAACCATGTAATCAGTAGGTAGCGGCACACGGCACACAAACGTACGTGCGTAAAAAAAATCCTCAAACCGCCTCACGTGAAGGTCCGTGTCAACTCTTAACGGCCAATTGCTATATCGGGAAGGTCAGCAACCAATACCTTATGCGATACGGGGTACGTACACCGATCTACGATCGCCCAGGAACCGGTGTAAGACTCGGTCGGTTCCGTCCACTACCTACAAGTCAGCAGTTGTCATCTTCCATTTGATAACTCACAATTGTGAAGTGTTTAGCGTTTGGAAGATCTCGAAACGCTGTGACACACCCCTGCGCTAGTCACTTGTTCTATCGATGGCATCACATATAATCGTGTTGATGAGGCTGAACGGGTCTTAGAGCTTGATCCCCACGATCCACTCAAACGTCCCGATTGAATAGTCCTCATAACGGGGTCCTTCACTGTCTCAACTTCTTCTACCACCTACGCAATGGTATCGTGTATAGTACGTTATCTAGCGGCCCTAGTCATCTATCTATCTCAACCAGCTTTGAACTAAGGCTGCATCTCTTCAGACATATTATGCAACGCTTTGATTAAATATCATCCAGGTTTGAAACTTTGGCTGCAAGCCCAGTCCCTCGGACCGATGTACACGATTTTATCGAAACTGGGGTTTCAATATATTCACTCTATCGTTATCACTAGACACGGAAGGCAGCCGCGAAGTAGGGCTCGTGTTTATGGTTATCGTAGAAGCTTAGCATCGGAAATACGACGGTTTGCGAAAATTCTCTTTCGCGGATACGATCGTGTTTAGTAAGCCATCGAGATGACACCCGGCGGTCTTCTCGAAACAGCATCTGATAAATAGCCCGCTACGATGAGCCACCATAGCCGCGAACGCCTTTGGTTCCGACTTCTTTAGTTAGGAGTCAAATGTTCCAGAACCAGGATGAATCCACTACTAGTATCAAATGGTCCGTCCAGTCGTAACCGGAGATTAAAGAAGGAACTGGTAGTTAGTCTACGCACTTTACCAACGGAATATCCAATCAGAAACGGGCAAATTACAGCGACGTAAACATAAGTATGAGTATCTACGATATGCAACTACCTTCCATAAACAATAGGTTATATGACTAATTACTGCTTGAACACTTAGATATTTAAAATCTACTTTCGCTTCGCGTAGCATTATGGTTTCTTAGTAGAGGCTTGGGGGGAGCGAGGGTTATTTATTGATAATTATTGACAAACATCAAGATAATTAGGGTATCTGTACGTAGAATTACATTAAACCACTCCCCTTTATCTGGTCTGGCCACAAGTGTGCTATAGGAAATCAATCTCATACAAGATAGCCAATCCTTCTGCCATAGGAATCCCAAGCACATACTAAAGCCTTCGGAATTGGACATGTTTACTCGACCTGCCTATGCAAATAGATCAAAATGACTCTCGATTTCACCCCATTCTGAAAGCATAGCTTCTGACACCGGAGCCCTGACCAGTGAGCTGACGATCGTTATACCAAGTCCGTCTACTTCGTGAGCATCGACCACCGTACCATCAGCAAGAGACACTCGGAGTTCGAGGTTGGATTTCAGGAATGGCTCGATATCATCTGCGTGTAAACTTGGTACGGTTCCAGATGCCACCATACCTACCAGGGCTGAGGTTATCGGGATCGTCCCAGAAATCCTGCGATCAGACATTCGACCGTGCAAACCCTTATGAGCGAAGACTCCAAGGCTACCGACTAAACTAGACGCTACTGGCCATGATGATGAGTCAGATGGGACGTCGCCTAAGAAGAGATGAATTGAGAATGAACCGCCCATCGCATGCTTGTTGACTCGTATGTTTGCGATCCATTCACGATACTTATCGCCGATAAAAATCGCGCTTGAAAGACGGGTTGGCGCGTGACTATTCGATGATAATCCGTTTGTCCTATGAAACCCTCGATGACCTAGATGCTTTTCGTGCTTGTTGCTGTGTTGCTGGCTTTTACTAAGCTCCATAAGCATAGAAGCTGGGCTAGATTTCCCATATAGACGATTAATCGAGGCGATAACTTCAGTACGGTTTTTGTTAGCTACCTCGGCGTATGTATAATTAAAAACCTCCAGGTCTCGTACTCCGTCTGCCGTCCAAAAGTGTGTTTCGTTGGAGAAGAATGGCGTGAGGGGCGTCTGAGAATCTTCCACTTCTCCAGGAGAAGTAGTATGGGAAGAATAAACAGCTGATTGAGGAATGACGTATGAATCATTATAAAGAACCTGCCACATTGCAAAGATCCTGTCGACGTTGGCGTGGTGCAACCAGAAGAGCGGATCGAATCCGGAATAGGCAATGATAGCAAGATGTCCATAGACACCTCCTCCAACTATATGAATTGAGTCGTGGATGGACTCGATCGAATCCCAAGTACCGTTGTTATCGTTGGGGATCCAAGCTTCGTTGCTAAAAGTCGTATAATTCGGATAATTGGTAAGTAGGTTGTATACTCGTTGCTGGAAACTTGGCAGGTGAGTATCTAGCGCATGAGCCACGAATGAATTATTCGAGGTCGCATTGGCACTATTCACCGGACGCGGTGCTCTTTTCGTTTCGGTCCATGTGTTATACTTTAATAACCTGGTTAGTTTCCAAGTCCTTGGATCTGGAGGAGTCGGTCTTACTGGGAAATCGGGGAAAATCGACCCGTTAAATGGCTTAAATACGTAACTGAACAGCGGATTGGATATACTCTGGACACCATACGGTCCAGATACATTAACGCTGGATGCACCACCGACGCTTAGAGGAAGGACACTAGTTCCATCGGGAGGTGTAGCAGCCCAGTCCCAATAAGGAATTCGAAAATCTGCCGCGGCTTTTTGGAAGCGGTCTTGGAGGTCAGGTGGATATAGTGAAGCGATGAACTGGATAATGTTATACAAGACTTGCTGGTACCAGGTGGCGTTAGTTTCAGAATTGGGAATACCAAGGATGACACGTAAAACTGGTTAAATTATTTGAAACATACCTCGTACAGAACAAGGTAGGGGCGATGCCAAGGAGGGAAGATAATAGACACATGTGTGCAATATCCGTAGTGTTCGTTGCCAGGAGTTGGTTCAACATCTCCCCAAGTCAACGCGGGGGCGCCATGAATCCCTATCATACACGCGTGAGTTACAATAAGACATGATACTAGCTTTCATTGGCGTACCTGTGATCTGGTACCACGAGAATGGTAAATCTTGATCGGTAAACTGCATATAATTAAGAGCGAGGAGATATAGGTTCCACTTGTCCTCGTCTTTTTGCAAGTCTCGAATATCTGGTCTTTGTGGTATTTTACCATCGACGCGGGGAGGGCCTGTAATAATATGAGACTGAAATGGGTCTCTCTTTCGAAGGCGGTGGTCTGCATGAAAACCGTAGTCATATTGCCCTGGGTGGACAAGGTCGGCGATGGCTAGTGGTAACAGAAAGCTGGCGATGAAGCAGATTTTATAAATGAGTGACATGGCGATCCTTCGATCCGACGCAATCTCTCTGGTGAAGCACGATCCCGGAGTTACTAAGGTACCTAGATATATACAGAAGAATTGTGAAGCAAAGTCGTACAACGCGAAGACGACCGATGCAAAATATTGGCAGGAGTATTGAAGAGAAGAAACAATTAGAAAGCAGGGTAGAATTAACTTGTCCTTTGGGGAGGCGAAAGAAAATGAAGTAAATCGGCTCTGGTGGATGGTCTTTAGTACAATACGTGCGAAGAAGGTATGAGATGACAACGGGGATATTATGATTAATAAAAAAAAACTTGATTATGTCGATGAAAGGAAGTCTAGACCTTCAAATTGCGAATTGAGAAGAATTGAGAATCTATGTTTTAGGAGGTACCTGGGGGAGGCAGGAGGTAGGCATCTACCAATCGACTCAGGATCGTAATGTCCTTAGTTTGGTGCCTGCATCTTGCTTCGGATTGGACTTAATCTTGGGAAACAGCGAGATGAGGTCACCTCGCGATTCCCCCTTTTGCCGACGACCGCCCTCTTACAAACGCTTAAATTCTGAAAGCAGGAGGCAGGAGGCAGGTGCCTGGGGTAATTAAAATTATCAGTAGCTGTAATTACCTAGGTATCGATACTATATTTTACGGTCAGTTGCTCCATCTTAATGAATATTCGGATCCCATCTCTTTACTCTTCATAGGAGACAGCGGGTATCTTGGTAATAAGATGGGAACCCGCGTTTGAAGGGACGCTGGCCCTTAAAACTTTTCAACATCATTAAACCCAGAACACCTATCAGAATTCATAACAAGGGCCCGTCAATTGGGTAGCCACGCAAATTACTTGAACGAACGGCGCCGCGCATGACTGCTTGCGTGGATACACGGGAAGGTAGCCGTTCTGAGACAAACTGGGTAGTTGGTCATCACGCCGGCTACTTGCATGTCGTGTCGCTAGCGATGTGACAGTACCTAGCCGACGTCCTCAATAACCAATTTAAAGACATTTCCAGAACGACCTTAGGATATATACTTAGTTTAGAAAATCAATTATTTGTTTGTATTACTGGTACCGAAACTGTCCATTTTCAAACCCGAAGACCCTCTCAACTCCGTCTAATGCGACTAGTATTTTATCAAATTTCCATATTTGGCCGTCTATGCGGCCGCTATGGCCGGCGGAAGGCTGTTTGCTTTCTTCCCCGCAGAAATACTGGTCCAGTTTGTCTGCAATAAGGGCCCCTTTCGTGGAGCATCCTTTGGATCGACTCGGTATTTTAATTTGACACCCATAGCCGCTAGTTCCACATCAAGGTACTTTAGAGCACCAGGAACTGCTACTTTCGTCGTGTCTTCACCTCCGACCCACTGGTTCCCTTGTCCGTCTTCCCATATCTCACCCGCTAACTTGGTAAGGTCAACGTCATTGATCTGATCAAGGCGAGTTGCGCAGCTCCGGCATCGAACGGCATTGACTGTCTTCTTTCTGCCGACAAAAGGAGACACCGTTGGTTGTATTGACAAGAAGGAGCCGCACCTACGGCAGATCCACGATGGTGTGTAATCCGAGCAATTGAAGAGACGATCCTGAAGAAGGAATGCCGTCCCGTGTGCCAATAAAGCGTCTCGTTCCATTTCTCCCACACGGATACCACCACCTCGTTTTCTGCCCTTGATCGGTTGGCCAGTTGTGGGAACTACTGGTCCTGTTGTTCTGACTTGGTACTTGTCGTTAACCATGTGTCGTAGCCGTTGGTAATATACTACGCCTATGTAAATATCGGCAGCCAACTCTTCACCAGTGATCCCTGAATACATAGGCTCATTTCCGTGGTAATTGTAACCAGCCTTCATAAGCTGGTGGCCAAAATAGTCGGCGGCTGTGTTGTCCTCGTCAAAACGGAAAGGCGTTGAGTCCTGTGCCAACCCATGAAGTGCGCCGGCTTTTCCGGCTAGTGATTCCACGAACATACCGATTGTCATTCGGGAGGGGAAGGCGTGAGGGTTAATGATGATGTCTGGTTGAATGCCTGACTCTGAGAATGGCATATCAATGGCTGGCCATTTCTGCGAGCAGACACCCTTCTGGCCGTGACGTGACGAGAATTTATCACCAATAACTGGTGATCGAGGGACACGGAATTTAATCGATATCGTTTGGGCAGGCTCATTACCCTGCTCACTGCCGATTAATCGAACCTCTTCGATGAAGGCCTGCTCCGAGTCCTTGTACTTCTCGAACTTGGTGACACCGTCACGGTTCACAAGATTACCACTGTAATCCGCAGAGACCGTGTGATAAGCAAAAATGACATCACCTTCTTGAACCATTCGTCCAATAATTGGGAGACCATCCTCATCTATCATCGTCTTCGTCCACCCCTTCACACCAGCTCCTTCAGCGTGGCCAAACATTTTGGTTACATTTTTGACTGTCTTAGTACGACTTTCGTCTTTGAGGGAATATTTTTTGGTCTTGTAGATCGTTCCGTGTCCGAAACCTCGTTCGTGTGCCGATTTATTCAATATCATAGCGTCGTCCATATCATATCCAGTATATGATATGACAGCGACGACGGCATTTGTGCCATTGGGGAAGTTATCGAAGCCATATGCATTGTGTAGCGGAGATCGGACAACAGGTGTTTGACCTGTTTGAAGACGATACATCTTGTTATCTGTTCGATGCACAAGGGACGTCCCTGGTGTTCCCATTGTTTGCTTACCCATCTGACACTGGTACATGTTTCTTGGGGATTGGTTGAAGTCCGAAAATGGGGTCATATTTGCCAATATAGAAAGAATATTCGTAGGGTCAAATTCAACGTGCGTTGATTCTCCCGAGACAACTTCCTGCTCTGTACAAGCAATAGACATATATGGCTGCTCAAGGGAGCCAACAAAATCCTCCTTTTCTAAGGGGAGATATTTGGCCGGTCTGACCATTCTAGCTGGCTCGGAAGACATATATATGCCAGGGTAGGATCCTCCATTAGAAGATGGGACATGACCAATTTCCAGGTGCACAGGTACACCATGGGATCCCTCGACTTTCCAGTATCGAAACGTGTCTGCGATTCTGCGCGATTCAGATGGGTGACACCAGCCAATAATCTTTCCGTTTAACATAACCACAACGCTTTCATCCGTAGCAGCAGATGAAGTATCGACGACGCCAAGCTCGGCGGCTAGCTGTGGAATTACTGAAGCATTGACAGCCTTAGTCATAATCTTACATTTATGTGCAAGATGGTTAAGTAAACCACATGGCGAACCATCTGGAGTGTGTACAGGGCAAAGGAAGCCCCAGGACTCAGGCAACAACTTTCGTACCGTTGTGGTCTTGAGCTGAGCAAAAAAACTACCTCGATGCACCATTCGGAAGTGACTAATGAAACGAAGGAAGTTGAGCTTCTCAGCAACAACGGTGAAACCCGATACCTGCTGAAGGTCTAGACCAGACGGGCTTGATAAGTTACCGGTTGATAGGAAATACTCGAGGGCGTTGCCGACATTCTCGTTTGCCTTCTGGAATATTTTGATAGGAAAATCCTTGGCGAACTCATCTGAAGCAAATGATCTCCCCGGGAACTTCCTCATATATTCTCGCATCGACAACCGTATCCCTGCCGAGAGCAATTCATCAATTCGTTCCTTTATTATCATGCCGTAAAGGAATCCACCCAAAAGAATTTCCTGATTTTGGACCGCATCTGGGTTGTCTACTGCGCAGTCTCCAGCAACCAGGGCATAGAGCTTCCTGATCATGAATAGCAACATGCGAAATTTGTCCGAATCTTGTTGCTCGGTAACATTTATGTTCCCTAAGTGGACGAGGACGATTCGGCGTAAAAATTCGGTTCCTACTTCATAATTCGACAATGTGTCAGGTACTCCTAAAACTGGCCGGAATTTTTCACCAAGATACGCTCGAGTCTGTGCCATTGTGTAAATTCCGTATGTTTTGTAGGTTCGTAGCAAGAGTTCGACGCGATCCGTAAGGAATGTGTTCTCGACACCTTTCGAATCAGGTGAACCGACCAGACCTTCGAAAATTTCTCGGTCATTTGTCTCCACAAGTGCTTTAAGGACCATCATAACTGGGACCAGATATTCATTTTTTCGCCACGAGAAACGGAAGGTGACATTACCGTCGTTTAGGTAATGGAGGACATTTGTTTGCGAGGTTTCATCTGGTCGTACTGACCGAAGAATGATACCGTAAGGTGTATAGGACCGACCACGATTTGTAAAACTTGGACGATTGATCGCTAAAGGAAAGTTTCTTCGGTTGACTAGAAGAAGTCGTATTATCTTCTCAATACCGTTCACGATGAAATACCCTCCCAGTTCTTCTGACTCCTCTTTGCGCGCAACTAACTGCGCCGGGCTGTTGTCTCTGAGGTGGCAGTAACCTGACTATAGAACAAATGAGTGAATTGAATAACTTGGGGGGGGTTAATGAGCTTACCTTCACCATGATTGGAAGTTGACCAATCTCTCGGGTGAATTCTTTCGGATCACCATTGTTTATTATGTATTCAAAAGTAGCAGAGAGTTTCCCTCTATATGATACATGTCGTTCTCTGCATTCTGCCGGGAGGATTTCTCGGTTTTTGACAGCAAATTTATTGGTGGGCGGTAATTGCGATTTCTGAAGATGTATCCCTTTGCATCTTATGCTCAGCTTATTTTTCCCAGCCAGTGGAGCGCGTTCATCTCCGTCTAAGAATATCCTCGTGCCAATGTCGGCAAGCCCATGGACAAGCAGGCCCTCGCTGCCAAAGAGGGCGTCGAAAGATTCGATATGTGGGTTTACGGCTTCCTGCAAGAGAGGATATGCAGAGCGATCGGACGGGGGGTTCCTGAAAAGGTTTTCTCGGCGAAGAGTGTTATACTCGTGATCCCAGCTCGTGCTGGTTGGTCCTGGCGCCATGATAGCAGTAGAAGGGTATTTCGTTTTTCAATTGGGCTTCTGAATTTTTTTGGTTTCCTGCATAAATAATGGAATAGTATTGATGGTTATTCCCAAATAAGGGCAGCTCAATTCTTGAGCTTCACCACGTTTTTGCTGGGACCCAGTGAAATCAACCCCTCGATTTCGTCGTTATACTGACGGATGGAAGCCGACAAAGAAAAAAAAAATCCTTATCGTCCAAAATAATTTGATTCCATGAGCACCGTTATCACCTGATTCTTATCGATAAACGCTTATCAGATGGATCTACCTTCTAATTTAGCGGGGGACCTCGGACCCTTAGAGCTCCATTTCGATCCGCCCAGGCATCGGCATTGATGGTAAGGTTTACCGTTGTTGGTTGGGGGCATGATGCTGCAGCTATGTACCTTCTTTCGATAGCAACCTATAGCTCCTACCTCCTGTAATATCATTAGGGTCATTAGATCCAATCTTCTTTTTAATATTCCAAATGTCTTCATATTTTTTTCTCTCTCAAGCTCCATATGCATATTAACAGATGTATATCCGAAACTACTCTGCCTCGTGCTTAGAAAACTCAGGAACTCATAGATCCTTATTGCATAGCTATCATCCATTGTGATAGTTACATCACCCTAATTCTTAACCACTCATCTCATCAATAGGCACGGGGTGCGACCTACATGGGTTGTGTTGTTGTCATCCTGCACCAGTCTTGCAGCCCAACCCGACCTTACGCCGTCTGCCGTGCATGCTTTGGATGATCCCGCAGGCAGCCTGCCTTGGTCCCAAATCCGAATCCGTCTAGTGGTAATTGGTAGGCAACTTTCGAATCTTGGTCCTGGATTTAACAAATCCACATACATTCTCATATCTCCCACTTCCGGCTTGCCGTATCGTATCTTACCTCATTTGTGGTTGTCTGTTTTCTACATCTGGGGAGACCCGACCAATTCTGGGACCTTAAACCGCAGCCTACCATTTTCACCTCGTTAACTTCGCTGCAAACAAGTCGGCCCCCGTCGAATGTCCCGGCCGCTATCGCCTGCCGCATCCTTCGTACCCGCGAGCGCTCATACCCTGTTGCCGATTGTTTAACGAACCGTATTATCGTACCAGGCAGTTCCGTTGAATTGGTCCGTTCGGTTTCCTACGCTCACGTCTTAAAGAAGAAAGAAGAATAGAGAGCTCTTCTAAAATACTTAGCGTTGGGGAAAGTGAAGTATCCGCCTAGCGAGCAAATACGTAAGATATAACAGACCCAATAAGTTTTAGCTGCTGCTGGGTGTGGGGGAGCGCTCTGGAATACCTTACCCGCCCGAGCAGGTGACGGGTCTCCGAGGCGGCTAGAGTAGCAATTCGGGAAAACGTCGAGGCGCAAAGTTGCGAGGAGAGAGAGAGAAAAAAAGAGAGGGACTTGGATTACCATTTCTTCTACAGTGCTCCACACAGAAAAAAGAGACAGAGAGGGAGGGAGCATAAGCCCTTACTGTTTTCGTTTTGTCCCCGATTTCTCTTCAACGGCTACTTGAGGTATTCCTCCACCACCACTACCTTGCAGGCTTTGCTTTGCTAGACAAGTCTTACATCCACTTTTTCGTTAAGCTATCCCCAACATAACGAGTCTAGCAATCTGGGACCTGAAGGATACCTTTTCAAGCAAGCTTGTTGCGTCTACATACGAAACTGCTCGCTCGCTCGCTCCGGGCCGGTCAATAGCGACCATCTTAATTCCCCATACTCGCGGCTCCCATCCGCTCCCGCTTATCAAGCTGCTTGTTCCGCGCGCACATCACCCATTTAATTTTACAGAGTGGTCTTCGTCTGCATCTGCAGTAAACTGACAGACACAGAACCTTACACACACTACTGCCACCACTACGACTTTAACCCATTTGGAACTATTGTGGTCCGGAATTGACTGGCCTTGTCGAAATAGACGAATGAAACCCCAGTTTTCCTAGCCGCTGTCTGGCTCTCAGATGCAAGGTCGGCCTTCTATCCCTCCCACCTGGTCACGTCCCAGTCAAAGGCACGGGGCATCATAAGTTCATAACTGCTTGTGCGATCTTCCGTGGTGGGGAATTGTGACCCTCCGTCCAGGCGTCACCGTTCATCCCGCTTCTACTGTATCTTTCATCAAATGTTGCATGTACCTTCACCACCGCCAGAAGCTACCTAGATAGTGTTCGCATTCACCGAACGCAATTTGCGCCTGGACCCGACTCACCCGCCGCGAGCGCTACGACAGAACACATCGCAGCTCATCGTCATACGAGACATTTTATTCTTTAATCTCAGCAAGCAAGCTGAAGCGCAAACTATTTAAACTTCTTGTTTGAGACAAACTCGCCAATCATTGTTATCTCTGCCCACCGCGTTTTTTCAACCTACCCAGCCTTACGTGGGCCTACGAAAAAAAAAAAATATCTTCGTCTTCTACCACCCTGACGATCACTGAGTTCACAACTCTGCTACTGATTAATCGTAGTGTTTTTTTTTCTTCACGCAGACAAGATGGCGGGGTTATTTCGAAAGGTGTACGACTGGTTGCTCAGAACATTCTGGTAAGTCTGTTCACGAAGCTACGCTTAGCGCGGGGTCGCGAAATTGTGCTGCTCACCGCCGTATCTGCGTGCGCACACTGGATCACGATGCCAACGACGCCATCGTCAACCATGGCTTTAGTGCATTATACTGACAGCCCGTGACTAGGGCAACCGAGATGGATGTGACGATGATAGGTCTGCAGAATGCTGGGAAGACTTCCCTACTTCGCGTCCTGTCGGTAAGCATACATGATCATCAACTTATCCACCATTTTCTTTTGACCTATCGCTAACCCATATCCTCTCTCTTTAGGGTGGTGAATTTACGATCGAGTAAGCACGAGATCCTCGCTGATAACGTTGACGATTCCGTTACACTGTCGAACGTCAAACATGGCTGTCTGCGGGTTGACTAACAAGTTGTGTAGCTCTATTCCCACCGTCGGTTTCAACATGAAGCGTGTGCAACGGGGCCACGTAACACTTAAATGTTGGGACTTGGGCGGCCAACCTCGTTTTCGGCCGATGTGGGAGAGGTACTGTCGCGGGGTGAATGCGATCGTGTTCATCGTCGATATTGCAGATCAAGACCTATTGCCGATGGCTAAAGAAGAGCTTCATGCCCTAATGTCCCAACCTAGCCTTGAGGGAATCCCTCTGCTCGTGCTCGGCAACAAATCTGACCTCCACATTAAACTCAGCGTGGATGAGCTCATAGATGCTCTAGATCTCAAGAGTATAGCGCATCGCGAGGTTTCCTGCTATGGGATTAGTGCGAAAGAGGAGACCAACCTAGACGCGGTAATTCAATGGCTCATGAAATGGGCTAACAGATAAACCAACCCCCGCTCCACACAGCGCCTTGGTTCCTTTTTTTGTTTATTTTTTATTTTTTAATTTGTTTCTCCGGCCGTCGGGGCGCTAAACCTGCTCCCGGGGCTTCTCTCTGCTCTTGCGACACTTTCGATGCATTTTCACGACGCTAATGATATCATGGGATGTAAAAGACGGTTCAACTTTCGGCCGGCGACGACCTAATATATAAATCATCTCTCGCGAGCTTAACTTTGGAGGCGACTGTACCAACAGTGTGCTTCTTTATCTCGGATCTCACCTTCTAGTGTTTCTTCTCTTTTCGCATGCCTCGTCTATTCGATCCCAACACTGCATAGCCATTGGAGATGGAGTCGACGGTTTCGGAATTCGAAGCGCTAGAAGGACCAGGATAACATGCGATACGTTTTTTTGGTTTTGTTTTTCCTTGGCTGGATTCTCTTGTCAACGTTGAAGGGATCTTTTTTTTGGACGGCGAAGGCTGCTAGACGTTCAGATATGCAAAGTAGGAGAAGCAAGAAAGCATCGGTGTAGTTAGGTGCATTTATGACCAAATCAATCATGACTTGACGACTTCACTAAAAGCCACATGACGTATATAATAATGATATGAAATATGCGCGACGCTTCGACGCTTGTTGAAAGATTAATTTAGTGAAAAAAATTGAGGGCGCAGAAGAAAATGCGCCCAGCTAGGCGCCTAGGAGGGATTCCTTAGTCGCCCTAGTAAGGTGCGCGTAACAAATATGTAGATCGACATGGCGCCCGTCGCTCGACAAGGACAACACTCGGGCGCAACGGGAGAAAAAATAGGAAGGATAGCAAGACAAACACTTCATAGGCAGAATTGAGGCAGTAATGTAAGGAAGAGAAAGGAGAAAACGTCGACGACAGGAGAGGTGCAGGAAGAGCGATACTTGAAGGCTACACACAGACCACATTTGATGCGATGATGAGTTGGCAAACCCTCCAGCGTCGAGGCGATGGGAGGGGAATGATTGGCTCGCAAGGCGACCATGGACAGCGCAACGTGGACTTCAGGTACCTCAGCAGGGAGCATGTGGGTATGAGATGTATGCATTCTACTACATACATACCCAAGAATACATATGAGTAGTCAAGTGGTTACTTGTTGAAGACTACGGGGGGTAGCGGTCAGTACATCTAAGATAGGTAGAGATCTTATGAGCAAGTCATGTATATAAATCCTTTTATTACTTTTCCTTTTCTTTTTTTTCTTGTTCCTTTTTTTCCTTTTTGGAATTTTCGCCCTATTTCAGAAAGAAAACCAGGGCGGGCGAGCCGAGGGGTGAGGGCCGTAGTTGTGTGCTGCTATGTATGTGTGTTGTGTTGTATGTGTGTGTTGAAGGGCGGCATGCCATGGGCCCATGATATGAAATCTACGGAGATTTTTGACGTGGCCGCATATCATTAGCTCGCCGGATCTGCTGCCCTCCGTCCCCTTCAACTTAGCAACTGATCGTCAATCTCGGGTTCTAGACTAGCTGAGCGAGCGAAATGCCCACGAGCGCGACAGTACTTCTTGTCGAATCGGTTTGGATTAATTGGGAGCCTGATTGACGGAACTTGAATGAGATTATTAAGAGATGACTATAATCCAAATTATTGTTTCATTGGACCTCGAAAAAATGCAAGTTTACTCTTTTGAAGTATCATGCTTCTTGTCGCATCCTCGACTTCAGATGAGCAAGCATTTATTTAGCCCTGCCTCTAAATAAGCTAACTAAGCTTCCCGATAAGGAATAGGAACCCGTGCGCAAACATAATAGAAACATCATCGTTAATATAATGTGATAGTAGGTAGGCAAGGATAGACATGAGAGAAATAGAAGTAAAAGCTGATACTCGGAATCGAGGCGCAAATGATTTGAAAAATGACATCGAGGCTGTAAAACTGCGAGCCATGTTATCCTTACCGTTGAAACGGGTAAAAGGCAAGCTTGCACGTTGTATTCTTACTATTCGGCGTAATATTGTCAGTTTATTAGCATCGCAATATCGGGAGAGTAACGCATGAACGAAAAAGAGATGCATCATATTATCGTTCATCCTAGACATAAACAGTGTAAATATTGGTGATCTTTTAACGAATGGGTAGGTATAATAGAAGTCCTAGCGTATTGGTATTCAGCTGCGCAAAAAGAACTCATAACAGTTTAAAGATGCGGTAGGATTTTAGACTTATTTATCAGGCTTGACTTATTTGAGATTTCTTACCAACTTATTCAGGACTTTTGTGTTACTCAGCCTTGATTGCGGAGTCAGCGGTATGAGAGGGATCCATTTCGTTATTTCCCACGGTCCCCACAGCCACCGGTGACACAAAGCAGGTGATTTAAAGGAAAAAACGGACAAGTGCAGAATCTCGTTGCGAAAGATTTCGATATTTGGAATTTTAGCATCGCCGCATCGAAGCTAAAAAGCTCGTGGGTCCAATCCAATTGACATTTTGCTGCGCCGCAGTAGCTTTCTTTCAAAGTTCAACGGGCTGGGTACGGTAAACACGGGGTACGTGTAAAGTACCTGTCGGGAACAATCCCGCGTGTGGAATACGGTAAATACGGGTTACACATACCTATAATGTACATGCAGGTCTGCTCTAGTACGTTCGATAGATACGCGTACACAGCCACCAAAAAGTCATCATTCCACTTGCCAAGCTGCACCAAAAAGCTGCGCAAAGGTGCAAACCCTTTTCCAGCCGGGACCCGGCAACTTCCCAGCCAAGTAAGTCATGCATCGTATTGCGTGTTCCTTGTCCTAAGCTGCTTCTTTTCCAATAAAGGCGATAGGAAGCACCGTTTTCTTTTTTCTCCTCTCTTGAATGTTTCACATCCGAATATATCAATTTTCTATTCAACTATTTTATTATAAAATCAATTTACTACTTTCCACGCAGTTCATACGTAGTAGAGTACCTGCCTCGATCTACGTACCTACGTTAGTACAACCAATTAGGTACCTTAGGTACATATACCCAACGTCACTTCGCAGCGTACCCTAGCAACCTTGATTCCGCCCATTCCTTTTTTGGAACATACACCTATTACCAGTACACTCGAAAACAAATTGAAGCTTTTCTTTCCTTCTACACACAACTTCCGATACAAACCATCACCTCCTCTTCTCGTCGCGCATCGTCTAACCGACATGGCGCCCTTAATCGATCAACTCGCGGCCCAATTCGCGAAGCGAGACAGATATTGCAACAACAGTTACTACAGTGATCGATATGGCAACTGCTACAGTGCTTGGAGCTGGTATGGACGATGGATCTTTGCGGCCGTGGTTATTGTCCTCGTCCTAGCTATCTTCCTTATATGGGCGTAAGTATTCTATTGAGCGCGAGACCTGGGAAATAACGATTATTAACAACGAATTCAGATGCGTCAACTCCCGTCGTCGTAGACGCCAAGGACTTCAGCCTATGTACGGTACAGGTTGGATGGCTGGTCAACAGGATGGCGCCCACTACAACAACCCTCAAGGCTACAACAACAATCCCCCTCCCGCCTACGGCGCGCCGCCCGGACAATCCTACCCGATGCAGAATCAATACACCGGTACTACTTTCTCGCCCAACGACGGTTACTACGGTCAACATGAAGGCGTCGTGCAGCCCCCGAAGAACGTGTACAACAACGCGAATGCTAACAAGAACGACTACGCTCCTCCTGAGGGCCCGCCACCCAACCGATAAGCTAGCGGTGAAGGAAGTGAGAGGGGTCTGACCGATATGGAATGAGAATGAGACATCACATGCGAATCAGATTGGTCGGCTTTGGGGTATGAATGAGGCGTTAGATAAAAAGCTCAATCGACTGATTAGTTGGTGCTGATAATGAAATAATTTCGGTATGAGGAGTATGTTTACAAAGTCCTGTGGATGTTGCATTGCGAGTGAACAAGAGTGCACATTCTTTTGCAGTTATGGTAGCAGATACTACTGCTTTACGTATAACCCTTATGCAATTCGACTGACTCTAGGGCTGTCCTACGAGTATGTCTAGATCTTCACTTCGGAGGCCCATATGCTACAGTATAATTCGCAGTTTAGCAATAACAAACCTTTGCTATATAGATGTGGGAAAACCATTCCATGTGATGGTGCTACAAAATCGATAAAGAAGGTAATTCACTACCTTCCACTCAAGTATCGTATCCGAAAAGGAAAGAAAACGTATAATTATATAGATCTAGTCCTACAAAATGCCCATTGAATGAGTACCTATCTAATGTTACCCTAAACGTAGCGGGCCCACGTGAGACTCCCAAGAAAAGCTCCAATTGCTTGGAGAGTTTCAACATTGCAGCAATTCCCGCTGTGGAGGCTGCACGCGCAAAATCGCCAACACTTAACCCCGCAAACCCACATCTGTACTACACCGGTGAACCTGCGATGTTTCTAGTTTGGGACTTTCCTCCACTTCGTTCGCCTCAGCCTAGAATTCGTCACTGTACTAAACCTAAAGACTTTTTACATCTCCAAATATGTTGTACTAAGGGGAATGGAAATGCAGTTTCAGTACGAATAATAAGGCCACCAGTGATTGGGATTCTATTTGAATAACTATATTAGTGGCGGTAGCACGGCGTATATAATTGAGGGCCAAGATACCTATAGTCTGACGCCACACCCCCCCAATGCCGAGGATTTGGGCGGCGGCGCAGCTTGTTATAGTAAGCGCCCGTATGACAGCCCTCCAAATACTACCTCAGTCTTATTTAGGAGATTGCGTACTAATTGAAGGAACATTCCGACATCTAATATAGAGTAAATGAATTTAATACTTTGTGTATATGTAAAAAGAAAATGACATAATGGTAATCTTATCATTATCGTACTTTACAATTGAAAGTGATTGGGTTATGCAATGTCGAAAACTGAACAAGAGGGTATAAGTCACCTTATCGAGTCCCGCTATAGGCGTTTGGAAGGATTCCCTTTAGGCAATCTCTTCGCTGCATGCCATCATATCTAAGTAGCAGGCTTAATTGGCTTAATTGCGACTCGCCCTGAGAATTGCCGTTCTTTTCGAAGGCGCCCCCACATTTCTTTCCAGGGACCACGTACAGTAGTCACAGCACTCCCAGCACTTCACAGAACTCGCTTACCCATTTCAGATTGCGGATTGTAACCTTGATCAGTTCGTTACCTATTTTCCCACCTCCCTTCATCCAGCCTTCTTTACTACAACCACCATGTAAAAAATATCTTTACACTCATTTTCTTCCCCAAGGTCAACTAAGGGTATGGTATTCTTTTCCATGCCTATGACCTCTTTGTTTTTTTGAGTCGATATAACCTAATAATATCGATTCTGACGTTCCTTTTCCCATAATATCGACAACAACCCCCTTTGATCTTCGTCCTTTCATTTCCTTAGGAAAACGAGTGGAACTCCTGGCTTTGACTCGACTTCCATATAACATTCATTCAGATAAACAAAAATACAAACCGATACGACGAGTCACGAGTGGAAATACCGTCATACTGAAATTCATACCGAGTGATTTTACGGGCCGAGTGAACGACGCTTTACCGATTGACTGGAGTGTTTGCTTCTAAGCGACAAGGCAGTGCTACAACCCACGGGTTTGGGATCAATACTTGACCACCGCTTTTTTTATGCCATGGATCTTTAGTAACAATTGGTTATTCAAATAATATACCCGGAAGAATTGAGAGATTCTCTACCTTTGTTCGGAACGAGTTGCACGACACATATTTTGAAATTGGAATTGGAGGAGTAACGCGATGCCGCACGTCGGCGTCTTAATGGAGCGCAGTCTCCAAGACCGCAGCCTTAAAGATGCGTTCATACAGCTTGTAGCGCGAAGCGCTGTTGCCGCCGTAGGCAAGCGTCAGTCCATTGACGGGGTCAAGAATGGAATTCAAGACGCGAAAACTGCTTTTTCTAGCTGGGATAATTGTATGCAAGCCAGCTTTTGCAAGTACGATTGAGTCCTACTCCCTAAATCCTACGTTCTCGTATACTAACAATTCGATAGATGGCCAGTAATTGCCGTAATTATTATCGGTGGTTTAATTATCCTCTCCATCGTTTGGTGTATCGCGCGATGCCTTTGCTGCGGCCTCTCATGTTGTTGCGAGTGCTGCTACTGTCTCAAGTGCTGCGGTGAATGCTGTGGGTGCTGTGACCCTCCTAGAGGAAAGCGACACAAGTATCTCGACGACCCATTCATCCCACCACACCATGAACAAAACCAAGCCTATCGTTCACAGGCGCCAATGACGCCAAGCCTACCCCCGCCGCCCGCTGCTTCCTCTGCGCCCCAGTACGCCGTATTTGACGAGAGTGGTAAGAAGGACGCAGACGCGTTGCCCGCTATGCCCAGCTGGGAGGGCGCGCAGTCTCACAAGGTATTGGTTGAGGATGAACCTGTCGAGATGGAGCCCTTGAAGAAACCTGAGGCCACACAAAATCCTTCTCTAAACACAGCCATACCTAACGCAACGTCACCCAGCCCAGTTTCACCCGATACTCGAAGCCCTTACGGTCCACCGCAAGGACAGAACGGCCCCAACGGATATATGGCGGCTGGTCATGCTGAGTCGGATCCTTATTCTAACCACGGACAAGGATATGATCAATATGATTACAATGGCTATGGACAGGCTGCACAAGACAACATGAACCAAGGATACGGTATGGCGGCTGCTGGAGCACGAACCCGAACACCCCACAATGACTACAACAACGGTTATGGTGGACAGAATCAGGGCTACCCGCAATCGCGAACTCCCAGACCGTACAACGATGAGTACGGACGCAGCGGCACCCCTGGATCTTATGGCGCACCGCCCAGTTACCGCACTGCGCCCAGTGCCAATGGGTATGATAACCCCTCCCGAATGGGATCACCTGGCCCGCAAGGAGCTTATGGCTATGGCAACAACCCCTCGCGTATGCGATCTCCCGGCCCTCAAATAGGCTTTGAGTACCCCCAGCGATCGCAAACACAGACACCCAACAGCTACCGACAATATCCCCCAGCGCCAGTTAGACAGTACTCAGACAGCTCTAACCGAGCGTTGATGCAACCAACCCACGAGCACCAGTACTCAGATGCGTCTGCACCAGAATCGCCACCCCTCCAGAACAGTGCCGGATTTGATTTCAACTCCGGTTACAGCAGACCTCCCACAGCCCCGGGGCAGGCCTCACAACAGCAGACGACGACACAGACAGCGAATGGAGGAACGGCCTATCCTGGCTACCGTACATACAGACCCCAGGGGGGAGCAACTTAGCAGGATAACTGGAATGGAATGTGATATGATGAGTAATAATGAGTTGACTTAGGTATCTAGGTGTCTACTCGTCATAGTGTAACAAAAGAAAGACTTCTATGGTTCATTTAATAGGACCGACAACTTCGGGAGAGATGTTTACTACCGCTGGATTCGATTCGGTCCACAATCAAGGCGCTCGGGAACGATCATCTATCTACATAGCAATGATGGAATTCGAATAGAGCTTCGTTGTACAATTGAATATTAAGATTCCAGGTTTCGTGTGTTATATCTGTGTTATTTGTTAGGTGTTGAGGGTTAGGTGCTTGTGTACCTAGTCACGTACCCGTAAGTCAAGGACAGCCAGTGAGTTTGCCCTAATTAACCCCTATTGTGACGATGTAGTGGCTGTTGAGAGGGTTAGTACTAATACCTACAGGGGACCGCCCCCGTAAGTTTTGGTTTAACGCGCATCGTCACTTAGACGCATACACATTTTTTAGCTCCAGGCAACAATGTTCACGATGCGTGTAAGACACGTAGGGTTGGGGCATACAACGATGTTATTGAGGGCAACAAACCCTAAAGGAAAAAAACATAAATAACCAGCCCTCCCTCCCTTCCATTCATCCTTTCACCTTCACCTTCACCCTCCTCCCTCCACCCTCCACCCTTCAACTCTTCCACCCACCCAACTCCTGGGTATCATTCAAGAACTCCATTAACGCCAGAAAAAAAAAAAAAAAAAAAAAACACAAAAACAACCACCCCAAACGCCTCCGTCCCCGTCGATGATGATGGCTAAGGAAACGACGCAACGACGAAAGAAAAGTTCGTGTGCGTGTGTATGTGTATGTGTGCGTGCGTGAGAGCCACGGCAACAACCAATTCTGGTGAGTCGTTTGGCGGAGCTCCGCCGCCGAAGGGAATGCCTCGGCCCGCTCCTGGAAGAGCGTGATGACCTCCGACTGGTCGATCGGGTAGAGGGAGGGGTCTTCCTCTGACTCCGTGTCGGAGGTCTCCTCGTAGGGGGCCTCTGGGTCTATTTCTTCTTCTTCCCCTTCGTTGCCTTCGCCGTCTTCTTCATCGGCATCATCCTCTTCGTCCTTTTCTTTCTTCTCGTCGGGGAGCGGCGAGACGGACGGCGGCTCTGCGGTGGCGGCGGGGGGGAGCTGGTCGGTAAAGACTGGCTCTGGTTCGGGCTCGGCGGGCAGGGCGAAGAAGTAGTGATCGAGGTGATCACTCATGAGGACTTGCCAGACCGGCACCTCCCGCCAGATGTCTCGGGGGCAGCCGGTAGGAACGGGAGCAACGGGCAGAAGGCGGGCAAGAGCGGGTCCGGCGCCAGAGAGGGAAAGTGCGGTGCTGGCGGCGGTGGCGTGTTCGGCGGCAAAGCCAAAAGATGCGGCGGGGGGGAGGAGAACGGAAAGGCCCTCACCGGGAGGAGGTAGACCCTCCAGCCAGCGGTGAACTGGGCAAAGTTGGTCTCGCTGGGAGACCGGGCCGGAGCCCACGGCAAATGCTGCCCTGCACTTGATGCAGCGCATATACTGCACCGCACCAGGGAGGGAGGGAGCAGGAGACATCATGATGGCTTTTTTATTAAAAAAAGCTTAAAAAAAGAAGAAGGTCGTTGTGTTGGTGGTTGGGGGCAAAGGGAGGAGATGTGATGATGTTGTATGGGTAGCAAGTTCGAGAAAGTGTTGTTGTAGACTCGATTTAAGAAAAAACAGGATGGTGGGCGCCGAGCTGGGGATTTCCTAACCAGCAGGAAAGCACTCGCCGATTTTTTAGGGAAGGAAGGTACAATTACAATTATTTACGCCTACCTGAGTGGTCCACTGCCCTATTAGTAGAGTTGTTGCCTACTACAATTTTATGAAATCCCCTGAAGGAACCAGGAGCCAACCAGAGCTCGACGATTAACGTCCTGGATTGTGCAGCAAAACAACAGGTTGTTAGATAGATATGGAGGAAAGAGGGTATCTATCGATTAAGATAGATGTACAATGTGCATCTCTTCATTATTTATATCATTACTGCTAGGAGTTTTAGTGAAGTGTCATGGAAAGAGAGTCATGTCTGGTGAATACCTTCATGTTATCCAGCATCATTATAGACGTAGACTATTTTTCAATGCAAAATTTGATATATAACAGTGTATATGTTTGAATACGGGAATATTGATCGATGAGAGTAATCACGAGTACTCGTGCGTTTAGATAGGGGCGTTACGCGATAAGACTTCATGACGACTACGTATGAGTTTGAATACAAGAATGTTATGAAATAGGAGTAATCGCACCTACACAGCCAGCCAGCCACCAACCAATGGCACATAAGTGAGAACGACTATGGGGGCATTATAAATGTAGGGGTGATACACAATGAGGACTACGACTATGAAGAGATAATGAGACGGATATGGGACGTTATATACCTACCTGGGTACCTAAATAAGTGAGTAACTTCAAGAGGAAACTACCACAACAATATGCCTACAAACACCTCCTGTCATTGTCACATAGGTATTTTTCGAACCCGACGGGCGAAAGAGCGAGATGAAGATATTAAGAGGTATATCACGACTACATGGAGTCCATTGTTCTCACATAACCCTTAAAATTCAACAAGAATTGAGGCAAGTAGTACCCATGTCAGGTAGTTACCATTGAATACAGTTAAAACCTGTATTGGTTCCTAATGAAGTTACACGGCAACAAGTTACGTGATACCATTATCTCCTCTAGAGACTAACCCATTCACTTTGAACGTCTTAAACACATGAATACGGTCAGGCCAAACAATGTTGGAGCAAATTTATAATGACCCAATATCTACTAATATATGCAAACAATGTACATTTCCCATGCTAAGGTATGACAAAAAAGCAACCTCCATATTACTCAGGAGGAACTAACTCCTTAGGCAATGGTTTTCCCCTATCCTCTTGACTTCTGCTGCTCCCTATTATGGTCTGGCCATCCAAGTCTGGATCGTACTCTTCGCGGTCATCTTGGTCCTTTCTTCCGGCCTTCTTGAAATTCCTAGAGCTCGAAAGCTTCATACTTTGGCTACTTTCCCCACTAATTGAACTCTCGTCATCACTATCCACGAGTGCGTCATCGAAGGGATCCCCATCATCTCCATCCTCCGACGGTAATCTTTCGTGATCTGTTTCCTTCAGCTTAATGAAACTGTCGATGATGTAGTACTGTAGCGCGTTCATTATGAGAGGGAATAACATCATGACGAATACGATTTGAACACGCTCATTGCCTTCCGTCCACTTCAGTGCCCAATCTCCAACACGTGATATCCATGGTAATATCAGGAATATAATGAGGACGCAAATCTTCATGCCAAACAGGCCACAAAAGTATATGACGGATTGCTTCAGCCACCACCATGCGCTAGGAGGGCTGCCATAATTTCCGGACTGAATCGACTCTGGTGGTTTTCCCCAGGGAGTATATGCTACTAGGCCGGTGGTGACGCGGAGGAGGATTAAGAGAATAGGGATACCGATAGTAGTCTGCAATAGGGTCAGTCTTTAGTCCCAACTCTTGTATAGAAGCACGCGCCAAACTTACATCAATAGCCAAGTTCAACAGATAGAAGGAACAGGGATTTGGCGTATATTGGTCCTCGTCTCTTCGAAGCATCCTCTCTGCTGCCTGCACATTGGCCGGATCCAACTTAATAGAGAACCGGCCGCTAGTGAGCATCGACATGAACACATTCGCGATATGTACCAAAACCGATCCGAATACCTGTTTAGACACGTCGAAGAACCATATTTTGACCGGTCGTTGGGGCCGTTCCCTCCACCGCTTGTAGACGAGAGACAGGAGAGCTAATCCACCCAACGCGAGCTGCACGAGTAAGGCAAAAGGACCGACTAGTCGACATTCGCCGCCATCTCCTCCATGGCCCTCTTCCGGGGCGGCCATTGTTGTGGCCGCGGCAGCCGCTATTGACGTCGCAGTAGTAGTAAGGAGTGAAGGTATGTCGGTGGTAGGGGAAGGGAGATCGACTCCTATTGCTGCATTAGGGGTATCTGTAGGTATGGCGGATCGAGCAAGTTGGACGAGATTAATGGCTGTAGAAGAAAAAGACATCGACTTTCTGTGGTTGGTACACAGGACGGAAGAGGGACTCGGAGTCGAGAGGGAGAGAAAGGAAGGAAGATCGACGCCTAGGTTCCAGCCAGGGTTCGTTCGAATATGGTTGTGTTTCCTGCTGGGAATCGGATGACTTTATGCTAATAAATTAGGACAAACAACAATGCATGCGCGGTCAGTATCTATTAATTAGTATACAAAGAGGAAAAAAAGAAATTTAAGAGGAAATGTTGGTGATTCTGTTGGGGAATTAGAAGAGAAGAATCGAGGCGGTGGTAGATACAGAAAGTACAGAAAGTGGTGAGGTGGATGAAGTGATTAGGTACAAGCCACACAAGATCAGCCGCTCAGCTTCATTCCTTCCCATGTAAAGTTTATGCCTATCTGCCTATGATGCTATGGCACCGTACTAACTAAAATGGAGATGGTTTATGTATGGAGAAACGTTCTAGGCTTCCCCACTTAGTCATTAGGGGCAGCATAATTAAATGTTAGACATATACCTCTTGCGCTACTCAATAGAAGCGTAAATGAAAGGTACTCGATAACAGACGTTAGACGCCCCGAACTCCAACGGTAAACCACATATTCTCCGATATGGTTGCCTACCACTCATCATGTATTTTCTGCCAGTGTATTTTAAGCACTCCGCTTTTTGTACAGATAGTTTCAATCTCTTACTCAAACAACATGGGATTTTCAGGAGTACAAAAGCGGGTGGTGATCAAGTGGCGAAGAACCTAGGTGCTACTGGGCGATGGACGCATTAGGCCACGTACGACGACTACAATGATTATGAGGGCAGGCCAATTAGCAACTTCACATAACATAACCATGGCACAAATCGAAATCAAGCGGTATTCAGCTGAGAATATCAAGCCAGAATGGTCTTTTGCATTCTCAAATAGGAGGCCGAAAAGCCTCAGAACCGTGAATAATAATATTCTCCATGTCAACGCAACGCCGGATAATTTCCGTAGCATAATTCCCATCTCATAAAGCCACCAAATCAATCATGAATCAATCTGTTCAACGTCTCCTGCGTTCTGTAGGTAAACCTAAAGAGCGACTCGTAATTGTAAAGGGGTAGCATGCCAAGTGAAGGCTGATCCCCTGCGCTTCCCTGATCCGATATGCCATGACCGTATGTCCATATGTCCGCGCAGGCGATTCTGTACAATACGGCTAAGTCATGCATAGCTTGTTGGATTTCTGTGGGAGAAAGCCGCGCACGAAGCCCAAGGCGATCTTGCGGGCATGCCCGACGACGTCGTCTGGTCTGTCTTTCTTATTCTTCGCCACCGATGTCGGATTCTTCTTGATCGACGTCGTAGTGGAGGTAGTAGCACTCGAGCTAGAAGTGATAGAAGCTGGAGAAGACGGGACTGCAGACGAGGTACGACCTCTAGTCTGCTGAAGTCTGTCTGCAGGCCCGTCTAATTGTCAATCGATCCCATGCTTCATCTTGAGCTGCGCTAAATTATCCTTGCGGGCCTGGAGGTCATCTTTCGACTTGAGGGTCTTCTCTGGCTGGTGCCATAGTACTTCATAATATGTTAGTCAACCGCAATGGAAATACACGTGATGGCCGGGTGTGAAACATACCGACAAGATAACGGTTCTGGAAGTTGTAGCCATTTAGCTTCTCGAGGGCGTTCTTCGCATCCATCACATTCCAGAAAACGACATATGCGGTTCCCTTTGCTTCGACTGAAATACCCTGACGGATTTGGCTAGATATAGTCAGCAAGATATAGTTTTAAATGTATATGTATATGTATATGATAGGTGGCTATTCGGTAGGGACATACCGGATAAGTCCGTCCTCGCCGGGATCAAAGAGCTTCCAAAGCGCGTCAGAGGATACTTCGTAGCTGTAATATTCGTTAGAGAACTGTCGGGAGGCAATATTCGAGGGTCATTGGGACTAACTTAAGATTCTTCACGAACAAAATTCTAGATTTAAAGGTTAGCAAATGCATCAAAACCGACATGCCAAGGCGCCTTGGGGGGCGAAACAGGATTAGAGTCAAAGAGGGAACTTACGGGAGCTGCTCGGGGGCAATCTTGCCGGCGCGACTCATATCTTGATGAAGACAATTAGTTGGTCGTTCTCGAGGTCGTGGTGGTAGGTTGTTGGATGGTAGTCCAAGTCAATTTGGTGGTGATGAATGGGGGTTGTTTTAGGTGTTCAAGATTGGCGAAGAGGCGTGTGCTGCGTTTTGGAGGAGTCGATCTGAATTCTGGGGGACGGGAGTATTCGTTTCTGGCCTACGGAACGAATCGGATTAGGCCACGCTAAAGACCGAGATTTGGGGCACGTGACGAAAATTACGCCTTATCTGTTTTTGTTTCTTGGCAGAATGTTTAGGCTACGGCAGGTGCGCAGTAGGTACCTAGTAGATGTATGTAGTGTGTACTAAATAAAATGCAGATTTCCGTTCTTCTTTATAGTTCTCCGAGCCTAAAGATTATGTATAAGAAAAAACGTAGCCAAAGAAAGAGCACTCTGTCGTCACCGTCATTTGACCATTTTCCAAACTTGCGCAACATCCCTTTCTATGTTACTTATCGTACCTAACGGCAATTACGTTACTCAAGCCTGGCTCCTCTGCTCCTATGACTGGTTGCCATACAATCAGGAGGAATTTAGTTTGCTAGAAATTCCCCGCTTTCAATCAGTTGCCACGAGGAAGTTGATGTACCTACCCAGGCACATAACGTAGAGAGGTAAGGCGCACATGAATTGGGTTCTAGTTGTCAACGAGACACTGCATATGTGTTGTGCATTGTTCTCTACTACGTCAGTCAAGAAATACTTAGCTATAGACCAACAGAGCTTGATCATTACGCTCGCACAAACAGATAGTATGCACCGATTGCAATTGGATGCAGATTACACTTCCTTCTTTTCTTCATATGCGGGACTGATAACAAAGCCACCTGTGTTGATATTAGACTCTTCTCGAAACTTTTCTCCGAGATGTTCTCCGAGACACACTCCGAAGCGTCCGGATTGGCTCTGAGCTCCGATTACGCCTTATTCTCCGTCACACAACACGCGCCTAAGTGCGAGGCTGACTGTTATCTACTGGTGCTTAAATCGTCATCGGGTAGGGGAAGCCGTTTCATAGATTAAGACCGGTGCAAACTTTAAATGCCGAACTATAACGAGATACTAGGGTACATACCTAGGTATGTAATTGGTAAGAAAGGCTCTACTGCACGCGGTAACATAGAAGTAACAGAGATCTACCTGACGATACAACTGGGAAAGTACCCGGGTAACAGTGTTGTTAATTTATTTATTTTCTTCGGGTGGTATCAAGCCAAAAACCTCTCCGGAACATTTACAACAACGCTGTGATGATTGAGTTTTGAAGCACTCAAAATCTCAATTGAGCGGAACACTTCAAGAATGAACATTGGAATCTTCCTCTATTCCATATGAGAATAGGATTCAATGCTCATATTACCCCTGTATTGAATGTATCCAATAATGGATATATTCATCTTCTTGGATTCATCCGATATTTTATATCTGGATCCCCTACATTTTGCCGGAACCACGGAAATTCTTAAGTACCACAACCCCCCATGAACAAAACATGTGGCTTCTTTCTGGGCGAGTCGCCTTGCGGCGTTCGTTGGTGGCTATTTTCGTAATCTCTACGTTTTCTGCATTTTTATATGATCACTACTTTCGATCAATGATGGCCAAGAAACAGCCAAATTTTCTGATCATTGTTGCGGATGATCTAGGTTTTAGTGATACTTCCCCTTATGGAGGTGAGATCGACACACCAAATCTACAAAGGTTGGCGGACGAGGGAATACGCATGACTGGTTTTCACACAGCCGCATCATGTTCTCCTACCAGGGCTATGTTACTATCGGGGACAGATTCCCATATCTCTGGATTGGGGGTTATGGCTGAAAAGATAGTAAGTGCATTAGCCCAATACATAATCACTCTCCTTTACTAATAGCCTTCCCTCAGAAAAAGGTACCTGATATCTTTAAAGATAAACCTGGGTATGAGGGATACTTGAATTATCGCGTAGCTGCGCTTGGAGAGATCCTTCAAGATGCAGGATACTTTACCCTCATGAGTGGTAAATGGCACCTAGGTTTGAGAAAGGAACTTGCACCTCACGCAAGGGGTTTCACGAAAGTACTTTCTACTCTACCAGGGGCTGGAAATCATTTCAATCATGAACCGCAATTATACGATCTCAAGGAAAAGCCATCGGCAATCTTCAAGGGCGACGGAATATGGATGAAACACGGGGACTTTATCAACGGGAGCGCGGATCTTCCGAAGGACTTCTACTCATCCAACACGTTCACTGATTACTTCTTAGATTTCCTAAGGGAAAGGACGCCAAAAGAGAAGACACAGCCATTCTTTGGATATCTTCCTTTTACGGCTCCTCACTGGCCACTCCAAGTTCCTCAGGAGATAATCAAAAAGTATCATGGCATGTATGATGACGGCCCTGTCGCCCTACGGGATCGAAGACTTCGAAACTTGATCGAAAAGGGGCTGGTACCTCCTGACGTTGAGCCTGCGCCTTTACACATGTTAAAGACCAAGCCATGGGAAGAACTATCAGAAGAAGAGAAACGCGTATCTTCTCGAGCAATGGAAGTATATGCTGCGATGGTCGATCTTATTGATGTGAATATTGGCCGTGTACGGTCCTATCTAGAAGAAACGGGTGAACTTGACAACACCTTCATCGTCTTCATGTCGGATAACGGTGCTGAAGGGCAATTACTCGAGGCTTTGCCAATTCTAGCTGGTTACACGGTAGAGGATATTGTGAAGAAATATTACGATAACTCGCTGGACAATATCGGCAACTATAACTCATTTGTATGGTACGGACCACAATGGGCTGGTGCTGCGACGGCTCCCGCGCGTGGGGCGAAATCACACTCGACAGAGGGCGGGATTCATTGTCCATGCATTGTGCGGTATCCTCCAGCATTGAGGCAGAGCGGCCTTGTAACTGGCGCTTTCACGACAGTCATGGATATAGTCCCGACAGTCTTAGACCTTGCTGGCCTGAAGCACCCAAGCCCTACCTTTCGTGGGCGTGAAGTCGTGCCAGTTCGGGGAAAATCTTGGAGGCCTATTTTAGAGAACCCCAAAAATGATAGCATTCGTATATACAACGACACGGATATAGTCGGATGGGAGCAACTTGGGATCGCGGCAGTAAGAGTGGGTGATTGGAAAGCACTATTCCTCCCACCTCCCAAGGGTCCCGGCAGATGGGAGCTCTATGACTTGTCTAGGGACATTGGCGAAATCCATGATTTAGCAAAGAGCCACCCAGAGAAGCTAAGGGAGATGCTCGAGCATTATGAGACGTATTTCCAAGAGACTGGCATGTTCGATTCGTACACCATATACCACGAGGCATTGAAACAGAAGAAAGCCGAGAAAAAGGTGACCCGCAACGACAAATAGTACGTACTCATCCGCGAAGCCACAATGAGATCTGTGTTGACTAACCTGATAAATAGTATATCATACATTTCAACTCTTCGCCAAACATTGACGTTTGTACATGAAAATTTTCTAGATCTTATCAAAGGGAACTGGGGCTGGAAATACCTAGAGGAAGATTCCGCAGAAAGGAACGATACTTGATAGATAGATCGGTCGGTTTTCTTAGGTTAATTTGGTCAATGGTGGTTTGTTTCATTATTTTTCCTGTGTTTTGAGAGCCATTCAATCGCTTTATGCTAAGGTTACGATTGATATTTTATATGGGGCTGGCGAAGATGTGTATTATAGTGAATTGATCACGATCCGGTGGGCATTTCTTGAGTTATACGCTGGCTTGGTCAGTAGCGCCATGCTCGGGAAGTAGGTTTTCTAGTCGAAAATAATATAATCAATTTTTGTCTTGTTGGGAAAGAATTAGAGGGTTTATCCCCGGGCCAGTTACAGACGGTACGGAACGATATTGAAAATTATCGTATTGGTGGCGTCCACGTTATAAGACACGACGACAATACGGTGGTACGTAGCTGCCTGCTTAAGTAATACAGAAATGTTGTTTTCCCCTTGTTTTAAAGCGAATTCCACGGATAGCATTGTTAAATTATAGATGCACTACCCTATCTAAGTAGTTACTCAGTTCTTTTTGACCAATCATAAGATTTCTATATATTGGATGACAGAACTAAGCTAGGAAGTTTCGGGTAAGTACTTAAATGATGCTAGGTTCAGCTAGCGAAGGTTGCCCTTGGACCCCTGAATGGTTGGTTGATCCGTTAGGATAATCCGCCGACCAATTCCGTATCACTTCACCTTTAATAAACATTCTGCCCTTAGCCAGCATGTAATACTTTCATTTGCTCTTTCGCTCGTCGCTGATCCCCGTCCCGACCTCATCCTTTTTGCTCATAATCATTGTTGGCCTCGTAATTCTTCCGAGATTTTCAATCGGCGACATTATCCAACCTTCGATCTTATATCCTTCGCTTTCGCTTTCGCTTGCCCCGCCGGGCGCTTAAACCCACCTAGGCTACGCAGATGCCCTCCGTGACGCCGTTCGAGCTACCCATGCTCTCCCCGACCAAGAAGAGGAGACGAGAAGGCACCGACGATGAACAGCGATTTATCTTCCCTTCTACGGGTCTTGACACAGCTTCTCTAATTAACAAATCACGGAAAATCGTACCCCTGCCTGCGAGCAAGCGATTTCGGCTAGTTAGCGAGAGTGAGGAGCACTACCTAACACATAATGCCTCGCACATCAGTCACTCGCAACAATCGCACCTCTCACATGCGCACCCTGAACACCAAACGGCGCTTACATCGCAGCACGGCCGACTAGGCACAAGTTCTAGATCAGTCAATACATCGGCACTGCTAAGTCCGTGTCACATCTGCCACCGAAAACCGACCAAGAAATCCGACCTCGATTCCTTCGCCGATTGCATGGGCTGTGGACAACGAGCCTGTTTTATTTGCATAAGGGCATGTCAAGGCTGGCTACCACCCTCCACCGAGGAAGAAGCAGACCTTTCAGCCTCGTTTACTATGCGAGACGTCGATGACGATATAAGCAACGACCAAGAATCCGATGAAAAACAGGAGAAAGGAGGTGGGCCAGAAGACGGATGGATGGGACGAGGCCACCGAGAAATGGTCTGCAGCCGATGCTGCGTGGAGCGTGGATCCGAGGGCGACGTGGTCTGCCTAGGGTGCCTGGCTGGTATGGAGGGGGCATAGGATGCCCCCATGGAGGAAGAACCATAATCATTTATTCCAGCAGAGGATATCTCATGATACAGAACGCCAACCACCACGGCTTCGCGTTTGGCAGCAGCACTTCGTGAGGCTAGGAAGGAATTCAGCTTCGCTACCATATAGGCCGGCATCGGAGCCAAGGGAGGATTTATCAGATTCAGGGAGGCATAGTCATGGCGTTATTCGGACACTATAACACAGCACAGCACAGCACATCCATTTACCCACATTGCATTGCATCGCGTTCGAGCATATCACTTCGTTAAGATACCATATCCGCGGACCATTGGCTGTTTATCATGGAAACTTTGTTGCTTTTGGGCGCTAATGAAGGTACGGACTGTAATTACGGCTAGGCTACATGGTAGGCACTGTGTATTTGGCAGGACGAAGATGGGATGGATGGATGGGATGTACATATTACCTTATACTCCAGGACGAGCTACTTGCTCAATACCCAGGGATCCTCATGTCACTTATACCACTCATACAAATCCCCAAATAATATAAATAATCAATCACATGCATGAAGACGCTTTATTGGTACAACGGAACGGAATCTAGTGAACACCCAGTATAGCCATTAATCAGTCACTCCATTGTTGTCCATTATCTATCATACATTCCGCACCCCGTAAGGCAAGCAATTTTTTTCGCTTTCTCTAATTGTATTGCATGTATGTGGCGGTAGAGTTGAACTTCAAGTTACCCTTGATGACCTTGTCGACGGCGCTTAGGAAGTCCTTCTCCGAGGCTACCTTTCTCCTGGCGCGAATTGCGAACATGCCAGCTTCAGTGCACACACTGCGTAGTTCAGCACCGGTGGCGTTGGGGCAGAGACGGGAGATAAGCTCCCATCGGATGTCGCGTTCCACAGACATACTCTTGGCGTGGATTCGGAGGATGTTTGCCCGGCCCTCGAGGTCCGGTAGCGAGAACTCGATCTTTCGGTCGATACGGCCAGGTCGCATGAGGGCAGGGTCTAGCGTGGAGGGTCTGTTGGTAGCGAACATGACCTTAATGTTTCCTCGGGCGTCGAAACCGTCAAGTTGAGTGATGAGTTCCAGCATAGTTCGCTGGACTTCGTTGTCACCACCAGCTCCGTCATCGAATCGCGCACCACCGACAGCATCGATTTCGTCGAAGAAGATGATACACGCCTTCTTCGTTCGGGCCATTTCGAAGAGCTCTCGCACCATTCGGGCTCCCTCTCCGACGTACTTTTGTACTAACTCACTACCGATAACTCGGATGAATGTGGCATCTGTTCTGTTCGCGACGGCTCGGGCGCAAAGGGTTTTTCCGGTACCGGGAGGACCATAGAGAAGGGCACCCTTCGGGGGATCGATACCTAGGTTGACGAATCGCTCGGGCGAGAGTAGAGGCATCTCCACGACTTCTCTCAGCTTCTCAACCTGCTCTTTGCAACCTCCCACATCACCGTACGTGACATCCGGCTTCTCCTCGACTGTCATCATGGTAACGCTAGCATCGATCTTGGGCGGCAGCGGTAACAGAATCTGGTATTTATTCCTGTCGACACCCACACGCATGCCTTCCTCGATATCGGTCGGGGACACGCGTTCACCGAGCTGGACGACGAACTTGGCGATTTGTTTTACGTTGATGACATATTTGCTCTTGGTCTCGTCCTTCTCGTCCGCAATGATTTTGGTACACCGCGCTACCTGAAGCGGTTGCTCTTCTGACATGCGTTGACGGTCGGCGGCGACATCCCATAGGTGAGGTGGCGCAAGACCCGTGTCGGACTCCTTGACGCCGATTTTCTCGTCGACGGATTGTTGTTTGTCCTTGATTTGCTTCTCGAGGTTCTTGATCGCTGTTCCGTAGGGTGCGGCTCCGTATGTTTTAAGGACTTGGATATCTCTGGTCGTAGATTGTTAGAAAGACGTAGGGTGGAATTATGGGTAGTTCGAATTAAAACTTACTCGTCTGTTAATGGTGTGATCTTCTTCTCTTCTAGCTCGTCATCGGCGTAGTTCTTTTGATACTTCTCCCAACTCGAACCGGTGGCAGAAGGCTAAGATATCGTTAGCTAAGATGCATGGCAAAATATGTGGAAATCGTAATACCATCTTGATAAAAAGCTCCCAATTTGGGGGAGCTCGCTCGTATTATGGTGAATTGAAAAAAAAATGAAAACGAGTGGAGGAGTGTAATTATAGAATGGTGGTATTGGTTTGGGTGTCGTATCGGGCGGATATGATAATGGTTGATGGTGAATGGGATTGAATGCTGAGAAAGAAACAAGCTCTCAGTCAGGCTGGCGAAGTCGTTGCCCTCTGTGATGATTAACAGTAAACGGTGGTTGCATAAGCTCGTTCATTGCCTAGAGATAACGGTACGTATCTATGCATTATACCTCATTAGGACTAGCTCAAATGTAGCCTCGCAGCTACCCCGGGAACATTTTTAATTCTATTAAGGTTTTTGGTACCAAAAAATATCACAGCCTGCGCGGGGAGCTCTTGTCAAAGTTAAGGCCGCCACTTTTTAGAAGTTACAACCACAACAAATTTCTGCAATACTCTCTTTAACCTTTTTCAACATTTTCACATACTGCCGGAGTCTCGACATCTTCGCTATCCGACTTATTTAGCTTATTATGGCTACCACAGCACAATCCGGCGGTGGCGCCAATGCCAACGCTACCTTCAGAGTATGACTTCTTTCCACACCTTACTAATATCTCCTTTTTTAGTTATTCGAAATCATATAACTAACGGATGGAAAATAGGACAAGGAGAAGCCCGTCGCTGTGCGTTCCTCGAATATCGTCGCTGCAAGAGGTATGTATATCTCCTTATTCCATTTCAAAGTGCCCCCACTAAAGCCCAACAGCCGTTGCCGATGCCATCAGAACTTCCCTAGGACCTCGAGGAATGGACAAGATGATCAGAAGTGGAAAGGGAGAGACAATAATTACAAATGATGGAAACACAATGTTGAAGAGCATGTCTGTTCTACATCCTACAGCAAAGATGCTTGTCAACCTCTCAGCAGCACAGGATGTCGAGGCAGGAGATGGTACAACATCAGTGGTAGTCATATGCGGTGCACTACTTGGTGCGGCCGATAGGTTACTCTCCAAGGGTATCCATCCTGCGGTTATTTCCGAATCTTTCCAACGAGCGGCGGCAGCATCGGTCCAGATTCTCCACGATATGTCGCAACCTGTCTCCTTGACCGATACCGCTACTCTTCTCCAAGCAGCCAATACCTCCTTGTCTTCCAAGATCGTCTCTCAATACTCTGGCCTACTAGGTCCTATGGCAGTCAACGCGGTCACTAAAACAATCGACATTAAGACGGCCGATAATGTTGACCTGAAGAACATTAGGATCATCAAGAAGGTTGGAGGCACGATAGAGGACAGTGAGCTAGTAGACGGGGTGGTCTTAAATCAGCCCGTCATCAAGGCCGCAGGTGGACCCGTGAGGATGGAGAAGGCCAAGATCGGTTTAATCCAGTTTCAATTAAGTCCCCCCAAGCCTGATGTAAGTCTTCGAAATTCTACTCTATCCACCTCATTCTAATCGTACATACAGATGGAAAACACCATCCAAGTCAATGACTACCGCCAAATGGACAAGATCGTCAAGGAGGAGCGTCTCTATCTACTTAACCTGGTCAAGAAGATCAAGAAGGCCAAGTGCAATGTGCTCTTAATACAAAAGTCTATCCTACGTGATGCTGTCAACGACCTTTCCTTACATTTCCTGGCTAAGCTCAACATCCTTGCGGTCAAGGACATCGAGCGAGACGAGGTTGAGTTCATTTGCAAATCTACTGGTTGCAAGCCGATTGCGGATATCGACTCTTTCACCGAAGACAAGCTCGGAACAGCCGATCTCGTCGAAGAAGCTCAATCAAACGGTGCGCGAATGGTCAAGGTCACTGGTACAAAATCGGCAGGAAAGACGGTCTCGGTGGTGTGCCGTGGTGCCAACAGCTTAATTCTAGACGAGGCAGAGCGTTCGCTACACGACGCCCTATGCGTCATCCGCTGCTTGGTCAAGAAGAAGGCCCTCATTGCAGGCGGTGGAGCACCGGAAATCGAGATAGCAGCCCAGCTCTCTAAGCAAGCACGATCACTCACCGGTACAGAGGCAATTTGCTGGAAGGCGTTCGCGGACGCTTTGGAAGTGATACCTACAACCCTAGCGGAAAACGCCGGTTTAAATAGCATCAAGGTAGTTACGGATCTACGACATCGACACGAGCTTGGAGAGAAGAATGCTGGCGTCAGCATCAAAAGTGGTGGTGTGAACTCGAATATATCCAAGGAGAATGTGCTACAACCTTTATTGGTGAGCACGAGTGCTATCGAGCTAGCAGCAGAAACGGTGAAGATGATTCTTAGAATTGACGATATCGCCTTGACGCGGTAAATCAAATAGGGGAACGTCAACTAGGAGGCAACTCGAACGAGATGAGATGATATAAGCCAGATGTTCATGAGCTCCTGGGAAAAAGACCATTAGATAAGTTAGAGTCTGTGTAAAGATTCCACTTAAATAAAAAGTAAAGTCAACAACCGATTACTGATTACCAATTTCCCGAATCTAGATTGCTTAATAAGAAAATAATTCATTCGGACATATACCGGTATTTTTACGCCCTAATCGGTTGACAGATCGGGTCCGGTTTTACGGGTTTAAGGCGATTTATTCCTATTCCTAAAGTACCCTGCGGGGCAGGAGGGGTCCGGCTTCAATGGCGTCACTTTTGCGATAGTTTAGACGAGCTATGCATACCCTCGTACAAAGCTGTAGGAAAGACAATTACTAATTATAAATTGTCTCTAGAGTCAAATCTAATTAAACTTATTTGTTGGAAGCTTCAACAAACATCACAATCCATACACGTACTCGAATCGTGTAATTAATTCACCCGCTTACATCGGGTTACTTAGGCCGATTTCTTCGGGATAAGAGTATTCGGTATTTATGTTTTGAACAAAAACCGCTACGTCTATGACTATAGCTTCGTCTATAAGAACAGCTTCGTCGCGTGTACTTTTAACTCATAACTTCAGTCGTCAAGCAGCTCCAGCAATAACTACAATTTCAAATCACTTACTATTTCAGAAGAAATCACCAAAACTCTACATACGAACCATGTCTTCCGTACCGAGCACGATGAAGGGTGTCATTATTGACAAGACAGGTGGCACTGAGGTCCTTCAGTACAAGATTGATTTGCCTGTACCCGCGATTGTCGATGGCCAAATCTTGGTGAAGAACGATTACATCGGGGTCAATTTCATTGACACGTGAGTAGCTTCATACAGCCCCTATCAATCGCTTGTAATACTAATTAGTAATATAGATACTTTCGAACTGGTCTATACCCTGCTCCCCAGTTCCCGTACATTCTGGGCCGAGAGGCAGAGGGTACCATTGTCAAGGTTGGAGGCGGAGACGTCTACGGTCTCAAGGAGGGTGACAGAGTTGTCTGGTATGTATCTCTTCCCCCTATCCCTATTACGACACCCCTTTCCAAATCAAGTCATCTATAAGATAAAGACTAACACCACATCAGGGGAGCTGAAGGCGCCTACGCCGAATACGCCAGCGTACCCGCGGCCAAAGCCATCAAACTACCCTCCGCTCTCCCCGCCAAAATCGGCGCAGCCGCCTTCCTCCAAGGTCTCACAGCACTAACCCTGATCCGCGAAGCGCACCCCGTGAAAAAGGGAGACTGGGTCCTCGTCCACGCAGCCGCAGGCGGCACCGGTCTCTGGCTCGTGCAACTCCTAAGATCCATCGGGGCCAACATCATCGGCACAGCCTCCACACTCGAAAAAGTCGATCTCGCGCTCAAAGCCGGCGCCACCCACGTTATTAACTACAGCCACGAAGATGTAAAATCCCAAGTCTTCGAACTCACCGACGACCAAGGCGTAGTCGCCGTCTTCGACGGAGTCGGGAAATCGACCTTCGATCTAAGCCTGGATGTCGTGGCTAGGAAGGGAAGTGTGATTTCCTTTGGCAATGCGTCGGGTGCGGTACCGCCTTTTACTATTGCGAGATTGGCCGCTAAGAATGCGCGTTTGATGAGACCTACCCTGTTTAATTACATTGCTACGCGTGAGGAGTTTGAGGGGTATGTGAATGAGTTACTCGACTTCGTGTTGAAGGATGGATTGGATGCTAGGATTTATAAGGTGTATAACCTTAGCGATGTTGCGAGCGCGCATAATGATTTGGAGGGCAGGAAGACTACTGGAAAGTTGCTTTTGGATCCTTCGAAATAAGGAGGTTGGGAATATGCGGGTGTAGGTACCTAAGCGCCTAGAAGTCTCTTATGTACGACATTAAATCATGACATAAGCACCGCCTTCAATATTGCCTCGTAGTCGTTATTACTCACATTCCAGAAACTTCAATAGGAGGATTGTGTTCAAGCTCATCGTATTGGGATTATAGTACAGCGCTTGCTCACCATCCACTCACTGCCTATTGCCTGCGAATAGCTAGCTAGCCAGTAAACATCCTGCATATGGGGGAATATAGCTCTCATCGAGCTGGCGAAATAGCATGACTAATCCTAGCTCGATATTTGCCCGCGAAGCTTCCCCTTGGCATGTAAAATCAGAAAAATTAATTCCTGGGGCCTATCCGTTTTGGAAAGGGACAAAGATCATATTGTTCCACCCTGTCCTTAGGAACTTTTGTCTTCATATCCCCTTAACTCCATAGAAAAAAACATTGCAATAAACGTGGATATAAAGAAGAGAAAAACACGTGTTTGTATTCCTCCGTATTATTCGCTTAAGAACCGCCTAGCATCGAGTGAGAATGGACCAATTTAGGACCATGCTCGCTATAGGAATTAATCGTTAGTCTTGATCTAAGCCGACATTGGGATAAATTAGGATAGGAAGGGAAGAGCAACATACTTGTAGTCAACGCGATTCAGACTCATCGTACGCTGAGCCTCTGTAGTCTGGACGTCCATGTTATGGATACAGTAAGCGAGACGAGCGGCGACAAGGGAGCCGAGGAACATGGCCTCCTCGAATCCATTCTTGGTCCACTCGGCTAAGTAACTCGGCAGCGGCGCTTGCTTAATACTCATCGGTGTCTGTCCGTGAGAATGGTGGCCTAGCACACTCACGTCACCCGCTGTTGATCCAGGTGCTTGCGTTGCACCCGGAACACCAAGCGATGCTGTTGTGGCCGCTTGTAGAAGCGGGTTTACCGAACTAGTGGTCGGTAGTTGGCCTGTAAAGGAGCCGGTAGGGGTCTGGGATCCAGTTCCACTTGGCGTCGCCATGTTAGACGGCAGCTCAGAGGTAAAGATCGTAGCAGTACTCGGCGAGATGAGATGTCGCGCAGTAAGTGTTTGGATAATATTTTCTTTCAGGCCTCGGAGACGGCTACCATTGCCAACAAAGACAATGTTATCCCAGCAGCCTGGTCGCTTGTAAGTCTCGTCGATGCTCTGGATCGCGCGGTAAATTGTATCGGTTATTCGGTTTATTTCAGCGCGATCCGCGAAGAGAAATCTCTCGAGTCCGACCTCAATATCCCGTCGTACTCGCTTTGTTCTTCGTTCCGTGGTGGTAACACTGTTGACTGTAGACTCCATCGCCTCACCAGTACCTTCAGGCTTGGTCTCTGGTTTGACTTCCGGGTTGTTAGCCGCACCTTCGGCAGGGGGTGCATCAGTTATTTGCACATCGCCATTCGTAGGAGCAGCAGTTTCCGGCTTAGGAGCACCGTTGGAGATAGTAACTTCAACATCCTCATGCACCAGTTCCTCATAATGAAAGACGCCGACCTTTCGCTTGGAGTTGGGCAATCGAACAGGCTTCGCCGCGGCAGGCTCGGCTTCTTGACCCTTGCCTGACTTCTTCGACTTCGCCTTTTCAACCTTCTCTTTTTCCTTCTTGGCGAGGAACTCTCGTGCATTCCCACTGGTAACAATGTTGGCGACATCGAGTACGCCCTCATCTGCATCCTTTCCTTCGGCGTTTCCATTTTCGGTGTCGCCGCCAAGAGCAGTCACAGATTTCGGTGGTTCTACAGGTTTCGGGGCCTCTACTGTGGGTGGGGCGGCAGGTACTGTATCGTCCGTAGGAAGTTCCATGAGCTCCGACAATTCGGAAATATAGGGTAAAACTTCGCATAGGGGACTCTTCTTCAACTGTTCTGCCATGTCATAGGTGAAGTTCTTGTTCTTCAGAAGTGATAGAAGTTTCTGCGTGAACACTTCCCCGCCCGAAATATCTCGTTCTGGGTTCGGGTAGCCTAATTGCCTCTGGCTGACAATAAGGTATTCGTGTATACAAGTCACATCGACCTTCTCGAAACCAATGTCCACTATAGTCATGGTTGGCCACTTCAAGCCGTATTGCGCGGCTACCGCACTGTGTAACAAACAGAGAGCCGGAGTCTTGGTCTTCTCAAATATGTAGCGCGCGATAGCTTCGCAATCGGGCCGGGTCCACTGAGGTGATGCCATGAGCATGATCGGCGTGTTGTGGTATGTCGTCGTAAGTAAACTGTGGACATGATCGAGGAATGCGAGGAAGGCTGCCATATTGACTATGCGTCCGCCTTGTAAAGGGTAGATTGCACCCTCGACACTATCGCGATCTTCAACATATTCCCATTGATCGTCGGACTTCTCTCCATCCGCTGTAGCCGTAGGCGCGCTGGTCTTCTTTCGCTTGTATATGCGGTAGGGTGTATACTCGTTGGTCTCTTCGTCCTTGAACATTCTCGTGGGGATGCGATGGGCGGGTGGGGTGAGTTCACTGCAGCCTAGCTGGGCCATGGTAGTTTGACTACCAGGGCAAATGACGAGAATTTGGTCTTCGCGCCATTTTCCCTGTTGGCTGGCCATATTGAAGAGATTGCGGGCGACAAAAGGACTCTCGTCGGCGCGGCCAGGCGTCTTCTGCTTGCGCGCACTGCCTTTGCGCGAAGTTCTTTTGCTTCGGGGTGTTTTCTTTTCAACGTTTAAATTCGGAGGTGGTGTTGTGAATCGATCTCTAGTGTTATTATTATATGTATTATAATTTTCGCTTTTATCGTTATCGTTGTTGTCGTTGTCAACCTCTTCCTAGAAAAGTAGACTGGATCGACCATCACGAATGGAGCTTGGCTCGCGCGTAGAAGCGACGCGCGATTGAACCCGCCCTACATTTTGCTCTTGTGGCTGGGACATATTTGCTAATCGTGGCTTAGCCCTGGAACAGATATTAGTCCGCTGCCAAGCTTTCCAGATAAGGCGGGAGCTAGAGCTAAAATTGTGGTGAAAGCTTACTGTGATTGGTTGTATGATGTTGCTGGGAAATACATATACGCTCTGCTTTGAAGCACGTATTGTCACGATGGGGGCAAATGAATTGGTAAAAACTGAGAATTGACAATTACTGTGCTTTCGGATTGATATCGGGAGAAATAAACTGTAGGAGTCACGTTTTTCTAAAAGTAAAATCTGGTCAATTATGGTAATGGCCCATCCACCAATACTATCTATCCTTCGTCGTAGTTACCTCAAATAACTATACCTCGCTTTAATTAATTATCCGACAGTACATACAAAGTTACCTACATATAGATTGGCTATTCCCCTTCAGAATCCCTCAAACCGATATAAATACATTCATACGTACATACATACAAATACCTTCCCTCTATCCTTCTACTATGAACTATGCTCGATGAGTGCAAGTTGGTACAATGTATTAAACAATAAATATACATATCAGGGGTATTGTCATGCACGACCACTTCGTCTCATCCTCGAGACATCTTTTCCTCTAACGCTCGTCTTCACGCATTGAGTGCCGTGCAAGAATATTCCTCGTACCTATAATCCGATCGTTCCCTGATCATAGTGGTATCTCATCCTCCGTTGAACCGTCCATATGCTTTTCCCAGAACTCCAAACGTATCATTATCGTCAGTTAAGGAAAGGTTGAAAATAACACCGCCCACCCTTAGGCAGCCGAGACGGATACATCGCGGCTGGCCTCCAAGCCTGCATGTTCTTTGGCCACTGGTGATGTTCCAACCGTGGCTTTCTCCGTAAGTGGAGATTGTGTATCGGTGACGGGAGAGTGATCATCAACATCGCTCGATTCTTGAGCTGGGGTCGCTGAATCGTCGGCCTTCTTAGAATCATCCGCGCTCTCGTTGGATTCGTCTACTGTTTTATAATCGGAAGATACCTCGTCGATTGCTTCCACAGGTTTGAGCGTATGGTCTTTAGCCTTAGGTGTGGTTACTTCCTCGGCCTCGGCTTCGAGCTCAAACTCTTGCCTGAGTGGGCTACTCACTAAACCGCTGACGTCACCCATCTGACTCTTTCTACGAGACGAACGAGCGGGACTTCGGAGGGGAAGTGGAGGCGGCACTCTAGCAGGAATGTTAACTCGGGCAGCACCAATCGCTAAACGAGCTGGTGTTTGGGCCGTAGCCACTTCGAAGACAACAGCCTCCTCCTCTGCTTCGCTATCGGACTCGTCACCGTCTTCCTCCTCTTCGTCATCACCGTCATCATCGTTACCCTCATCCAGTGCCTCATCATCTGCATCGCCGCTGTCATCTTCAATCTGCGTACCCGTACTCTTTAAGGTCTCTTCGTTGGCTTTGTTGCTTGAGTCTTGATCTTCCTCTTCCTCTTTAATCGCAATCGTCGTTGTGGGCTCGTCATCTAAGTCAGGGAAATTCGAAAGGCTCCGTAGCGCGCTAATGTCGATTTTAGTGTAGTCGACCTCGACGGGTTCCTTTGCTTCGGGGATTTCCTCGATCGTTTGTGGCGGGTTCCCATCCTCACTTTGACTTTGGCTTGAACTTGGAGTGGTCTGAGGTGTTGCGAAATATGTTTGAGTGCCGGCATCAGTCATCTGGCTTCGCTCGGTAGCTACTGTCTTGTTAGACATGTAACTTCCCCTGTTGCTTCGAGATAAAAACGTGTCGACACTCTGGCGGCCGGCTCTAGGAAAGAAAGGACTCGTCGGACTAGGGGCGTATTCGAATTGGCTACTGTCAGGTCTTAGTCGCGTGCCAGCTTCGCGGATACCCATTCCAGCCATTTCGAGAGCCAAAACGCCAAAAGGGTCTGGATCCTCCATGTCAGGTACTCCGAATGCAGGCGACAGAGTTGCTGTATTCGGAGACTCGAGTGTGGCATCGCTTGGGGCTGGCTGGGAAGCCAGTTGCTCCACGAGAGCCGTATCGTAATCTGTCCTCCCCTCGGCAGCTTTGAGCATTTCCGTAAGAGGCCGTGTTTGAGGCAAACTTTGGTTGATATCACCTGCTAGGATCTTTGCGACACCTATTTTCATCCCATAGAACCTCTCATTTTCATCGGCCCTCTCACTTATGACAGTACCGTCCAACTTGACTTCTGTACTCTGACCCTTCGCTTTCACATATACAATTGCTCGGTCACTTAAATCGGCCCATGTAACATCGTTCTCAAGTAGTCCCAAAGCGACTAGAGGACCAGCAGTTAGAGTAACATCCGTACCAAGCGTCAACCGTGGCCTTCCAAAGGCCTCAAGTACGGTAAAATTGTTGATGACAAGGACGCAGTCATAAACATCAACACCAAAGACAAAACGTAAACTATTCGTGTGAAGCATGAGCCCAGAAGGCGGAGACCATGTGCCGTCGGTTTTACGTGCGATTAAGATGCCGCTACCTCCAGAACCAGATGTCCATATTCCAGACCGCATCGATGTGAAAATCGCGAGCCCGACGGTATTTTGTATTATCCTCGGAGGTATCTTTTTCAGGAATCTGTGCGACGATTGGGTGCTAGAATACGTGGAGGGACTCCCGGGTCGGTCGTCTGGGGTGGAAAAGCCGTCGCCTACAGTCGGGTATTAGTTAAGAGACCGATCCATATTCACTAGTGGATATAATGAGGGCATACTGCAGAATGACTTTAAAATGCGAGCAGCCTTATCGCATTCTTTGTCTAACGTCGCAGGTAGGAAAGCGTCCCGGCCAAGTCTAGAGGTGCTAAGGCGGTTGACCGGGGACGGTATCTTATCGGCCCATCCGCGAACGATGTCGGCGCTATTCTTACGGATATGGGTATTTATACTGCCATTTCCGTTGACGCTACTCGTACTCGATCTACTTCGATCCCACGGGAGGAGGGCGGAAACCCGCTGCATGGCTAATTGCAATTAAGAAGCGCGGATCGTCACCTTCCGGAGTTTTGCGCGTCCCAGAGGAGAGGCTCCTCTTATTGAGAAGGACAAAACGAGGAGAACAAGGACAGCCTTAGTCAGAACTAGGATGCAAAAGTGGTGTCTGCTGGTGAGGCAGGCACTTTGCCAACAACATTGAGGAGGGAGTTAGAGAGAAAGTAATGGATCCAAAGACTCGGGTCAGAAACTCTGACGAAGAGAGAGTGCCCAGGTGAAGAGTGGAACCAAGAAACTAAGAGATTAAGAAACTAAAGACTAGGAAGAACTGACGACAGTTCCTTGGGCAAGGCACCTGCGCGATGGTTGGCTGATGCTCCCTCTCTCTCTCTTGCTCTTTCTCTGTTAGATACATACAAATACATACTACCAAGGAAAGGTAGGGTCGATGGGCCGGGCGGGCTAGAGCGAAGCGGCTTGCAGAGAAAAGTGACGTTTTGACTGGGCAGCCAACCCCAAGCCGGCTCAACATGCATGCGTAAGTGCATGTTTAGTGGGGCCATGGTCAGGTCAAGCAGGCTAGGGTTGGCACATGCTTCGGCAGGCCAAGAGGGCCAGGGGTAAGGAAAGAAAGAAAAAAGTATGGGAGGCCTTACCGTATTGGGACAGTCAGCAGCGGCGGGGGTCCCATTGAGAAGGGGAGCTGCCGCAATGCCGATGGTTTTTTTTATTAATGAATTCAGGAACCACTCGACAAATTGAATTCAGGTACCTCGCCTAGAGGCACTTTAGTTACTACTACTATAACATAGAAACGGGACCGACCTTTCGTCTAATGTTTAGTCTGATAATTGATGCCTACTTTAGAATACGCGAGATTGACGAAGTATGGTAGTTTGGCTTGTTTGCAAAGCCGATCCATCCACCAGACGGTACGCGGAATGGACGGAAAGTCAATCAGGACCAAGATACATATCTAGGTACCTGGGATGTAGTGTATAACCGTTACCAACTTGCGTATAGTATATCTCACCACTGACGCACTTACTACATACCTATGTACCTGTAAAGGTTGTTTTTGTCCTTTTCTTGCGCAAAAGCAAATCTTAAATACAAAGCTAATAATAAACATTGGATGGCTCCGAAACGTTATCTGCTATGTTAGAGTTTAAAATATAAGTACTGCTGGTACTACTATGTACTACTAATACTACCTAGGTACTGGGTATAATTCCACTTACACGACTTAAACAACCATCCATCCACTATCACAAACCAAATAGTGAAACAAGCAGAGATGGATATGCTTGCTACAACAATAATAATAGGTGGGCAAAGAAGCGGATAATCTACCTTATGCATCTCAACTAAATTTATCGCACATCCTACCTATTGTAGATATTTTCCCTTTAATGATCCTTCTCATCGATACACTAGGACTCGGAACCTCGAGTCGATCGACATGGAAACCCTGTTTAGATATGGAAAGCCTGGAAACTACTCCATTGCTTTTTTTTTTTTTTTTTTTTCCTTCTCTTTTTTTCAGCTGCCATATAGTCCTCAGTTACTACGTAAGGTGGCGAGAACCAAATCGTACTACCAACAGCGTCATGTTTATACTAAATAATGCATTTAAGAGTGTTTCCAATGTTTGTATAAGTCTCGCTAAATATTGGGTGTCTCAACGAGCCATGTAGGTCTTACATTCATGACGATAGGTTAGGAATGGTACTGCCAAGGCCACCCCAAACCCACTGACACATGGGCGCCCGCAGCATTGCATCTCACACTGATCATGGGCATGAGCACGACATGAACTGATCTGATTTTATACAGAACAACCGAGGTTCGTAAGTCATCCGATATAATTTGGCTAACTTCTTAGAAACATACATCGTATATATCCAAGAATTGAAGGCATGCAGTATCATACGAGGTGGAAATGAGAAGATGTTGAAAGTTCAAATATATCTATAAATTTAGCAGAATTCCTAGGATCTCTCTCACCTACAGTACATACCTAGGTAGGTATATATGCAAAGTCCGAACTAATCTATTCGTTAGATGTCTAATTGTCTAATTCATGGCTAATAAGCTTATTTATTTATTCAAAAACAACACCCATCTGACTGCAGCCTTATATTATTATGATGACGATCAATCATATGCGCATCGTCACTGGTTACGAGCTGTTGATTTTCCTTGGCTTTCGGATGACCCTACAGCGCACCAAAAGGCTCGTGATACGAGGTCATATCCACAATATACTACACAGCCATTACATCTCAATCTACAATTATGTACAGTTCACATTAGTGTAAAGGATATGCACACACACGCAAGTAATAATGGATACTTGCCTAGGTACAATCCACATATCTTACTTACATTACAGATTTCCCAAGCCGTTGGAAAACTGTCTCTCCGTAAATATACAAGGCTACCCCAGTTAACTAACAACGGACACCGCCCATTGGTGCCAAATGAGGAGACCAGAAGAGAGAAAATAAAATCACAAAAAAAGAAATCAAACGGCCTGGTCTCATAGGGTTATCACAAATCATACTCAAATCTCCGAACTGAAAACAATACCGTACCACCCATCGTAACATTCTTGCTCACTAATAAAGCAAAAGGATCCAAGATTATCCGAATAATTTCTCGGCCGCATTCATGCATGCCTCATTACATATAAAACCACAGACATAGCGCCGTGGCCCCCAATGACATCCTATAGTAAGCGCAGCGTAGCGCCTGTGAAAGCAAGCCAAACCCATCGCCTAACCAGCAGCCTGCATATGTATGTACGTACCATGAAGAACTTACGAACGAACACTAGACCCCGACCTCCCCTTCGAAGCGCGGAAGCGACGGCGTTTGCGGCTGTCTTTTTTTAGTCGAATTGCATAAACGTGACGACGCCTTTTGGGGTATTATCTACAAGTGTAAGCTGACTAAATAACAAAAGAGAGAAAGAAAACCGGACCATCGTTTCCCTATGTTTAGGGCCCGGTAGGACTTGCTAAAGTTGTCGCAGCGCATCGGCTCGTGTTCCCATTCCACGCCTCAATTTTGTTGGCGAAATATGACAGTGGCATACGTCATAGTTTTTACCGCTGATTATCAGGAAAACATCACCGCCAGAGTCAAATCACAATTATCCTAGTAAATATTGTGTTGAATAGGCTTTACGATAGCTTCAAATTTCCTCTATTCCAAACACCCCGCGTATCTGAACCAAATGAAGTAACCTAATGCTCCTAACCCCATACTAAACCCGTCTGTATGGTAGTAGATGAAGGATCGCAGAGTCGTCGTAATTTAGGTCTAGAACCATCTTCTAAAATAGATCATTACACATGAATCCAAGAGCCCTCATCCAAGCAAAACTAACCCTAGCTCCGAATTCGACAGGAAAAGGTGACTAGATCGACGAGACTAGAGATCTCCTTACGTGGCTACTAAACAACCGAGCGCAAGATTAATAAAATATCTGGAACGACTAGTGTGACAACCTGAGACATAACATATCCATATATATCAGTGCAGTTCAATCAGTCTAATTTGCGAATCTTCTTTCCAGTCTAGCAAGTAATGCGATACAATCTGCGTCTTAACCCATACATTCATTCTTCCAGTCATAAAGGCTTCACTTCGTCATCCCCCCCGCCAAATTCGGTAACAATATCCAATATATCATCAATAACGTCGTCATTTTTTTACTCCCAAATTTCGCCTAATTTCGCATAACATTTCCATGAACGGCAAGAAGAGAACATTACCATAAACAATAATAACCCGTCCGTCCCTCCGTCCCTGAAGCAAGCGCGAAGCTGCAGCAGCAATTTGGACCAGGTGTAATAACAGGGATGAACGCCGGGAATGGTTGCGCCTGTAGAAAAAAAAGATTCGTGTGGACCCCTCTCTATATATGCTCCCCTTTCCGAGAAAGAGTGAGATGAAGGAAAAATGAAGAGAAAATAATAATATAAAAAAGGAGTAGTGTCGTGGCACGTGCTTGATTCCGCTCTCCTCTCGTGCGTCCGGGTTGCGATACGGTCACGCCGAGATTTGATCGTAGCAATTTCCCATGCTCCGCCCCGCCTCCGTCGCTATCTGACCAGTGCGCCCGGGGATGCAAGAGTCCTGTGGTGATACAATTGAATCAAGGATCGTTTCTCATAAACATAAAATTGCCGACGTGGCAATTTCCCAATGGTGTCTATCGTTCTGACCGACTTTTCAGCTTTTCAATAACTCTGCTGGACCAAAGCGTTTCCGGGATAGGATCCGCCATGAAGGACGTAACGTTCGAAGGGGATGCAATTAATCGTATGCCGCGAGCTCCGCACCCATTTAGGGCGGGGCACCTCTCCCCAGTCTTCATTGGTCAACGGATAGAAGTTGTAGGCCTCGTGCGAGGGCAAATCGTGGTGCTCGCATTCGAAGATACCTTCGAGGTGTAGGCGTTCCAGATTTGGCAGCTTCGCGCGAAGTCCTGTGAACAGAGCCTTGAACGTCCCTTCGTACAGGTGTACTCCTCCTAGTGACACTTCGAAAGGTTTAGCTAACCCGCGGCCGCCGAGACGCAGCCGACGCAAAGTGTGACCGTGTCGTGCGAGGAAATCCTTGAGGTCCTCCTCTTCGCAAGAGAGTCCTTCGAGTGTCAGATCGGTGAGGTGCTTATAGGTGAAGTCATAAAACAATTCGCGGAAGGATAAAGCGAATTTTGAGTTCTCACTCGAGTAAGGGTGAAATGCGAGCCTCAATTTTCGCAAGTTCTTTGCAAGTTGCAAGATGCGACCGAGTCCGTTTACAGCCCTGAAAGCCGAGCCGGGTCCCTGCAAACCTGACGGGTCCAAGGTCCAGTTTAGGGTGTACAAGCTATCAAATGCCTGGGCATTGTTATACCAATGGTTGCGATGAACCGCCAAGCGGAATATCTCCAGTGGGAGTCGGTCGACCTTGAAGGAGGATAAGCGAATACCATGGAGTGCAGATATGATAGCATCCAGGTTGCTATACGTTAGGGGTCGATCTAGCTTCCTACAGCTTGGGTAGTCGAAGACCTCCCTAAGAAGATCATTATCAAGAGGGCATCGTGTGAATGTGACCTCAAAATCTTCTAGGTATGGAAGAGCAGAGCATGCTTCTCGAAGATCGTCGCTCCTCAAATGCAAGGGGCCAACGATCTTGCGTCCTCTTTCAATTCTATCGAACGCCTGCCGAGCCGATCCCATAAGTTCATTACGGGTATCCGGTGGCGACACGAAGTGCTGAAACCTACTGAATAAGTGAGTACAGTCTGTTCTTATTCAAACAGATAAAAATCAAACCGGATGTCGCCCCTTAGCATGGATGGTTGTTGAATTCATATAAATAGCGATGCAGAATATCCGATCGCGGGACGGATGGTTATCGCGGCTTGTAAGGATTCATGAAATACCAAAACTTACCATGAAGTACTCCACGCATCATAATAGGAGAGTTCCCCTAGGAAAATACAAATCGACCTAATGCTTCCTCTTAAACGGTCGTGGAGAGCAATAGAGTGTAGTCGTTCGATGTCGTTTCTCCAGCTGACAGCAGTAAATCTGGGAGATAGCAGGTACTCATAGCCTACATCCGCTAATATCCGGGTGACCTCGCGAAGATTTCGGACGGACTTGGGATCGCAGTGAGAGAAGACGAGTCTCAAAAGTTCTACCGGCAAGATATCCATAGAGAGCATATAGGTAGGTAGATCGGTCACATGAAAATATCTTTCAGGAGAGAAAGGGAGAAAAAAGGGTTGAGAATTAAAAAAAGGACCCGGACACGACACGAGGGTAGAGAGAGAGGTAGGCCGAAAAAATCAGATAATCCAAAATAGAATGGTTATGAAGCCCAACTCCGCCAGTTTGAAGAGTCTCAAAAATGAACAAAACGCCGCAACAGACCAGATTAGAGCCAAGATTTCAAAAGAATGAAAATCCAAGTCCTCCTACGCGTTCCCGAGGATTTTTTCTACTTGGAAATGGCGGTTAGTAAATAGGGCAGCAAGGACGCTCGTAGCCCGTACTCAACGAAATGGCGGAGTGCTGTGTGTTTGGTGCATCTTCCCATGCAACGAGCCTTTCCGATTCTAGGACAAAGGGGAAAAAACCGCAACCAACTATCGGTGAGAATGAGACACACATATACAATGTACTAATAATCCAGTGCTCTGACGGACAGCAGCATGAACTAAGAAAAAAAAAGATAGAAGGTTCTTCTAATCCCCAAAATGTGTTTTTCCCCCTGCCTTGGTGAATAGGGAATAAGGTATGGGTCCTCTTTTTTTTGAGTACCGACTCGAGGGGCTGAAAGGATTTCTTCGCAAGCTGGCAAGGTGAGATGGCGGTAAAGACACCCTTGTACAACAGTGAGAAGCTTGCTGGGTACGGTGAAGAGAAAAAAAAAATTAATTAGGACGGTTTGGGGATGTACTTGCAAGGATAAAAACAGTGACTGACTTAGCATACTTAGTTACATTGCCTAGCTGGGTCCTGCTGGCTCTGCCTGCCCTGTTGGCCCCCCAGAGGCACTGAAGCTTGGGTCCCAGTTCCTGCATTAGGCTTTATTGGCTTTGGTTGGAGGCCCGGATAAGCACCGTCTAAAGTATCTTTGGTTAAAACTGTACGATCCCGACTCGATGATTCGACTATGATTCGTTAGTCAGCCACCCCTAGCTTCGGGATACTTTCTAGTTTTTATAGTGGGTATCATTACAGCTCAGCAGTGGCGTATTATTTGTATTTTATTTTTCTTTAACGGTCAAAAAGTATTGGAAAGCTGAGAGGTGTGAGTTGTTTGAATCTGCGAGGGCTCACCCCCTGCATTTGTCATGATGAAGACGGGCGAAATGCAGGGAATCGATCGGTCAGTCACATCTTCATTTTGTCTAATATCAAATCTTGCTGTATCCTGATTTTGAGTAAAATAGGAACCGATTCAAAAAGTCGGTCATGAAAGTTGTACCTGTAGGTATAGCTGTAGGTATAGGTATAGGTATGTTGCCAAGCGCTTCTAAAACCTAACCGCTTGTCTCCTGGATAAAAAACCGATTACCGAGAAGGGATACTCTCACTGTCGAGAATAAATACAATTAAAAACAAACGCCGATATCCTGAGGCGCCTTCAAATCATGCATCATAGCCTGCCGTGTCTCGCTTTGAAGATAGCCACCTTATCGTCGTAGAACAATATCTCACGTAAACGAAGACGTGCGGCTGACCCCACCAAGTCGCCATTCTCGAATGAGTCTGTCTCGGACTCACCGTCGTCAGATACGTCCGTTATGTCATCTCCACCATCTGCCTGGCCAGCCTCGCTATTGTCATCGTTCACATCATCATCGTCCTCTTCCGTTTCTTCGTCAGCCTCACTACCATCATCATTGTCATCATCCATATCGATTACAATGGCACCGTTCCCGTGATTTCCCCCTAGTCCACCATCCGCGCCGCCACTACTACTATCACTGGGCCGAGTCTCAAGTATTTCGAAACATTTCGCCCCTATGCCCACGTAACAAAGTTGGATTTCTGTTCTCAGCGTGATTATATCAACAAGCTGGAGCGCAAGCTCTTTCGGTTCGTAGTTTCCGGCAATATGTTCCAGTATGTGAGGGATATGTAGGGATCGAAGCTGCGGGATGTTTGGAAGACGTTGAAGGAACGGATGCTACATGGAGAATCGATTAGTTTTCGTTGCCAATATCTTGGCCAATTCGGAGACAATTTTGTTTACTTACCCAATCCTTATAGTCAAATGCTGCGGAAAGTTCCTTTAGATTTGGCATTCGTCCACTCGTAATATATGAAATTATTTCACTACTTAATACCCAACTCGTCCAACGATGACCCTCTCCCGACTCATCTGAACTGTCTAGAAGAAGCTTCTTCAGGCTAGCTCTGTGTCGTTTTATCGCACCCTTAAATATGACGTCGAGTTTTACAGTGGGCGAAGTTGTGCGTCGCCGGTCTTGCAAGAAGAGCACTTCTAGACTATTCGGCGCCAGAGTTTCCCTGATAAAACTGATGAGGGCACTTGAAGTAACATCTGCATGTATATGTTTCAAGGCCAGATGATATTGAGGTGGCGTGCCTGCCGGTGAACCATGAGGTGGGGGTGTCGGATGGAAATGCCTCTTCAATTGCTTCCAAAGTAATTCAACATTGCCACAATCTAGAACTGTAAGGTTTGTCAAGACACCCCAATCGAGGGCTCGAATGCAGACATGCGTCGCTAATGGCACCCGTTCTAACTCCAATGTTTCCAATTGAAGTTTCCCATCAAGGCGCTTTCTCCCCGCATACGTCTGGCTGTCGGTCTGGCTTGGGTTTGTTGCGGTAGTGGAATGGTGCTGGGTCTGTAGGTGTGCTAGACTGTGAATCGCAAGATTTGTATGCGTAAACGACAGGGGCGCATTGTCTGAAGATGAACCAAACTCCCCACCTCCATTAAAATGTGACGAGACACCCTGTGGGATAGAATTGATCCCTTCTTTCTCTGGAACTTTTATGTTTGATTTCCGCCGAATTTCATGTATTCTGCCAACCAGCACCCCGAGGACTCCGCCGAGTCTCTTATCACCTATTCGACTTTCACCAGGCCAACGTGCCTCATAGTCAATTTGTTGCAAGGCAGAATTATCCCAAGTCTGCGCAAAATCAGACATACGGGCTTTTTGAGAAATCCCAACCCGAAGTTCTCGAAGACTAGACTTCGAGCGCTCAATGAGTACAGCCATCTCATCTAGGTAGGCAAGTTCGTCTATGTCAAGAACTGTCAAGCTTTTCAAAGGCGGTAGGACGCTAAAAGTCGGGTATTCGACGTGGCTCTCGGAGTACTTGATTGGTTGTGTCATAGATGGGTGGAAATCGGCAGGCAGTGTAGTGCCTACGGCGGTTACTGTGCTCCCTATAGGCGGAACAGCTAATGGCGGCGGCGGCGGAGGCTGGATTGGACTAGAAATAGATGAGGAAGCATCGGGAATCTCAGAATTGTCATGCCAACGGACCCAGACCTTCTCAAGTTTAGATTCGCCCTGAGGGTAATGGTCCTGAAGGGATGCAAGCGCCATGAATACCTCGGATAAAACACCGGTAGGCATATCCCATACGAACGTTTCCAAATTGAGCATCTTGCCGACGGCTATCGCCACCAATGTTCCTAGCATCTTTCCACTCTCCTTCGTAACCATGTATTCAGATGTCCAATCTTTAGGCCCATTACCAAGCGAGAATTTACGCGTGTATCGAGCGTATTGATTATCGACAAGCCTTTCGGACGGGTTTGGCTGGCCCAGAGAACTCCCCCGCAGCCATCTTGTCCTCTGGGCGAACTTGCTACCTAAACACAAGGTAGCCAAGCCATACGTCAGCGCATCGACATTTTTGCTGTCGGACGGTGGGACTGTATCGTCGGGCCATACAATGTCGAAGCGAGCATAGATATGAGGGACAGTAAGGTAATAGAGGGTAGAGTTCGTCAGAGCTAAAGAGGTTAGATCGTTTGTATGAGTTACCTAAAATCTACCTGTTAGTAATTATTATGGAGCTTATTGGCGATCATTCGGAGCTTGCCTCTTTCACAATGAGTCTCAAGATGTCGACCGGAAGATCAAGAAGCTGTAGCGGCCTAGGTTTTGCTCCTATAGCCTCCCATTCACGCCCTTTTCCTCTGAGAAGCTTATTCAAGTTCGGCACGGGCGGTTCACGGGGCGGGGCCTCGGAAGATGAAGATTCCAATAGAGGCTGGCCATTCTCCTGTCTGGTTTGCCAGTGTGGAGCCAGCGACTCTTTCAGGTCTGTATAGCTCGAATCTGTGCTGTTGGCCATGATGTTTCCTTGTTGACACTAGTCCTAAGTTGTGATGTCTCTTGATGCTAGAGGCGCCCTAAAGCGTCGAATTGCATACTGTCGAGGGCGACGGGGGTGTCGTGGACGATCGATGCTCCGGATCGGGTTCGATATAATAACTAGCCACGGAGGCAATCTACCTAATTACGTTGCGCGAAGAATCGATGTTCTAAATAGGTAGCTGGAAGCTACCCAATGAATGGTGGTCGGCCGAATGAAAGTCGCTAGGAAAAGGTGTGTACTGAGTACGTGGATATGAACGTCGTTTTAGGGTGTTGATTTGGATATTACTGTTCGGTTAGGCGAATTAAGATGGAAGAAAATTCTTCAAGTATGTAAAAGAACCTAAAGCGTGGCTCCAGTCGTAGGCAATAAGGCGATGATTGACAAAGGTATTATGTACGGTGTGTGGTATGAATGGGCCGTGAATACGTAGGTAGGTATGTACGTATTTCCATCAGTTGGAAATCCAGGTGAGGCTTGGGACTGGACCCGGTTCTAGTAGGTACTTGACGGCTTTGGCAGAAATAGAATTATACTCGATTCTGATTGGCCCGTTTCATGCAGGCTTTGGTGCTTGTAGGGAAGCACAGGGCATTTTGGCGCGTAAATTTGAATATAAGGTTGGCTGGCGCCTTACTCTAAAAGGATCGACGAATACATGTATCTTCCATAGGTACACTTACTTTATCGATAAGATATTTAATCGAAAGTACATTGATGTAAAGCACACCTAGGCATACTTAGACGTGTACCACAAAAAATCCATAATCATCTTCATAGGGTATCTATTACTTACATGTAGGCAGATACGATTTGCTAGCTGTAAGATTGACTCATTGTGACTATTCCGTTGCTACCCATCCGGTTCTTGAGCAGGTAAGATATGTAACTCTAATCCAATCTACAAACGCATGTGGTAGGCATGTACATGCACCCATGTTAACTAACTCTTTAATAGACTTCCTTAGTTCCTCGGCTTCTCCTCTTAGACTTTCGTATGTAAATCTATGTGTGTGGTATGCCTTGGAAAGATTAATACATGCACATCCCACAAGCGTCGATTGCAATACACAAATAAAGGCTATTTGTATGCAACAGATAGTGTCACGAGATATCGACGTCGTACTGATTAGGCATTCTTGCTTCCCTGTTCTTGATAAAGGTAAACAACAATCCTTGGTAACTGGAACTAGACTTTTCTAGTTGCAACCTGAGCCCCTCCAAAAGCCCCGCCTGCCCGCCTCTCCATATGCACCTACATAATCTACATACATAACGCCAGGACCTACCGTACTTTACCGATGTATCTTTCCCTTGTACCTAACCTACCTTCCTTACTGCCTACCTAGGTAGGTACCTGCCTCGCTCGACGGTATTATCCATTATCCTTTATTTAGGTACGGGCATGACGAAGCATTCTCCTTCCCTCCTTATTACTCTCTGGTTTCTCTCTCCCAACCTCTTTATTGTTGAGTCTCTCAGGTTACGTATAAGTTGGTTCAGTTGACGTTCGCGACTTTGTATTCGCTATAAACCACCTACCTGTTTTCGATTTTTAGCGCGCCGACCCGAAAAAACCAGCCATCTTTAACGGTTCAAATTCCGGTAGGGAGCTTTTAACTGCCCCGCTCGACTTGTCCCCGTCTCTTTAGTCGCGCGGTTTGTCTTGTGGCTAAAATCGGTCAGCTTTTGTGTATGTGAACGTCCTGTTTCTCTATCTATCTATGACTCTCCAGAGGACTACTTGGTGACTGCCTAACAACACGTTGGCCTTAATCCAAGTAAGTTCGAACAACTGTCAAGTTGACACTTCTATTTAACTCATTGCTGCCTCCTATTTCAACCGTTATTTCGTTCAAACTAACTCTGCGACGTTCTAGATTACAAGAGATACAGAAAACAGTAGTTATCCGCCGTCGCATATCGATTTAAGCCCGAATATACTTGTCGCATTTACATCCCGAAACCTATTCCGGACTAAGTAATATGGCTGGTTTCGCACAAGAGCTTTGGGAGTCAATCTTCACTCCTGGGACAACTCCTACTCTATTGGTCGCCACCAACGCCACCTTTGCTTGTTTACAACTCGTGCTCTTTCTCCTACTTCTCGCGACATATAGTATCCATTTTATAATACTATCATTCCTATGTGGGGGACTATGGTGGGCTATCAATTGGTTCGCGGCAGAGTTGAAGATTGCTCAAGCGAAGGAGGCTAAGGAGAAAACACGCCTCGAACAGCGAGCCGCCGCGCGAAACTCAGAGGACAGTGAGACCGAAGTAGAGACCAGCCCAGCTTTTGTCGCAAAACCAAAACCTATATCAGGGAGTACAGAGGTGGAAGTTGGAGAACAGGCAGGGGATTTAAAACTTCGGGCAGACACATCTTCAGGGTCGAAATCTGGCGTTAGTACGGAAGACGAATGGGAGAAGGTGTCTGAGAACGAGAACGAAAAAGACAAATGAATCAACAAATCAGATACCCGACAACAATGGTCACATATAAACATACAGGGGGGGCATTTACGGGAGCGTTTGTAGCGAGGTTGGGTCATTCGCATTAGATACCTTATCTCTTCAAGTTTTGGAGTTCATGCTACCATCCTATTTTCCCTATCTCTAGGGGAGCTTTGGGATGAGAAGAGATAGATTTCAAGTATTAAACACGTTTTGTTACGAGTAGAATGATGTATTAAAACTTAATACGATCAATAACAAGATACGATACTAATAAGTTACGATGGTTTACATTATGTAGCAATTATGAATACATGTATGCGCTACGAATATGCGTGCCTAACCGAAGCTTCAACGAAGGCTGCTTCCATCCGTGATGCAAGTGGGGTACAATCAATGGTACAGTGGTACTTAGGTACTTATAAGCTACAGTAAAATAGCAATTTGTCACGTGACTCTACCCAGCTTCTAAAGTGGACCCAGCAATTGAATTGTCTTCCCAAATTTCACAACTTTGACGAGTAACCCAAGCTTGAACGCGCGCGACCGCTAACCTTGAAGCTTGGATCCAACACAACACACCTCTATAATCCGAATCGTCAATACTCAGGATAATCAGCCAAGATGAAGCTCGTCAGGTAAGCTACTCCTTATTCTCATCAGCGCATAATTCTGTGCTAAATCATTTATTTACAAAGCTACGTATTTACGGCTCCGGTGCTAATCGTGATGGTTTCCCAGGTTTTTGATGAAGTGCGCGAACGAGACGGTGACGATTGAGCTTAAGAATGGTACGCACACGCGATACTACACCGCACAAGAAAGCCTTGTCGCTCTACGAATAGCTAACAGGGATCATTAGGAACAATTGTACACGGCACAATCACATCGGTCTCACCATTGATGAACACGGCCTTGCGAACGGTGAAGATGACCCCACGCGGCCAAGACCCTATCTCCCTAGACTCGATGAACATCCGTGGCTCTACTATCCGATACTTCATCCTACCCGACTCTCTACCCCTAGATACTCTCTTAATCGACGACTCGGTGAAGCCCAAGAACAAGGCTCGCAAGGAAGCAGCGGACAGAGGTACCCGAGGTGGACCCCGCGGCAGAGGCAGAGGACGTGGGCGTGGACGAGGACGCGGTCGGCCGTAGAGAAGCTCTCAGCTTGAGGACTCTCAGCTTGAGGATTTGGAAAATACCAATACGGCGGTACTACGTCATAGTTGGACCTTCTAGAGGATCCGAGGAGGATGGACTGCTTTGCAGTTTAGGCAGGCAAATGGTGTACTTCAAGTACAGTGGGCATTACTACAACGGCGTTAGGGGATGGCAAATGACAAAAACAAGATAATACCATGAAGAATGGCCCAAAAAGCTGGTATGGCTCCTTTGCACTACACGATTTTGTTTTTATGTGAAGAGCTAAAAGCTCACAAGAACAAATAAAGAGTCCATTGACAACCAAACCAAAAGTCCTACGTGTTTATACCTATCCTACCCAGATCCTGATGATCTGCAGTCTCTCCCATCCGGCCTTTTTCCCACTAGATCCTACAGTTTCAACATTCCAACCTTCCCCGAAGGCGCGAATTCTCTGTTTGACTTCCTCGGGCTTGTTTTGCGCACAGAGCAGGATATATGCACATCCCCTACTTGACAGCACTTGAGGTAGACTATTAATCAACTTGTTCGTCGTTTCCATCCCATCCTTCCCGCCCGCGTATGACAATGAGAGCATGTAGGAATCATCGCCAAATGTTGGTTTCGTATCCAGTTGCGATATATCTGTTTGGCCTGGCTGCTTCGGTAATTCAGGCGTCGGGACGTACGGCGGGTTGAAGATTAATACATCCACTAACCGATCCTTCAAGGGTGTGACGAGGTCGCCTTGGAAAGCACCAAGATATCTGCCGTGCGTTGTAGCATTTTCCGATGCGGCTATCCTCGCAGTCTCACTTGTTGCCTTACATGCGTATCCATTTACGTCAATAGCCGTCGTTAAAACATTGCGAGAACCGAAAAGGACCTGGGCTTGCGCATTGACGAAAGCGATGACTACTCCTGAGCCCGGTCCTATTTCCACCACCAACGGGACGTAACCATCGCCGAATCGATTTTGAAGAAATGTTGTCTCGGAGCTTGATGAAAGTGTGTCTAGCAATAGGAAAGAGTCTTCCGCCGGTTCGTATATCCTCTCGTACGCCACATGCGACGTATCCGGCGTTGGGAGCATGTCTTACTATGCGTATTGATGAATGAAGATGGTAAAGTTAGGTCGGGCTGCAAATTTTTTCAGGCGAACGGGACACAGTCTAAGCACGTGATATTCTAGTCTTGTGTGGTAGGAGAAACGATAATTGTGTTAATTCACGACCAGGTACCCATCTTAACACCGGTTATTGTGAGGGTTCTGTTGGATATCTCATGGATGCCAGTAGACATAAGCGGATTCCCCTGTAGGAATCTAATAACTGTCTGGCGGATGATAATGGTTGATGTCGCCCTCGAACCCCCTCCCATCTAAGCAAGCTTCGCCACGTACCCAAGGGCTCTAAGGCAAATTAAATAGGATATCATGCAAACCCGTTTTTCAAGGTAATGCCGTCGATTTCTTGACCTCGCGAGCTATACTCTCGAATTAGTCTCGCCGTCAAAAGAAAGGACAAAGCAATCCCACGTACCTCAGGAAAATAGCAACTCGTCCTGCCGTCGCATCCTCTTTAAAATGGCGGTATCCGATCCCTCGCCGTCATATCCCCCGCTCGTCGTCACATAACCACGCACTCACACCCGGGATCACTCTTACTAGGCCCCATACCCCAACGCCAGCGCTCCCGAATATCCATAATCATGCGAATCTGATGACGATCATAAGCCCCGTGTGTCGAGCACGCAGGACACGGACCCACGGCATCGATAAGCTCGCCCGGTTGACGCGCAACGCCGTCGCCAAAGGTGTTGCAAGTGTTGAATCCCTGGCCCGGCCAGCACGGCTGGTAGATCTGCAGCCAGTGGTGGCGGCAGGCGCGACTGCGGAAGTCTATGTTCGTTTGTTAGTGGGCATTCCTTGAATATTGAACTCTTCATTATATATATACATACGGAGGTAATTGCACATCTCGTCTCTTCGAGCGGCGCAAATCGAGTAGTGGATCGAGGCCTTCCCGAGTACGGATAAGAACGGCGATGTTGCTATTTGATTCCACTATTATTGTGTTTGGGACCGCAAAGTGCTTTCTTCGATTTCGGATAGTTGATGATCGTGGGAAGAAACGGCCTGGACGAATTATAAATGCACCTCCATATCCCGTTTTTAACAAGCGCAAACGTTCGCACCTTCCTAGTGACTCGAAAGGGAATATCTTGTCCTGTGCGTCAGTCTATCGTTGGCTCTATTAGTCTATTAGTCCAATTAGGCTAGATGAATTACTGATTGCCCAATGCTCAGAATATAATCAAGGAGGTAATCACAGACTTGAGGCGAGTCATTGGTCAAGGCAGTCTTCAGATGAAAACTAATGTGACGCCGCTTGTATTTCCAGACACATCGCTAGGACTAAGCATACCAATAAGTATATACCAAACCTGGTATAAACCACTTTTCCCAACCTCAGAGAATGCGCCCACGCTTCCCAAGACTTAACCCAGAAATCAAACACGGTCATAGTTCCACACGTCGTTTTGTAAGCCAAATATGTACTCTTATGGTATTCACTTCCCCTCTTCTCCTTTCGTCTTGTCATCAATCGCATCGCCGCATATTTTTATTAGTAAACCCTCGATTCTGGAGGTGGTACGCTCCAACGAGCCTATGCGGCCCGAAATATCTTCTATTTCAGCCGACTCGCTCATGATAGACCGTATCTGTTCTGTAAGGAGCCCGTACGGCGCTATCGAATCTCTACGACTCGGTGGCTTGCTTGGGGCCCTGCTAGGTGTCCTACTTGGCGTCGGTGTTTGCTGCTCCGGCTCTTCATTAGTCTGCTCCCTACTCGACTCAACTAATGTAGAACTTTGCTGCCGCGCGAATTGTCTCCGAATCATATGACGCGTCAGGTCGTCATCAACAGCGATATCGTTTTCGACCGAATTAGGAGGGGAGATGTCGAAGACCGCTTGAATATCGCCATGGCTTGTGATTCTCCATCTTTCCCAAAACAAATTTCTGCTGCGTTTCTTCGGCAATTGCTCTGTCGGGTAGTCTGCTAATTCCGCCCCCGACCAAAGGGATCGCCTCTCAATGACGGCAATTATGAGAAGTACAAAAATATTCAGGGTCCTAACTGTTGCTACATGAATCTTGTGGAACCATCGAGGGCTAACGACGAATCTCATCGGGACCAAGACGAATAAGGCAATAATGTTGAATGGAGGTTGGTATGCGAATATCGCATCGCTTTTCACGCCCTCGAGCGTCAAGACGGCTTTCCTGAATTGGATTTCAGCGGTAGCATTACTGACAATGGTGCTGAAGGTATTTGACAGCATCGATACCAGAATCGTCAGGAATAATGTGTTACCCAAGAAGGTAAACGTAATCATCAGGATTGGCCCAAGAAGCCAATGAAATTCCGCCTATAAACCAGAACATTAGTCCAAGAAAAGACGATCGTAGGCCTAAATTACTCACAGAACGTGAAATGCCAGTGCCATCCAAACCAAACCAAATCCACAACATCCACTTGCTAATATTCCTACTTGGTATTAGCCTATGAAGGTGTTGTAGGTTCAGGATGCTTACACTGTATTATGCCGCCCTTCAGCGAGCCAAACCATAGAAAGCAAGAACCCACCGAAGCACCTATTCACCACTGTTAGTTCTCTACGTTCATACTGCCTAGATATATAGGTAAAAAGAGCACTTCACAGGGACGACTTACCAGGCCGCTAGGGCTGTGAGTAATGTGAAATCGGCCACCATTGACCGAAGGCATAAAAATACTAAGTTATCCGACAACAAGCTGAACGCCAGTCGAGGAACAAGTACGGGAGCTCCCATTGCAAGTACATCAAGAGCCTGCTGGGCCGGCTCGGGTCGGCCAGTCTTCCAACCGTATAATCTTAGTACAAGATAGGCCCAATATACTATGGCAAACATGACATCTAGGAATGACCAAAGATTTTGCGTGTAAACTTTCCTGTTGTATCAATTAATAAGAATTCTGCGTCATCTGCAAGTCGGTGTAACTTACCACCCATGGGCCAATATCGTTGCAAACTGATCTAGAACCCAACCGAATGCATAAACCGCGAAGGCGATCTCGAAGTTGCTTAGATAGTCAGGGTTTCTTTCCAGCATGAAAAGAAGATAGATGACGAGTAGGATGATAAATTGGAGTATTTCAAGGAAATTTCTCGTCCGAGGTACGATTAATCGGTATTGGTTGAGTAAAGGCGCTTTGTGTGGCTCATATAAGGAGATAGGCTTCTGTTTGTACCGATCCGGTATCATATCCAGCTACTCATGTTAGCAACAGTATACAGGAACACATGATACCTATTTTCGAAATAGCTTGATAAGTTACAAGCTATAAACAGAGTGGGGGGTTACTATCACGTACTATCACCGTGTCAGCTTCATTGATCTGATAGATGAATTACATCGTTCACTTACCAAAGGTAGAGGGTGTATATATGACGCGACCGATATATATTGCGTGGACACTAGTACAATATGAGCATCGTCGTAAGACTACAGAAGCGATACCTTCACTTACATTTTTTGGCAATGTGTAGAACTGAGAAAATGTTTGCTACTACTTAAGATAGCCACTTCCAGTGCAGGGAGAGTTCTGTTTTGACTCCACGCTGGACCGAGAAAAGCCTCTTGCCGGACCTCTGCAGGCGCATTCTGAAACGGCCCAAATCCGGCAACCAAAATGTTAGCCAAAAGAAGTAGTCCATCAGAGCCTGGATTATCGTCGCCAAAACGCCTCAAGATACGAGTTGCCACCAATTCGCAGAGTGTTGCCCGCGTGAAGTGAACATTCTGTCTGTTGATCATATGCTCCTGCTCATGCAGAAACTGGGAACGATTCACAAGTAAGCAATAGACTGGGTCAACGTTAGTTTTTATTTTTATTTTTATATAGAAGGGGTAAGTGCCGAGGAAGTGCCTGAGGTGTATATCACGTAAAGCTGGCTAGATACACGTACCAATTGAGATATCGTTCTGTTCGTAAAGCTTGTCGACTAGTGGCCGAACAACTGATATGTTGAGTCGGAGATCTGTCAATTGCTCAAGAGTGAGATAGTCTTCTACTATGCTGATGACATCCCTTCGTATCCTGTGAATATTTGTATAAACTGGTAGGTGGGCGTAGGCGTTCGGGTTGTGGTTGGGGAGCGGTTCTTGTTCCGTATCCCTGCCAAAAAGAGCAGTGCTTAAAAGCGGCTGCTCTTCTGGTTCATGTAGTCGAACCGTCCTACGTGAGCTCAACATAATGAGATTCTCAGAGTCGACATCTGAAAAGAGGATTCTGCGCCTGCGCTTAACCACGAAGGTAGGGATATATGAAGATTCTAGGCAACCTCAAAGAATGAATTCGTACAACGATACCCAACCTTTCAACCAATAGTCATTGTGTATGATGTCAAACTAATTAGTTAGTAAATTTTTTGATATTTTGTGAGTTGTTGCGTGATAATTGAATGATTATTCGGGGGTAGTTGTCGTGGCAGATTTTGTAATGGTGTTGTCGCTTGTCGCTGAGTTTTCGTCTGATTGGTAAAATATTAATGGCTTGGAAAGGTAGTATTTACGTCTGAACTAGGGTTTAATATGTATGATAAAAAGGGAATGAAAATAGAAAGTTGGTAAGCTTAGAAACCCAAATTTCTAGGGATGCCTCAATTTACCTGTGTTTCACTTTCCTAGGTATATGCCTCCTTCCTCGGTATAACGTACCTACCCTCGTTCATCGCAAGTTCGACATGCACTTAACCTAGATGTGTTCGACAGATGCGCGTTGACGTCGACGGGGTTTTTCTGGAGCACGCATTTTCAATACACCACCTGACTGGTCCAAATGAGATCCATAGATCCCTGTTGGGTTGCAAGCATATAGATAAGATAAGACATAAACAACCCCTGCTCTTTTTTTTAAACTAGAGGATCCCACAACACCGCCAATTGTCCCGCTGCCGGCTCGATCTTGCAGTCTTGATATTTTTAAATAAATCGTCGATTTTCCGCATCTGGTTCCACAGATCGGCCGATGACTTCTTTAGGTCGCTGCCAATATGATATGGCCTTTCACTTCTGCCTCCGGGAAAGGCGACAAGAGTGAAAATGATTCCTCAAGACAGCCCGTACCTTGGTCTGACAGTTTGAATGGTACCGACTGGCAACATTACAAGGACCCTAGAAATTGGGTACCAACCTTACTCGTGACGACTACCGTTCTCGCGTCTTTGAAGATATACCGTTCCTACCTCCGTCGTATACCTGGAGCTATTCATGTTCAACCGAGTTTCTTTAGGAAGAGAAGCATTTTTGGTCGGGTCACGAGCGTCGGAGATGGAGATAACTTTCATTTGTACCACACACCCGGCGGTCGCCTGGCTGGGTGGGGTTGGCTGCGAAGAGTACCAACCAAGAAACCCGCCTTGAAGAACAGAACAGTATGCTTGTTCTCTCATATATTTCCTATTGATCTGTTCCCCGTAATTGAACTAAATCACTCCAGATTCCTATACGTATTGCTGGTATTGACGCACCAGAAGGCGCTCATTTTGGTAGACCTGCCCAACCATTCTCGACCGATGCCCTCGCGTGGTTATCTAGTTATATACTCGGACGAAGAGTGCGAGCCAAGATTTATAAACGGGACCAGTACGATCGTATCGTCGCTACTGTGTTTGTGAGACGGTTTTTCATACGTCGAGACGTTGGTTTAGAGATGTTAAAGAGGGGGTTGGCCACAATGTACGAGGCCAAAACTGGTGCGGAGTTTGGCGGTCTCGAAGAGAGGTACAAGGCCGCAGAAAATAAAGCAAAGGCCAAGAAACGAGGAATGTGGGGTGGCCAGCTCGAACACTTCGAGAGCCCCCGAGAGTATAAGACTCGGATGAATTTGGAGGAGTCGACACCCAAACCCAATGATACCACCAACCCATGAAGGATGAATTACGATTTACGGTTTATTCATGCTTGCTATTGCGAGTAAATTATAGATATGATTTGATGTAAATTTGACTTGGACGAGTCGTCTCGGTCCTTTTGTTTCCTTTAAGCCTTGTGAAGCCTGAAGGCGAATGCAAGAGTGGCATTGTTTTCAATATTATAGATTTCTATGTGATAGTTATAAATGGCATATTTTTATCGACCTTACGTCACCGATGCAATAGCTTTAATGGAAAACATTACGATATGCTGAAGGGTGATTAACTGAAGTCATCAAATGTTGAAACCCATGTGCGGATCCCTCCCGTTTTCTTCCCATACCTAGGTATCTACCCATAGCCATATCGTTTCATTTTACGGCATGTTTGCGGGGGTAACGCCTTAAATATCTTAAACCTTTAAATGGGATCTTGGATCTTGAGTACCGAATAATCGCAAATGTGGTCCTCCGAACGTCATGCACGTGTTCGAGTAAGACGAGGGAGATGCTGTAATGTCATTTACTTGCGGCGTCCCTCTCTATCAAGGTAGCTTTTCTTGTTCTTGTTAATCATATCAGGCGAAGATACGATTATAATGTACCTAAGTATTTAAAAGTCACTCAACTGCAAGCTACTAAAGTGTTGATAAAAGGCACACGGTATGAGCCATCGGTGCTATCCTTTCACAGGTACTTGAAGGTATACGACGTTTTCTCCAAGATAAGTATATCGTTAATCTAGTGATTGAGAAATTGTGGTTGCGCTTTGCGAAGCTACACAGTAGGTAGGTACCTGAGTAACATTAATGAAACGATCTAGGTATGATCATAATTAAGGCGGTTAAAATACGTGTAGCCCATGTAGGTTCTGGATACGAACTATCCCCGGTCTATACCTCTGTACAAATTGACGGACGTCACTTCGATTATCCTATTGAAGAAGTTATCAAGTTGAGGGATTGGTCGGAAGGTTGTCAGATTTTAGAAACACGAGAGGAAAAGGCTCCTGTAAGAGCTCAGGTAGTAACCCGCTCTGGCCTACTCTATCGGCGGTTTGCGAGTCAAATGGTGAGACTAAACCAGTTACAGACTGGAAGGTGAGATTTGTGGCCTTTCCTTGGCCTTCAGGAGTACACCCCTGTAAGCACCTTAATACCTGATGCGTACGTGTAAGCCCTTGCTACTTCCCCTTATTACCGCGTGGAGAGTACTACTGTGCTAGGTACCCGGGTACTAAGGAATTGGCAGTAATTACGCTACTGCAGGTGCAAGCCCTCCTAAGCCTCCCTCTTTTCCATTCCCAATTCTTTTTGCTGCTACGACACGCTGGTCGTTCTTCTCACCGTTCCGACGAAGAGGTAGAAAACACCAAAATAATATTGTCACTCCTTTCACTCATTTAAATACCAGGACGGCATACAAAGTGTACGGTAATACGTATTCGCTTGTTGCCTCATCCTACGCCTACACGGCATTTTTCTCATTTTTTACTCATTTTTTAGTCACTCGTTCGATCTCCGAAGGCGATCCAATCACCACTTGTTCTCCCAAGCCCCTGATCCGAGGACAGCATTATTCGGCAGGCCACGTCTCGACAACAACAAAGTTTCTGGGACAATTTAGGAATACCAAGTGCGATCGTGTCGTCACCATCTTCCACATCCGTTCATTATAACCTCAAAGGGGATTAATTCAACATCCCCAGTTCATTCGTTTGCGAAAAATCAACAAATAGGCTCCCGAGCAACAACTTAGCAAGATTTGGGCTAGTCCCTGTCGTTGTCAAGGCCATATATCCTAGGCACCTAATCAAACAATTAAAAAAAAAAACAAGGCAAAACGAATTAGGAGGAAATTGGGATTTTGTGCGGCCTAGTTGTGAGAAGGCATTAATATCACTCGGGTACTACGGTTGGCAACACGTCCATCTTCTGGAGTGACACGATCGGTTGACTGTCGCATTGTGCATGCCTACCCAAGGTATCGAAAATTGGTGAGTAACATCCCACCTCCTCATTATTCCCATTTGTGTATCTTGTTGTTGTCGAGTCAGACGTATCATATATACGTACAGCATAATATCTGTTATTTGTCTCTTTTCAATTCCTACATAGGACGGAGATCTTGTGTCATTGTTTCAATAGCCACGCCCTGTCCTCACCTGGCTGCCTGGCTGCGTCTATGCAGAACCCTGTCTTTTCGGGTGAAAAATTGACGGAAATTATTAGAAGATTTAGGTGAAGACGCTAATAAGGTACCAGTGCAGGTACCACCCCACACTAAGTGACAACACACTCTAGGTACTTCCCGTAGGCGTTCGGTTACAATAGCACAGCCCATTCCAACCATATCACGCTCAAGTACCAGAATCTCGCCCGAAACTTCAATTTCCCAGAAAATCCTGGAAGTCGGGCTGACGACGCAATTTATATCAGCCAACGACAACAAAAGTGCGATAGCCGTAAAAAGCGTCGATTTATAATATTTGCAATTATAATTAATACTGCGCGCCAATTCGATATCTCGTTTAGAAGTTCATTCGTTTAGTTTGCTTTCAACGCCAATTTAGCACGTCTCAAACTATAGTGCTAAGAAAATCAAAACACGTCGCGATACGATATCATTCGAGCTAAACGAGTCCGTCGGCTTCTAACCTAATTATTATACGCACGTTATATTTCGATTCCTTCGAGGTTATGGACTCCGGTGGAAGATAGGACGTTTGCGTTGTGTTGGAAGACGGATTGCTTCGTTGGTAGTGGAATTCTAAATCAGATATCATCGAGACCGGGGCGCGTCGCCTCGGTCACTTGCCAAAGCAGCCATGAGGATATCATTTGGCCAACCTAACGCCATGTACGGTCGCGTATCGACGTCGTCTTCATGGTTTTTTACTGTCGCATCATTTGTCTCGCTCTCGAGAGCGATATCTTTCAACCAAATCCCCGATGCGAATCTCGACACGAGTCAATTGGGAAGGGTTGGAATTGCAGGTGATTTTAGTGGCATTTCTCTTTATCAATATGAAGGGCAAACGGAGCAACCCTTCAATTCGAACGGATCCGCGCAACTCTTGACCCGTCTTCCAAATGGGGTATTTTCCAGCCTTTTAGAAGCAGATGCATCCATTCAGACGATGTGTATGTTCCAGGGACAAGCCATCCTAGGTGGTAACTTCACTAGCTTAGGGGGTGTGCAATCGCCCGGCATTGCTTCTTTCAACCCGAACACTTCCGAAATCACACCTCTAGCTAATCTCTCAGGTCAAGTTAACAGCTTGTTATGTGACGATTCAGCTGGCAAGGTCTATGTTGGGGGTAGCTTTAGAGCAGAAGATTCAACGAATGCGATAACATGGCTCGCTTCAAAAACTTGGGCAAGCCTGCCATTTGCCGGTTTTAATGGACCCGTCAATTCAATTACAAAGGCGCCCGGCGGCCATATTATCTTCGGTGGAAGTTTTAGTGGCCTTGGAAATACGAGTACACCGAAGACCCGTGACAGCCAAGTGATCAACCTTTCGAGTGCGAATATTGAAGCCGACCAAAGTACATCGACGACAGGTTTCAGTGACCCAAAGAATATCGTTTGTAAAACTGATGGGGCTGATGGTACCGGTAACACTTGGCTCTTGCAGGACAACACCCCTGGAGCATGGAGGGCTACTTTTAACTACGGCTTCGAGCCCACCAAACTCAGGCTCTGGAATACTCATCAGGACGGACGAGGGACACGAACTTGGAGGTTCACTGCGCAGCCGATTAACGGCATCATGAACTTCACATATATCGATCCGGCAACGAACCGAAACCTTTCATGCACTAGCGAGTGTCCTCTTAGCGATGACCCATCAATCGAATTCCAAGATTTCCATTTTGTGAACACAATAGGGATGAATGGGTTCAGACTTGATGTTTCCGCTTGGTACGGCAGTGGTGGTGGTCTGGATGGTATCCAATTGCTCCAGGACGATATTTTCGCCTTTGCAATCAATGATTTCAACGAGCCGAGCTGTTCTAACACCTCGACACCCTCGACAGCGACAGCTACAGGCCCTTGGAAAGTAACCCCATCTGGACAGAGCAGCTCCGAATATCTGTCAGCCCAGTTATCAAAGCCTGTCGCTTCTGATGCCGCTTCAGTGATATTTTATCCTGACATCAGAGAATCTGGGGAGTATATCATCAAATTATATACACCTGGTTGTCGTCAGGACAACACATGCCTGAGCCGTGGCCAGATTAATGTTTCAGGGATATTATCGGCGAGTGGTAGCAACCGAACATTGGAGAGTAAGCTCCTGTATCAGACGAATGAGTTCGACAAATACGATCAACTTCATATAGGGGCTGTTGACGCTAGTTCGAGTTCCTTCCGACCCAGTATCACAATGACACCCGTTCCTGGTCAACAGCAATCAATCCCTGGCGATAATTTTGTCATGGTTGCTCAAAGGGTCGGATTCGAACTGATCAACTCCACTGGTGGTCTCAATGGATTATTCGAATATGATCCTAGTCGGGCTACTATTGATACTTCCGATTTCTCTAGCTCTGCTTTCGTTAAGCTTGGCTCCTCATTCTCGGACGATTCTGCTGTGCAGTCATTGGTCGCTACTAACGACCGAACCTATGTCGGTGGTAATTTCACTTCTGACAACGTCCGCAACATTGTTGCTATCGACAACAAAGGCCAGACTGTGGCTCTTGACGGTGGATTAAACGGTGAAGTTTTGTCGATGTACCTGAGTGGGAACCAATTGTTTGTTGGCGGTCGATTCAACAATACGCGAGACGGTTCCTCAGCAGGACTAAGTAATGTCGCTGTTTATGACAGCTCGAGTAACAAATGGACGCCACTTGGAGCTGGTGTAGATGGGGTTGTGACGAGCATTGTGCCAACAACATTGAATTTAAGTGATAGCACAACCGAGGACGTTATCACTTTGACGGGAGATTTTACACATTTGCTTGCCTTCGGCAACAACAAGGCTGCCGAGTCGGCGGGCTTTGGTGTCTGGGTCAAATCGCAGAACAATTGGCTACAGAACTTGAACACATCAGTTCCCCTATTGGCTGGTATCCTATCCACATCACTGGCGGTTTCGGATAACGAAACATTATATGCTGGCTCAGTCTCCTCCCAGGTCCTTCGAGCAAACGATGCTGTGACCGTATCTAGTGGCTTTGGCAATTTCCCGCTTAGCATCCAACCACCAGCCGATTCCAGCAACTCGACGGGCGGTCTTTCAAAGCGTGCGAGCTTATCGGATGCTATTAAGACTGTCACTGGCGTTGTCGCGGGTGCATTCTATGAAAACAACGATAAGAACATAACTGTGCTTGGAGGGCGTTTCGTTGCGACTGCGTCTAATGGGTCAACCATCAATAATTTGGCTTTCATTGACGGCGCCGATTCCAATACCGTCACTGGCTTGGGCACGGAGTTGTCTCAGGATACAGTGTTTCTAGCGCTTGCGATCGAGGGTGATAGCCTATTTGCTGGTGGGCGAGTCAACGGCACCGTGCAGGGCTCTGATGTTAGTGGTCTCCTCTCATACAGCCTCGCGTCAAAATCATTTAATACGCAACCCCCAGGCTTGGAAGGTAATAATGTAGTCGTCTCTTCGATTGCTGTTAAGCCAAACAGTGGAGACGTCTATGTTGGTGGCTCATTCGACAGAGCTGGGTCGCTTCCTTGCCCTAGTGTTTGTCTCTTCAGTACCGGTTCCAGTCAGTGGAATCGGCCTGGTTTCGAATTGGGTGGCGATGTCAATTGTATGATGTGGTCGAGTGATTCGGTTCTATTTGCGGGTGGCAACTTAACAATTAACGACACGGCAGTGTCTTTGGCTTCCTACGATACTTCCAATTCTCATTGGACTGAATTCTCGGGCGCCTCCGAGCTCCCGGGCCCCGTTAATGCGTTGACTGCCGCAAATAGCGAAAGAAACCAGGTTTGGGTTTCCGGCACTCGATCCAACGGTTCAACGTACTTGATGAAGTATGATGGTTCTTCATGGAAGTCAGCCAATATCGCCTTAGACCGCAATACCGTGGTCAGCAGTCTCCAGATGTTCACGGTAACCGAATCGCATGATGTATCAGATCTCCTCGCCTCCGACCAAGTCCTCTTGTTGACAGGATCTATCGCGATAACTGGATTTGGTACAGCGTCAAGTGCAATCTTCAATGGCACAACACTCCGACCCTACGCACTCACATCGAATACGGATGGTACAACAGGGTCAATCTCCCGCATTTTTGTGCAGAAAGAGAACTTCTTCACTTCTAAAGGTAGGTCTGCTAACCCAGCCCCATAGATCTAAGCTTGCTAACTCTGGTTTTCTAGGTGGTGGTATGCCGCTCGTCTTCGTTGCCTTAATCGGGTTAGCCATCTCCCTAGGTCTTATGGTTCTCATTGTTCTCGCTGGCCTTGCGTTAGATCGATACCGCAAGAAGCGCGAAGGTTATATCCCAGCTCCTACGTCGATGTTCGATCGCGGTAGTGGTATGCAACGAATACCACCGCATGAGCTTCTTCAATCCTTAAACCAAGGTAGACCGGGAGTGCCTCAAGTTTGAGCAATGGTACCATTTAGTGCCATGAAATAGGAGCAACCACGCTTTGGATAAGAAGCAATTTCACCATCGACTCATTAGACATGTCGAATATCACTGTTAGAAGAAAACAGTGCCAGACCTGATTTCTGTGCAATCAGACAAGCTATATTATACCAGAGATACCCAGCCGACAGGCCTACAGGCCGACCTGTCGTTGCGAATGAATAGGAGGAGAGATAAAAAGAAAATATCCGCTAAGGATTATACTAATCTTTGGCGTTCTTACGAGTTACGACGCCGCCAACCATCTTAATGTTTACATGTTTAGTTTTCACCCACCCATGTGTTATTAGCTAGCCTTCACTACCGTCCTTTGTATATTCTAAAAGTGCCTCGCAGTCTCGTCCCCCGACTGCTGATGGGGTTAGTCCTGCCGGAGTAGCCGGAGAAGATAAGGGGTTCGTATTGTTTTGAGAGGAAATGGTCGAGATATTCGGTACGGAGGTCTTCGATTGAAAGAGAAAGGTATACGCAAGCCAGATATCTGGGGAGAAGATGGGATGAGTCGAACTTGGCTCGCAGTTATAGCAGCCATCTACGCCAGTCCGGTGATAGTTACGTACGTATTTAATCTATTGAGTGGCTGTTGAAACTATTTTTTGGCCCTGTAGTAGTGCCTCTTAAACTTATTATTACGTGACTATTTGGAGGCAGATTCTCAATACATGACAGTTGATCAACTCGCTGACCTGATTCTATGTTCTTGGTTTTTGACCATGTACCTACGTACCTTAGCTTAGTCACACCAGCCACATTAATTTGCCTCAGATTATGTTAATTATTCCGAACTAGGTCTAGTGGCTATTTGATCCCAGCTGAGTGGTCCTAGCTTAGCTAAGTAGTTCGCCTTTTTTGTTATCAGGTCGACCAGTAATCACCTTAGCATTTCGTCAGCGCATGAAATCTCGTTCGCCATCAACCAGCCTTTCCTTTCGCCGCTTCCATCTAAGAAAAGGTCAAGACAGCGTCCGGTTGAATTCTTCACCATGGCAGACGCTGACTTCGAGGCCGTTAGAAAGCTTCAGGCTGAGCGGAACGCTGCTGCTGCTGCCAAGAAAGGCTCACGCGGCCGCGATCCTAAGAACCAGCGATCCGATTCCTCAACCAAGGCAAAGCTTACCGAGTCCTTCGACACCGACCTCTACGATCGCGATGGAGATGACAAATATGCGGGATATCTCACGTCCATTCCCCCCGCCGATGGCGAAGATGAAGAGATGGAAGATGCCGATAACTCGCGTCGCCTAGTTGGCCAGTACACGGCGACACGTGCACAGATCGATGAATTCGCGCATGGAAATGGAGTCGAAGAAGACGACCCTTTTGCAGGTAGAGGCGAAAATAGCACCAGAATCATCGATCGCGAGACTGACTACCAGAAACGTCGCTTCGATCGCGTTCTCACCCCGACCAGAGCCGATGCCTTCAACCGCCAAGGCGGCGCCGCCGAGGAGGGCGATACATATCGAGATATTATGGAACGAAGAGAGGTCGAGAGGGAAGAAGAACGCGTTAAGCGCGCTATTCAAGCGAAGCGGGAAGGAAAAGATACCGACGACGATCACCAAGCAACGCTTAAAGACGGCGATAAAGAGAACGCGGAGGCAGGATCCACCGAGGCCGTAACGGCCGGACGAAAGCGCAAGAAGAGATGGGATGTAGCTTCGACGGCCGTAGATGAGCCTTCATCAGAGTCTAACGATAGCAAGTCTAAAAGGTCTAGATGGGATCAAGCGCCATCACTGGCAGCTGCTGGTGCTCCCGATGGAGCTAAGAAGAGGTCAAGGTGGGATCAAGCACCGTCTGCCACTCCTGTTGGTAACAGTGGCTTAGTAACACCGATGCATACATCCTCAGTTGGAGTTGGCGCCGTTAAAGCAGATATGTCCGGCCCTCCCGGTATCCTTAGCGATGAAGAGTTAAACACACTACTTCCTGGCGAAGAGCAGGGTTTCAAGATCCTCGAACCACCTTCAGGATATTCTGCTGCCCCCCCTCTCCATAGAGTTACAGCGACGCCACTGCCGCCAAGCTACAGTGGCTTTATGATGCAGGATCCAGAGAGCTCCAGATTAGGGGGAAGCCAGATGCCTAAGGAAATCCCTGGTGTTGGAGAACTTCAATTCTTCAAACAAGAAGATATGGCCTACTTCGGTAAACTAGCAGATGGCTCCGATGAGAACAGCTTAAGCGTGGACGAACTAAAAGAACGAAAGATTATGAGGCTTCTCCTCAAGATCAAGAACGGAACACCGCCTATGCGAAAGACTGCTCTCAGACAACTGACCGACAACGCAAGGCAATTTGGTGCCGGTCCCCTCTTCAACCAGATTCTTCCCCTTCTAATGGAAAAGACATTGGAAGACCAGGAACGCCATCTACTTGTCAAAGTCATCGACCGTATCCTCTGGAAGCTTGATGACCTTGTTCGCCCTTACGTTCACAAGATTCTAGTCGTTATCGAACCGCTTCTTATTGACCAAGACTACTATGCGAGAGTGGAGGGTCGAGAGATTATTTCCAACCTTAGTAAGGCTGCTGGTCTAGCCACAATGATCAGCACGATGAGGCCGGATATCGACCACGTCGACGAGTACGTGCGAAACACAACCGCCAGAGCTTTTGCAGTTGTAGCCTCAGCCTTGGGTATACCTGCACTTTTGCCTTTCCTTCGTGCTGTATGCCGAAGCAAGAAATCATGGCAAGCCCGTCACACTGGTGTCAAGATCGTGCAACAGATTCCTATTCTCATGGGATGTGCTGTTCTACCCCATCTCAAGGGGCTTGTAGACTGCATAGGTCCAAATCTAAACGACGAACAAACCAAAGTACGAACAGTGACTAGTTTGGCCATTGCTGCTCTCGCTGAAGCCTCTAACCCCTACGGTATTGAAAGTTTCGACGATATCTTAAACCCTCTATGGACTGGTGCCCGGAAGCAGCGAGGAAAAGGTCTCGCTGGTTTCCTCAAGGCTGTCGGTTATATCATTCCCCTTATGGACGAAGAGTACGCCAATTACTACACTTCACAAGTAATGGACATTCTCCTCCGAGAATTCTCATCTCCAGACGAAGAGATGAAGAAGGTGGTGTTGAAGGTTGTTTCTCAATGTGCGGGCACTGAGGGTGTGACAGCTGGTTACCTCAAGGAGCACGTTCTAGATGAGTTCTTCAAGAGTTTCTGGGTCCGACGAATGGCTCTTGATAAGCGAAACTACCGACAGGTGGTAAGTCAATACTTCATTAAACATTTAATTTTTTCAACGGTCGCTAACATTTTGATAACAGGTCGAAACCACTGTCGATATTGGCCAGAAGGTTGGTGTCAGCGAAATCCTAGAGCGAGTTGTCGGCAACCTCAAGGACGAAAGTGAAGCGTACCGCAAAATGACTGTTGAGACTGTCGAAAAGGTGGTCGCTAGTCTGGGAGCTGCAGATATAGGAGAAAGATTAGAAGAACGACTCATCGATGGTATTCTACACTCCTTCCAGGAGCAAAGCGTCGAAGATATCATTATGCTCAACGGTTTCGGTACAGTCGTCAACGCTCTAGGCACGCGTTGCAAGCCATATCTCCCCCAAATAGTGTCAACCATCCTTTGGCGTCTCAACAACAAATCCGCAACAATTCGTCAGCAAGCCGCAGATCTCATTAGTAGAATTGCTATCGTCATGAAGCAATGCGGCGAGGATGCACTTATGGGCAAATTAGGTGTTGTCCTATACGAATACCTAGGAGAAGAATATCCCGAAGTTCTTGGTTCTATCCTATCGGCGCTTCGTAGCATTGTTACTGTCGTCGGTATCAGCCAAATGCAGCCTCCCATCAAGGATCTTTTACCCCGTCTTACCCCTATTCTACGAAACCGTCACGAAAAGGTGCAAGAGAATACGATCGATCTTGTCGGTCGAATCGCTGATCGTGGACCAGAAAGTGTCAATGCAAGAGAATGGATGCGAATTTGCTTCGAACTACTAGACATGTTGAAGGCACACAAGAAAGGTATCCGAAGAGCAGCCAACAACACATTTGGTTTCATTGCAAAGGCTATTGGACCGCAGGATGTATTGGCTACCCTTCTTAACAATCTTCGAGTTCAGGAACGACAGTCCCGAGTTTGCACAGCTGTTGCAATCGGTATCGTTGCTGAGACCTGTGCTCCCTTCACTGTCCTCCCCGCTCTGATGAATGAGTACCGCGTTCCTGAACTCAACGTACAGAATGGTGTACTCAAGTCATTGTCCTTCCTTTTCGAGTACATCGGAGAAATGGCCAAGGATTACGTCTACGCAGTCACGCCGCTACTAGAAGATGCCTTGATCGACCGTGACCAAGTACATCGACAGACAGCGGCGTCAGTAGTCAAGCACATTGCGCTCGGTGTGGTTGGTCTAGGGTGCGAAGATGCTATGGTACATCTGCTCAACCTTCTCTGGCCTAACTTATTCGAAACCAGTCCACACGTTATCGACCGTATCGTCGAAGCGATTGAGGCCATCCGTATGGCTGTTGGACCTGGTTTAGTATTGAACTACGTCTGGGCGGGGTTGTTCCACCCAGCTCGAAAGGTACGGCAGCCTTACTGGAGGCTCTACAATGACGCGTACGTACAGGCAGCCGACGCAATGGTACCTTACTACCCCAACCTTAACGAAGAGGGTATCGACAGGCCCGAACTGGCGATTGTGCTATAGAATGCGTTTCAACACGGACAACAGGAGGCAGTGTTATTAGCCAAACCTTAGCTCCGAGCTCTAGCTGGTGGTGTACAATATATTTGAGAACTAAAATTCCTTTTTGTGGTGTGCCAAGGGATACATCAAAGTCCGGGACCAATGGTGGTCGCGAGTATTGTTAGCGGGATACAGCACAATGGTTGCCTTTCATTTTTCGTTCGGTAGCATTACTTAGTGGCATTTTTTGGTGTACAGTCCCGTAGTTAGGCATTAAAAAAGGGTATTTAATTTGATTCTAGACTTTGCTGTGAATATGTACTCCGAATTGATACCCTGATGACTGAGATACCAGTAGAACGACCTAACGCCGAAACCATCAGGGATAGTAAATATGAACAACCTAGTAACTATAGCCGAGTAAATCTAGTGCGATTCAGATAGAGGAGTCTACGTTGATGGAGAAGACTGTTTTGAGAAGCGAGTGGTGTGGTCCCCATGCAGTTTGATATCCGAACCACGCCATGATCATACTATCAACCTCATTAGACCGTTATTCTCCAAGTAGCTATGAGATGGGTCTTGAAGCCGTTCCCTTACTAAATTAGCTACCAATTGGTCTCACAGGTTTTATAGGTACGACGGCTATAATGTGATAACCATATTCCTGGGATTATCTGCCCCCGCGTGCCATTTTCTAGTACGACATATAGGGGTCATTCGGTCTGATATGATTGTTAAGTTTACTCTATTACGATAAAGATGCTTTCGGCGATTGGCCTTCGCGACACTGTTATCGGGGGCGTGTGATGGGGAGTAAACAATCTCGGAAGTCCGACCTCTCTACATTAGGGGCGCACGAGATTGGTTACTCCTTACGGAATTCTAGGAGCTCCCTTGAAAACGGCAGGACTTACAAACTTATCATGATGCAGAGTGTCGCAAGTACATAGAAATGGTATCATTTCACATATTTCTCAAACATTAAAGTGTTCATGATAAATTCCAGGTATTTGGGTAAGTTTTGGTAACGTATGAAAGCCTCGTCACACGTACGAGTTTGATGCTGAACTGATTTCTACCAACACTGAACTCTTCGGAGTTATGTTAGTACAGGGAAATTCAGTAGTACTTACTGTACACAGTAGCAAGCGTACGACGTTCAACAGGTGCCACAGATCATTCAGAGATCATTGCCAAATGCTAAGACTTCGAAGGAATTCCAGAAAACTTCCTTCGATGATCACAATTCGTATTACGGTTTCGTCAGGTTGATCTTGTGTTCTCACCACGAGAGATCATCTCTACTTCCCCAGAATTTGAGGTTCCCTAAAGAACAAAACCACGCGACGCGGCCCTGTCGATCAACCGGTAGTGCAAGGCTTATCATCTACTTCAAAAGGAAATGGCAAGAAAAGACTGTCGTCTCAGCATTCTTTTTAGAGCTTTCTCGACCCCTTTTCCGAATTCCGAAAGAATCCAGCGCTCTGGAACGGCGAGCAGCAATGCTGTGCCTATCCCGCGTTACGTACGTACAGTACCCTACAAGTTTTAGTTATCTAGATCTACGGACCAGCGGTTTGGGCCTTCAATGGTGCTACTACTTCGACATCAAAGGAAACGAGCAAACAGTAGTGTGCGATGCCGCACCCCCCTTCTCCATAGTTCGTCCCCCTTACATTAGATTCGCGATTACGTGATTCCCCCCTTTTTTTCTTTTCCCTTGAGGCTTAGGCAAGACTAGTAGTAAGCGCCAAGATGTCTGACTCTGGCTCTTGTTGGAACCAACTTATTTCCTCATCGAGGTAACCGGACGGACATGAGCGGAGGTATGGAAGGCAATATTTTGCTATTTTGACAAGTTGTTCAGAACTCCGAAGAGGCGAACACAGTATTCGAGAGACTACATATGCAGGTCTCTGATACGATATCCTTTTTTTTCTTCTCTCTTACGTTACCTCAAGCGGTCTGAACCGTAGTGTAAAGAGGAAAGGTACGCCACTATGGTAAGGGGGGACATGTTATTGGGCTGGGGGCGGGATCCTCCTTCACGTGCGTTGGATACATGTACGTAGTATGTACAATACACAGGATCCGGCACTGGGGGTAGCGGTACTTGGGATACATAGCGTAGATGTTTACATCCATTTACATAACTAAGATACTATATCTTGCTCGGTATGCGACTCTGACCATGCACATAGTCGGTAGGGATCGGCAGTGGTGCATGAGCAAGTCAGCTCACACGGACAAGGAACCCCGGGTTCCTTCGAGGGACGGACGAGCCCCGTCCCGTCCACTTAGATGGAGAGACAGGGCGACACTTTCCGTCGTTCGTGCATATTGTTGAACAAGAGGCGGTGAAGTTCAGGATGGAGGAGCCAGTAGTATGCCACAGAGCGAACAAGACGCGATGAGATAAAACCCCAATACTATTATATGGTAACCTATGAAGGAGTAACAAAAGTCCACTCGCCTAGGTAAACGACTCTGTTTGGAAGAGTCGCAGCAAGAGGAATTCAAATCAATCAATTAATCAAATCAATTAACCATCCAGCCAGCCCAAGTTGCAGTCGACATGCCCAGCAGAGGGTAGGATGTAATTAGCGAGATTGATTATTTGATTATATTACTTAATTACTTAGCATAAGAGACTATTACACAGGTATCGAGCGGGAGGGGGAGGGGGAGGGGAGGTGTATACCGCATTTGTACGTATATGTGTTTGTATGTATGTATTATATATGGTCGTTATGTTTGTGTTGGACGATAGGAAGAGAATAACCAATATGGGAATTGTCCGAGACATAGACACGATAGGAAGTCATAAAATATTAGCTAATATATCTAGATATATATATTACCCTGTAGTGTATCTGTGTATACGTAAATGTGTGTGTAGTACAAGTACTTTGTATGTGGTCTATATCTCCATTGTATAGTTACAGTGAGATACCTGTTCGGAAGATTGCGAACCTACATACAGCAGATACATTGGGTACGTATTGCATGTACTCAGGGTAGTTGATGCCCTCACATACATATATATGTACGCGTATAAGACAGAATAATATAGTGTATGTAGAAATGAAAGAAGAAAAAAAGGGAATGGCAGTCAATTTTGATAAAGGGTCCAATGCGTAACAAATGCATTCCCATGGCTCTAAAACATGGCATTTGACCAATGTCCATTATGAAGAATATGTAGGCACTTGACATTTTAATCAATTCGTATACTACATGGACTACGTATACTACTCTACACACACATATAGAAGTATATTTGTACCTACATACATACATACATGAAAGTACATGTAGGTATTTGCGGATGTACTGTACAATATTCTGAAATATACAAAGATACTTCTGCAACTTACAGCAAAACTGGTGTATCCGGGGCTGGAAAGGGCAGTTACAATTGAATTTAGAGTGTCCGAATTCTGCCGCATCTGTACGTTGTATGCACATTCCGCTGTGGAGAACCAAGTACCAGCCTATAAATGCGAGTATGTTACGATACGTGGTTGGCAGCAGAGAAGAAGGAGGGGTGTATGTAGAGTAATCTTAGTTCCAATTATCCCTGTCAATATTTAGGTAGGCTATGAACTCCCCTGCACATGTGGGTGTGGGGCCACAACCAGGGTAATATCCAATCAAAATCCGGCGCTGGATCTAAGCAAGAAAACAATCCTGCAAAATGATGTCATCCTTTTAGCTCGCTTGACCGCCCCCAAGGGCAATTCCCAACGACCGCTCTCAAAATTGCGCCAAAATTCGCAATTCCTCTCCCACCCCAGCCCCTCTAACTTACTAGTAGATCCGACACACTGTCGAATGGAGGAGCGGACATGCCTGTCTCCATTATTATAATTATTTATTATTTCTCCCAGACAACCATTGTGGACTCAAATATGGACATGAACCAAACCACCATCTCTAGCTTCTCTGCGTCGTCTACCGTTGGCGCAAATGCGACTCTCCGGGTTCGATGATTTTTAAGAGGTTGGAGAGACCCACGGCTATAAACATGGAACGGGGGTTTCCAATATATCGAGCCCGGCAGTGGGAGGACTTGAAACGTATGCTCCATGGGGAAGGAGGACGGCACTGCGGAAAAAAGCTAGTTGTGGAGGTCGTCATGCGAGATAGATGGCACCGCAGTTACCCAAGGGTAAAATACCTACCTAATTCCCCCCTCCTCTCAGGTATGTACAATGCCATTTTCTATACTACGTACGTTACGTGCACTACGTATGTATGCGCTTTTCCAGGCCGTGGACGCGTCAACGGATACATTCGCAAAAGCTTGGCCATTTTTTCTTTTCTTGGTATGTTCAAGTGTATTACACACTCAGTAATGGGTTTGTATCTTCAAAACAAAAAAGAAGGTACCTAAAACAATCTTACCATAGCCTGGGTGCGGGTGACGGGTCATCTGTGGTTTTGTTTCAAGGAATCTCATCTCATCCGCCATTCCAGGGGGGGTCCCCTATGCATGCCTGAGATAGAAAACCCCCCCAGTCCAACGGCATGATACGGGATTCGTCTAAGCCGCACTCTTGTCGCATTATAACTTGTTTATATAAACAGCAACATGCGCACGGCATACCCCCTTCGATTTCGAAAGTGGCGAAAAAAGAGAATCCCATGAACCCCAGATTGCATCACCTACGACAAATATCGGGTGTTACTACGTCTTCGCAGGACGGGGTCGGGACAACCTGGAGAAAGAAAGAACCAATCCAGAAGATACAGAATATTTCGAGTCTAGTTTCACTACCCAATCACGCGAAGATGAACGTGCGGTCCTCCACCAGAAAAGCGCCCGTCTCCCCGCGGACCTTGTTGCACAAAGGAGGACCCTGAAGATCACAGCGTCCTGTACATGTGGCTGTACGATGAGAAGTCTTGGCTTTTGGTAGTTTACCAGCACCTGGCCAATGCTTTCTAGCTTGTTACCGTAGCCAACTATTTTGTCCTTGGCCCCTTTTTCATTGGACAAGATTCGCCGAATTGAAATGTTCGACTTGTAGCCGACCCTTGCACTGGACCGACGTCATAAGGCGCTCAACTATCAGCTGTGTCGTCATTGGGCGGGACGCTTCTTCTAAGGGTAGCTTGGCCCATTGGACCGGCTTTCTCTATCTCGAGACCAGCCTTCTTCTCGCTAGCTAGCATACAACCATCCGTGATACCAATTCCCCCAAAACTGCCATATCGAGCTTCTATTCCACCCCCTCTTTCTGTATCTCTTCTCCTCTCCTTGCTTTGGGTATCCCTCCCTCTTTTTTTCTGCTTTACTATCCGCCCCCGGCCTATCGCTTCCGGCGCAATAAGTTCTGCGCCAGAGTGGCACCCGATAGGGAGAAAATGGGGCAAGTGAATAAAAAGCAAACCCGATTCATTGGTTTGGATGAGGTGTCCTCGCTGTCGTCAGCGGCACGTTTACGTATCGCCCTCACATTCGCCATGAGAAACATCCATTGCCCATCTAGCAGGTCCCCTCTTCTCTCATCGAAGGGGACCTCTTATTATCCCATCCCAACGGAGAATCCGCTTTTTCTTTCCCCCATTAAACAGGGTTCCGTCTAATGTTACAGAATCGGGCCTTTAGTTAAGTCCTGTTCGCAGGTAAGTAAACAGGACCAGTATCAGTATGATGAATGAAAAGAACCATGGTCCTGGTTTGACCACTAAGCGTGTCACCGATGAGTTCAAAAGATGGGGTAATCTTTCCCTAGACACAGAAAACGCGTACCACCATCTCCGTCTATGCGGTAGGCAATTCTGTGTCGCTAGCACAGAATTCCCAAGTCCACAATCTCATATTTGCACCGGTGCGAGTCTTGCGGTAGGTAGCGGGTATCCAGGCACCATTCACGTGGAAAGGTGCCATCAGGGTCTCCGCGCTGGGCCTACGAAACAGCTGGTAGGGATCTTCACACACGGTCCTTGATGGCTGTGTAGTCTCAGAGTTCAAGTGGTGTCTCCATCAATTCCCCATTCCTATCATATTTCCTTTTCTATTTGCCTTCCGAGGCAAAGTGACACATAAGCAAGCCCATGTTGTGTTTCTTAGTTGTCTACACTTATTCTATGTCATTCCCAAAGTGATAGATGATAACATGGCTTTTTTTTTTTTTTTTGCTAAATAAGCTGCTAAAAACAGACCTAGATTAGGTAGGTTATAAAAGCAGGATGATATTGATACCTCTTTGCTGACGTCGTTTGTTCGTCCGCCCGCTCTCAGGTCAGCCGCGTCTGTCCGTAATAGGTAGGTACAACTACCCTCTCCGGATTCTCATTGTGGAGCGAGAACAAAGTCGCCGAGCCCATCTAGGAAGGGATCGTGGGCAACTTTTCCCCCCATTATGAGCAGAGAACAACCGCGGTATCCAGTAAACCAGTGTAGATGAGAGACGAAAAAGCTTACTTCTAAGAAAAAAGGAGTAGTCGAGATAGGCGCCGTGGAGAAATTACTCGAGGCTGCGGGGGATAAGCAGGACTACGCAAGGAACTTCAGCCGTAGGTAGTCATAATGATACGATTTTTTATGTGTTTTTAATGAACGAACAGCCTCGTATGGAACCAACCCCCTCCCAGGGGATAACCACTAGTCTAGTAAAAGATAGTGTGTAGGCTGGTAGGTTATGTAGGCGGCCAGGTAGAGATAGAAATTTGGGGGTGTGGTTTGTTAGTTACCTACTTGGGCGGTACGGGTTGACGTTTTGATTCCGGTTTTTTCTTGCTTATATACTACCAAAATACAACGACGAAATGGCGATAACTTGGTAATAGAGGAGCCCGGTACTTACGCTAGGCGGCGCACTAGAGTAGCGTCGCAGCATTAAGCGTGTTTCATGTTCTGAAGGGGTGGTACCTAGGTAGGTGGACTTGGTGGATTTAGGTGGATTAACTAAGTAACCTAGGTACCTAAAGTAAAAAAAAAAGGGAGGGGAAGAGCCGCTGTCAAGTCGAGCTACGTACTCTACGCAAATACGTACATACGCTACAGACGTAGTGTGTCGTACTAGGTACGTTTATGTGCATGTGGACGGGCAGAAACGGGGCTAGCTTAAATAGCTAAAAGTTGTTAGCGACGACGATCGGTGGAGGAGAAAGAGGGATAGGGCCGGCCTAAATAGGAATTGCTTTCTTTTTTACCTCAAACTAAACCTACCTAAACTACCCTTTTATCCAAGTTGGTCTTATACTGTTATCCACTAGTTATATACTAGTTAACTAGAAACTACGCCGAAGCATGTCGTATATAGATTATGTATGGCCAAGGAGGGCAAGGAAGGTTGTGCGTGTGATATGGATTTATATGGATTAGGTATGATACGATACGATATCTTGCAGAGCCGGGATCCAAGTAGAGAAGGCGGAGATACCTTTTCGTAAGTGGTTTACCAAATATGGTCTTCGCGAAGTCCTGCGACTGCGAATCCCATCTGTTCACCGACGGGACGTAATTTAGGGTTGCATACATACATTTCTACACGAAATATGTGTGGGTGCGAGCCAGTATGTATGCGTATGGGGTGAGCGTGGAAGCGCGAGTGGTAGGCAGTAAGAGACTGCGGTGTTGTAATGTGTGGGAGACCATCAAAAGTGTGTGTCTGTACAACGCACGAAATAGGTAGGATGGATCTTTTCTCCCCTCTATTATCTGACGAGTAAAGAGGCTGGAATATCGTAAGAGCAACAACAAACGGTAATGGGTATGTAGATACCTATGTGTATATGCGTGTGTATGTACGTACGGCATCTAAGTCGTAACCGATGGGATGGATAATAAAGTGGAAATGGGAATCATTGTTAGTCAGTTACGGGGATGGGGAGGAAGTAAGAGAAGAAAATTGAGAGCTCGTCGTTGGTTGGTGAGTAAAGAGGATGTATGTGCGTACGTATGTATTACATTAATGGCGATGTATTTGTATAAGTGGAACCATCTTCTTAAGACGTAGGTACATATCTACGTACTACATGTATATGTATGCATGTAGGATAGGTTAGTCCATGTAATATTTTGGAATGGGTTCCTTCATCCATCGCGGTACCTACATTACCAGGAATGCATTCCATTCGGGTATCCCGAGTAGAGTACTGAACCTGTCGGAGTAGACGAGTAAAACGTCAGATCGGTATACTGAGGCAAGGTTTCCCCAGCTCGCCCAGCCGGTTAGGCAGATATCGTACTATATATACATATCCACATTATCTGAAGATACCCATCTTGCTGCTGCCCACATACTATAGATGTAGCGTGTAGGAATACAATATGGGTCCGAAGAAATTATACAAGCCGATTTCGCTATAATGTCAGACCATAGATGGTAGGGAGGATTTCGTACCAATTCGGAGGCAAACATAGGATATACTTGCAAACAGAAACATTGAAAAATATGTCATAGAAAACCCAGGTTTAGTATATATCAACAATTAGATTACAGAGGCAGGAGCGAATGTAGGTTTCCTCGACGAGAAGACATCAAGATGGAGGCTCCTCAACGTCGAGGATGAATGCTCTGCCTTCCAAGGGTATATGCGAAGCGTGGCTAATAATACAAGTTGTCTTCTCTTCGCTCTCGCTCTTCCGTGTCACTTTTGGCCTGTTATTTTTTTTTCTCGCTCCAAGAAGCTGCTTGCCACGGGAACTCTGCGAAACGCCATAGGCAGCTGCCAACTTCTCGATGTAAAACGAATGCATGCGATCTTCACACCCAACCCATGAAGCCACCCCTTATGAACCGTAACGCCGTCTGTGAGGGTATCACCTCAAGGGGAAAACACAAACAATAAAGCAATTCCAAATACCCCCCCAGACATGTCGATATGTGTGGCCAGACCCAACCCAACTGGTAGCCACGAGCGATGGACGCGAAGAAAAGGCAACGGAACAATGCCATAAAATGAGCCCACCCAGATCTATAAGCTCATCCATGCACCCAGCGCTTCATCAAACTCTCCTGGATATCACTCCAACCAGCAGCGCAAACGAATTTCGATGATAATGATGCCTTCGTACAAGAGACGTAAAAAACCTGCAACCCAATTTTTTGGTAGCATCAGGCCGGGAAAATAATAAAAATGCTGGCAATTGGTCTCCTCTAAAACCATGAGACCAATTTAAACGTGAGTCAACATGAGGTATCCGCATAACAAGGACAATCGTAAAACAATTCTAAATCGTAACCTTGCGCACAATCGAACATATTTTTGTCATCGAAGTGTGTACTTCTTAAATGCTTTTTTTTTTACTTTAGTCGGAGTGATCATCGTGGTGATCTTCGGATCCAGCGTCGGACTTGGCGTCGTTTTTATGTACCTTCCGGTGTCGCCGCAAATTCGATACAACTGAAAAGTGTCTTCCACATCCCTCCACTTCACAACAGAAGGCTACATAATTCATGTCAGTTTCCAATCCAATTGAGCGCGCCCATGAAGCACTTACGCTTTTCGCCTGTGTGACTATACATATGGGTCTGTAGAGAACTCGGCCGAGTAAATCTTTTGTCGCAGACTTTACACTTGTGCTTCTTTTGGGTGCTCGACGATACTTTCGAGCTAAACGACCCCATCATCGACTGAGGCGCGGGTGGGGGTTGGGTCATTAGATTCGGCCGAGGCAGCGTTCGGGAGGTAACAGACTCAATGTCAGAACCTGCCGTCGAATAATCACTAACCGACGAATCGACTGATCCTGCATAATACCCACTACCATAATTACTCGCCGAGGAAATTGAGGAACTTGTCGAATGCGTCGATGGAAATCCGTAAGAGTCGGCGGAACCCCTACCACGGTTACCGGGAGGGTATATGGCTCGCGGCGTCTCTTGGCTCATGGCCAACATGCCTTGGCCAGCGTCGAGAGCATCTGCGAAACTCCTCCGATCATCGTTCTGAAGACCTCTGTGATTCATGTCAACCAATGAATTCCGGTGAGAGCGGGACATATCGCTTGAGCCGGGATCGACCATTGGGAGTGAAGAAATTGACGATTGGGAATACCTTCGATTATCGGCGTCTGGCGCGAGGGCGAACGTTGAGCGCATGGGCGCCGGGGCGTACCCGGACACGCTATCGTAAGAACTCGGCGACGCCGAGTACGTCGCATTCACTGGAGAAGCCGCCGTCGCTGTCGCGTACGCCGACTCTCCGTAAGCGGCTGACGTGGTTTGCATTCGGTTCAAATTTAAGAGATCTTGCGGCATATTGAGTAAGTCCTGCTGTCCATAGAGGTCCGCCATGAGAGAGCTACCTGCTGAAGATGCCGTCACCGGGATACTCCCATACGATGCCATTGAGGCACTGCTACTGGGACCTGTCCGCGCGGCATGCTGCTTAGCCATAGAGTCGAGGCCACCCAAGTTGGCATTGAGTCCTTGTGAGTACAAGCTGTGACTGCCATGTTGGTTTGACGAGCCCGCGGCCCACGGGTTGGAGAAGTGCGGAGGGTTGGAGTAGGAAGACATGTGGTCGAAGTTGAGGGCCCCGAGTCGTGATTGATTATCAAGAGTCATAGTCATCTTCGACACAATATATCATAGAAAAGAGTAAAGGGTTGGAAGTAATCAAGCTTTCCAACACTTCGACCAAACTCCTATTTTTTTTCCTCCTCGCGTGTATAAAAAAAAATAATATAAAGATAAGGAAGTTGTATAGTTCGCTGATCAGATGCGGGATCCCGAAGGGGACAGATTCGTGTCACCTTGCCGAGGCGGTGACTTGTCTCTCAAGATCCAGTGAAGAAGATCCGTCACGAGCTACGGGAGGGGGATCAGCGAGCCTTAAGTGTGTTTGGCAGGACACTTCAGGAAGTATGCGACCAGGAACCCCCGAACTGTCGGACGAAGGTACACGCTGGGGCCAGCCGGTACTTTTCAGAACCAGCTCAGTCGTCCAAAGCTTAACGCTCTCCAGCAATTGGGACAGGTGGAACCAAATGTCCTTAGCCTACAGTTCAGTCCAGTGACGACGGTGAACAGATTGATCGACAGTGCAATGTCCCGTACTAAAGCAGGTCGGGGCAGGGTTGGATACACTGTAGGGTGCTGCACAGAGCACGGTAGGGTAGGATATTAAAAAGATCGAACCGGGGCTGAAATTTGAAAAGATGGTGTCCAATTTGATAGCAGCCGTTTTAGGTCTTGACTGATCATGAGAATGTGGAGTTCGGTGGCTCGTTTCAAGACCGAACAGTACAAGATCAGCAGCGGCCAGATATCCGGGAGGTCAGATGTACACAGAAGTCGAGTGAGTTTCTGGTACTTTGTTACAGGTAACCCAGGCAAGCACTCGCAGCACGATATGCTGATCTGAGTATATGGTCCACTAAGAGGTATGTATTGTTTTTGTTATGAGTGGGAAGCCAACCAGGAGGTGAGTTGAGTTCTGTAATATGACGTTGTACGGTGTCGTTATTATTATCGTAGTCGACTGACGTCGAGATGTGTGATATGTCGCCGTTTTTCGTTTACAAGGCGTGGTAAGATGGCGAAAACGGGAAGAAGAGGCACGGGCAAGGAAAACAGGATGGCAACAGGGCCTTTACATACATAGATTGTCCCTCTTATTATTCTTCGGCTGGTCGTATATTTTAGGTGTGATGGAGTGGCCAGCTAGTACGTCAACTAGTAGCATTAGGCGGTTGAAGAGTAGGGGAGTAGGGGAGATTCCAACACTAGCCATTCGAAGTACCTAAGGTATCAGAGTCTCTCTAACCACATTAGAGAGAGTGATAAATTGGGGCGAGTGGGACAAATGGCACAGGGATCGAATGTGTACATACATATAACGGAGGCAAAGGAGGAAAGAAAAAAAAAATTGGGTGAGTTTAGAGGTACGGAAAATGCCATAAACTAGGAGGCATGTAATAAGAAAAGTGGTGTATGTACATACTTTGGTACTATGGCAGGTACTATGGTACCGCAGTATCGACTGGGTAAAGTAGGTGCGGTATACAAAAGGAGATGAGAACATGGCAGGGTATTCCTCGAGGTAACAGCAAGGGTCTAAAGGTTAAGGCTACGGGGGGTGCGCCGTTCCTGCTAATCACTAGCTCATTGTTCTTGTACCGGTACGGGCGGGCACTATTAGGGAGAACCCTTGCTTGTTTTTTTTGTTATTGTACAGTACCCAGTACTAGTATACATAATAAGGCTCGTCGCTCATTCTTAGCTTACGCCACTGATGCGGAGGATGGAAGGATGGGGGTTGCCGTTATGCAGGGTCTGGAGGGAAGCACAAAGCCGACTCTATGTTTTTTATCACCTGGTTCTTTCTTTTTATTCCTCAGGGTTATGTATTACTATATTTCCAATGTCTTTCGTATTTTTCACTCTGCCGGTCCTAGCGACTTTAGTCTAGTATGAATCCATCTGATAAGTCATTAGGTCCCTTATTTTTTTCCTTTCATGACCAGTCGGTGAATAATATTTGGGAGATGGACTAGAGGTTTGGGTATGCGTTGTGTAGCAAAGTACATTATAGGTGATGTACTGGGTTGGATACGGTACTTACAATCGGGCTTGCCATTTGTCCTAATGCCTGACCCTTTCCCTTTTTGTAGGAAAAAGGATGAAGCTAAGAGCAACCTACCTAGGTAGCCTGGGAGTCTTGGCATATACCTACGTCATGCGGTGTGTAAATAGTGATTGGACACATTTAAGATACTCCACAAAAGTGGCTCCTTTTTTTCAAAAAGTGAGCAAAGGCCATGCATCTACTTCTTTTTTTCCCATGCTCCCATGCTCTTAGACACGACATCATTGAGCCCACGTTGATGACTAAAGAGCACGCCGGAGTTTTACTGTCCCGGTATCAAGGGATGATGAATAGGTAAGATAAAATATGGCATTGAAGAGAAATGTCCGTCATGTCTCTCCCAAAATTGGCCCTCCTTCTATCTCCTATGTTTTTCCTTTTTTTTTTTTTTCTAGTGGTAGCTATTGAAAAAAAAGCCAACGGCATTTAAGCAGGGTGGGTAATGCCTACTACCTTCGGTCCGGCACTAATGGTATTCGTGGCGGCAATGTAGTCTTCGCGTTCAGCCGACGATGTCTTGGCATTTATTGGACTGCGATTACGGCACAGATGATGGTAAGAATGGAGTAAAACCCGCCAGAGAAATGACGATGGAATGGCCACGCCTGCTACGTACGGCGTAGAAGTTTCAAAACAACGTCCTCGGGATGAAACCGAGGGTTGCATGTATGACGATATCTTCGAGCCAGTCGGGCCAGCTCCCTAAGTCCTAGAAGCTAATTAAGCGGTACTGCCTCGGGGAAAGTTAACGGTTATTGCCCAGTTCCTACTCACGAGACTGACGTCGTCGGTCAGGATTGGTAGCCGAAAGGGAAGACCTGTGCAAGTATGACGACGGCGCTCCGAATAGGCCCTGTATCTGGCATCCCAACGCGTCTTTAATAATGAGGGGCTCCTGGGGCTTAATCTACTAAAACCAACAATACCTCCATGGTAAGCGAGTCTGTGGGTGGGCATAGACCATCTAGTATCTTTCATTATGCACACTCCAGTAATTTTTGCGTTTATTGCCCTATCTAAGAGGTTTGTATAGAGAATATGGCGTTGGTTCGTTACATGGCCTACATCATCTATCTGATCTTCTATTCCGTTTAGCCTCACGGTGTGAATGACAAAATTGAATTATAAGTCGAATATGATTGGTGGCTTATAGAGAAAAAGAACTATATTGCAATAGCTAATACCAACACAATATAAAATTCCCCGATGTAAGGTGCTCTGTACGAAATACCCAATACCTACCTGACCTACGAAAGACAAATACTTGCCCGTCTCTGGGGAAATCTTTTTTATTTGAATTGGCGATGCTAGCTCCGAGTGGAAAGAGATGCAGTTACACTAATACCTTGACGGGGAATCTCTTGGCGATGACCGGGGTGTCGTCATAGTCTACGAAAATATCGGGAGAAGGATTCGAGGTATCTAATGCGAAATAGATATGATTGGTTAGTCCGCGGCTAGCGGGAAGTACAGTACACGCTAGTCCCCCAATGCCTCCACAATTCACAAATGACACCATCGAGCAATTTTCAATGGATGAAGAATAATTGAGCCATGACCAATCAATGTTAATAACAAATTTTTCTTAAAAAAAAATGACCATGGGCTAATATAATATGCCGGGGCAGATAAGTAAAGGAAAGGATAGAGGACCCTGAGATCAGGCTTAGTATGGTATGTATAATAAGAATACATTTCTTTAAGTCCTTTATTTGGTCCCTATCTGAGAGAAGGAACGTAGCCCAATCATAAGCAAGTATATAAGTATCTAGGTACCTTATTAGGGGTCATATATGCAGCCACACTTTTCATATCACGAGTTTTCAATAGTGAATAGATAATGTTTGTTCGGAGTAGGTACATCGCCTTAAACTCCATATAGGTATAGTATTATGTACATTCTATATACACCCATGAATATACGTAACTACCTACATGTACTCATGTATGTCATCAAAAAGGAAGATAAGACTCTTCGAAAGTGGCAGTTACGCCATCTCTAAATTGCTGCTTAAATGAGCAAAACAAATGAAGCGGTAGTTTAGGATCTAAATAACGTCATATATGCCAGATGAAGTTCTTCAAGGCTAAAACAGGGCTTAGTCAAACGGCGTTTCAATCCCTTTTTTAAGCTTGAATTTTTAGTGGAAAGTGGAAAGGCCATAGCGCGGCCCGGTCAAACCTTCGGTCGTATACAGGAATGAATTGGAACATTTGAACGAACCATCACTTTCCGCGATCCAGCCCGACAGCTCAAAGCAACAGCACTATCCATTAACGCGAAGCCATCGTATTAAGTCAAGCAGATTTGAGTCGCCATCTTTTGTCCAGTTAGCTACAATAATCACTACTTCCAAATACGGGTATCACGTCGTACCAACTCACGTTCGTAGGTACAGAATACATCCATCCATTATCAGGTCTCTTTAAAATATATGGATACCTCCTCCATTTCGGGGATTCTATTCAATTGCCTAAACACGTGGCCGGCACCAAAACATAATACATAATATCAGAATCCCTACCTAGATACCAAGTTGAAATTTGAAGATCTAGGTACCGAGTTATTAGCGTATGCATAGTGAGATGACTTGCTCTTCATTTTCGATCACGACAGGGTGAGTACGAAAGCGGCGGCGTTTGATATTAAACATATCCGCTCGTTGTCCACCTAGGTATATTGCAATTCCACGGCCTTACCGCGTACGGGTAAGCTAAGTTACGGGGGGGGAATCAAATTACATGCACGTGGGTAAAATAGTTTAGTTTTATTTTACTGCGTAGCTCCCGGGCGACGTTGTCTCATCACATTTCATATGCATCATGTGAAGAGTAGGCAGCCAGCTACTGCTACTATCTCCAGTATTGCTACATACCTGCCTGCTCTCCTCTACCCTCTTATTATCGAACTCGGAACTGCAAAGGCCTCTGGTTGGCGAGGACTAGAGAACACCGTAATAACTGCCTCATATATGTTCGGTTCGTCCAGAGAAAGGGGCCCTGCATCGTCACCCATCACATACCCGCAGACCAGGTTGCATTGAATACTATGACAGTCGCGAAAGAATGCTGCATGGCAAATTTTCTGACCGCTTGGCATTCATCTCTTTCCATAACGCTTGTTCCGTTTTGGTCCTCGAACGATAAGGCTAAGTCAGGTTTATTGTCTCTTTATGGCAGACTATTGCAACTTGTCAGCACATACGTGCATACACACCTGCATGCGCTTTGCAGGATACCTCCCTTGAACCCATGGGGCTAATATAACTTGAAGAGAGATAGGTTATGTACACATAATACACATAGTATACGATAGATGGGATGACTCTGTATCATTTTGGAGAACTAGTCCGCAGGTGTTCAAGTTCGATTCCAAAATGGTCGATAGTGGTTTGAATTAATATAATTATTAGAGTGGTGGTTTACATATGGTCGTAGCGTTCCTTGGCAATTCATAAGGAAGGTTGTTAGATTCCCGAGGAACGCGGCGGCGTAGAGGATCAGCAATGTGTCAACGGCACTTCCCAGAGCCACAAAGCCCACTTCTCCCGCCTTCTGGGTAAACCTTCCTGCCTTCTAAGTAAATTCGTTGTTTCATATTTGCACATGTGTATTCTAATAACTCCGTACGTACATAACAACGTATGTAGGTACATGTAGGTAGTAAACTATAGACATTTAAGTTTTAAACAACAACGGGAGTGATTGTCGTGTTACCTAAGCTTACCTAAGTAGGTAGGTACCAAATAGGACATAGGGTTGGTCAATTTGGTTGCCTCAACTTAACTCATCACATACACATCCGCATCAATCATCTTCTTTTCTCCCATATACACTTATCCTAGTACATTCATGGATTTCGTACAAAATACCATAACCTTGTCTTCTAGAAGCTTGATGATGTCGACTTTCAACAAATTGCGAGCATTCATTTATCTCCAAATTGGACAGGAGAAATTGACGTCCACTTTGACCAGCACCGGGATTTGTAGCTGTCCAGTCATAAAAGACCTAAGATAGCCAAGAGACATGGGTGCGTTTCAAGTAGAAACTCGACTGGCATTCCCCAAATATCGCATTAGCAATACCACTCAGATCCCTGTCACTTTCCTGGCAGATGAATGATGATCATATCCATTTTAGGTCGTCTTTAGCGCAACTCTACCGCAGCTCGCCCCCTTGCACCCCCATCTGCATCTCTCTCAACAAGCGTGGGCAACAATAATCTCAGTTTCCGCATTCTTGTTCCATTCATACATACATTTTTTTACCCATTGAAGGTATCGTCAAAAGGGAACTTCCTTCCTTCCTTCCCCTAATGATTAGCATCGGATTATTTTTATGTGGACGGTTGTTTTTCTGCTTTAATTACGACGAAGAAAAGCCGCGAGGCTCACGAGACAGTACAGATGACGAGGTCTGGTATGTAAACCCCAGCTCAATAGATTATGGATGCCGAACGACAAGGGCCCAATCCTATGTCCGCCCACACGGCAGTGATAGTGGTATCCAAGGATCTAGGAGTCTTGCCTTGCCTTGGCACCACGCTTACTGTGAAGGGGGCCGGCTTGATGAATACAGTCTACCGGCGAGCTTTCCGGAGTTCATAGTGTTGACTTACCTACCTACATAAGTGCTGCCATAGCCACTCAGAGCTGCAACCCGAAGAAATCATCGTGAACTAGTACAAGTTCGTGTCGAAGGGGGGACTAGCTAGTCTAGTACACCCACACTGCCGAAGCTGCTGAAAGAAAGAAAGAAAGAAAGGAAAAGGGTTAGAAGGTTGGTCGCCGACCAAACGCTGACGAGGGTGTCATTAGCAAATTTCCCTACGAGAGACCATTTGGGGGGGGGGGGGGGGGGGGGGGGGGGGGGGGGGGGGGGGGGGGGGGGGGGGGGGGGGGGGGGGGGGGCGGCGCGGGGGGGGC